AGCAGAATATAAAAAATCGAAAGTAATTACAAGTAGAAGCGAGTATAGACATTAGTAGGAGCTGCATATATGCATGACCAAAAGAAAGGGTATCACTTAGGCATCACATCGTAATCAAAGCACCTGTCCCCCTCTCTTCTGCGCCGGTCCCTCATCACCGCTGGCAGCTCCGGGGTCGGCCACGCAAATGGCCGAGTCTCGCGTGTCGTAATGCGAGTCACTGAACGACAGAGGATGCAGCGGCCCATACGTCTGCCCGTGTTGATCCTCTAGTTTCTTACGCAGGATGGCCTCTTGCAGGGTCCAGCGATGTCGTAACCTGGACTTTTTTGCCTCAAACGCTTGAAGAACCTCGCCTTCTTCCTGTTGATGCCGCTGTTGCATCTGTGCGAACTCCAGGGCATGTTTGTCGATCAAGTCGTCCAGTTCCCGTTCCATCCGCGCGATCGCCTCCTGGAGGCGCAGTTCCTGCCGCTCGCGCAACACCTTGATCTTGGCCTGGTGTAGCTGATCCATGGAGTTGTGGTCGTGATATTCTTGCGCTAACTGGGCTTTGTGTTGCGCGGTGAACTTGCGACCCGGTGTGTCCGCTGCCGAGCTGACGGGCGATGGCGGTGGACTCGTGTTGTTGAAGTACCCTTCCATGTACTTTATGCGTGTGCGCGAGTTCAGTTTGGCCCGTTCGAATTCTCGCATCTGCTCCATTTCCACCGTCAGCTGCCGTTCCTCCATCCGGGCAGCATCGATAGTATTCTACAAAGTCAGCATTAAGCTATAAGCTAGGAGACCAACTCAAGAGATACATACCTTTTCGCGCTTCTTCACTTCCAGGCGCTTGTTCTCTGCAAGTCGATCGGCGACGATGGATTGCTGGCGCCGTCGTAGTTGCGCCATAAATGCATCCTGGAAAGTATTATGCCGGTTCCTCTGCGACACTTGAGAGTCGCGCATCTGGCGCAATTGTATATCGTCTAAGCTCCGTTGTAGTGACTCATTGTCGAAGACGGGAATCTCCAGCCGCAAGACCTGGTTCTCTTCATCCGGTGAATCTGTGTTCTGCGACTCTGACAACCTCGACTCCACGAATACTCGTTCAACGCCCTTCTCGCCTTTGGCGACGGTGATCTGCGCAGCCGGCGGGAGCAAAACGGAAGAGGGCGCTCGCTTTTTCCTGAAATGGATCTTCCCGATTGCCGATTTTAGCGTAGATTTTCTCCGTTCTCTTTTATCTGCAGAAGTGACGCTGAACATCGACGCCCGATTCCCTGGCGGCCTAGCCGCAAGGCTGTCAATCCCCGGGATCAATCTTCCCTCACATGAGCTATAGGATGTCGGCCGAGTGGACAACGAGGCGAGCGATCGGGTACTGCCCCCCTGGGCGGGCTCAGAGGCCACGGTAAATGCGGAGAGAGACGAGGCGAGCTGGTCGATGGGAGGCGGGATTTCAAGGGACGGGGTGGCTTCGTGCGTCGAGTTGCGATCGGTGGAGGAGCCGGAGGATAGGATCGGGGAGGACAGGTCCACCATTCCCGAGGCAATGGACGCGGCCAGCGATGCCACCACCTCGACTTCCGGCACCTTCAGACCCAGCTGGCGTGCATCGTCGACCAGTTTTTGTTCCTGCGCCGTTTCTAACTCCTCGGAGGATAAAAGGAGAACCTCACTGCGATACCGAGACTCGTCGTCCTCGGTAAAATTGGTCGGCTCCATGATGCAATTGCAGATAGGCGGAATGGCAATCACCCATGGAGCTTAATCCGACACTAAGAATAATATGCAGAAGGCGCCCAAAAGGGGGAGGGGCACCAAAGATATAGAAAAGGGGGTCTGTTTCAAGGGCGCGAGTCGCACAACACTAGAAGACTCGTCCACAGTACTGGAAGCACGGTGGACGAGAGGGAGGCGCTCAAGAGCAGCATCCGACTTGCGGGGAGGGGCGAATACTGGAAAGGACGGGATGGGAGAGGGAGAAGAAAGGAGGGCGAGTCGTGGACGAGAGGAGCAGAGGGATGAGCTAATGAGAGCGAGGATTATTACTCTGCGGCGGGCCAACAGCGAGCAGCGCAGGCAATGCGACAACCTGATTTGGGCCTCAAGTTCGTTATTGTTATTATTGCGACCCACGGCCCGCCTGACCGATTCTTCCTTATTAAACGACGCATCCACTATCACTATGGGGGGGTTTGTTCTGTGTATGGGGAGGATGGCACTAGAAACGGGGCAGATTGGTGCAGAAAATATTACTAACTAAGCTGCTGATGCTGCTGATGCTGCTGATGGTCAGACCTTTACCGGGGATTGATTGATTGCTACCCCTGGGGTTCGGAGGGAATACTACTAATATTATGGACATTGTGAATGACAACCTGTCAGCCATTCCATCATCCCCGGTCCTGTCTCAGGCACCAGATCGTAATGGATACAATACCCGCGTATTTCCAGAGAATTACCCGGATGGTCGAACTTAAAACCACCCCCCCAATTGGGCCACAGGGTAGGGTATAGGGCAGGCTCGTCGGTCGTCCGGCACCACAACAACGCTATCCGTGGTTTCAGCCACTGCAACACCATGGCTTAAGGCCAGGAACCGCCGCTTCAGATGCTGGGCTGCTTCATCCAAGGATTGGCCTGTGGCCCACTGTTCCTGAGCTTGCTTTTCGTGCGGACCCTTCTCTTCGTCATGTTTCTCCCCTCGTCCAGTAGCGTGCTGATCACTCCAACTGATGGGGTGGGGGACGCTGCTGGGTCGCCCCTAGTGCCAGACTAGGTAGGAGGGGTGGTCTGATGTCGCAATGGTTTGACTGACAGCCTCACCGTATTCTCTACAGGTGGGATGACATGAGGCAAAAGGAGAATTCTTTGTTTAAAAGGTTGTCTATGACTCAGATATAAATTCTACCTGGACAACATCGCTGCAGCCATGGCATAGGTCTTTTCTCTAGCATCCCCCTGCACCGTTCCCGCGCGAGCAGCCTTATCCCAGCCGTGATTGCAGCCCGGCATCCGCTGCCGCACCACCAGCTTCCCGGGTTCCTTGGCAATCTTCTCCGCCAGAGCCTCTGCCTCAGGCGCAAGGTTATCACACGCCGCAGTAACAATCATGACCCGGCCAGGGAAGCGGTCGGCACTAGCATAAAGCGGTGATATCCTGGGATCACGGGTATCAAACGCGGTATGCGTGTAGCATCTGTCGAAAATTCTTGACATTCTAGCCGGAATTGGTCTTCCTGATGTATCGGGTGCGGTCTTCAGAGCAGGATCCGTATGCAGGTCAATGACGGGATATACCGCCAGAACGGAGTGGAAGCTGTCCGCTGGGAACAGGTTAGCTGCAGCGGCCAAAGCGAGATTGCCACCGGCGCTGAAGCCGGAGAGAGAAACGCGACGGAGGTCATATTTCTCGGGCTGTCCCAGAACCCACTTGACGACGTCCTCGACATCGTTGAGAGCCGCGGGGAAGGGGTTCTCCGGTGCTAGACGGTACTGGACATCGAGGACCGTACGGTCGGTTTCGCGGCTCATCTGACGACAGTATGCGTCGTCGCTGCCGTGAAGAGGCAGCAGGAATCCGCTCCCATGGAAGTTGATCAGCACGGGAATTGGCTCAGTGGAGGCGGATACGTTTCGGTAGACGTGGGCTTTGATTGTCCGCCCTGCGTCGCGTGACTGGATCTGATAGACGTCATCTGGCGTGGCCTTGATTTCTCTCTTGGGGCCGAGGAATTTCCTGATCACGACCGCAAGGAATTTGTAGTAGAGGTAGACGAGGAAGAACATTGCGAGTGACGTTAAGATGAAATCGGCTTGAAGAAAGGCTAACAGCCATCCATCACGAGGCAGTATAGGGGAGTGGATGTGGCTGGAAGTGAATAGGAGGCATGAAGACAGCAAAGTTGTGCCGAGATTAATTTCCCCTCAGTTGTTTCGGTCCACCCATCGATGACGAATATTTCGCCGCCGGCAGCGGTATTGGGTTCCACTAAGATAAGATAGCTGCAGTTGATTACGGGGTAGCCGACGCGACTGAGGTGTTTCAAGCCCTATATATTTTTGCATTCCAAGGCAACTCGGCGGCGCTGAATCAGTTGAGCTAGGTGCACTGGAATAATTTGACGATGTTCCTGTGGTCGCATTTGCGCACGGGTATATATTTTCGGGTTCCTGGAGATAGGGTGACCATTCATTGTGATATAGTACTGATATAAGGATGCTGACCTCATAGAGATGCTTTCCATGAGTGGTGTCAAAAACCGCACAGTTGTGCGTTGATGATTGCACTTCACGATAATACATTAAAGACGGGGTCCCCATTCTACCCCCCATCCTCCTATCGCCCGCTACCTAATCAGTTTCTATCCTTGTATCATCAAAGAGGACTGGATCACTGAAAGCCCAGATCTCGGCCGAAGACCGTTGCACAGTTGCGTGGCATGATACTTTCAATGTGACGAAAAGAATAATTGCTGGAACCTACCCCTCTGCAACCCGCAAGGTCCGGAACATGCAGAGACAGAGATCTACTTGCGTTGAATACCACCGACAAGCGCGGACCAAATCACTGGCGTGGAAACGTCAGCCTTCTTTTAAAGCCTTGACCTAGCAATGTGGGCTAGATAAGAGCCTTCTCCAGACAAGCTAACGCAATCAAGCATCCTCTCAACCGAGCTAGAAGGGAAAGTATGAGAACTAAGTCATCATGGATTGTCCACCGTGTCTGAGTCCCACTAGAGACAAGCATAGGCCGCACTCAGCACACAGCTCGGGGATGATCCGTCTCACCGGTCTGATTCTTGCTCCCCACGGGGATATCGATATCAGATGATTTAGTTTCCAACCTACCATGCTGACAGTCTACTAGTCAATGCGGGACTGCGTGGAGACTAGTCGACTTTGGTCTGGCAATTGTGGATCAGATCAGGGATTTCGGAGGACGTTGCCGAAAAGGACCTAAGCTGTCAGAACGTGGGGTGTTCGGGCCAAACCGTTTGGACCGGAAGACTTTAGCCCGGTTATAGCTTCTGGCTTGTCAGATTTGGGCTGGGCAACGATTATTCGGTGGAACCGGCCAATCGACTAGAAGGAGCATCTCTGATGGTGCCATGGATGCCGTCGTTGCTTTGACGCAGTGACAATGCAGACTATGTACCGTTCCCCGCACTACCATGGTATCGTGTTTGCTGCATCAGGAGAGCTCCCTTCGGATCCAGGTGCATCATCTCCTGTCCCCACTACTTTCATGTTGGGCTGCTATGCCCGAAGGATTGAGGGGATGCCAGAACAAAACTATAAAATCCCAAGTCAATCAACATGGTTGTCTCGTCTCTATCTCACTTTCATTCTAAACATTCTTGTGACTGTTTATGGCTTTCCAGGGTTCCAAGCTCCGCCGCGAAATGCGTCAATTATATGCATGGGCATTTTCTTGCACCAGCACACTCTTTCCAGCACTCGCGAGAGCCTCCACTGATCCATCCAGCAATGATTTGACCGTTTTCTTCCATAACAATGGCAACTGGTCCACGCATGGAACACGGCCGAGTGCACTCTTTGTCAACGTTCCTGTCAGCTACTCGCAAGCTGTCAGCATTTGTGAGGCTTACAATGAGACCCTTTTGGGCTGTGAGGACTTTGATGACCACACCTATGAGCTTTCCTACCAGCAATATCTCGGTGTCATCGACCAAAACCAGACCTTTTGGTCGTCATGCTCCTCGTCGTGTCCTGTGGATTGGCAAGGCACTGTGTCCAAACCCAGCTCCACTTCTGCATTTGTCTGCACAAACAGCGCACCCTTTGTCAGCGTCGTTGATACAGACTCTTCCAAGTTCCCCACCGTCAGTGTAGAAAGCAATGGCACCGTGTTTGAAGGTCTCCGTGACCACATGGCCTTTCGTTTCATTGGCATCCCCTTTGCCAAACCGCCAACAGGCGCTCTACGCTTTCGGTATGCCGAGGATTGGAGTGCAAGCTACGTGGATGCAACACGTTATAGTGCCGGCTGTCTGCAATACGGCTGGTTTGACGGGAATGCGTATGGATTGAACCCCTGGGGCAACAGTGAGGACTGCCTGTATTTGAATGTGTACAGCTCCTCGCTTCCTGCAGCCAATTCTTCGGCACCCCTCAAGCCGGTGATGCTCTGGTATCATGGTGGTGGTCAGACCACCGGAACCGGGACCGACTCCACCTTTGATGGTGCCAGCCTGGTCAGTCGCTCGGATGTCGTACTCGTCGTGCCAAATTACAGACTTAATATCTTTGGCTATCTTACTACCGGCGACGATATAATCCCCGGTAATTATGCTCTGACCGACAAGCTGTCTGCACTTCGTTGGGTGCAGAAGCACATTTCTGATTTTGGTGGAGACCCGAATAATGTCACCATCTTCGGCCAGTCTGCTGGAGGTGGCTCTGTTATCGATGTGCTTACCTCTCCTTACGGGGAAGGATTGTTCAACGGGGTTATTCTGCAGTCCGCTGGCCGTGGTCACGACACGGCCCCAGATGTTGCTGCTGCTACAAATGTGCCTGTTCTCAACAAGTATTGTAATAATACAGGGTACGAGAGGCTGCAGTGCCTGCAGGAACTCCCTGCCGAGACACTGCTCAACCTGACCTATAGCGAGCTCACTTCGTGGAAGACCATCGTCGACCAGATCTATGTGCCTGACATATCCTGGGCTCAATTGGCTAAGGGACAGCCATACATCAGCCGCAACATCAAGTATCTGAGTGGGCATATGCCGGAGGAAGCTCAGTCTTTGCTGGAAACGGTGTTGAATCCGAATGTAACTAGCTGGAAGGAGAATCTGGAGATTCTATTGAACAATTCGCAGATCACTCCTAAGCAGGCCGAAGCAATTGTGACCTCGGGTCAATGGCAAATTGAGGGCTACTCCAGCAATTATACTAGCGATCTGGCCAAGACTTTCTCTGATGTCTACAACGCAAGCATCAATGTTGCCACTGATGCTCAGGTAACCTGCCTGGGGTATGAGCTCCACGAAATTGGTGCTGCAGTCAGTGCTTTTGATGTCCAATGGATCTATGTTATACATCGGGGGCTACGCACTCTCCTACTACGACTACTACGATCTGTGCACGTTTCCGGTTGGCAGGCCCGAGACACCCTACTACCGATGCTATTCGAGCGATCTGTATGAGGTGTTTGGCACCTACTATCTGTTTGATCAGCCTATCCGGGTGGACGAGGATGTCTACTATACCAATGCAGTTCAAGACATGTGGGCGTCGTTTGCTCGCACCGGAAATCCTAATGTCAATCAGGAGTATCTCAAAACTCGGGGGTATAACAGCACATTGGAATTCTTCGAGAATTGGTCTTGGCCGGAATACACGACGTACAGTCCGGAGATTGCGAACCTGCAGTATCCTCCACTGGCGCAGTCGATGCTGCCAGACCTAGCACACTGCAAAGTTCTGCTTCCATACACGACATTGATCTGAGATGAGTTAAGCTATGGGTGGTTCCGTGTTCTCACTTGCCAACGAGATATGAATATGATGACAAGCATGCAGATTAGGTCACCAACAGTTGTGAATACACGGGCATTCCCTGGAATACTAGTAGACCCAAGCATCTCACTACCCCTTTTACGTTTCAACTGATTGGCCAACACTCGGGCCCCGTAATATCCAGCCTTGTCCATGTCAGACGCGGACCAACCAGGCGGTGCATCGTGTGACGTGACTCATGCCCGCCGTCAACTTGGTTGCAAGCCGTCAGTCGGCTACCCCATTAGGAAGGGGTTCTGCCTAACAGGCATCCACCCCAGCCTCGTAGCGCAAACAAATATTACTATAAAGAATCCTCCAACTACCCATCCTACATTAAATCACCACCACTAATCACACATCAATTCCCATCAAATCACCAGTCATCCAACCATCCAACAAATAATGGACACAACTCCCCACAGCCGCCGCGGCCGCTGGCGCATCCGATCCCGCCGTCCTCCCAAGCCGTCCCCTTCCCCTCCTCCACCTCCACCCGCCCCCCTCACTCCGTCCCTCCCCGCCCTTCCGCAAACCACCAGCCCGCTCTTCACTCACCTCCCCCCGGAACTCCGCAACAAGATCTACGCCTACACCCTGGAATCCGCCCCGGCCTCCGACCCCACCACCCGCGCCTACCGCCGCCAAGCCCTCTACTACCGGCCCGGCTTCCAAAGCCCCAAGCGCATCTCCACCGCTCTCCTCCAAACATGCCAACAGATCTACTCCGAGGCATCGCTTCTCCCCCCATCCCTCACAGCACATACATTCTGGTGTTATCGTGCACCCCCACATGTCCGCAATCCCGCATCCCCCCAGGAATATTTTTCCCGGATGACGGCTATGCAAAGAGGAGCGGTTAGGGAGGTGGCATTCTTCACGCAGCAGTTTTATCTAGAGGGGAGTTGGGGGCGGGCCCTCAACAGCCTTGATGTGCCTGTGAACAAGGGGGTATTTCCGAAGAAACTGACCCTTACGTTGCGGCATTCTGATTGGTGGTTTTGGGAGAGTGATGAGATGTTGGGGATTGATCCGTTTCAGAGGGGGAGGGTGACGGCGGGGGAGATGGGGAGGAGGCAAGAAGAGGGGGAGGAGGAGGAGGATGATGAGGCGTGGGGAAATCAGTTTGTGTATGTGCCTTGGTTGGAGGAGTTGGTGGTGGAGTTTGAGACGGTTATGAGGAAACGGGATCAGTTGGATGCGATTGTGAAGATGGCCAGGGGGTGGAAGTTTCCGCTTGTGAAGGAGGAGGGGTGGTTTCTGGTGAATGAGGGGGCGGAGAGGGCGTATAGGTGGATTGGGGTTAGGGAGGAGGTGTTGAGGGAGGAGACGGAGAGGGGGAGTGGGAGGGAAGTGGCAGTGAGGATGAGGGAGGGAGGGTCGGGAGAGTGCCAAAGTTGGTGCCGTTGAGGGATGACAGTGGCAAAGGGAAAGGGGATGGGAAGGAAGACTTGGACTATGATCCTACGGTGGAGGAAGAGTATTATGTGGTGTTTATGACGTGGAAGAGGCAGAAGGTGGAGTGAGTGGTTCATAACCTGATGCATTTCAGTTCAGTGTTTATATTGCGATTCATGACATGACGGACTTGGTGACCACTATAGACGAAGCATTTTATTATCCCATGTACATGGTTTACTGTTAAAATAGTCTTACGGAACTAAAACTACATATCTCAACCCATTTAATCTATCTATGGAAATTGAGGGGCGAAAAAGATCAGATCCAGCGTGAACAGTGTATAAATAGATTCTAGCACCATACGGAGAATGCGCCTAATGGAAGGCGATAAAGCCACACCAATCTTATAACTTATCTGTTTGATCATGAATGCGGGTTGAATGGGGTTTTAGCCATTCAAATAAATCTAAAACCCATTTACTCCATAGAACTACTATTAGAACATAATTGCAAGTCTATTCTATGCAAGTTTTACAACGAAACTCGAATATCCACAATAAAACCAATTGATTAAGACACAAGCACACACAAAAGCCCAATTAACCAATCACTCAGAAACAGGCGATTCCCAAACCTAGTACCACCCCCCGAATCTCCAACGACGCCTCCCCCCTCTCCCCAAATCAAAATAAGTCCTGATCAAACTCAACCGCAAGACAATCTTCCACTCATCCTGCCCAAACTCCCATACTTCACTTTCCTGTTCTTCCTCTGCACCCCTCCCCAGCGACAATGGATGCAAAAGACACGCCGTCACCGGCCGTCTACCAAAAACATCGCCATCCCACACCCACCGGCTACATCATAATCTGCCTCCCTTCCTGCCTATCATTCTTGCCCCCCATCTCCGCCAACTGAAGCATGGACGGTAGGGCGGATTGATCAACAGTCACCCATATTGGTAGTTACGAGAGCTGTGAGATGGTTGTTGGTTCTGGTCATCTTTATACTGAACCACAACATACTTCCCTTTGTACTACAACGCAGTCTAGATCTCATATGTGGGTGGATTCCAATAACCACAGCTCAGATTGATAGAAACCATACGCTGCATTCTTTTGTCATGATCATTAGATCCAGCATGTCTACAAGTCAATAACAGATTATAATATGTGATTACTCCCTATAATGTGAATCTCCGGAATCCTCAGAAACTGTATACTTTATAAAGTTCAATAACATCATGATCTTGGACCTTATCGAAGTACTCAAAGTAATCAAAGTAATGCAGGCTTAAGCCTCTGCACATAAGATCTTCTTGGCAGGGCCACGAGTCTGGTGACAAACACCAAGTTCACACCGTCTTATAGGCAGAACCCATTGAACCTCGCATCAAAAACGCCGGAAATAAGCGGACTTAAGAAAGTACAGGTCCGAAAAAGTTTCGGCGAAAAGTGTTCAATTTGGCGGTGGCAGAAAAGGCACCTAGGGTTGTCTTATTCACCGCCTGGCAAAATGACCATCCCTCTTCCTTAGCATCTGGCTTGTCGATTGGATGATTTCCTTTTCCTGTTCTTGATATGCTAGGAGATACTCTATCGACTTTGATGAATGTGACAAGCAAGAACGGGCTACTCTAGGAAATATAAGAGCATATTGTGATGATGCTGGTCGAGTCATCCAGGACAGATCTTGCTATCATTGATAACAGTCTCTTATCAGATACTTCTAACCAGTTTGTCTGCCAACTAGACCAGAAACCACAGCTAGATGCTGGTCAGTCCTGGCATGTCAACATATATCTCGCTGCCCTCACTGCCAACCCGTTTGGGCTACTATGTATCTTCCAAGTCTACTGTGTCATTAAGTACGGAATGCACCACAGCGGGATAAACAGTTTCATTGAAGAACAATCGATTTGAATGTAGGATTCAGAATTGTCAGCCATTTTATGAAAGAAATCCTACCGAAGCCCAATCGACGCGAAATCCCATCATCAGTTGTTTCAATGGCCATCACGCTCATGGAAAAGTCCTCCAGCCTGGACCTTTTGTCTTTTTCCAAGTAATAACCAAGATTTGTGGCTTTGAAGTTTCCTGTGTCATCGAGTTCGTCGACTGGGTTTTTGTACCAGTAATTCTCTTCTGGTTCTGCGAATACCCATGAAACTGAGAGAGCCAGAAACTCCATTTTTTGTGGTTCGTTGTCCAGATTCGTATGTCTCAGTGCTTCGTCATGTTTCGCTCTTAAATCAAACGCCATGGTGCCGACATCCTGGCCTTGGTAGTGGAGTCCCCATTTATCGTCTCGGCGTCTTGGTGGGATCAAGGCCAGCACGATTGTCTGCGAATGAGCCAAGATAGATAAAGACTGCCTACCGGCCTCTATCTGCTGTTGGGTGAATCTTTCACGCAAATCTGGGAATCCTTGTTGCCCGCCTGGCCAAACGCCAGAAGCCGCGTTGAAGACCCCTTGCGTTGGGAATTTTTGCCTGAAAAGTTCCAGGTACACATCATAGCCGGACGAAGTTTTGAGATCAAGCGGAATCGGTGTTCTCAAACAGTCATGGCTCCACAGAAGCGTCCCCACCGCAATCGCGTCCTCATGCAGGTGATTCTCGTCACCAGCCTTCAACCACCGAAACTCACTTGCCATACCATCAATGACAGCCCAGGATGCCACAGGAACGGCGTTAAGCCCATCCACAAACCATACAAATCCTCTGATCGACACCCAGGACCATGAGGGAAATACGGTGCTGCCTCGTGTTGCGCACAGGACCGCTGGAGAGCTACCTGTACGGTTCCATGTAATTGCCTCATCGAAATGTACCAACGACATCGAAAACCGATGGTTCCCTTTCCCCACGAATTCTTCCAGCGCACCAGCAAAACCGTTGACGATATCCTCCTCAATGCCAAAGTTTCTGTATTGAATCTCGGAAACCATCTCTTCATAACTAGAACCTGCCTGGTCGTATATTGGGTCGTAGATCTTCATATCCGTGATATCTGCCCATCATTTGATATCTTTCTTGACTTCATTCTGAGTGTCGCTTTCGTAATAAATGGAATTGGCTGTAAAGAAAAGCAGCCGAGGAGATAGTATCCTCTCTTGAAAGGTCCAGCCGCGGGTATCCCACGTCGAGTTATCACAAGACTGATAGAGACTCGTAGGGTACTTGAAAAATTCCTTGCCCCCGATTTGCAGTCGATAGTTTATTGTCCTCTCCAAGTCAGGAGACACGCCATGTAGGCCATAGTCTGAGTCTGTGCCCTCCAGAGCTACTAGAGTCAGGAGAGTACCTTTATAGATGTCACCCATAGCATCTATCTGGACTTTCTTGGACGGACTATCATCATCTTGTAAGATGCAAAGTCTATCAACCCAAAGGTATTTTCCGCCAAGAAGGGCGCAAGCTTTGATGGCGTCTCGTATGGTTCGCGGTAGGTGGGGATTTGCCAGACTATTTGGTCGTTCTAAACGGGAGATATTTCGACTGGTCGCATGGAATGAAGTGGTTCGCCCCCAAACATAACTGAGACACATATATTCACAGGGTGTTGGTGCCAGAACAACGCGAAGCTCCTGGACATCAATCACACGGAACTCATCCGGAGGCTTATTCAACTCGTAGCTTTGGGGCTTTTTCTTGACGCCGTCCAGACTTTCTGTAATCCATTGCGTAACGGCTGGCCAATCAATGTGGCTGCTCACGCTGCAGTCGAGCATGGAGCCTGGGTTCTTGATTTTATCAGAATAGTGGTTGCCATGGAGAGATATGCCGTATGTCTCATCACCACTCTTATCTCTTGCTCGGAATGTGATCTTGCTCATCGTGTATGGAGTTATCTCGAGAACGGCATGTTGGCTTGGGTCGACACTATTCCGACCAGTAAACACTGCTGCAATAAGTGCACATAAGGAGCAGCTGTTCTTTCGGGCCACTGTGTCTGAGACCCGATCCAGCAGAACTTTTAAATAACCACCAGGTTTATTGCCGAGGCTTGCCTTTGGCATCCGAGATCGGGATATGTGCAGGTCATACAATGAAGTCTCTACCAAACACTCAAGCCTAAGGTGTGCACAGAACGTGCAAAGATTAACTTCATATTCAGGAAGAGGTGGAGGGCACCTGTGAAATAAAAATTTGCAGTCTTCCAGAGTCAAACCTGGGATTTCAGGCTGTATGTAATCATATATATTGTACCAGATCTCAAGCCTCTTGTGGTGGAAGATATCCAAACATATGGAACAAGGCTCGGACATAGGGTCTGTTGTAATCCCATTTGGCATTGATTCATTTATTTCGACTGGCGGAGATGAGTACGGAAGGAACCATACAGGCTTAGGGCATCCTTACCTTTCACAACCGTGCAATCATTATTGGGAGCCATCTTCCTGCTTCTTTCAATTCATGACTGTTATACTCCAGTGAGGTCAACGGGGGATCCTCTCGATGTACCCTTAATTACGGCTCTGATGCGTGGGCTCAGCTATTGTTGACCAGGTTCGTATACCTCAGACGATATGACTGGACACATCACTGGATTGCAGAATCATGGACGCACTACTACTAAGGAAGTTAGCAGTTCTGTTACCTAGAAGCTCTGGACTTCCAATATAACTGGCAGCCATAGTCTATAACACAACTCACCAAGAAGAGAGGCGGATGATCCCAGCGTAATATACTCTTATCCAGCTGAGAAATCAAAGGATACTTTCATCTGAGAAACAAAAGAATACTCGGTCTGAACATAGATGCTATTCCAAACAATTTAGGGGGCTGCGTGGGCCTAATCATGGAATGCTGTATCCCCCACCTGCCAACACCGGGTCCGGCGGCTGCAGGTCCTATCAGTGACTGTGATTCGATGCCAGCACGATACCACTTTGGGGCAAGGCTATGCACCACCTTGGAGCATATGGACCCCCCTCCATATAAAATAAGCGGCGTATTGTTCTCGGGCACACATGCATATCCTTTCATCCCGACCACAAAAATAAAATCCACCCTCACCTACTCGCAAAATACCAAAGCATTTGTTTACAGGTTAGAACACTGACCCACCAAGCTCCAAACCCGCACCAACTATAAGCTAAGCGACATTAATGGTGGTCGTGAGCCAGCCTCAACGACCATGTCCTATACTATCTCCTATTTATCGAGCTACTCGGCATTTATTATCCCACCATTTTATTAAATAATATAATCATCTATCCGCCCCGAGCTTCACAAATAAATCTCAAACTCTCACTGTAAGATTGGCGGTTTATTTCCCTTCCATCCACTCCTACCCCACACAAACAACAAAAACCACCCAGCACCTAAAGAAGCCACCCACCAAATCTACAAAGAGGAACACATCACCATCGCTATCCCATATACTCAGGATTTCTACCAAATTCCAAAAAAAAAAACTCTTACATTCTACAACCATTAGGAATATAAACGCCCATCACCACAGACTATGAGCCATTTCCTTTCCTAATCTCTACGCCTGTCATTACCGATACCCCAGACGATATGGTATTTGATTTCTTGGATCGATTGGGAGGGAGGTTTTATATGCTTTTCTCTTGGGTTAATTATAAGCCTAAAGATGACTAGAAATGATGGATAGCCAATACGAGAAAATATGCCTAAAAGCACTGTAATGTAAGCCCCTGGTGTTTGGCTTTGAAAGTTGGATAGTTACCCAAGGAAACATAGATGTTCCCGGCATGTGTAGGAATACTTGAAAGGAATCAGGTTTAAGGTCTTCCTCAAAAATAGTTGAACATCTGATTTACAGTGAAGTATGTGTAGTTTTTATTGAACTGAACATTAATATTGCTCATAGCATAACACATTATCTAAATCGGCATGCACCGTTATAAACATCGCTTAAGCATATACATCTTTTCGTCGTCCTCCGGTCTCGAACCGGAGAAGCAACCCCATCTCTATTACTCTGGACACATCAAGAGAATTTATCGGCCGATCTTCTTCAACTCCAACCACCGCATAGGTGGGTAAACAAGCATCGTCCACGACACACCCACCCAAATACCCAGATCGGCGCCATCCGATCCAACCATCTTGGCAATCGGACCAACATACCAGATTTGGTCCATGCAGACAATCGCACCAGCCCATCCGATCAGGAACGCGGCCAGAGCGGCAATTCCGATCGGCAACTTGGACCGGTCGGCCCAGGCATCCCAGTCAAAGCCACGGGTGCGACGGAAGAGGAATTGCTCCTCTAGAGCGATGGTCAGGTAGATGGTCACCCAGTATCCCATCAGGGCGAGGAAGTTTTCGAAGATGTCGTAGAGGTGGTTCCGGCCACCTAAAGCGCAAGCAGTGTATATGATCACGCCAATGCAGGAGAGGAGCCATCTGGGAAGACGGGCGAGCTGACGGCCCATGATCTGGAAACCCAGGGTGGCAGAGTAGGTTCCGGGAATGTTGTTGGCGATCAGTCCCAGGGCGACAATGACACCCATGAACTTGCCGAATCCGCCCAGCCCCTCGTAGCCGGCCAGGATCAGAGCTCCAGAGGAGGTGTCGTAGGCATCTGCCCAGGATTGGTTGGTAAGGGTACCACTGGCGAGACCGATACCCATGACGTTGGCGAAGGAGAGAGCGAGACCAACTCCCAGGAAGGTCATGATGAAGGTCTTCCACTTGGAGGTAGTAGGAGGGAAGTAGACGAAGAAGTCGGCACCAGCCGGGGCCCAGGCCACGGAACTGGACAGGCAGAGCGAGAAAAAGGTGAGCCGATTGGCGTTGATGGTCTGGGTGTCACCAGTGGAAGAGATGTTGGTGTCGAACTTGGGGCCAGCACTGCCGACCAAGACGAAGATGGCGATGAGCTGGGGAACCCAGGCCCATCTCTCGTAGACGTGGAAAGGCGCCATGCCAAAGACGACGACGATCCAGGTGATGACGGCGATGATGATGATTCCGACCACGACCGTCATGCCGCCATCCGCCACCGCCGACAGCACCTGGCCACCCACGAGGCAGTCAATCATTCCATAACCCAGCATGATGATGATGTTGAGGAGACAGGCAATCTTACTCGGGTAGTAACCCATGAAGTATCTCGCAACGACCTACAAGCAGCGGTTAGCGATCTTTCTTCCCCAGGTGGTGTGAACGTTACTTACCATGGTTCGGTTACCACTCTGTGGCCCAAAGGTACCCATATACGCCACACCGGCCGCACCGAGCAGAGCACCGAATACGGCACAGAGGGAGGCATCGACAAATCCCAGAGAGTAGTCCAGTGGACCGTACATACCAACGGCAATGTTGTTGGCGGTGATGTTGGTACTAAACCAGAGCAAAGTCATCTGCATATAATGGGAAGCGGAGGCGGCATGACGCTCTGACTCCGGTACACGCTCAATACCTCGACTTTCAAGGAACTTGATGGACTGGATGCGTTCGTTGAACCTCGTCCAGGCACTCCCCGAGGATGGAAAGGCAGACATTTCCTTGCCGGTTTCTGAGGGAGATGAGAGTGACTCCACGGCCGGAGGGGCGCGGATGCCTTTCTCCTCATCACGCATAGTATCCGCCATGTTGGGTACACTGATAAAGGTCTGCGAGCTGCCGCGGAAAATGTGCAGAAGCTGAGACCAGCAGATTAAAGAATCAACGCAAGCGTCGAAGAGAAGTCAAGAGGATTTATTGCAAACCCAGCTGCATGATGGAAGAAAAATTAACAGCCGGATGGAGGATGAGGGGAGATTTGCCCCCCTGCACTTGACACTAGAGCAGGGACTAAGTTAAAGCTAAGGTAGAGTTGGATCCGGCGATGGGATGTTGTTGGCGGCGACGGAGAACAACTCCTCTTTCTGTCCGAGTGTGTGTCCCAGTGTCCCTCGGTCCTCGCCGCTTAGCCTTTTTTTTTTTTTTTTTTCTGTTGGCCACGAGGTGCCCGCCAATGACAGGACCCGCGCGGCAGCATCCATGCTTGGCTCGCTTTCCCGCATTGCTTAGCAATTCAAGCTAAGAGATTACTTCATTTCCTTCTCTTCGTTGTCCCCGGTCATCATCTTATTGTGAAGATTAGCCTTTCCCTCCCAGTTCATGATCCTGGTCGTGTACCTTGCCAGGGTCCGGATACCGGATCCTGCCATGACCCTGGCCTAGTCAAAAACCCTTGTCAGGTCTTCTGATTCGGGTTGCTGAATGCTGACATGACCGGCCTAAACCTTCTTAGGGACTAACATTCTGCCGGATCCTCCACCGCCCAGGGGCAAATGGGCTGATGGCGTGCAGGCTGCAGGCCGCAGCGTTCGGCTTCGATTGAGTTTCAGCTACTATCTAACGGTGCATGGTGTATATTAGGTCTCCATTAAGTGGAATGAGTGGGATGGTCTCGACAGAGCTCGATATTAAGAGTAAATAGCTCATGAGGCGATGTCCTCAAGCAGAGTGTGGCCCGTCCTTATCCGAGTGGGGCACGTGCCCCGCTTCGTGACCGGAAGGTCTAGCCGCCCTTCCGTTCTTCCTCTTGAGTCTTGACTTTTGCTTGTCTGCCTCTCTCTCACTGCCAAGGGTCACTGCTTGGACCATTCCTCATCATGGTCCAGGTCCCCACGCCTTTAGTCAAAGTGTCCTCTACTGTGTACAGCTTAGCCTCTCGCACTTGCCCGTCGCTGAATTACGACGCGATTTGCACGGAAGACAATTTATACGGCTTGGCCCGACCAAGTGAAACCTAATCATTCATCCCTTCGGAGATAAAGTGCGAGCTTCATCCTGGACGCGTACTCGTACTTATCAGTCTTTTAGTCTCTGTATTTTCCTTCAAGGGAGCTATCTAGGCTCTCTGATATAATGGCACAACCCACACTACTCCGTTGACTGGTTCTGGAGTGGAGGATGGACACACAATTAATCTATATGGTCGGCAAACTGAGATCCTAGACCCTCGTTTCGCCATCTAGTCAGCTCATCACCACTGGACACTATCGTATCGTCTAATGATTCGAGAACGTGGGTGACCTTGGATGTGGCAATCGGGACGTCCGTCCGCCTCGCTGACTGGCCGACACCGACTCCCAGTGGATGCGCTATTTGGAGCCGAAGCTTAGTCGGGACACCCCGACCATCTCCTGATGAAGCCGGTGTTGCAACGATTGGCAAGCGTCGGAGATTTTCCGAGTCCGTGGTCTTGTTCCAGCCTTGTGGCTGCACTATCCCGTACACGAGCAAGGACGTCACGACTAGCTGGATCCTTTACACTGTTAGCAGTTTTTGGACTCCAATCCGTGCAGACTATCGAACGCACGTTGGACCCCGGCTCGTTCGGCTACGAGGGATAGACTTTGTGCAGACTTTTCTCGTTTATGCAGGGATACAGCCTAGCAGGGATTCCAATCCTGAGGGCCATGCAATCAGTCAGCGACAATGTCGTGGTTTGCCCCATAGCCACTCAGCCGTCCCAATCTACTGCCCGTGCCGCCACCCATGCACGAGAGCACACGAACCACACGAGAACACTTTCAGCAAACTACGTACTAAAGCACATTCATCCCGCGCCAAATTAGTGGTGACTAAGATTTGCAAGCCACCGAGGTGGCAGGACGCCATTTCTAGAAGTTCATAAGCTGGCACCCCGTACATCTAGGCCATAGCAGCCCCGCGACCATGATCCTGTCGATTCTCCTTGCGCTCCCATAAAATCATGTCGACTGATGGTGGTGGTAGTCCGCACGACCTGGTCGTGCAGACCTGGATCATGTACAGCATCGCCATTCTCCTGTTTGTGGTGAGACTGTATGTATACCTATTTTCATCCTTGGACAACCACTAAAGATGATAGGTTTGCCCGATACAAGCGGTTGGGGTTCCGACTCCAGATTGAAGATTATCTCATGGTGATCGCCGTGGTAGGTCGAACACGCCGCCCGGACACAACACTAGACTATGTGCCTCTAACACTCTCAGGGCTTCTATACGGCATTTGTAGTGACGAACATTTCCATCATCGATGGTGGAGGAAGCAACTTATACGAGCCCGCCAGTCTCTACGACACATTTACGGCCGCCGAAATTGCCGCGAGGGTCAAGGGCTCCAAGATTGAGTTTGCTTCTGAAAACGTATGTTTGCTTCGAACCTAACATGAGCACGTCTAATTCGCGATCAGTGTCAGCTCTGCACCATTTACTCGCTCAAGGCTTGTATGCTGCTGGTGCACTTCCGACTCACGTAAGTGCGTTTCCAGCAAACCTCGAGGCTAGCTGACCGGCTTAGGACCAACCTGTGGCAACATCGCCTGGTCAAAATCATTGCAGGGTACACCCTTGTCGGCTGGATCACCACGGAGCTGGTGCTGTTCCTCAACTGTCGCCCCCTGTCCGGATACTGGACACTCCCGCCACCCCATAAAGAATGCTCCACCTACTTTCGCTACGAGGTAGTGCAATGCGTCTTCAATCTCAGCTCCGACATTGCCATTCTGTGCGTGATGTTGCCGATGTTTATCCGCGCAAAGATGCCCTGGAAGACGAAATTACCCGTGGTCATTGTTTTTTCCATGGGTATTGTAGTGGTGCGTCTCTATCCGACTGCTTCCTACTTCCTACTAATTCGGTCATTTGCTATAGATTGCTTGCGCCATCATCTCCAAATACTTCACTTTTTACAACATCTATGACGACAGCTACCAATTTTGGTACCTTCGCGAAGCGTCGATCGGGATGTACGTGACGAACTTGCCATTTGTCTGGAGCCTGGCCAGATCGACCCTTACTTTTTTGCGGACGAGTCAATACACGAACAATGGTCGGTACGACGAAGCGCAGTACGGAACCGACCATGCCTCGAAGGCGCGATGGAAATCGGGGGCGAATTCCCGATCGACTCGGAACATGACGGGCATGTACGACACTCGGACAGGACGAGCGGACGGATTGACGCGCACCGAGAGCGAAGAGAACATTATTGAAATGGGTGGGGTGAGAGGACAAATCACAAACAAGTCGACCGCGTCTGCCGACAGTGACAACACCGATTGGGCTCAGTCGAATGGGCCGGACGACTTTATGATCAGGAAGACGACCGAAATTGTTATCCAGAAGGACTGATGCCAGTCTACACTACGCAGCGTTCAGCAACAGCAGACCCGACAGACCACGATCTGAAGCCCGGCGTCAACCCCTCGTTGGAAACCCCTAATCGACGACAATCTTACGAAACAAAAGCCCCTTGCCCCTCAGGCTGCAGCAATCGCAGGGCCTGCAGCGCAGTCACAACCCCGCTGTCCTGGTTGCGAACCACAGTTCTCTGCGCCGAGGCCCCGCGGGGTTCTCATCCACATCCTTGGATTTGTCCGATCACATCGAGCAACTGGATAGCAGATCAGTTCCACCGTCCATCACCCGTCCAGCCACAGCCATCGAATTTAGGTAATTTATACACCCCCGTGGCCAGTCCCACCGGACGGTACACGTAATGTGCGTCTGCGAGTCTGCCTAGGACTTGACCCCATCTCGGCCGGCGATTTAGCGATCGGCCGACCACGCGGATTTCGCTACATGGTAGGTGCGAGATTCCGATCGCCGATCCCATTTCACCACGATTATTTCTTATGTTCTTGTATATAGATTATGACCCTAGTAATACCTAATGATGAGAGATGACAAGTGTTCCTGTTCCCCCTGAATATTCACCCAGATGGCTGAGCTGAAACCTGGACCGAGTCAACGGAGCGGGTCGGGTCGGCTACAAGCCTACCACAAACCTAGTCTCATCTCTTCACCAAGCCCTCTGGGCGATATCCCAAAGGCTTGTTTTAATCGAGCCTAGTGTCCGCATGGCATGATTAATTCATTCCGACACATTTTGTACTTATCTACTACTCAATAAGTAATAGATAGTACGAAATACTAATATCCTTCTCGTCCAAACCCTCGGGATTGAAACCGGAATACTACTACGGTGGATACACCGTCTGCAGAATCAAGACTCTCAAACTGTGGAGACTAGAGACTCGAGACGGAGACCCAAGCCATCCATCCAGGCATCCACCCACAGACGAGAAGTCATGATGGGAGTGACACTAGTACTAACTGGTCAAGTTCACCCGATGCTATTTTCTAAACTAGATGTCTAGTGCCAGTGGTACCTAGTGGGAGTAGGTAGGAGTTTTACCCCGCTTGGGTGTTTAGGTCTTCACTAGATGTAGATATCTGCGAGTGTGACTGATGGAGGTAGATTCACGGATGAATGGTTGGGGGGCGATACCAGGCTACTTGTGGTGGTACCTACAGTTAGTTAGTTACTACTAGGTAGTAGATAGGTACAGTAAGACCTCAAGAAGTGAATTGCCTAGTGCGCACTACACAGGAACTAAAAAATAACTACCGTGTAGGAACTACTGCAGGGACAACCGGTAGATATTTTCTTCTCGGTTTATTAATTTATAGTTTCTACACGGTAGTTATTTAGCCTAGGAGTGAGAACTGTGCACTCTGCAGAGTGAGATTTTAGATTCTTCGGCTGTGTTGGGGGTTTATGTGCCGATTCATTTACTACTTTGATTTATTAACTATATTAATTCATCTCGGGACTGAATCTTCTCCGGATAATGAGAATGGTCTTGAAATTGGGTGGTTTGGGAGATATGTGTGGGTGTGGATTGTTGTTTGTTTGTTTGTGTGTGTGTGAAGCAATATGGTAGGAGAAGGCAGGGTGGTATGTATACACTACGGTGGTAAGGTAATTAGTTGTATTTTAGCTACTAGAAAGCTCTGCAGAGTAGGGGTTGTGATTCATGTGGGGATGAATTGTCTGTGGGAATACTACAGGGAATAGTTTTTAAGGTAGTGTGGGGGGAGAGTGTTTAATTCTAGTGCGGGTTTATATATTGAGAGGTTTGTTCTTAATGTGGAAAGGGGTTCAGGTTTATGACTCGTAGTCAGGGCCTAAAGAAACATACTATGACTCCCGCACGTAAGGCTGTCTTGAAGTGAGGAGGGAGTAGTATTTATCCTTAGGTCTGATCTTCATCAGATTTACATCTACATAACCGGTGCTTTTTGTGGACTTGGATGTCCTGATTGTCACACGTGTAGGTACTGCTACTAGCTCTTATACTTGGAACAAGAGTAAGATAACATTTATTCCTTTGGAATATAGCTGCACTCATCCTCATAGTTACATAAACTATGAGAACCTATCCTCCGCCCGTGACAAATATTTACTCCGGATTGCCTGACTGAGTATACTCATACGGCTCGCCATTCCACCATGCTGCATGTTGCTCATAAAAGCTTCCTCAAGTGCGGACTGCGTGACGCTCGCATCTGAAAAGTTAGCATAATGCTATGTATAAGAGATCTATCTTACCATCAAGGTCACTATAGCTGCTTCCCATGCTAGGAGTGCCATCGCTTGCATCCCGCCTTAAAGCCAGAGATTGTCGTGGACTCAAATGAGATAGTTCCGCATGCCTTCTCGGACTTAGTGGCCCGCTATGAATCATCCGCCGCGGGTGTGCAACTGGGACTCCAGAACTGGCAGAGCTCGCGGACGATTCCGTTGTCTTTGGTGTTCTCGAAGGGTGGGCTGGTGGGCGTCGGTGTGAGCCAGCAAGGTCCCCGGTCCGCAACGTATTATCGAGACCATCTTGAGATGTCTCATGAGGTTCTCTACCAGGTTCTGGAATAAAAGCAGGAGACTCGTCGTCATCCTCCTCGTCGTCTCTAAAACCAGGTCTGTGGGTCGAGAATGTCCCAAATGGAGGCCTGAATCTCAGTCCGTAACGACTTCCGAACTTATCATCGTCGGATTCTGATTCCGATTCCGATGAGCTGGATGTTATATCATCTTCAAGAGCAGGGGATTTCGGAGCCGATGGCGCCGCAACCTGCTCCCGCTTGCCAACTGGATGTCGAGCATAAGTTTCTCGACTGGGCTCTTTTGGCTCCGCAACGGGAGTATTGTTGCGGAATGCTTCCCGGTAATTCTTTACCTGGTTGACAGTAGTTGTTGAGCTGGTACGTCGCGGTAAAGGAGCTATCATCGACTGTCAGTCATGTCATGACAATGGAAGTCGAGGAATAATGGGGAGTACCTCGTTGTGGGAGAGTATCTTTCTGCTGTAATGAGAGGCGAGAAGGGGCTCGAGGGCCTTCACCGAGTCAGAAATTGAGACGCATACGTATGAAGGCAACCTACCTGCATTACTGGCATTTTTCGTCTCTTGGACCTGAGCCATGCTGCCCGACACTGAACCACCGGGAGCTGGAGAGGCAGGGTTCGATTGCGTGGGCACTTTGAGCATCTGTGCACGGACCTGCGATAGCTGGCGGTCGTAGAGCCATGCTGCCTGTTGTAGCAGGAACTGCAGTGTCACATCGAACCGATCGGCTCTGAGGTCTGGTTAGTAATGGTTCGATGTTGGATGCGACAACGTACAGCGCCTTCCCTACACACGGTCAGTAAACGAAACCACTGCCATTAAGTGCGTGCTTACAGTCTAAATCATCTCCCTTGGGAAGACGGGAGAGAATATCCCAGAGCGCCTGGTCTTTTGCAGCGTTCCATTCGACCTGTTGGGTCAGTAGATGAAGTCGGACGACTAGCGGCACTTACCGGTGGAGGATCCACAAAGTCACCCCTGGGGAAGGGGAGGCGAATAAACACGGTGAACTTGGTGTCCCCGGATTGATTGAGCGACGTCATCGCGTGATCGGATTAGAGAATAGCGCTATTGAGACAAAGCATATAGAGCATACGGATGACCATGTGGATAGCACAGGATGCTGGTGTTGCTACCAGACGTTGCAACTTGCAAGATAGTGGAGGCGGGAGGTGGTGAACACGGAGAGTGACGAACTGCCGCTCGACAGGTCAGGTGCGTTGCAATAGTCGGGGACCCGATGCGGAGGCTATTGCTACACTACTGCCACTTTATGCCATAAGGCACATGATGCATAAATCACATACGGTTAGCCGCTTGCCGAATTGGGTCGCGGCACTATGCTATAAGCCTTAGTATTCCTACAATTAATCCTGGACGAGATACTATGGCTAGAGCTTGTTGATGCTTGCAAAGATCCGTGGATTTGGTTTAGGAAGTGGAATTAGGCCTCTGAATAGACTGTGCCTCCAATTTTATGGGAAGGATTTCGAGCGGGATACTAGATTGAGGCAGCTGGCCTAGGAGAACGTGAGTAAAATGACTTCGACTATGAACGATTCAGCAGTTTATAGAAGATGCTCCTATAAACTATACCTGCTATAGTTGTCCTCAATTAGATGGTCCGACACACGTCGGCAACCACCTTGGAGTACCAAAGCGGAAGGCCTTGGAGCCAGTATACAGTGAGAGATCCGAACGAAGCACGCCATAAGAACTATTTCAATGCATTGGATCATTATTTATGTCCACCCCTGCGGCGGGGTTAATGGTCTTGGCGGAATTAAAGCGGAGTTCAAAGTCAGCCAACGAATACGAAACCAACTAAAGCGAAGCTAATGCGCCTACGTCAGTTCGTCTGCCTACAAACTTATCATTAATAATATACGACCCCACGGAAGGCAGCAGCTGCGTCGTCATGAACACCGGAGCAAACAGCGGGATTATGGGCGCTACAGCCATTGATGCATCCAGGCATCCAAAGGTATACGCATTTTGACGCAGCCAAGTGTCCAATGGAATTATTGCATATGTCCGCTTCCTTGATTGACCATGTCGTAGAGAAAGCGATATAAGTAGGCAGTCATATCACCAGCTATGTCTCCATACTTTCTCAAATTCCCATCCTCGACACATCTATCATATTTCTGCCATAGTCAACATGTCTGACTTTTTTACTCCTCCTAAGCCTAAGAGTCTCCTGGGTTTCCACCAGGTGCTATCTCCCACCGGCGGTATCAAGGTATCCCCATTATGCTTAGGCTCCATGAACTTTGGAACGGCTTGGTTAGTTGCTCAGCGTATCCTACAGGAATAGTCCATTGACACACCCCAGGGAGAGCTACATGGGCGAATGCAGCAAGGAAAATTCCTTCGCAATCATGGATACATTCTTTGAAAATGGTGGCAATTTTATCGATAGGTAAGTCTACCTTACAGCCATCATCTACCCTCTGGAACAAACCGCAGCTCACACTCCCAGCGCCAACGCCTACCACGACGGCCAATCCGAACAATGGATCGGAGAATGGATGAAGCAACGCGGAAACCGAGACCAAATGGTGTATGTCCACCGCCTACCCTCCCATTCCAAGTTCCAACACACACTAATCTAATAACAGCATCGCAACCAAATACACAACCGGCTGCCGCCGCGCCCACGCCGCCACCGAGCCCATCCAGTCCAACTTTGTCGGCAACTCCATCAAATCCATGCACTTATCCGTCAAACAGAGTCTCGAGAACCTTCAAACCGACTACATCGACATTCTCTACGTCCACTGGTGGGACTTCACCACCAGCGTGGCGGAGGTCATGCACGGTCTCAACGCGCTCGTCCTGGCCGGGAAGGTCCTCTATCTCGGTATCTCGGATACCCCGGCTTGGGTGGTAGTCAAGGCGAATGAATATGCGCGCTCAAATGGACTACGAACATTCTCCGTCTACCAGGGTAGATGGAGCGCGGCGGTCCGAGATGTAGAGAGTGAGATTGTGCCCATGTGTCGGGATCAGGGGTTGGCAATTGCCCCATTTGCGTCCCTGGGTCAGGGACGATTTCGGTCTGCGGAACAACGGCAGGAAGAATATAAGGGTTCTGCACGGGGAGCGGTGCAGACGGAGGCGGATATTAAGATCTCCGATGCGTTGGAGGAGATTGCTAAGCGGAGGGGGACTACCATTCATGCTATTGTGCGTTCTTCTCTCCTCCCTTTACTTTCCGTTTATTACTTGCTTGGCACTGACCATTGGAATAACATATTGTACAGGCCCTCGCATGGATCCGCTTCAAAACACCCTACGTCTTCCCTATCATCGGACAACGTAAAGTCGAGCATCTGAAGGCTAACATCGAAGCACTGAAGATCGATCTGTCGAAGGAGGAGATGGATGAGATTGACAACGCCACTGCATTTGATCCCGGCTTCCCAATGAACTTCATTCTTGGTGATAGGTTCAGTACCTCGTTCACCGCGGCGGATGTTTCGGCGACGAGATGGACCGCTTATATCGATGCTCCTACTCCGGCAATGCCGGTGAGACCGCGGAAGGATTTCTAGGTCGATGAGATGGTCTGCATATAGTTCGTCGTATAGTTAAATTGATATAAATTGAATTTGGAATGTGGTAAATGCACCTTTCATGGCGTATCAAGTGATTTTAATGAGTGCAAATACTTGGTCGTGTGTAGAGTTTCGCAAGGCTCATTTCTGTAAGTGAAACTTCGTTGTAATTCTTTTGGTGTTCGTTGCTCAGATCAGAAATAGGAAGACTAAGAGAATTCTCATGAGACTTGAGAGCATAGTCAGATATCAACCGTAAATTGGTCAATGAAGAATTCTTAGCAGGTTGATGGGGTATTGCTGTACACAAACAATACAAACAGTGTTAGGTGAGGTGAGGCCAAACAGAGCTGGCCACATGATTCATCATTGTTTACTTCCGGAGCTTTCTTCTGGACAAGTTGTACTTATGTATTTTTAACCTACACATTTGATGCAAACCAGAGATTGTATGCTTCATAGCCCTACCTGCCTCTCGAATCCCAAAGTCTCAATTCCTGGCATCGAAACCTGAAGTGTTTTGTCTGAGTCAAAACTAATCGTCGCCCAATTCACCGTGGAGAGTCTGACTGGACCTTTCACTGCTACCAGGCTTGTTCTTTATGTCTGAAATTTCTTTGCAGACCACATGATGCCTTGGAATTTTCTTCCCACATTACCCTTTCCTCTCTCTCAAAATCTAGTCCTTTTCCTAATGTCTTCTCTCCTCACCTCCACCTCACTCAGCGTTTATGCTCGCCATCCTCTCAGTCTTCCTGCGTCTCTTTAATTGCTAACCCTCCAAAATGACCGCCGCAGAGGTTGCAAGCGACGGTAACCTTCTCAACAGCTCGGAGCTGTTGAAGAAGATTGATAAGCTCCGGGAAAAAAACGTGGGAAAACATGTTCCTCTCCCTCAGGTAGAATCTCCAGCCCCTGCTATATGTTTCTCAGATGCCAATCTCCATATAGCTAGTCGTCGTCGGAGACCAGAGCTCGGGAAAGTCTTCTCTCCTTGAGAGTCTTACCAAAATTCCATTTCCTCGTGATTTGGAGCTCTGCACCCGATACGCTACACAGATCACCTCCCGCCGTGAGACCGAGTCATATGTTGAAATCTGCATCATCCCTGCCCCTGATGCCTCTGTTAGGCACAAGACAAAGGTCCAGTCATTTAAAAAGACACTTCAAGGCACCGATGATTTCCGTTCACAGTTTCCATCCATTTTGAAAGAGGTTCAGCATCCACCAGACTCAATCATGCCTGTAACACAATCTGACAGACTTGTAGGTTAACGACTATATGGGAATTCGTTCGGACCTTTCTTCCAAGGACGGGTCAGTCTTTAGTAAAGATGTCCTACGTATTGAGTTATGCGGGCCGACAGAAGACTATCTCACAGTCATCGATGTGCCGGGGATCTTTAGGGATCCAACAGACGGAATCACCACTGACAATGATATCGAGCTTGTTCGGGATATGGTCAAGAACTATATCAAAGATGCACGCACTGTCATTCTGGCCGTACTGCCAAGCAATGTAGATATTGCTACCCAGGAGATTCTCAAGCTCGCAAAAGACTATGATATCCATGGGGAGCGTACTCTTGGGGTTCTTACAAAGCCTGATTTGGTGACAGAGCAGAGTGCCAAGGCAGGCTTGTGCGCTTTGGTATTGGGACACAAAAGACCGCTCACACTAGGATACCATGTTGTGAGGAACCGTGGGGCGGATGACAACGACTCGTTTGACCATGGAGCAGGCGAGAGAATGTTCGACAGCAACCCGTGGAGTTCCTTGCCAAGGGACAGAATTGGCGTCCAAGCCCTGCGGCGACGACTCGGTGAGCTTCTTGGTCAGATTACGGAACGAGAGTTCCCAGAGTTGCGTAAGGATCTCAGGATTCAGATCGATCTGTGCCAGCAAGATCTGGATCACCTGGGGCCTGCGCGTCAAACCGAACACGAACAGCGTGCATATCTGAGTGGAATCGCACGTCGTTTTCAGAACCTCGCCAGGGCTGCACGCGATGCTCATTATTCAGATGATAAAGCTTTTGAACAAAGCGAGTTCAGGCTTTTGACACACATAGTCAATCTTTCTGACCTATTCAGCTCAGTCTTCCAAGAGAAGGCCCACCTACGTTGTTTTGAACATCCTGCATTGGCTACAGACGATAGCGTACAAAGTGAAAGTGGTAGTGAGCCCACCGATGCTGGCAAGGAAACAAAAGACTGGGCTCGTCTGAACGCCAAACAACGCGAGACGTATGAAAGCCTTGATCCTGGACACTTCCCTGAGCTGGAACATATCATCAGCCGCGGTACAGGGACTGAAGATCCTGGGAGTGGCGTCAAAGATTGGATCGAAGAGCTCTATCTGAACTCTCGTGGACTTGACTTGGGAACCTTCGGCGGTACTATTCTCTCTAGCGCTTTCAAAGAGCAGACCATTAAGTGGGAACCCATGACCCGTGAATACATAAGTAACACAATCATGGTTGTTCACCGGTTTCTGTGCATGGCGTTGGGCAAAGCTTGCGCCAACCGCCAGCTGTATGACAGAGTCTGGTCGAGCATTCTGGAAGATCTCCTCGAAAGGTATAAGACAGCCATGTCTCAGGCCCTGTTCCTTTTGTCAGTTGAGAGGAACCGCCGACCTTATACCCTCAACAATTCCTTCAGCGACATCCTTCAGAAGATGCGTGGTGCTCGGGTCGCCAAGATGTTGGAAGGAAATGCCCGAGGCGAGATGAGAAAGAACGAAAATGGTTACTGGGCATCCTCTACCAAAAAAGTAGTGGATCTCGAAGCAGTCAAGGAAGCCGCCATCAACCAGGGCAACGTCGAGCATGTCAAAGAGGAAATTCACGACATCCTTTGGTCATACTACAAGGTTTCCCGCAAGAGGTTTGTGGACAGTGTCTACATGCAGGCGGTCGAGCATTGTCTCTTGACCGGACCCGATGGCCCCCTTGAAGCTTTCAGCCAGGACTGGGTCATCAATTTGACTGCCAGTCAGCTGGAGGCGATTGCGGGAGAATCGCCCGTGGCCAAGGCGCGACGGGTGAACCTGATGCAAAAGGTGGAGGAGTTGACTGCAGCTCTGCAGATCTTGAAATTTTGATTACCTTTTATGTTTATTTGTTTACCATTTGATAGTGGTGCAGTAGTAATAATAGGATTAATAAAGGGACAAGTTGTTCGTTGACATGCATCAGTAGTAGTAATGCCCGATGGCCAGTATGGCTCGGGACGGGGGCCGAAATGTAAGAACCGAGGACCGGAGAAGTGCGTCATATCCCGAAGGCGGTGAAGTGCCCCTCCCGGTGAGAAAGTGAACCGCGACAGTCATCGCCCCTTCACCATCTGCCAGGTCTGAGATATCTCCTTGCAGGACCAATTATTCCTCGATTGCGCTGAATCCTCCGAATATCGGTGGATTGCAATCCGTTGGGAACGACGTCCCCATCCTCCGAGCTCAATTGTGGCGGTTGAATTACTTGCGACGCATCCCACCGTGCTCCGAACTACCCGGCACATGTCAGAATATAGCCAGCGCCTCTCCTGAATTCGCTCGGATTTCCTTCGTCGATCGGGTCTTCCGTTTGCAGAAACAATCCTATGAGCCGGGCATCCTTCCAGTCCTCCGTCGTTGACCTCGCCATCCTCCGACCGATACAATAGACTCCGATCGCGTTGATAGATTGTGAATTGGCATTGGATAACATTCTAGTCGCATCGAAGAATCCCTTCGCACAAGATGACGTCTGCTCCGACACCAGAAATGACGCCTGCCGAGGCCGAGTCGGTCTACTTCAACAACTACCCTCCGCCCAAGTCCCTCCCAAAACATGAAGCCCTCGTGCGGGCTTTTGTCGACTACCATGTCCAAGCGAACCGGCGCCTTGTTCTGGTGACATCAGGAGGCACCACAGTTCCTCTTGGTTCGTGGGATGGATCGTGCGCCCGAGAATAATTCTGACGATGTGCAGAGAACCAGACCGTTCGCTTCATTGACAACTTCAGTGCGGGCACGCGCGGTGCCGTGTCGGCAGAATACTTTCTTCAGGAGGGGTATGCGGTGATTTTCCTGCATCGGCAATTTAGTCTGCTTCCGTATTCGCGGCACTACAGTCACTCGACAAATTGCTTCTTGGATTTTATGGACGAAGAGGAAGTTGGGCCGACGGAGGACGGGTCAGATCATCGGCCGATCAAGGTGCGCAGTGAGTACCAGGACGAAATGCGGGATGTGTTGCGAAAGTACCGGTATGCGAAGCGCAACAACCTCCTGCTGCTACTTCCGTTTACCACCGTCTCCGAGTATCTGTTTGAATTACGGTCGCTGGCCCAGCTGATGAAGCCTTTGGGACCTAATGCGCTGTTCTACCTGGCCGCGGCCGTGAGCGACTTTTTCATTCCAAACGATCGGATGTCGGAGCACAAGATCCAGTCGTCGGAGTTGCCGGACCATTTGACGCAGGACGAGGCGACCGGGTCGTCGGACATCTACACGGGCGGGATTGAGCCGCAACCGCCGTCGCGTAGCAAGAAACTCATCATTGATTTGGACCCGGTGCCCAAATTTCTGCATCGGTTAGTGAATGGGTGGGCGCCAGATGGCAGTATGATTGTGTCGTTTAAACTTGAAACGGACCCCAACCTGCTAGTGTACAAGGCGCAGACGGCCCTCCAGCGGTACGCGCACCACCTGGTGATTGGGAACCTGTTGACGACGCGCAAATGGGAGGTGGTGTTTGTGACCCCGGACCCCCCGCACGAGTGTTGGATCCGGGTGCCGAAGTCGCGGCGCAGCAAAAGCATTTCGGGCAGTGAGGCGCAGGTTGGCCTGGCGGAGGCCAAGCGGGCGGGCGAGTCGGCCCAGGAACCCAGTGGGGGCGAGCAGAGGCCGGATGAGAGCCTCACGGCGGAGGGGGTTGAGATCGAGAGTCTGATCATCCCGGAATTGGTCCAGTTGCATTCGAACAGGATTGCGAAACATCAGGCCAAGTCGTAGACATGGTTGCGAGTCCGAAAAGTGAGACTAGTGCTTGGGTTTCAGGAGCGGTTCTGGAAGCATGACGAATGCAATACCCTGAGAGAGGGTCTTTTTCAGATAGATTAACAGAGGTCTACTCAGATGGAGTACAGAGTACAGAGTAGATACGGAGTATGTAAGATGGAATTGTGCCTTGACCACCGTCGTACTCGTAGTGCTGCTGTCAGACTTTAACAGCCTCCATCCAGGGGCCAAAAGGTGAATGCGGTGACCTCCCTTCCGAGTCGCTCTCCTTTCCTCTCCTTTCCTCTTCACCCGAGGATCTAATGGTCCACCCAGAGTCACTCAGCCCATGTGATGAATCAACTGTACTCTACCGTGAACAGTGTAGAGTATACTGCGTGGAGCATTGCAGCATTGCAGGATCACGCACCGTTACAAATATGAAGCGAGCAACTTCTGACAGCTTCACCGGCTGACGGGTCGTCAGGGGCGGTTTCAGGTTGCAGGTTGCAGGCCCAGCAATCCATGGGTAGGCGCCGCGAGGCCCCGACTAGCGATGGATCGAGCTCCATTCTCCAGTCATGGGCTGCCATTCCGATGCTAACGCGTCATCGACAGTTAGGAGCCCTCCAGATCGCCCGCTGCGTGGGCCGATCCTCGCCGCCTACGTCCCTTCCTAGTTCCTACGTCGCCATCCCCACGTCCTCGACCAAATAATAATCATCGATCCTCATAACGTGCCCGTGTCGATCTCGAGCATTTGCTCTCTTCTCTTTCTTATCCTGTGCCTCCTTTCTCTCCCTTCTTCTCCCTTCACTGCCAGGGACTCCGATTTGTCTGAGCTCCGTTCCTGCTGTCCCCAGGAATCCTCCAGCACCACCCGAAACAATTGCATTATTCGCGGCGCGACATCGGAAATGCGAAAATATCTTGCCCCAAGCTGGAGGATAGGTCGATAATTTGTTTCAGTTTTACACAGTACTCACCAGCGTCTCCATCGCTCCGCTGCAGGTCGGCCACCGCTCAACCCAAAATCATTCCCCTCCCAGCGCTACGCCACAATGGCCGTCCGTCGCTTTCGTCGCATCACAATCCTCACCTCCCTCCTGGGCATCTTCCTTCTCTACCACTTCCTCTCCATCCGCCCGGAGCTCTACACCCGCAGTGGCCTCTCCCACCCTCGCGCCCCGAGCAGCACTCCGACTGCCGCCCCGACTGAGATTCCGGAATGCCCCTCCCTCGAGGGGATGGAAGACGTGCTGGTGGTGATGAAGACCGGCGTCACCGAATCCCTCAGCAAAGTTCCGGTACACTTCCAAACCACCCTCCGCTGCGTTCCAAACTACATCATTTTTTCCGACTTTGAAGAAGAAATCGAGGGCGTCAAAGTGCACGATGCGTTCCTCCACATGGACAGCACGGTCAAAGATACGGTCAGCGATTTCAACCTCTACAACCGCCTCCGCGAACAAGGGCGCGCCGGGCTTGAGTCCGCCGACTTTGCTGATGAAGCAAACTCGAACATTGGCAAACCGAATAACCCAGGGTGGAAGCTGGACAAATGGAAATTCCTGCCTATGGTTCAAAGGGCTCTGGCACATAAGGACAATGCCAAATGGTATGTCTTTATGGAGGCAGATACCTACATTTCCTGGTCGACTCTTATGCAATGGCTCTCGCATTTTGATCCAAAAGAGCCCACCTACATTGGCACTGAGACCCAAATTGCGGATGTCATCTTCGCCCATGGCGGTTCCGGCTTTATTGTCTCCAACCCGGCGATGCAGCTCGCCTCGAACGAGTACGCGAGCCGCACTGTGGAATTGAACGAATACACCGACTGGCACTGGGCAGGTGACTGCGTCCTGGGCAAGGTTCTCGCTGATGCCGGAGTGCCCTTGCACTATTCGTGGCCGATCCTCCAAAATTCTAATGTCGGAGAACTGGACGAGTTTGCCAGAGGCTTCTACCGGAAACCGTGGTGTTTCCCGGCGGTAGCATTCCATCATTTGTCCCCTCGTGAGATCCAGGATCTCTACGAGTTTGAGAAACGAAGACGCCTTGAGGTGAGCCATCATACCTATTGCATCCAACCCCGCTAACCATCTACGATAGACCGACAGTCCTGTGCTTCTTCACCGCGACGTGTTCAAGGAACTCATCTTCCCGGAGCTCTCGAATGTTCGTGATGACTGGGATAACCTGTCTGACCAGGAACATCCGACTATCACCACGTTCCACGAGTGCCAATCCCTGTGCTCCAACTCGCGCGACTGTGCGCAATTTGTTATGCGGGACGGCATCTGCTTCACTGGAGAAACACCCCGACTGGGCGTGAGGAAGCCGACGGCGCGGTCGGGTTGGGTTCTAAGCACGATCGAGCTCATGATGAACCATGCGCCGCGGTGTTCCCGGCCAGACTTTGGACTATGATTCGCGGGCGAATTATCCTTAAAAGTGGGTTGTATTTTATAGATTTGCATTCCGCCTATAGCATTGCATCGCATTGCGGTGATGGCGTTTGGTGCTGGCAGTTCTTGCATCGGGCGTCTGGTATATTCTTTGAGTTTAGCAACTAGTCTTGTTCATCGCAGCACTTTTCCTGTACGTTATCAAGCTCCAAACACAATCAACCAATAGTTGATCATTCTGTTCTCCTTGGGAAGTAGTTGGGTCTACAACTACACTTCTGCTCTCGTGACAATAATCGTAACGAAGATTTCACCACCATCGCGGTCACCATCACTATGACCCAAGCCAAGTTGATATGAGGTCAGGACGACCCAATCGGGGAATAAAAAGGAATAAAAGCCCTAAGTGACACACAGTAGCTTAAATTGAAATTCCAATGAACACTTCTGTTGTTACATATATTATATCTCCGGCGAATACCCTGCTTTACTACTCTTTACTATTACTACTTACAGAGAGCTAACTACAAACCAACCCTCAAAATGCAAGCCCCTCATCCAAAAACAATCTACCAACTCCCTCACTACTATCCCGAGTATCAACCTACAGGAAACAAACATCCTGCATGGTTTAGTCCTTGTACCTGGACCTCACGCAGCAAACTCCTCACTTTTACTATCCTCCTAACCCTCATCATCATCACCCCATCCTCACCACCAAACTCACCACCAACACCAACCCCAGAAACTACATCAACCCCAACACCAAACGCAATCCCCCCACCCCCGCAAACCCCCCAACCTACATTCTAATCGACACCTACACCGGCCATACCTTCTTCGACAAATTCACCTTTTTCACCGAAGAAGATCCCACCGATGGATTCGTCGAGTATCCCCCCCCCCTTGCCCCCCCTACCACAATTTATACCCCTAACGCTAACAAAATCCCCCAGATACATAAACCCAACCCAACTCCAACCCCAACCCCATTCCCAACTCCACTCTCTAAACCTAACCCACACGACCCAAAACACCATAACCCTCCGCATCGACCCCACCCCCTCTCCCCCACCATATCCAAACCCAAATCCATCCGCATCGAATCCACCCCCCGCTACACAACCGGCCTCTTCATCTTCTCCATCCACCACACCCCCACGGATGCGGTCTCTGGCCAGCCCTCTGGCTCAGCGATACCGAGAACTGGCCCCTAAATGGTGAGATTGATGTCTTGGAAGCGACGAATCACGGGAATGGAGGGAATGTGGTGAGTTTGCATACGGGGGGGGATTGCTATATGAACCCCTCTCCTACCCCTTCTTTCCCGAGTTCCTTCGGGTTAGATGGTATGGGAAGAATCCAAACCGGCACCGTAACAGGAAACATAGACGGACGATGTGACGTCGGACCCTCGAAAGAAAACATCCTCGGGTGTGGTGTTCGCGGGGGACCAGAGACCTACGGAGAGGGGTTTAATTCCCACGGTGGGGGGGTATATATCCTTGAGGTTTGTGAGGAGGGGATAAAGGTTTGGGTGTTTTCTAGGGAGGTGGTGCCGGGGGATGTTCTTGGGATTATTGATACCGATACCTACACTTACGACGACCAAGAGACGAAAGGAAAAAACAACAACAAGAAAACAAAATACACCAACAAAAGCAGAGAAAACACTCCCAACCCCCAAACCTGGGGTCCTCCACTCGCGCACTTCCCCAACACAAACTGCAACATTGGGGACCATTTCAAGGATTTGAAAATCATCGCCAATATTGATCTCTGTGGACAGAATGCAGGTCATCCGGCGGTTTATAATGATCAGGATGGATGTCCTGGTACGTGTGAGGAGTTTGTGCGAGGGAATTTGCCCGAGTTGGCGGAGGAGGCGTATTGGGAGTTTGGTGGGTTTTGGGTCTTTCAGGTTGTTTGATTGGGTTGGTTTAGGGAGGTAGGTAGTAGATGGTCTTATTGGGATGGGATTTATTCAGGGATAGTAGTATATACTACTAGGAATGATATTGATTATGGGTGGATGCCACTAGGAACCCCCCCCCCCCCCCCCCGAACGCATATTTAGACTAAATATCTCAGTCAAATACTGCATTTTTTTCACTCTAGAAGCACTTGGTTAGGCCCTTTAAAAGCCTTGATTAAAACCTTGGAAGTACTTAACGGAGTCCTGTACAAGCCCTTGGTTGTGTTATTGCCGCGATAGCTAGCAACATACTGAGCGGGCTCCGTTAGGCTAATAGAATAAGATTTGACTTGACTTGACTATAGGAATAATATGGAACCGAAAAAGAAGCTTGAAGGAAGGGAGAAAAACACTAACTACTGCCTTCTCTTTGTCTTGTTTGTAGGCGCGGGCGCGGGCAAAGTGAGCCCTCATGAGAAAAATGTATAGAATCCTGTGCCGTCGTTGGTATTGTCGCCCTCCCGATTGTTCGGCCATCCGCTGAAAAGTCAATTTCTTCAGGTAGCTGGTCAATCGCCGAGCGCAATCGGTCGTAATGCTGTTGGGCCCAATGATGATAGACTCCCAGCACAAAGTTGTATGAAGCCCACCGCAGGGCTTTATTCTGTCGACTGATCTTGTGAGGCATGACTTCGTCTCGATAATATTGTGTTTGCTCCGGTCCCATGATCGGATAGTGGGCGTATACTTCTACCGCGGCATGATCATGCACTATAGAAAAGCCCAAAATCCGTCGATGTAACTCATCCTCGCGCCCGACAATTTTGAACAGCTCCACTACACCTCTCATTGCACGAGTTATGCTGTGAGTGTTTTGTCGATCGGCAAGTTCCAAACTGACTGTGCTAGATTTGACTTCTGCGGTGAGGAACGGAAAGATCATATTCTCGGTACCCTGCAACACAGAAGTCTCCCCAGACTGACCCAGTAAAGGCTTCAGCTTTTCACGCTGGTTCATGGTCAGTCCCTGTTTGGAAAACCCAGCAGCATAGTCGGGCTGAGGGGTTGGAAGTCGTGATTGGGGTTGCTCTCCCCGTTTCACCGGTTTTACGCCGTGCTGGAGGGCGCTGGACTTGATCCAGGGTTCATTAATGCTTTCAATGAGGCGTAAAGATCCGAGTCTGCCGCGGCACATCTCGAGTTCGGCCGATGGCACAATACATTGAGCGATCAATCGTATAACCCCGGTCTCATTTTTAATGGGTCCTCTGCTTACCACATATTCCAAAGCATCATCATCGAACACTGTCCTAGTTGGGGGTTCAAAAGTCATTTTTTTCAAGCCTTGGTAGTGGTCTTTGTCGATGTCTACCATCCCATCCTCGTGGAATGTCCGGAAACTACCCATTTCTTCAAGTTAGGCTATACACTCGTTCGAAGAATAGGCACGAGCGGCGACAAAATCTTCTGCACCTTGGGCCATAGGGTCAACTTCAGAACATTCGGCAGGCCAGCCGTTGCCTTCAACCCAGCAAGATACAGATCGACCTATGTCAACTTGTCCCAGGTTCCGGAGCAACTATAATGGGGTCAGCCTCCGACTTCCGAGGTGAAAAGTATATACCCACCTCTTTGTTGAGATTCCTTCCTGCGCTAATGGTATTTTGGTGGAGGTCGTTTGTAAGAGGCGATTCTAGATGCTGCGATCGTCCTGCTACTGCTTCCTTGCGTGTCGGAGCTGACCGTTGATTCTATGACAGATGATGTTAACTCCTGTATTTAATCGAGGAAGACATAGATGTACCTCAGTCTTGGCCTTTTGTGTCGATGCCTTCACAGCTGGAGCTCGTGCTGCTGCTGCTCGCGCTCGTTTCTGTGTTGCACCTGACAGTCGACCCTATAGTAGATGATGTTAACTCCTGTGTCGGACCAGAAAGAAATAAATCCGCCTTTATGATAGACTTTCCTACTATCAATACCTTTACAGATGGAGCTCGTGTTACTGCTGATCGCTTCCGTCTTGCACCTAAAGATTGCACCTAACAAGAACCGATTCAGTCAGCTTGGACGGTATGGCCAGGGCTCACACCATACATGTGTCTGTTGAGTTGCTGTCTCTGCAAGCCGTTTCTCAGCCTGCGCCTGCACTATCTTACGGACGCGCTCACTTCGCCGAGGGCCTTGTTGGGCTGACTCTTTCTGTCGTGTTGGACCAGCCATAGAGTATAAGACGAAGGAAGGTGGAATGAATGATTTTCTTCAATAGATGTTGTGTCTTCTGGATAGGACAACAAGAAATCTGACCTGTCTGAACCTTGGTGGGGAGGATGAGAGTCTGTCGCTAGGGCCGGGACAAACGTGGTAGCGAACAAACAAAGCTTCGTTTTGTGCAGATCATCTCGTACCAGACTGTTACATACAAAGAACGCCCAAAATGAATTTACAGGGGTTCCTGGACTTGGTTGCCTCCAGACTGCAGGATCTTGCCATGAAGACATACCGGTATTCTGTTCCGCTCATAACCTGTTCTATTTCGGGCCTTTTCTCTCATGTCGAATGTCTCTATTAGAAGGCTTTCATTGTAGCCGAAAGGAATGAGCATTATATAGGACAAAGAAGGCTGTCGTAGATGTGGTCTGGATCATGCTGGTCAGTTTAGCTTCACCTTCACCACTGGTTTTTCTTTTTTGGGATTCTTTTTGTCAGTCAGCATGTGCAGTTGGCCAAATAGATGGGCTGTGCTGGTTGGAAAAAAGTACGAGTCAGAGGAAGGTAAAGGGGAAAGTCGCACCCAAGATAAGTAATTGTGAACACGACCAGACCAAAACGCATACCACTCATTCTCCAATAAGGGCCAAAACCTAGACATTTCAAAGCCCGAGGCTACGAGGTGGGCTGGAGAAGATCCTCGTATCTTTTGTCAGGCAAGGGAATTCATGCAAGTCTGTCTGCTGGCACAGACTGTTCTGTTGCTGTGAAAAACAAAAGGAAGTTTCAACACAACGAGCTGAACATGTAAAGTACTCGGGTATAAGTTCTAGATATTCTCGGCAGATGCCAAAGGGGCCAAACTATCCAGGAATCCAGATTCACTGCTATCCTCCTCGAACTTCTCTTCCTCCGATGAGTCCAAACCATGAATCTTGCCCTGGAATGACACGGTAAAGTCGAGATTGGGTAGGCTGTCAATTGCAGAGCAAAGTCGTGCAAGGTGCATCGGCGCCCAGTCATGATATACAGCCAAGACAAACTTGTAAGATGCCCATCTGTTATTACTCAAAAAGAAACACCCAACAGGTTCCTGGCAATACTTCACTTGCTCGTCTTGTACGACTGGATAGTGGGCTGCTATGCTCACGGCGTTATAGTTGTAGACAATCGAAAATCCCAGAATCCTTCGGTGTAGCTCGTCCTCTCGCCCGGCCGATTTAAAAAGCTCGACAACACCTCGAAGGGAACGAGCCATGCTATGCGCATTCTTTCTTCTTGCCACATCATATTGCATACCATCGAACTCTGCTGTGAGGAATGGAAAGAACGTATGATATGTACCCTTGAAATCACATCGGTCTTTCCATTGTCCGATGAGGGGTTCCAGCTTCTTGAATTGCTTGAAAGTGAACGCATTCTCGGAAAACCCGACAGTGAATTCAGGTTGCGGTGTTGGAAGTCGTGTCGGCGAATCGCTTGGCCTAGCCCATCTCCGTGCATCGAGTGCCGTATGACGATCGAGCGAATTTGACCGATTCCAACACTCATTCACGTTCTCCTCAAAAATCCCAATCTCGCGGTAACGGTACATCTCAGCATACGCCGAAGGGACGATTAGTTCACTGAGCATTCGAATAACCCAAGCTTTATTCGTCCTGTTGATATAATATTCAATGCTATCAAATGTCTTCTCTCATCAAACATGGTATGTGTGGGAGTCACGGAGTCTCTTTTCAACAGCTTCTGGCAAACCTGTTTATCCTCATCTGCAATCCCTGCTAGCCCAGACATATGACGTACGATATAACAGCCCTTGGATTTAAGGTAACGTATGCATGTGTCTGAGAAATAAGCGTCAGACTTGGCTTCAGATATAGCTGTAGATGTAGATGTTAACAATTGAATAAATCCAGGGTTAGTTGGAACAGAACGAGTCCCCCACTCTTCAGGGCAAAATTCAAATAGTCTTCTTGGCCACTTCTTCTTCCGAGTCCAGTATTCCACAGGTGCATTCTTGGGGGTTCGTACCTGTTTCAACGGAACCTGGAATGAGTGAGCTTGTGCTCTTGCTTCTTGCGAGGGATAGACGCACCTGTCGCTTGATATTCCCATCTCGATTAGCGAGATTTGGCCGTTGAGACACCTCCAAAGCTGGTTTTGAATGCTGAGATAGCCCTGTCGTTTCTCGCTCTCGCTCTCGCTCTCGCTCTCGCTCTCGCTCCTGCTTATGGTCCGACTCTGGTACCTATGATAATCAAGATCAGCTCCTCTTCGCGATGAATGAAACATAAACGCACTTCTATCTTGACCTCGCTGTCGGGAGTGACGGGCTTCTGGTGTTGACGCTTCTTGGCTGGCTTCTTTGGACCCTGAGACGGTGCTGCGGCTCGCTTTCGTTTATTATCTGGTAGCAGTGTCTGCAGTGAACAAAGTCAGCCCTTGATCGTGAGTATTTTGGCAATACTCACGCCATACCTTGGTAGGTGGGTCAGGTGGGTCTGATCTTGGAGGCTGTTTCTCCTTATCAGCTTGCTTTTGCATATTCGTGCGAATGCGTGCACTCCGTAAAAGGCCCGCTTTGTTTGGTTCCATTGCTCTTCCTGTTTTATTGGTATGTAGATGGGTAGAATTTGGGGGATGTGGTTGGGGGAGAGGCCGACGGGGCGTTTGCCGGTAGATATAGCTGGCAGGACCACGACTGGGTGGCTGACATCAAAGGGGGCTCACATTGAACCAGAATCATGACTCCTAGGTATTCTCTAAAAGGTGGAGGAAGGTACCTCTCTTTCATTCCTGATCATCCCCGCCTGTTGCTTTGTTCAGGATCCACTGTCTGGGATGGATTGCTGTGGGAGACAAAGACCGATCTGGGTAGTAGTTGAAGGTAGTTGACTACAAAGGAGCGGTATTTACCATGCATCGGGCCCAACACAAGCGGAACAGGAATCTGTCATAACAATGTCAAACGAATTGATTCACTACACCCAGCGGAACACTATAGGACAGGAATGAGCAGGAGACAAGCAGGAATGCATCGGTCAAAGGCCCGGAATCTTCAGAGGCGGACTTTGTGGATCCTCCAGACATTGATCAATGCGCATGATGGTCGCATTCCTGCTCTTCACAAATCGTATCACCTCGCGGAAATAATGCACCGTGGTCGGACTGAGGAAATGCATGACAGCCAGGTTGCCCCCCGCCTCACGTCTCGAACAAAGGCCTCGCGCTGCTTCTCGGGGGTTTTCGAGTCGGCCCATAACCAGTCCTCAATGTCCACGCTCCAGTTGATGATCTGGGGGTCTTGGATATAGTTTGCCAGTCGTTGACGCGTCCGCGCTCCAAGGGTGCCGTACGGAGGACGGAAGTAGCGAGCTGTCAACGGTCAGCCCAACTCCACCAGTCCAACTAACATGGAAAGACATAGACATACTCTCAATCCCCAGAATCTGCCGGAAAGACTTGATATTCTCCACAATCTCCTGATCAATGGCCTCAACCGATTGCAACCCTTCCAGTCTATGCTCCCCGCCCCATTAGTATCTTACCCAACCCAGTCAGTCAATGATAGAAACTCACTTCCGATGCGTATCCGAATGCAATGCCACCTGATGCCCCCTCCTCAGCATCTCCCCATAAACATTCGAGAAATTGGTCTCCAAATCCCTCAATCCCATTCCGACCACAAAAAACGTCACCAGAACCTGCTCTTCCTCCAAGATCTTCATCACCTCCTGCGCAAACCTCGGCTGCCCATCGTCAATCCCAAACGCAAATGACCCGGGCCGAGAGCATCTCAGCAATACCCGCCCATTGTCCACCCGACGTGGAATCGGAAACCCGCGCGGTACACTGCCGGCGCTGACAATCTCCACCCGATAGAGCGTCACCGGCTCTGTCGAGTAGAACCCACTAAGCGAGACCGCGACAGCCCGCGAATGGTCTACGTAAAAGTGCCAGAGGGGGATATAGATGTCGTTGCCGCGCGCATAGCGCGAGGCTTCAACCGAGTCCCACGTCTCGGGGAACGGGCTGCGGGACGAGTCACAATGTACGTTGTTTTGCGAGAGGGAGACGCTAAACTTGGTGCTGCCGTTGAAGTGGATGTGCAAGTAGTGTGTGGTTCGGTAGGGGAGGAGGTTGAAGCAGGTTGCTGGGGACAGCTGAGTGTTGTAGTTGTGGTCGGCGTCTTTGGGGTAGAGACGGACGTAGTGCTGACCGTATTCCATGGTGAGCCCCTCGAGGCCTCCGTGCCAGAAGCCCAGGGCGTTGTACTGTGGATTGGTAAATGTATCAATGACTATAGCGGTACTGAGATTGTAAGGGAGATTGATGATGTTGGCAGATGTGTTGCTGGGGAGGGGATTCGGGGCAGCTGCGGTGGTGAAGATGATAAGTATAACGAGGAAGGCGAATCGCTGATAGGATAGCATGATGGCCGTGAGTCTGAGTCGGGCCAAAGAATGGATAAGTAGGTGCCGTGTCGCTGATCTTTGATGAGATGCGTCTACAGTCTACGTGGGAGTGTGTCTTATCCAGCTCATGTGGTCATGGCTGACTCTAAATGGGAAAGAGCATGCTGGCGCCCTCGCGGGGAAGGCGCACTATCACTAGATGAGAGAGAAGATTCAAATGGTCAATTTTTGGTTACTTGGTGTCCCCTTCAGTAGCAACAAAATGGAATCAATCGCCTGCTTCCCCCCCGCCCACTCGCCCTCCCAACATAGCCCGCAGTTGGTCGAATTCCTATAGCCCACGATAGTCAATCTTGAGCCGGATTTCCGAGGTGTCCCGGGCGAGGAACAGCTTGCAACATACCCTTGTGCCCGGGTTCAAACTTTTGCATGACAGAGCCGGCCTGATCGCAGTATCGTAGAATCGCAACAGAGAAAAAAGAGAAACCACTAGCAAACCACCCACTGGTCCGGCCTTCCAATGATAGTCCGCCGACCACATGCCCTCAGACGCTCGGTTCCAAAGACGGCATCCACGACGAACCACGGATTGCATATGGCCAGTAAAGCCAGGGGTATACTAGAAATCCCAATTGGCGTCGGGTGCGACCGGGGGGGCATCTCCAGAATCCATTGGCATCCCTCCCCAGGAAGCGTCAGTATCGCCACCGGTATTGTCGTTTTTCTCGTTCTCGTCGTCAGTATCATCGTCAAACTTGACAACCTTATCCTCAGGAATATAAGATTCGAGAAAATCGGGGATTGTTTGTTTGGTTTCCATCAGAAGCTTCACCAATTCCGGTGCAAGATCTGAATCATGGTCATGATTGTAGAACGAAGTAGCAAGACCTTCGTTGCCAATGCGCGCAGTGCGTCCTGTCCAGTGTTAGCCCACTTCCTAGCTTCTCTGTACACCCTCTTATCCTGACGTACCGATCCTATGAACGTATTCAGTGATTCCACCATGCTGGACACGAGGGAGATCATAGTTGATAACGTGCATGACATTCTTTATATCAAGCCCGCGAGCAGAAACACCAGTGGCCACAAGGATAGGGCATCTGGCAGTACGGAAAGCACGTCTACTTGCATCAGCGATATTCTTGAAAGTGTTGGATTAGCAACTTACAGGGCATCTTCTCGCTCAATCTGGTTGCGGTCAGAATGGATTGAGGTGCTTGGAAGCTTATTGTTGTACAGATAATCGTCCACAAAATCAGCCTGGGATTTCGAATTGACAAAAATCAGAGTACGTGATGGCGGCATCGCTATGATCAGATCATAGAGGCACCGATTCTTCATGCCCGGCTCGACGTAGATGATCTAGGGTCCAATGTTAGCATAGACCTTGGAGGAATTGCCAGTCACCGCCTTACATTCTGGTCGACGTTGAGGTGAGTACTACCAGGCCGGCCGATGCGCACGCGAACATGGTCGGCAGCTAAAAACCTACGCGCCATCTCACGACAGCCCTTATCAAAAGTGGCCGAAAACATCATGTAACGATGATCGGCGTCCTCGTTGACATCTTTTTTTCATCAGTACGTGATCAAGCCGACAAACTCGAGAAGTACATACCACCACCAGACATGATCCTCTGGAATTCAGTCTCCCAATCCGAGAGAAGCATTTCATCGGCCTCGTCGATAATTGTATACCTGAGTCCAAGTTAGCAGCGAAATTTGGTAGGCTTGTAAAACCTACTTCACACGTCGAAGCGAGAGGACTTTATTCTGGTTCATGAAGTCCAACAGTCTGCCAGGGGTCGCAATGAGGATGTCGCAACCCTTCTCTAGATCTTCTCTCTGCTCGCGACTCGGAGCACCGCCATATACAACGCAAGGGCGTAGCATGGATCGGTAACAAAGCCGACGCGCTTCATCAAAAATCTGCGTCGAAAGCTCACGAGTAGGAGCGACGATGAGCACCAAAGGCTCGGCCGTAACGCGGTGAAGCATTCGATCGTAACCATCTGCGACATTCGGACGAGGCGCCGCCAGCTTTTTAGCCTTTCCCATCAGCTGTGAAAGGACGGGAATCAGAAAAGCGGCAGTCTTTCCAGACCCTTCTTTCGTTAGTATATATCATAGAATGCAAGCTATCCACCACATACCGGTTTGAGAGATAGCAATCAAGTCATGTCCAGTGAGTACGGCCGGAATGGTGTAAGCTTGAATAGGAGTTGGAACCTCATATCTGCACAGCCGGATATTCTCTCGAATAATCGGGTGCAGGCCAGCCTCGTCAAACTACACACCATCAGCCACAAACAGGTGTTGGAGAGATCACGACACGACTTACGCTCTTGACAGGACTTGGTCTCTCACGACTCTCGGCAATGACCTCAATGTTCTGGAGGCTACAGAAATTTAGTTATGAACTCGGAGAGGTAGCTTAGGTAGTCAACTCACTTTCCAATCTTCAGACCGGTCCTGTTGATGTACTCGCCACGGTACAACTGCTCCTCTAGGGCCGGATTCCGAGGACCAACATCTCCGTAGTCGTCTCGCCATTCATACTTAGCTGCTTGCGCAGCCCATGCCGGAAGGTTTTCTTCCCCGCCGTTCTGGGAAGGGCCCAGTGGCGCAACAGTCGCGTTGTACTTCTCGTAATCGTACTGTTCGGGAGTTGTCCACCCCTTCTCGCGAGCAGCGCTTGCAGCTTCGTTGGGTAGTTTGGGTTCGTTTGCCGTGCTCTCATTCAGAGCGTTGCTCATATCGGACACATCAAATCTTTCCATGGTTTTCAAAATATGACACAGACAGATCAAAGATGCGTGATTCGAGCAACAGCCAGGTGTCTCTGGATACGCGTGGTTGGTAAGTTGGGTGGCTCAGCTGGTGATGATAAGGTACTTACAACAGGATGTCTCTTTTTCTGTGTTTAACGCGTGTAGTGCAGAAGAGACAAGTGAGCAGATAAATGTAACAGTGAGGTGGAATGGTAGAAGAAAGGTGAAGATGATGACAAAGTATTGGGGAAAGAAAATTTATGAAGCTTAGATGGAGACGCAAATGAGAGAAGAAAAACAAGACAACGGACAACCAGCTGAAAGAAAGCAAAGAGGACCTGGACAGTGAATATGGCCTGGAAGGGTTGCTAGGGAGAGAAGAGGGGGAGAATAAGGAAGAAGTGAGTTTGGCAGAGATGCAATCAGAGAAGGGTCTGGCAACCAAATTCTTTCGGCAAATGACCACTTCAAATTGATCCCTGGGGGTCATGTAGCGAGTAAAGCTGGGACAGACCCGATAGGAGACGGTGCCAGCATGGAATTGGCGAAAAAAAAAAATTAAAAAAAGCCTCGCTGGTTGACCTTCGTACTATGAATAGAAAAATTCCGAGATTATGATAGCATCCATTAGTTACTTCACTTGCAGATACGATCAGTGGTTTCACCACAGGTAATTTCCCCAGAAAGCAGAACATTGTTCGATTGCAGACAATCATGAGATAAATTGATCCTTCATTGGGAGCAGACACTTCGGCATTGAACCGTTGATAGATAGATGCAACTGGGCATTTGGTCTTTCTACGGACACAATCCGGAGACATGAGGAACTTGTAAAGAAATGATAGTGAGTCCATGGCTAACCAATTGGGGTTCAGCATGCTACTATTGGATTGCCTACAAACTCAAATCCCCAAGTACTTCGAATCATACGGTATTATGAGCTTTCGAGATCTGTCTAGACGGGACTAAACGCAAAAGTCCTTGAGAGGCACCCACGTCGCTAGGATTGGCTGCTTTCACCTGAATTGTCGGCCCAGGAAGTTAGGCCAAGAATGACACGGCTTCTGGCGTGGATCTCCTTCGTTTGTCTGTATCCAGCTTGTCTTCGCTTCGCTTCTGCACGGTGCTTTTCTCGGTGGAAGTTAGTATCCCTTAGTCTGCGCCAAATCGGTCGTGCTTGTCAGTTATTTCCAATGACGCGAAGCCGCCTACGAGACTAAACCAAGGGTGATCGTGGTGGGTGCGGGGATAGTAGTACTAGTATATCCATAGATGTAGGGGGTTGTTAAGACATGGCACTTTTCGCTGGCCAAACTGATCTATGGCCAAACGCAGCCATAGCAAACGAAGCACTATTAGTTCAATAGCGTTGATTCCTCGATCTCAATGTTATCAGTTTGTCAGAGTTGTATCTGGTGTTGGCTCTATGAAATGGTATCGTGGGGTCTGGATGCCTGAGACTCCTGCCTAAGGTATCAGCCTGGGGCGCGATGTCATTGGTCACCTTATCCCTCAGGCTGGATGGAATGACGCAGTTGACCCCTGCAGAAGACAATCCGGCTAGCGGTTCTGCAATTGCCAGCTCACCGGTACTAGACTATAGGCCATAGTTGCCCTTGTTTGGATGGCCTCGGCGTCCAGCACCCGTAGTAGGCGTGACTAAGAATGCTTGGGTTGCCCAGCCGGTCAGAGGAATAATCTGGTTCCACCCGACCTCAACAAAAGCGGGCAGAAGGAGATATACGCCGTAGGGGCCATCACGGGATCCCATTGCTCCGAGATGGCAACCTCGTCCGCCGGCACCGTCGTCTAGATACTCCCCGTTGTCCATCTATCCCTGGGTTCCATCGCTCCTTTCGCATCTGTATTTTTATGCCATTGACACGATATGTCCTCCTCAACCCCCAATTCCGTTCGGGGCGGTCGCCTAGAACAAGCGATCACCAATCCAGGAGCTGTCAAGATTAACGTCAAAGGCGCCTTTATTGTTGATGATGACCCCCGATCCAAGAGTCCTGTACGGACGGATGGCGTTCATTATGAGGGCCATGATATTCGTCTTCCTCATCACACTGGCCTGGTGAGCCATGTTGCCGTGGATGTGAGTAATTCTCTTTGTTTTTTTTTCCTTCCGCGGTTCCCCGCACAATTTTGAAGCTCCCCGCAATTGCACCGTTGGGCCCAAACTCACAATTCGATTTACTGACTCTCGCTGCCCCAACATTAGATTGGCGGATCGCTGGCAAAACTGGTTTACTTCACACGAGAGCTGGACTCTGTTGACAATGGTGGCCGACTAAACTTCATCAATTTCGAAACCTCCCGCATTGATCTATGCATTGAGTTCATCAAGCAACTGAAAGAAGAACACGAGAAGCTCGGGGGCCCTTCTGGAGATGCTTTATGTGTCATGGCTACGGGTGGAGGTGCATACAAATACTACGATAAGCTCAAGGCGGCCCTTAACGTGAACATCATCAGGGAAGATGAGATGGAGTGCCTTATTACGGGTATGCTGCAGCCTTCCCCATAAAAGAAAGTCATGCCGGGATCTAATTGTCTCCTATAGGCCTTGACTTTTTCATCACCGAGATCCCCAACGAGGTCTTTACATACAGTGAACTCGAGCCGATGCAGTTTGCCGAGGCCCGACCGGATGTCTACCCGTATCTATTAGTCAACATTGGCTCTGGTGTGTCGATGATCAAAGTGTCGGGTCCCAAGCAGTTCCAGCGTGTGGGTGGTACTCACCTCGGCGGTGGCACATTCTGGGGTCTGATGTCATTGCTGACTGGGGCCCGGACCTTCGACGACATGCTGGCAATGGCGGACCGGGGGGATAACAGCGGGGTGGACATGCTAGTCGGTGACATTTACGGCATGGACTACACCAAGATTGGGCTTAAGCATACCGCCATTGCGAGTACTTTTGGCAAGGTGTTCCGCATGAAGAGTGAAGCAGAGTCAAATCAAGTGGACGGGGAAGATACTTTCCAAGGTGAACCCAGCGAAAGGAATGGCGAGCCGACATTCCAGTTCGAAGACATGAGCAGGAGCCTACTTTATGCCATCAGGTACGTCATTTTAGGTTCTTCGCATACTGCATGGCTAGGTCTAATATTCCACAGCAACAACATTGGACAAATTGCGTATCTGCAGTCCGAGAAACATCAAGTCAAGCACATCTATTTTGGCGGCTCATTCATCCGGGGCCATCGACAGACCATGAATACCTTGTCTTACGCCATCAAGTTCTGGTCCAAGGGCGAAAAACAAGCTTATTTCCTGCGTCACGAGGGCTATATTGGTGCCGTTGGCGTGTTCCTCCGCAGGCAGCCAGCCAACTGGGGACGCAGAAACAGCGTCGACGAGACCACAATGCCGCAGGTGGCCAAGGCTGTAGCCGAATTGCAGCAGAAAGCTGATTCTCAAGAGCAATCGTGACGAAGACCCATGCCAGCATGTTCCCATCAACATCATACTGGACGAGCCGTGTCCAGTTCCATCATTTTGAGCGTTTGATACCCGTTGATTGTGTCGATTATGTGCTTGTTAGACTGGCATTCTTATGCTAGTATAATCCTCGAGCCTGTTCCGAAGTTTGATGGCATCTGTGTTTCGGTGCCTTCAGATCAGGTGGGAACATCCCCGATTGTATGGTTTTTTTTTCCTCTACTTTCCTTCTTATCAGAATCGCTCTTTCGGATTTCTGTGGAGAATTCCTTCTACCCACCAGGGCAGGCATTACGCATAGTTTTCTTTTCCGTTACTTCAGGCTGGCATCCTTCGATTGCATAGAAGGGTAGAGCATAATAATATATAGAAATAAACGTCGGCCAGCATCTGTATTCCGACTATCTTATATCGCTTCTTATACCTAATAAATCCCAGGAACACTCTTGTTAGCAACATTACTACCTCATCACCTAAAATGGCATACTCCTAACTGCAGTTCAATGGTATCTACCGATCCACTAGTACCAACCCGTCAAGCTCCTGTCTCGCATAGTAATATACCTCCAGCAATAGTCAAAGGGTACTAGGTACTAAATACTACTAGTCAGTGGGTGATTTCATAACCCAATTTCTGCCACATTCGATTCACCGTTCCATCTAACGAGCGAGCCCTGTACCTGTGCTTAACTTTCTCTCTGGGTCGCTAGGTATATATCTGAGCCATCCAAGGACGTGATGTTAAGCGGTGAAACCATGACCTCATACACAGCTCATACGTGTCTTCAATTGAACATACCCTACTGGATTGACCACTGCTTTGTGGGTCTCTGTGGCGCAAAGCTGTCACCCCATCTCTGTTCTGTGTATAAGATAAAAAATTACCTAATTCGTACATGTGAGGAAAGTACAACCGCCACCCAAACAGACCAGCGAGTTGTAACCCCAAAAGTCGAGCCAAGCCAAGCCACCCACCACCCAGCCAAGCACATGCAATGGGACATACAAACAACCAGTGGGTGATGTGTAATGTTGGGTCATATGAAAGCAAACCTTACCACCTGATAGTGTGTGGTGCATACTCAAGCCACCTCCTCATCTGAGACACCACCACTAGTTTAGTTTGTTGGGCATCGACAACCTAAACAGATTGAATTTGTTCAGGGCTTGAAACAAGTTTCTTGGGTGTTGGATGATAGCCCAATGTCAAGGGAAGGGAAAAGGAGAAGAGCAAACAAACATCGCTCGTTCGTATTCCGAGTCGGATAGGTGCAGCCGCTAAGGACGCTCCGGGCCAGAAGGGTCGGTTGTTCTTACATGGTTGGGGTTGGGTGTGAAAAGTGAAACTATTCTTTCCTTTTTTTCTCTCTTATCACTTATCCTTTTTTTCCCTATTCTTCTACGATGAAATTAGGGAGCAGTGATGGTGCTGGTAGTAGTGAGGGGTTGATCTGCATCGTTCACTACAGTTCGAACCACCACAGTGAACGCACTTTCCCGGAATTAACATGTTTATTGGTGGCTCTACAGGAGAAATATCCCTGAGATGGATCCACGATACGAAGACGCCATTCCCTGAAAGTCGGAACAGTGAGATGGATTGTCTGCATTTGCCGGGGCCTGTCACAGAATACTCATTCATACAGAGGTAAAGTACGACTTAAAATGCGGAGCAGTGCATCCATCAGGCACATTCTGTGTCCCCGGAACTTGTTTACTGATCCCCGCTCGATTAGTTCCACAGGGTCAAGTCTAGATTTACGCCTTCCATCTCGGTGGTTGCAATCACTCTGTGCCCTTCACCTTGTCTGAGTTTAAGACTTCGGACACCCAGCCCGCAAACTGCCTCGTGCCCTGTGCAGTCGGATCAACGTGATCTATCCATTTACGTTCATGAATGTCTATTGAGTTTACAGTCTGACATACTGGCCGGGAACGTGCTTCACTAGTCATACTTGGGCTTCATGCGATCCTGTTTGGAGATTGCATGACTGTGTGACTGGTAGGTATCAAACCATCTACTATTGGTGGAGAGTTCTGGCAGACAGGCCATCATGCTTAAGCAGCTGAGCTGAGCTGACCTGCACTGTCTGCTAAACCATCTGGACACGAAACGCGAAACGTGTTGATCTTTCAGTGATACTTGAAGCCATTGGATTAGTTTGAGCCAGCTTGTATCGTTGACCACCCAAACATATTGGTCTCCACAGAACGTACGTTGTATGAGTTTAAACATTGCTTTACATACAATCTTTCGATTTTGATGCTAATTCCATGTACAGCACGGTCAAATGTCGCCTTCAACTTCAGACAACCCTGTCACGTTCGTGTCAGAAAGGTAGGTTTAGTCTCCTGATTCAGATACCACGATGGCTAATACTTCTCGCGGTTTTCCCAGGCTCAGACGCAGCTCTCGACGCATTATTCACACAGAATCCGATGACGAACAAAAGCCACCGATCTCTCCCAAGGGCTCCCATCAAGACAACGCAGGTGATAATGAGGGGCAGGTACAAAAAGGCAGCCTGGTCCAAGTCACCCCGAAGTCGACATCGGATCCTGGCAAATTGCTGCCGACTTATCTGATCGCAACATTGGAACAGTGGCACCGGGAAAACGGCAACGAGATCCCGAAATGCAAGTACGCCGGCCGTCAAGGTGCGATGTTCTGGAAGGTCTTTGACAGGCATGGAAATGAACTGGAGCTATCCTGGTACATGGTCACCAAGCCGCGTAAGTACGACGTTCTCGTGCTACATGAGGCCGGTGGCACAGCGAGATTTGTCTACTGCGATCCACCCCGGAGCACTCCTCATGGTACCTATCTCAGACCGTGGTCGGGCGCTGCTGAGGGAGAGGAACTCCAACATTGCGCCATCCGGGTGTTTGGAAATACCACGGAGGAGATTGGATATTCAGCGGAAGCCTGGGATTATCTCCGGCACCTCCAGAGCCCCTTGGGGGAAGATGATGTCCGGGCTGCTTCGGCCTCCCGTGCCCAAACACCCAGAGTTGGGAGAGGAGCAAAAAGGCTGCAGGGTAAGACGGGGCATGATACAAGATTCTCGGCGAGAAGCCGCCCAAGCGAGGCTGTCGAGGACTCATCCCAAGAAGAAGGCTCATCATCATCCGAAGAAGAATCGTCATCGGAAGAGGAGAAACCAGCTGTCTCCCCTATGACCAAGCGGCGCAAGACAACCGAGCCCAGCGCCGAGCCTGGCAAACCTAGCAAGGTTGTTTTTCGCCTCGCCTCTCAGAGAGTCATCGGAGCGATTCGCTATATCCCGCTGGACGAGTGCAGGTCCAGGAAAGAACTGTTCGACAAAGCAGCGGCGTTCTATCAAGCCTGTGATCGAGATACTCAGGTTAAAATCCTTGCATGTCAGATCTCGTCACAGCGTGAACAACACTATCTGTTCGAAAACAGTGATGGGGAGTTTCGTCTTTTGGTTGAGCAGGCGCAAAGTTTGGAGGATGGCCCGGATCGGATTGTAATTGATGTTTTGCACGTTTTACAGACCTAGTTGGAACATGTCATGATATTGCGCCAGATTTTATTGTCAAGACAAAACCATGTGGAGCCATTGATGTACATAGTAGTTTGTTCTTTCTTCTCAGGGTATTTAATGCATCGATTCGCAAGCGATGACTAAGCACCACGTGGACTGAGGCCGAAATAGCGATTCGCGTCACCGACAGCGCAATCGTGTCTTCAGCGCCAGGCACCGATCACATCATGCGACAAGCATGAATCCCACTCAGCCCGATGCCTTCCCTGCCTGACTCGCCTCCCCCCGTTCCTCCCCCCGTTCCCGTCGAGACCCATCCGAACCGCACCGTCGGCGTCGGCGTCAAGCCCACCGCCGCGCAACGAGCCCTCCCGGATCCAACCCGGCTCGCCCCTGAAGATGCATATTACACATCATCCCTGCCCAGGGCTCGGCCAACCCAGACCGGCTACAATGAATCTCTCCGAGTGTTGAACGGCAACTCGGGCACGGCCGTCCCCGTGGCCGCATTGCGACCGCCGCCCGCCGTTCCAGGAGTGGGGAGTCGCAAGGTGCGCGGCACCAGCAGACGGAGACGACGAAAGGGCGCCTGGAAGAAGCTCCTCTGGGTGAAGCAATCGTGTATGCTGCTTCCTATACACTTACTTGAGTATGAACCATACTGATATGTATAGATCCCGACAATTACACCGACACCGAGACGTTTCTGGACCACCTTCAGCGGAATCCCCGAGTGCGACCTTACGATTTCTGGCCTTTGGTGGCTGACTCCACCGTCATTGTACAACATGTTAGCTCCGTGGCAATATTCGTCTGCTGCTTCGTGGGCATCGTGCAGGGCCGCGTGAGCCCGGTGTCGGTTGTCTGCTGGGGCAGTGTCGGGACGGCGTTGGGGTGGATCTTCTGGGACTCTTGGATACTGAGGGAGCATGTGGAGAATGCGCACGTCGCGGAACGTGTGTTGGAGGGAGATGACGGTTCTAGTTCGAGCTCCATGACCAGCTCGGTCAATCCGTCTGGCACGAGCTCGCGAGCTAACGGGCAGAAGGAGAACCAGGTGCATGGGCTGGGATTGAGCATGGCGCAAGGTGAGTCGAGCGAACTGATCCGACGACACAGTACGGGGTATGCTGGTGATGGCTACGGGGCTCAGGAGCCTGCGTCCCCCACGCCTGGGCCTGCGAATGGGACTTTCAACGGCGGCTCCCATGAGCCAGACATGTTGTCGATGTTTTCCTCGCGGAATCGACAACGACTGTCGACGGTGAAATCGGCCTTTTTGATCTACTTTGCGCTGCTGGGGCTCAGTCCGATCCTCAAGTCTCTTACCAAGTCCACGGCCAGTGACTCGATCTGGGCGATGAGTTGCTGGCTGCTGATCATGAACATCTTCTCCTTTGACTATGGAAGCGGGGAGGGCGCGGGCGCCACCAAGTTTCCGGCATCTCTGTCCACCAATGCCGCGGTGATGGCGTCGACGGTGCTCGCGTCCCGGCTCCCATCCACGACACATGTGTTCAGTTTGATGCTGTTCTCTATCGAGGTGTTCGGGCTGTTCCCCATTTTCCGGCGACAGCTGCGTCATGTGTCTTGGACGGGGCATGTCCTGTTGACACTGGCGCTGGTGAGCGTAGCTGGCGGCGCGGTGGGGATCACGCTGCGCGGGGGATGGGCGGCGGCGGTGGTTGGCTCCATTCTGGGGAGCATCCTGACGGCGCTGGGGATGGGGGGATGTAGCTGGTGGCTGATCAGTCTCCAGAAGTATAAGAATGTGGTCACGGGGCCCTGGGATCCGGCCCGTCCCATTATCCGGCGCCACTGGGATTAGTCCTCTTCCTCCTCTTCCTCCTCTTCCTCCTCTTCCTCCTCTTCCTCCTCTTCCTCCTCTTCCTCCTCTTCCTCCTCTTCCTCCTCCCCTCGTTCTTTGCTTTCCAAGATACCCTGCAGTTCTACCATATCTAACCCTCCTAATGACATCTGGAATTTCCTTAACCTTATCACCTTCTCCAGTCTACTGTTCAACAGCGCATTATACCCCCACAAGCCTTGAATGCCACATTTAAGTTTCCGTGACTCCATGTCTTGTCCAACAATGTCCGGGCAACAGCCTGGCATGCCATCAGGAATGCTTCCTTGGTATGCCCTTGTTGATTGACGGAAATTTACCTCACCGGGCATTCACCTCCCCGCGGCCTCATGGAGGCCTGCACTCAACTTCCCGCACTCTAATCGGAGATCAGCCTCAACAGTGCCAGACATGCCTGAGCTCATCAACTCTCGCAAACCGGCATCTACACGAGAATGTCGTACCGAGATCCCAGACTGATCGGAATGGGAGCCCTGGTCATCTTATAAGCGGGCGTGCCCGTGCATGGTGGCACGGTTATCCTGCACCTCTCCCACTTTCTTCCCTCAGGGCACACACCATGTTCAAACCAGTCGCCCTCGGCCTCATGGGCCTCCAGTGCGTGGCGGGCCTCCGGTTCGCCATGTACGTCGATGAGTACGTTTCCCACCTCTCTGTTAATCGTATTCCCATTAACAGGACCAGATACCACACCACCGATCTCCCCGGAACCGACCAAACTGACGGTATCACGCACGCCATCATGGCATTTGCTCCATCAACACTCTTCAACACTGACTCTCCCCAACAATTCTCCCCCTTTGAGCCAGTGTCCACCTTCCGCAACCGCTTCACCCCGGACACAAAAGTGATGATCGCCATCGGCGGCTGGGGCGACAGCTCTGGGTTCTCCGATGGAGCGAAAGACGAAGAGTCACGGAATCAGTACGCGAAGAACGTCGCTGCAATGCTAGACGACAATGGTTTCGATGGCGTTGGTAAGGCCCCCCTCCCATACCCCCACCACCACCACAACTAACAAACCCAGACATCGACTGGGAGTACCCCGGCGGCAACGGCGCCGACTACAAGCAAATCCCCAATAGCGACAAAGCCGACGAGATCACTACCTACCCCCTCTTTCTCTCGGCCATCCGCTCCGCCATCGGCCCCAACAAGACCCTCTCCATCGCTGTCCCCGGCAAAACCGAAGACATGATCGCCTTCACATCCACCACCGGCCCCCAGATCTGGCCCTCCATTGACATGGCCAACATCATGACTTACGATCTAATGAACCGTCGAAACAACGTCACAATGCACCATACCTCCGTCGTGGACTCATTGAACACCATTCAAGCCTATGCTGATATCGGACTCCCAGGGGCAAAGACAAACCTGGGTATGGCATACTACGCGAAATGGTTCGAGACAGACCCCGACGCGGACTGTGATTCCCAACCACTGGGTTGTAAGACCGTGGTGATGGAGAATGATGACGGGAGCGATAACGGGAAGAGTGGCAGTTTGACCTTTGAGAAGAGCGTTATGAGTGATCCGCCCAAGGATCTGAAGACCAGCTATGATGGGACTTGTGGGTTTGATAAGGGGACCAAATGTCCCGACGGACAATGTTGTAGTCAGTATGGCAATTGGTATGTCCCCATCCTTCCCTTTCCGCCCTCTCTTCCCATCCATACCCTCTTCATCCTAGTTCCACCTACCCCCCCTCTTCAACATAACAAATACTAATAAGAATCACAGCGGAACAACCGACGACTTCTGCCAAGCCGGCTGCCTCTCCGACTACGGCACCTGCAAGGGCATCTCGATCATCGATTCGTGGCGTAAGGCTCTCGCGGATGGAACCCTGGACGAGGATAAGGGTGGACAGTACTATTTCGATGATGAAGTGGATGTCTTCTGGACGTGGGATACGGCGGATATGATTGCCCGGAAGTTCACGGATATTGTGGATCAGATGGATCTCGGTGGTGTGATGGCGTGGAGTTTGGGTGAGGATACTCTGAGTTGGGAGCATTTGGGGGCGATGCAGGAGGGGGTGCAGGAGAGGTCATAGGTTGGGTTTTTTTGTTATCGGTTGAATCTGGTTGAAATGGGAGGGGATTGGGGAGAGGGGTGTATGGTTATGATTGAGTGGTTTGGGGTAATAAGTACTATATAATCAAGACTTTTGTTTGTTTATCGCAGGGCGATTTATGTTCCCAATGCACGGTCTGCCGAATCAGGCAGAGTCCATATTTATATCCACCCACCAGATCACTCAGCTAACAACACATGCAAATATATGTACCCGTGTATATGTACCGCCAATCATTGAAAACACCAAACGCCAAACCAAAGGGTATCACTCATGCCTCATATCCGTGTACGGAGCAATCCCACAACCACCAAGCCACCCAAACCAATACCCCAAAACCTAAGTAACCCAAAGTATTTAGTTACCTGACAAACGCCGATCATCCAGCCCCTTCTCCTCCCATTCGGTTAATAACCGCGACACCTCCTTGAAAGACACCGGCTTCGTGAGGAATAGATCCACCCCTGAAGCCAGCGCCTCGGATTCATCACGCGAACTGCTCAGCCCTGTCAAAGCGATGATTACGGCCGGTTTGTAGCCCGAGCCGCGTTCTTTCTCCATCGCGCGAATGGCCCGCGTTGCTTCGAACCCGTTCATCACTGGCATAGATATATCTAATCGAACTATAAGCACCAAATAAGGTAGTGAGGGTAGTGCAAAGAACTCACCCATGAAGATTATGTCATATCCTTGTTGCATCCGTTCGACTGCATCAACCGCCAACTTGCCGTTCTCAGCCGAGTCCAATGCCGCCAGCTTGCGCTTTTTCATCAGCGTCAGCATCAGGTTAAGGTTGATGCTGTTGTCGTCGACCACCAGGATCCGCGCGCGCCGCTCCAGATCCGGAATCATGGCCTCTTTGAATGGCGAAGGCGGCTGGATCGGTAGAGACGGAGAGGAGGTGGCATAGAGCGGCTCCATTCCATCCGAAGAGGTCTGAGAGCGTGGATAATCGACCGATGAGGCCGACCCCGAGCTGGTCGTCATTTCTGGCGCCAGCTCGCACGTCTCGGTCGTAATTTCGAACAGCTTCTCTCCCGGAGATACATCACCAGCGGATGACAGGGTATTTTGTCGCGGCCGTTCTGCGAGCTCGAAGGTGTGAGTCGGAGCATCCTCGGTCTGCGTGTCGAGGCATTTGCGGATGCTACGAGCGAGCTTGTGCGGACCGCATGGGCGACGAACGATGTTCACCACGTTGGCCAGCGATGACCATTGCGAGCGCGCCGTCGTGTAGTCGACAGACTTGTTGCAGAGAATGAGAAGAGAGGGAAGGGTAGCGTCGACATTAGGGAGGATGTCAGCCAAACTTTGCTCCTCGGCCATGACGATATCCACAGGCGTGCCGGACGGCCAGGAGACCAGCTCCAGGCCGTACCAGTCGGTCAGGTATCGGGTGTAGATCGACCACAGGGGATGCGAGCCAGCCTCGGCCGGATCCACCCCAAGAATGGCGGCCCGTCGGCCGACATGAGTCTCGCGCAGGAGACGGCTTTCAGTTAAGACATCCTTCTCCTTGCTGGCAGGCGACAAGGGACGAATGGGTTCTTCCAACTCCAACTCCGGGCCCGGCCGCACCAAAGGAAGGGAGACCTTGACAATGGTTCCCTCCCCCGGACGGCTGTGAATGTGGATGCTGCCCTTTAACGATTTGACAAGACTCCGGACGATCGAGAGACCCAGACCTGTGCCGACCGCCAGTGTGTCCTCCTGGGCGAACGGAGTGTACAGGCGACCGCGCAGGAACTCCTCGGAGATGCCCTTGCCGGTATCTGACACGGTCAAGGTGACCAGCTCCTCGACCCCGTGCCGACGAGAGCGACCTTCCGACGCCTCGGTGACCGCCAGATGCAGAGACACGCGACCGCTGTGGGTGTATTTCATGGCGTTGCCGAAAACATTCATGATGATGCGTCGAAGAGCCCCGGGCTGCGTCTTGTAGATCCAATCATTGTGAGCAATGTCCATGACCACCTCAACCTCCGACCGAGGCTTGAGCTTGGTCTCATTGTCGGGCTTATGCTGGCCTCGCATCGACCGCGGTAAGACCACCGGCTGATCATAGGGAGCGGCTGAGCGCTGGCCATAGGCATGGCCCAGGCACACGCCTTCCACCACCTCTTCGGCCAGGAGGGCCAAGTCGGTCGCCACATACGTATCCAGATGAGCCGAAAACCGGTCCAGACCCTTCACATCCGCGGGCGACGTTTTATTTCGCTTCAGGTTGCGATACGTCCGTTCCAAAGATACGATTTTGCTGAAGTCGAGCACTTGGTTCATCGTATCTAGCAAGGTGCGCCCACACGCATTGATTGTCTCCAAGAGGGAGCCCTGGAATTCGTCTAGGTTCGTTCCGTTCAAAAACTCGGCGGCTGCCAGAATACCATGCAACGGACTTCGCAGTTCGTGTCTGAAAGTGTCAGCATTCCCATCGAGATATCATCCAGACTTGACTTACGAGATGCTGCCAATGAAGTCGCCCTTTTGCCGGTCAGAAATAAGCGACTCAACCCGGTTGCACTCGGCCATGATCGAAGACCCAAAGCCGAGGACCGAACTCAGCTCCACCGAGGAGCTGAAGACGCGCGTCTCCTCTGTGTTCCAACAAAAGCACCCAGCAAACCACTGCGAGTTCGCGGAATTCCAGAGCGGCACGAACATGACCTGGCTCGCGTTGGGAAAGTAGAGATTCAGCATGGAGTTCTCCATCGACTTCCACTTCTTAGACCCGCCTTTGCCCATCTCAGAGCCTTTCGGCCCCCGTGAGCGACTCTGTCGCGGTGATTCATCGTCGGAACTGGAGATCATTCCATCTCGATGGAATGACCACAGCTTTCCCTTGCTATATCGGCGCAGGAGTTGATGCAGAAACGAGCTCTCAAGATTCGCGGCCGGGTAAAGAACCTTGGAGCCCGGGCCTGGCGCAAACGGCTCGTCGTTGGTGGAAATGGCCAGCACCGGCGCGGGATTGTTGCCTTCGACAGAGCAATCACTCCCCGTGTCCGCATCTAGCATTGGACTATTGCTGTTTTCCACAAAGATGACGCCGCCTTCAGCACCCAGCTCCAGGCTTTCTCGGATCAAGTTGGCCGCTCGTCGAAACGCCCAGGTGTGACCCTGGGACTCGTCCAGCCCATTCAGCTCCTTCTGGCGACTGCCAGACCACCAATCAGGTAGCGGGGTGTCAGGCCCTGACGACACGCCTTGGTCAGCTTTGTAGTCCGACGCCGAGCTGAAGGAGCGGCCATCGCAGCTGTGTGACCGTCTGGACGGTATGTCAAAACTGTTGAATGACCCCACGGACAAATGGTTGGCCCTCTGGCTCGATGACGGCGGGGTGCTAGGTACCGGAGCAGAGCTGCCAACGGACGCCGGATGAGTCGCATCCACAAAGCTGGAACTGCCCTCAACGAAGCAGCTCAGTCCCCGGGACAGTCGAGCTGCGCGGCGACCTTCCGATGCCTGACGGCTGACTTTCAGGTAGTCCATAATCAACCCCGATAGAGCCCCAAGGGTCTCTTTCTCCGCGTCATCCAGCCCATTGTGTGGTTTGGTATCTAGGACGAAAAAGCAGCCGATGTTGATGTTGGTCTCGGTCGTCAAGGGCGTACCGGCGTAGAATCGGAATCCGGGATCTCCCTGTACGAATGGGAGGCGTTTGTAGCGGTCTTCGTCGCGCAAGTCATTGATCACCAGGAAGCTGCGCTGTCCTCGCTCTCGATTGGAGGGTGGTAGAGAAACAGTGGCCTGTAACGAAGGACGCAACGCAGAGTTGAGTAGGCGATCTACGAACTTCTCTGACGAGTGAGCACCTACCTTGCACATGCTCCAGGCGTTTGAAGAGACAGTAGAGCACCCATTCCAGACGCCAGCGCCAGTAGACTCATAGTCACTGACACCACCAGTACGTGTGCTTTGGGCTAGAATGAACTGTGACTGGCGATCTGAGACACTTGGGGGCATATTTCGTCAGCAGGGTGTTGATACCACGGGCCGAGGGGAGGATCTCCGTCGTACCTGATCATCACGCGCTCAACGTTGAGACGCAAGGCGGCGAGCTGCGCGAAAGAAGTCAAAGTCGCATTAGGGTCCCCCAGGACCAGGGCCTCGGGAACTAGCCCCGCCGAGGCTGGACCGATGGCGGGGGCCGACGATAGCGATTGTGAGCATAGAGATGGGGACGGCGGTGGAAGCGAGGGATCCAGAAAGGTCGGGGGTGGTGTGTCTTCAGACGAAGAGCCTTGATACCGATCTTGAAAACTGCCGGTGCGTTCGGGTTGGAAGTAGCGGTAGAGCTCGCGGACTCGGCGACCCGTGCTGTGGTCGTCGTCCCTCGGCGGAGGGGAAGAAATCTCCATGGTGTGGGGGAGGGGTGTGTTTGGAGAGGTGAAAAAAAGGGACCAGAGAGGGGGAGGATCGATTTCGAGACGATGGGAAGAGATGGCGTCGATTGCCTTACGCATCCATTCTGGCCTGGGTGGGGGCTGGCTGGAGGCAGGCTGGATGGAGGCAGGCGTGGTTGAGATAAAGTGTGGCAAAATTGCTGGCGGGAGAGAGAAGAGTAAGAAGGGGAAAGGAAAGGGAAGGGGAAGGAAAGCGGAAAAGGAGGAAAGGAGCGAGAAAGAAGCCCTGAAACAAGGTTGGACAACGACGGGTTTAATATCAAGGACTGCGTGCAGCAGCAACAGTAGATCGAAGCTGTGGAATTACTAGTATGTAGCGTTTCCGGCCCACGCAAACCATCGGCGGGCTCATTCATTCCACGCGGACAGGCACCCCGCTGCGAACTGTGGAATGTTCGAAGTTAGATGTGCGTCCCAAGGGCAGCGTCTTCTGGGCGTCGTCAGTCCCTGGAGTCATCCCGTGGGAACCGAACAGTGGCAACTGAGAGGAATTGAGGCCGACGGAATCTGAATGATGGCCGAAGCCCCGGCGAATGACAAGCCTCAGGCGTGTCAGGAAGCCAACTCCACAAGTTACCCAAGGGAGTAGTAGCAGGGATCATGGTCCATCCAGCGACCGGGTTGCACCCCTGGCGGCGGTGGCAGGGCCTCCCGCGTGTCTTCCACTCACTCGAGCCGAGTCTATCCAGTGATTCCAGTCTGACTTGCGAGCCGTGATTCAGATTTCAGGTTGATTTCAGGTTGGCCAGACCCGGCCGCAATTGGCCAGTCAGCAAGACGTAATACCGGTTTTCCGTTTGACGCTAGTCTCCTTCGGGGGCCGACGGAGTTTGCGGTGGAGCCCCATTGGCCCTAAAACCCCGTTCCCGGCCTGGGAAGCCACCAGTCAGGGGCCATCATGCGCGACCTTAGGACTTGGGACGTCTCAGGCATCTCATGCCTCAGGCGTCGAGGCCTGTCGGGAGGCTTACCCGTCTGCCATGTCCACCATGCCATCGACCCTACTTACCAACAAAATACGTACATTTTGGCCAGCCGAGATGACAATGAATCGCTAGTTAGTAGTCTCTGACGTCGTAAGGCGCGTCATGATCGACGTGGCTGCAGCGGCGCCTGTCAGCCATCACTGGCGTGGGAGCGGTGGCGGTGACTCAGCGGTCTAGAATGTGGATTGGACGGGAGATGTGGCTGTTCTGGCGGGGCGTGGATTCCATGGATATGAATGGCCCAATCCCAACAGGTGTCGCTACTCATTCGGTTGCCACCCACCCTTCAGTTCGCAGATACGTGCAGGACACTATCACCGTCAAGATACTAGTGGGTGGTCCATGACATCCCATCGATGTCAAGTCGGTCTCGCATAAATGGCCCCCCGGGTCCCGGCAGGGCTCGGATGGGGCTCAATGACTTCAGCATAGGAACCATGTTGAATCAGCTAGCTGCATGGATAGTATAGTCTATGTACGATCTAATATAGGTATCATGATACAGCGCAGATCTACAAGCGAAAACAAGAATCATCCGATCATCCGATCGTTCCGGCCAATGAGACGCTGTCCACCCGCTCGGCGGGCCGTCCTGTCCGGTTCTAAAATCGTTCCATCAGGCGCATCCGAACCGTCCACATCCGCGCCCGTTTGCCATAAATGTACATGGGAATCGAGAATAACAGACACCCCAGCTGGATCACTCCCAGAGCGATAAACACCATCCGGGAACCCTCCGCATCCAACCAGTCAACAATAAAAAGCGAAAAGATCAGGCCATGGAACACATCTGCATCAATCGTTAGCATTCCTGTCATCCATCGTCCAATAGCGATGTCGGCGCGACCTACTCTTACTCCAGTTCAAAGTCACCAACGCTTCTCCCGCGTACTGGCGGTAGCTATCGACGCAGAACGTGATGGCCGTCGTACTCCCCAGGCAGCACCCAAACGAGACCAGCCCGAAGAAAATTGTTGGCACAATCCACGCATCCCGCTCTTGGGCACTCCATCCAAACCCCATCAGTCCGATTGTCGTCGAAATTGCAATGGGTATTGCCATCACCAGTCGGAACTCTGGCTCGTAGACGCCTCCGTTGCGTCGGGTCATATATTGGACGATGATGTCGGACACCTTACCGGCCACGGCGGTCCCTAGCAGCCCCCCCACGAATGGCGAAATGTAGATGAGACCAGTTTGCAGAGCGGTGAAGTTGTAGGCGTCCCGATTCTCGTAAATGGTAGCAACCGACTCCGACAGGACAATGAGCCAGCCGACTGACAAGGCATACACCACCGTCGACCACAGCACAGACGGATACGCAAACAGAATGAATGGCCGCAGCGCCACTCGGAACCAGTTGTCATGGGCGATACGGCCATTCCACGGGCGGAGATAGTATGTGTACGGGATAGACGGCTGCTCCCGGAGTCGATTGGTGTAATGAGCTGCCGATGTGATCGGTGGACCTAGATCAGGTGACTCACTGCGAGCTGGTGATATGGCGGTGTATCGAGCAGCTTCGAGATCGTGTTGATAAGTGTGCGCCAAAGCGGGAGGATGATGGACTCCATGAGACTTCTCGGGGTCCTCGCTCGGCGATGACTCGATGTCAGGATGCTCCACAGCTGGTGCATTGCGTGCAGGAGACAGGTGATTCTCCTCATCAATACCTTCTACCTTCTCGGGGATGGTCTCTGGTTCCTCATCATGATCATCCACAAAACCAACGTGGCCCTTCTTGGGTTTCTTCGGCTCTGGTGATGTGGGATCGTGGTCCGGCGGGGTCTCCTCCAAGCGATGAGCATGCGGCGGTCGACCCCTTAATCCGTGCGACACGATGTTTGACACGCTGTGGTAAAAGCTGGGGCGTTTGTGGGCCCGTCGTGGCCGAGGCGTCCGATCCCAAAAGGTCTCAGGGACAAAGAAGAAAAGGAGGACCAGACAAGCGCCAACGACGATGGCAACGATCCAGAAAACCCAGCGCCATCCCAGGCTTCCAATAATGGCTGCGCTGACCAGGGGGATGAGGTTTTTGCCACCCAGAAGCAGGAGCGTGTAGATGCCCACACGGTACGCCCGCTCATGCAGGAAGTAAATCTCAGCAATAGTTGCAGATGGCAAGCATTCGACTGGGCTCACTGCAATTCCCTGAAAAATCCGAGCGACGACCAGACTGGCATAATTAGGCGACAGCGCACACCAGACTGCCGAGATGATAAAGAGGGTCGCGCCTAGAAGATAGACCGGCCGTTTGCCGAAGAGAATGGCTGTTGGAGACATGATCACAGACCCAACCCCGAGACCCAACATGTACAAGCCCGTTGTATAAGCGACCTTCTGCGTATCCACATCATATGCAGCAGCTACTTGGCTGAACCCGGCAGCAAGGATCGGAGTCATGCCACCTCCCATCAGACAGTAGAATCCCAATGACACCAACGCAGCATCTCGCCGCCACACAGGCCAGTTGAGGGGGTCGTTAATTGAATCATCGGGCTGTGGTTCTAGCACGATATTGCCATCTGCCGTCTTTTTTATGGGCTGGCGCGCACGAGAGGAGGAACGTGACGGGGGGTAAGGTGAAGGCAGGGATGAGCTAGATTCACGATGCGGTTGATGGTTCAGACCGAGAGGCTCGTTGCGGTTCGAAGAGAGCAGGAGAACAGTTCCTAACGTCCGAAGTCAACGAGATGATCGCATAAATCCATACTCCTTCCCCCAGCTGCAACATACCAGGCACTTCATCTGTCTGCTTATCACTAAGGATGCCAAGGGTGGCTTTGGGACGATAGGGACTTTGACTGGTGGCGACGGTAGGCGTCTCAGGTACATTCGTTCCAATCAATCGTTTCCACCACCCTTTGGTTGGCTTCGACTGCTGCGCGATTGGAGCATCGCGAGCTTCTTCTCCGGTCGCCATTGTTGCAGATAAGAGCAACGAATCAGAGATAGGTCCCGCAGTTCTCGAATCGAAGCTAGTATCTGCACGATCAGCCTCTAGTCAGTTGGGACCCTGGCGATAGCTGGGGCTGTAGGATCGGAAATTTCAGTTTAGAACCGACCTTTTTTGTGGGTGTCCAGCTGCACAGGCGAGTTACCAAACACAGACACCAGAAGGATTGAACAGGCCACCTGTTGGATCGAACGATCGTCTCGATACAGCCCGAGGATGAGATTGGATGTATCTCCACTCCTCGAACCGACTTAGATCGATCACGGCCTGCAATGAAAAAGCAGAACCGGCAACTGCGCAGGCTCAGCAAGCGACATGGCGGGGGAGGGGGGGCGACATATATAGTATTGACGGGGTGGACGAAGGAACGAAAAATAAAACCCAAAGTCAAACACAAAAAATGATGAGCGATAAAAGAAGCAAAATCGAATCAGTCGGTGAGGATGGTGGGCAAGAGTCACGCGGCTGAGTGGACGAAGGCGTAGATTAGTTGGAGGCAATAACCCCCGATAAGAGCCCACCAACCCAAGAACGGGTGTCAAACCGTCTCAAGTCATTCTTGCACGACGCACAAAGCCAGCCGCCAACGGGGCACCGCAGCGGTACCCAATGGATACCCCGGACCCCCACCGGGCGGCCGTGGTTGGCCCAGTACCCCTCCAGTCTCCAACAGCCTACTTCTCCAGCTCGAGATTGTCCTCGTTTAGACTCGGATCGACAACCAATACGGAGTAAATGCATGGGCATTGAGGTCACTGATCCTATTGCGATGAAATGAGCCAGTCAGGGTGTCCGACCAGTAACCATCCTCCCCTCCGGAACCGTCCAGAGACGAAATCTAACGAGGGAGTGCCCCATCTTTGGGGGGAATCGAAACACACCTCATGCGGTCGGAGCTGCACGTGGCCTGCTTATCGGCCAACTGCCAAGCACGAGACGTTCCGCATGGATGTCGACATGGCATACATGCAAGCACCATGCGATGATGCAATTCTCCATTATATAAAATGCTTCTGTCAACTCGCATTGCCCTTTATTTGCCTTTTTTTTTTTTTCTTTCAGCCCCTTTTTGCTCGCCGCGGGATCTGATTGTGATTGCTTGGGGAAATCCCCTAGCGGTAGCCTTTGTAGGACGAGAGGATCATCCTGACTTATCGGGCGCTATGGAGTCATCGTCTGATATGCCCTTTGTGGTTCAACGACAGCTGGCCTGCAAACATCCAAGTCCATGCTGCAGCAGAGTTTGCGGGGTTAGGGTGAGCTTGATGTTGCAAGCCACGCCAGCCTGCCAGGATCCAGGAGATCATTAGAAAGCGCTCCGAGCGTGCAGGATGACCAGCATGTCGTCATCGGATGCATGTTATCTACCTATCCCGTCAACGTTCTAAGCAAGACATCCAGGTGGCTATCTGTGGGTGTTCACCTGGACAACCGACCGCCCGGGCTGGGGTATAGGTCGGGTTCATTAACGCTGTACAAATCCAAGTCACTATGCGTCTGCCTGCTGCAGCAGGCATCAATAGGGTATTACAACCACCACTGGCAGCAACCTGCCACAACCGAGTACAGCATATCTATATTCAGATAGACCAGTCAAGATGATATGTCCTCAGGCATCCATCTTCTCCTCCTGCTTTGCTGCCTCAGGCTTGAATTCTAAGGATGTCCTCGTTTTCATGAATTGGAACCTGCATTCACTTTCCAGAAAGCGGTAGAGCACTCCAACAATAATTCACTCCTAATGCACCACCCCCAACTGTAGATTTTCTATGCCGGAACTTTTCAGTGAGGCTAGCCAATATGTCCGCAATGATCCTTCATCTCTTCCTTCTCCGACAGCGCAGGTTTCAGTCAAAACTACAGCTCCATCACTGAACTGCCTGATAGGTCCCATATCACGTCGTGACTTTAAGCTTTCCCTATCTCATCTGTCTTACACGTCTGCGAGTTGGTGATCATAACAAGCCATGGGGTTGTGCAAAAGTGTGCAAAAGAGCTGGAATGACTTCACGCCCAAGGAACGACACGAGTCCGCGTTCTACATCCTGGGCATCGTCTTCTATAAATTCGGTCTGGAAGCATTCAATGGCTCCATAATCACTCTGGCCACCAACCGCTATGATTATGATGCTCTTCGCACCCATACACCTCCCAAGACCTTCCAGCGCGTTGGGCTCATGGTCGGCCTTAACCAAGCGTGTCAGTGCGTGGGGTCTATCTTGATTGCACCCTTGATTCGTCGCTATCCAGCCCGAGTGATCCTGATGGTGGCCGTGCTGGTTTTTGGCATCTTTAGCGCCATCCTGCTCATTATGGATGCTTGCACTGGAGGGGCCTTTGCTCCAGCCGTCTTTCGTCCTCACCATCCCGAGAACGACTTCTACTACTACGGCAGTTACAATACGGACAGCATGATCCCTATCTACTGTGTCGGTGGCCTTAGCTACGGGATGGTCGAACTGATTCGCCGGATAATTCCCAGGGACATTGTTGGTGGAAACCTCAAAAGACTGCGTCGCCTGGATGCTCTGGTGCACATATTCTATGAAATGTCTGGCACTGCTGGGGCTTTCTGCACTGCACTGGTCCTGATCCCTCGTCTGGGCAATAATTACTCCTTCCTCGTGACACCAATCTGTTTTACGCTCGCGGCTTTCGCTTGGTTCTTCCTTGGAGATCAAGTGTTCAAAGCCCAAAAGGCAGAGGCCTCCGATGACCAGCCAGCTTATATACGAGCGGCACTGACCGGGACCAAGCTCTTTCTCGAGTCCATCTGGGTGGGTGCCAGGATCATCTTCACCACCCGAAAATTCATCTGGCTGCTTCCCGGCTACTCGATTGCTCTGTATGCCCATCGCTACCTCGAGAGCGCGGTCATGCCGGCGCTTGCGCGTCGCTATCTCGGCAATGTTGCATGGTCGCAGATCATGGTCGGAGGGTCCAATCTCGGAGAGCTGCTGGGGGCCCTGTTTGTTATTGTCCTCAACAACCGCGTCCGCACGCCTATTCCTTGGTTGCGAGTCGATGCGCTCATGCTTCTTATCACCTGGTACCTGCCCTTCTGGAAGCCGCGGCTTCGGTATGTCCAGGATGCTTTGTTTGCCGCCGCAACCTTTGTCCCGATTTCGTTCGGCTGGGCAGCCGGCGATGTCTCGTTGGCGGCGTACATCCAGGCCACGCTGTCGCGGATGGAATCTACGTCGAGCAATGTGTCTGCTCTCGGGGCGGTCATGGCGTTCTTGTACTCCACCTACATTGTGCTGTATGCGGTAATCTCGCCGATTCTGGGCAGCTACATTGACCGGGTGTACATTGAGACGGGAGGTCCGAACGGAGGGGGTGACATCCATCGAGCGATACGCAGTGTGGCCAGCGTGCAATTTAGCGTGATCTCCCTGTTGGTTGTGATCTCGTCGTTTGTGCCTCGGGGATCCCTGGCGGTCAACCCGGCGGTGCTGGATGAAGAGGACCTCGAAGAAGAGGACTGGGGCAATGTTGTGTCTTCGGGAGCGAGTATGAAGTCGATTATTCGATGAGTGGGATAATGTATGGACGCAGTCTGCAGTACCGCAGTCCGTAGTTTCTGTCCAGTAGTCAACAGTGCAACTAAACCTGTAACTATTCTGAGCTGTCAGTCACAACCAGACAGTCGATAATGAGAATGTCTTCGATGAATGAGATGATTTTACTTCCAATGATGAATAGTCCGGTTCGAGAGGCCGGCTGAAAATACATTCGTAGGAGAGCATATTGACTGACTCTACTACAGGTAGGTCAAGATCACCTGGAACCAGAGATGTGGGGTAGCGGGTAAATGGCACGTTCCCCACCACTTCGTCGACTCCAAGCGATCCTAGATAGCTTCTGCATCCCCCGAATAGGCTATTCAGGGTAAACCTGCCTGTTCACATCCCCCATGGCTGATCACTCTATCAACTCCTAAACAGGTAGGTTGAGCCACCCCCTCCAAAAACAGTGTGCTTAATTCTTCCTGATTGAGAGACTGACTGGCCCGGCTGGAATGCGGATTCTTCGGTGGCTATCCCTTCCAAGTTCCAGCAGTGACAGAATCCGGGGACTGCTGCTAACGCCCCCGCAATGCAGGCATCCGCATTCCCCGCATGTCGATCGACAGGAAAGTGACTCTCGTCGGCTGCCATCGCGGCATTGCATATCTCCTCCATCAGACCACTCTCGGCCAGTCACAAAATATCTGAGTACACGCACCAGAAATATAAATATGTCGGCCTTTTCAAGAACAGTGAGTGCATTCGAGCAGCCCTTTCTATTCACTTTCAGAAATGAAGGCCTTTCTATGTTTGCCCCTATTCAGCGCCGGGCTAACGCTCGCCCTGCCTCACAGCAAAGCCAACCGATCTCTCCTCTCCTACCCCACTAAGCCGCGCGTCTTTATCCTTTCTGATATTGCCAATGAGCCCGATGACTCCGAGTCGCTCGTCCGCTACCTGGTCTACAGCAATCAGTTCCAGAATGAGGGCATCGTGGCCACCACTTCCACGTGGTTGAGAGATGAAGTGCGTCCGGGTTTGATGCTGGACACTATCGAAGCCTACGCAAAGGTGGTGGACAACTTGAACAATCATGCTCCCAAAGATGCGCCGTTTCCGTCGGCCGATTATCTACGGGGGATTGTATCTCACGGGCTGCCTGTACGTCCTACCTACAGCTGCGAGGTTCATAGTTAACTGGAGGTACAGGTCTACGGCATGAAGGCTCTCCTAAACAACAACACCTATAGCCCCGGCACAGAACTTCTCATCAACAGCATCACCAACACGTCTTCCGACCAGCCTCTCTGGGTCCTCGGCTGGGCCGGCACCAACGTTCTTGCTCAAGCTCTTCTGAATATTTCTCTCACGCACTCCGCCTCCGCGGCAGCCGCTCTCCGCGCGAATCTCCGAGTTTACGCCATCTCGGACCAAGATGACACTGGCCCTTGGATCCGCCACAACTGGCCCGACATCCACTACGTCTCTTCTGTGCACGGATTCGACCAGTATGCAGGGGCGACCTGGCCGGGTATTTCTGGCGAGACAGGCTACGACTTCGACAAGGGTGGTCCAGACACCTCCCTCGTGTCTCACGAATGGCTAAAGAAAAACATCCGAATCGGTACTCTGGGCGCGAAATACCCGGATTTCGAATACATCATGGAGGGAGACAGCCCGACGCTGCTGTATGTTATCCAGAACGGACTGGGTGATCGAGAACACCCTCGATATGGCAGCTGGGGCGGCCGATATTCGGCTGTTTGTGACAACTGCGACTGGGACAATCACTACAGCGATGCGGAGGACCAGGTCATCGGCCTGAACAATCAGACGTTCAAGTCGAACAAAGCGACGATCTGGCGTTGGAGAGAGGCGTACCAGAACGACTTTGCAGCGCGGATGCAATGGACGTTGTCCGCTTCGGAGACCAACGAAACCTGGAATCACAACCCGGTAGTTATTGTGAACGGGACGGGCGGGTTGGATCCGGTGCCCGTGAATGTATCTGTTGGGGAGAGGGTGGCTTTTGACGCGGGTGAGACATATGATCCAGACGGCGATAGTTTGTCATTCCACTGGTTCCAGTATCTGGAGCCGTCCACGGACAACGCGTCCGCGAAGGGAAATGTGGGGGAGCTGAACATCACAAGCACTTCTGAGGGGAGAATGGTGTCGGTTGCGATTCCATCTACGGAAAACACCTGCGATGAGGATGGTTGTCAGTTACTACATCTGATTTTGCAAGTGAAGGACACGGGCAGTCCGCCGTTGACCACGTACCGGCGAATGCTGATCCAGGTGTCCAACACCACTGCACTCTAAACCAACTATCGATGAAACCAGCGAGCTGAAAGTTAAAACATGTCTAGTTACACTGAATGCCACCATTTGGCAAGACTACTGCAGCCAAGGTTGTTGTGTCCAGCCCTAACCAGTCAGCGCCACGGACCGACCGATGGGCGAACACGAGGTCTGACTTGGGACAGGCCGCCCATCCAACGTAGCAGATCCAGCCCCTCTTCTGTCCCCTGCCGTCGTCTCGTACATCAGCTGCGCATTGCCTCGCTCGTCAGATCAGCTCGTTTCTTTGTTGAGCAATCAGGGGTGTCTTTCCTTGTGGCCACCGTCCCTCGCGCAGACTTTTTCTCAACCTTCGGGACGACTCCCGGATCCCATCCAGCACCAGATGCCCAGAGCGCCGTTCCGATAAAATGCTGCCCATCTCGATGGTATCTCATCTGCTGGCGATCGCGGCGATGCTCGCCACCGCTCGAGCCCAATACAGCAGCACTGACGTGCCCTCCTCCACCACCAGTACTACCCGTACCTCCCAGGCATCCACCACCACCACGACATCTACAACAGCAACCCACACCGTCCAAGTCGGTTCGAAAGAAGATCCCCATCAGTATTTGCCACATAACATCACCGCCGCGGTCGGCGATGTCATCGTGTTTGAGTTCTATCCGCGGAACCACTCCGTCGTGAAAGCCGACTACCTGGCACCATGTGTGCCCGCCAGTGGGACCATCTTCTACTCGGGGATTTTTAATAGTTTTAACGAACAGGATGGAGACCTCGTTGGGCCGGTAGGTTGATTCCACTCATAAAACAGATGATACTGACGATGTAGCCACCAACATGGTCCCTCGTCGTCAACGACACAAAGGTACACCCCCTAATACAACCCACGTCATCGCACCAACTAACCATCATCAGCCTACATTCTTCTACTGCACAGCAATCGACTCCTGCATCGGAAATGGCATGGTCGGCGTCATCAACCCGGTACGCCTCCTCCATAACCCCTCTCCTCCCCAGTCCTCCAAACTAACCCGATCCCAGAATGCGACCATGACCTGGGAAGCCCAATATGAAAAGGCCAAAACGTACCCCTACATGCTCGTCCCAGGCCAATCCATGCCCGCTGAAGGCACCATTCCCCCTTCCTCCAGTGCGACCTCCACCTCCACCCCGTCCTCGTCTTCATCCCACTCAGGCCTCAGCACCGGTGCCATCGTCGGCATCGTCATCGGTAGCGTCGCCTTTGTCGGGCTCCTCGGGGCCCTGTTCTTCCTCCTCGGTCGGAACCGAGTCTATAAGCAATGGATGTCGAGCCAGGACGGTCGACACGAGCGCACCGCCCGGTGGGCAGCCCTGCTGAGTCCGAGTTCAGGCAACACGAACACGGGGCCGAGGAAGAGTGAGATGGAACATAGCACGGGCATGCCCCAGAGTGAGTTCCCAGGCTCAATGGGAGGGATGTCCCCGCCCCAGCAACAGACAGGCGGGGGACTCTGGGGATGGGATTCTACCCAGCCACAGCCACAGCCACAGCATCAGGTATACCAGGGCCCAGGTCACGGACAAGGACAGGTATATTATGAGGCTATGGCGCGCGGACCATCTGAATTGGAGGCACCGACTCGATGATGATGATCAGGCAGCAACCATCTCACGGACGAGTAGGTAAATAGGACCGGACCGGAACGGACACGGAGTAGTACATTGTGAGCGTTGCTTACTTTCACGACTGATGGATGTATTGTTATTCCCGAGCTCAATTGCTATGTATACTGATTGCAAAGTTGAAATTCAATAATATAATTACCTATAGACATCCAGCAGATAGCAGACCACCCGGGCCTACCTCCCACACCCACAGTCCCAATCCCAATCCCAGTCTCAGTCTCAGTCTCAGTCTCATTTAATTTACACTTCAATAGTCCCAAGCCCCAAACTCAGCCCTCAGCCCCCAACCCAACCCCAAGATCCCCCCTCGAGGAAATTAAGAGCAGTTCGACCCCCCATAAACAAAAGTTCCATCAGAGTCCTCACATCCACAAGTTCCATCATCAGGGCTGCGGATACATCCGGTACCGGAACCGGAGGATTCTCCGTTGTCACTATATGCTCTGTTAGCGCAATGTCCTTGCTTATTCTTATTCGGTGTGTTTTTAATCTCCTCATTTGGAAATTGAAAGGTGGGAGGGATAGGGTAAACGTACTTCCAGAAGAAAGTCCAGCAGTCATCATCGTCGTCCGTCATTTCGCTATCCGTGGGAGCAGTGCAAGTGTAGGCGGCGCAGGTGCCGTAGGGAGCACCGTAGGAGGAGTCATATTGGTGGTCAGTCTTGAAGACGGCGAAGGTTTGGGTTCCTTTTTATATATCAGATTAGTGTTTTTCTCTTTTGGGTTATCTTTGGGGGTGGGGTGGGGGTACCAGAAGTCCGAGTGTTGTGGGAGCATTCGGCGGCTTGGATGGCGGTGGAGGTTTTGGCGGCTGTTTTTTATTCATTTATTCGTTAGTATTTGGTTTGGTTTGACTTGGTTTGATTTCTTGGGGGAATATTATTGTATTCGATAATCTTGAATAGGAGAAAGGATTGGGGAAGAAAATACCAGAGCAGTTATAAGTGCCGGGACACTTTCCCTTGGTGTTGGTGGTGGCGGGATTAACGGTAGCAGTGGCCAGCACGGCACCGAGGACGATGGTGAGGAGGGATTTGGCGAGCATTTTCGGTTCTTTTATCTTTCCTGAAGATATAGGTTGTGTAGTGATTATAGTAGTAGTAGTACTTGTAGTAGAAATAGTAATAGTTTCTCTCCAGTGTCCAAGGAAGCCTTTATATCTTAGGAAATGTAAATGTGGAAACCTATATCACCACACCTACTATTATCATCCACGTACGACACCCACTTCATTCAAAACAGGGGGTGCGGTGGGACGCATCTAGAATTCTCTATAATATGGGATTTTGGACGGTGGGGGAGTGTTTCGGGTTGGTTGGGAATTGGGGATTGGGAGATGCGATGCGCGCGCGCTAATGTTTAAGCTTGTTTGAGGTTGGGTGAGGGATCCACTGCGGGTGGTAGATTAAGGGGATCGACGGACTAGAAGACGGGAAGGAGGATTATTTGGGTGGTTATCTAGGTAGAGTCTAGACGGGGGAATTGGGGGGTTGTTTGGGTGGTGATGTTGGGGTAGTAGATAGTGTGGTCGTCACTAGTGTGGGTAAGTGTATGTTGGTATGGATCTATAGGGATTGTGGTTGCCTGGATCGATGTTGGTTCATCGTGATGGTCATGCCATCGGTTGGCGGTACGGCACGGGAACACGTATCTACTATGTCTACTATGTATTTGGTGGCTAGTCTGATACAGCTTGTCAGATGGAACTTTTGTTGTAGACTGGTCTAGATCACATCTCCATTATGTTTCGACTCCATTTCATCCAGTCATCATCAACTTGGCATTGCCAGAAGACACACCCCCTCATTACGAGTAAAGTGTAGCTCCATCTCAGTCCCGTCAATCCCGTAGGTAACCCATCAGCCCGTCAGTCATCAAGTCGTGTCGCGTTCAGCCCTCCAATGGCACACAGTCCGGCCCCAGTTTTCTCACCAGCACCTCCGCTCCATCCGGCGTCCATTCCCCTCCACTAGTGCCAGTCGTGCCAATTTCAGTAGTAGGAATAACCATCTCCAGGTCCAGCGTCGCAACGTCCAGCTCCGCAATAGTCGGGATCAAAGAATTGACGAGCTGGTGAGCAGATGTGCGAGCCGTGACGCCGCAGCTGGTTTTGCCGCAGACCGGAACCGCAACTTCAAAGACCTGAGCTTCGGCCGCCCCTCCCAGCGTCGCGTTCATGTCGGGGAATTTCCACCGACAGTGGACAAGCTGCCCCAGTCGCATGATCAGGCGTCGGCGGGGTCCGTCTTCCAGTCCGGATTTGCTGGTCCGCGTAAACATGATGGGCTGGTGCACGAATTTGCGAGCGGCGGTCGGCTCAGTACAAACCGCGCAGGAATATTTGGCGATCTGAGAAAGGTACTGCTCGTTGTACCGGACAATGTCCTTGCATTTGGCTGCTTTATCGGCTTTGTTTCTGCAGGATCCTGGAAAGAAGTCCTGGCGCCACTGCGACGAAAGGACTATGCAGCTAAGATGGACTGGTCGGTCCGCTTGAGGGCGCGGGTTCCCCACGAACATCGTGACGGCGATCGGATAGAGCTTCTCCCTTTCGTGCTCGACGAGTTGAAAGGAAATCGAGCTGGGAGAGCTGGCGCCGCTGACGACTTCATACTCCTCCATTTCGTCGGTGTCGTTGGTGTCGTCGCTGAAGTGGCTGCGCTCGTCAGCGGGGAGATTGATTCCGAGACCGTGGTGATCCGGGGCAGTATCGGAGGCATCACAATCGATCGCAGAGTGGGTGGAGGCGTGGCTCAAGCCACTGCTGGCGCTCAGCCGCACTTGAGAAGTCGCGGTTTGCGAAGCAAGGGAGCCGCCGGGGTGGCCAGCAAGGGTCTCCCGTGGGCTTGAGGCCTCGTTGTCGTGGACAGGCAAGTCGGACATCCTCACTGCGGATCTAGCAGATGGGGTTCAACAAAGACAAGGGTGACGTCATGTGCAGTGACGTAGTGATTCATGATGAGAATTATTGGTGTTGTGAGCAAGGCTGACAGTCAGAGTGAAGGACAGTGAAGGGACAGTAAAGGGACAGTGAATGGCCGCTGGCCTGAAGGCAGGCGTTGGGAACATTTGCTTGCCCTCACATGGTGCTGGTAGTGTCTGACATGCAAAATCAAAATTGCACTCTTTACAGTTTACACCCACATTGCACGCTGCTGCATGGAAAGTTAAGACGACTCCTGCGGAGACATCGATAGTGTATAGTAGTGGTCGGGAAGATGTAGATGACAGGTATCGCGGCAGAGATATAAATAGCCGACCCAGTAATCTAAATTCAACGCGGTCTCATTGGGGCTGTCACCGAATCCATACTTACTACATAATACAGTAAGACCAGCCTCACACAGACCACATAACTGAGACAGCATGATCACACAGGACACAATCCTAGAAACAGATCCCATGCAACCTTGTCCAAGCAGCCCAGCAGTCCAGCAGGCTGGAGAGTGGCCGGACCAACAGCCCGTAAACCTGTAAGGAACACCGCAACCGGCCGCGCCACGTGATGTGAAGGCGGGCGTTGCCCCTTTGCGGCGCCGAAAAGACTCCCCCATCCTGTTCCTGTCTTCCTCCCCCATCTTCGCGACGACCGCTGCTCGGCTTCGTTCCTTTTCTTCTTGCATGTATTCTACTCGTTTTGCTCTGTATGATCAGGCTGCCTACTTTAACTTCCCGCTCCCTTCCTCGTCTCCTCGCCCCCGATCGCGTGTGTGAGTACTCCACTCGGATCGCTGTCGTGGCTTGATTTACGATCGTCGTACCTGGATTCAAACTTTCTCGATCATCCTTCGTTTACGGCCTACCTGTCTGTTCATGTGTACCGTTGCATATATCACATAAGTATTTTAATATCTCTTCAATTGATCCACCGGTGCGCCCGATCCCACATCATGAAGATCCACCACCTGTCGTCGCCGCTTCTCCTTCTCCTCCTGCCTGCTCTTTCGACCGCGCTCGCGGATCCAAGCTCGGCCAACAATAGCGTCAAGGATACTCCTCTCGCAGAACGTGAAGCCTTGGCCCCGGGTGCCGTCGAACTCGATGCCGTCACCGCACCCAAGTCCGCCAAAGGGACGCTGGACGCCCCGATTGACGGTAAGGATGGCCGGCCGCACGCCGGTCCTTGGGTGGAAACAAGTGCAGAGCGGGATCGCAAGAAAACAGGTTCCTCCACTTGGTCGGAGGAAAAGTCAAAGTCCGACCCCAAGGCTGCGGAACAGCTGGGCCCCGATGGAAGTCCAATTCCTTATTCCAATGATGGCGTGATGGATGATCCCCATCGGACTGGTCCCAAGGAGGGTACTCGTGGAACAGAGGGTGGCGTGTCGGAAAAGTTGAGGGAGCCATACTCTAACGAGAAGACTCCGGGCAGTCCGAAGGAGGCTCCGCCGTTGCCGCACAGCGAGTCGCAGAAGCTCCCGGTGTCGGATGAGGATTCTGAGGTGAAGGACACCAAGAGCCCGAGCGCCGACTCGAACTTGGGCAAGCTGGAGGTATTTAGTTGAAACACGAGAGTTGAAAACGCATGCTGATGCAGTCCCAGAAACCCGCCGACTTGCCCGATAAGCCGCACGACATCCCCCCTCCGAAATCGCCCTCCACAGTCAAAGACAGCCCTCTCGGTCTCGACAAGCATGGCTCTACCCAGCCTGGTGAGTCGCTCGCGGAGGGAACTGCGTTCCATTCGTTGTTGTTCTCCTTCACCATGATCATCGTCTCGGAGATCGGCGATAAAACCTTCTTGGTGGCCGCACTCATGGCCATGCGTCACCCGCGTCTGCTCGTCTTCTCTGCCGCGTTCAGCGCTCTGATTTTCATGACTGTTCTCTCGGCTGTTCTGGGACATGCTGTGCCTACTCTGATCCCCAAGTCCGTGACGAAGCTGTTGGCAGCTGTCTTGTTCCTCGTGTTCGGTCTGAAGATGCTCAAAGAAGGTCGCGAGATGTCGCCCGACGAGGGTGTCGGAGAGGAAATGAAGGAGGTTGAGATGGAACTGGAGGAGAAGGAACAAGAGCAGCGGCGTATGAGTCGTCGGTCTTCCGTGACTCCGCACTCGCTGGAGGCTGGTCGCGTTGGACGTCGCAAGTCCCGTTCGTCCGGCAACCGTCTCCCTTCGCCTCCGGAGAGCGTGTCGTCCTCGTCCTCGCGCGGATCGTCTCCCTCCCGCAACCGCTGGGGCGACCTTCTCGTCGGCATGAACAACCTCTTCTCGCTCCTGCTCAGCCCCGCCTGGGTTCAGACCTTTGTTATGACCTTCCTGGGCGAGTGGGGTGACCGTAGTCAAATTGCTACCATTGCGATGGCCGCTGGTCAGGATTACTGGTGGGTGACTATCGGTGCCATCACTGGACACGGACTTTGCACTGCTGCGGCCGTCATTGGCGGCAGTGCGATTGCTGGCAAGGTCAGCATGCGCGTTGGTATGTATCTCTACTGTTTATTTGGTGATCACTGGCTAACCTACGGCAGTAACGCTGGGCGGTGCCACGGCATTCTTGGTATTCGGTGTCATCTACATGTTTGAGGCCATCTACTAAACTTCTGTCCATGCTATGTTGGCATATCGGGCGGTTTTCTTCAGTATAGATTATGCGATAATGGTGCATGTACTTTAATTTTCGTGCCTTAGCGTTAGGCAACGACTTTCCTGATCAGAGTTCTGTTTATGAGACAGCCAGTTCTGCTAATCATAATGTAATCAAGCTCTATCGTAGCATCACCCTTTTCAGCGTTTATCCTCAAGAACCAAAAACACTATATACACAGCGAACAAAACCACCCCCGCAACCCGACTCGGCTCAAGAAAAACAACAGCTGTAAAGCCCACCGCAGAGATCCACACCATAACCAAATCAAAAAGCACCAAAGAATCTCTACCTGCCTGATCAACAGAACCCCCCGCAACAGCCACCACCCCAACACAAAGCGTCAAGAGAAAGATATTACTCCCTGCCGTAGTGGCAACAATAATCCCTCCCTGTCCGCGAAGTCCACTCATCACTGAGATTAACTTCTCAGGTAGCGTCGTCGCAAAGGCAATAACCGTTAAGCCTAAAACGGTCCCTGATACCTGGAGAGAATCGGCAATTAAACCTGCGCTATGCGCGAGGATGTATCCAGAAAGTGAGAGCGCAAGGAGGCCGACGAGCAGGTGGAAGATATGGTGAGTAAGTGCCCGTGGGATCTTTTGTTGTTCACTGGTTGGGTTGGTGGGTTGACGTGTCCTACTAGGAGAGGAGATTCCTCGGATACCCGCGTGGTGGAGATATGATCATCAGTATCACTATCGGTATCATTATCACTATCTGATATCTGAGGCGGGTCTGTTACACCCTTATAGATAGCATATCCCGTGGAAATGGTATAGATGGCGAAAATGGCGATGAGGATCCCACCGGTGACTCGATTGAGTAGGTTGAAGAATGCCAGAGCCACGGATAACGTGGTGATGGAGAGAAGAAGCGCGGAGTAGATCTTTGCGCTCCTATCGAAGTAAACTCCGCTTGGATGGAAGAGGAGACCTAGGGAAAAGGCACCGAGGATGTTGGAGATCGTGGCGCCGAGGACGTTGCCTAGTGCTAGAGGGGAGCGGTGTTGGAGGATTGCAGAGATGACCACGGCTAGCTGGGGGATGTTGTTAGTATGAAGATGAGAGGGGAAGGGGGGGTTGGTGGGGAGTACTTCTTCGTACTCGGCTCCAGCGGTTAAGAGAGCGATTAGAGTGGGTGAGATGCCTAATCGTTGTCCGATGATAACGGTGTGGTCGAGGAATTTGTCTGCCCCATAGTCGAGAACGAAGACCCCGGTGATGAATGTCGTGCTGTTGAAACAGAGGATGTCCCAGTTCATGAAGTGGGATAGTGCTTTGTGTGTTAGAGCTGTTGGTGCTGGTTTCTGTACTGCATGTGCGATAGAAGGTGTGCAGTTTGGCTTCTGTTTAGTGGGTACAATGGTACAATTACTAGGTTGAAGGGTCACATGATCAGATATAGCCAATTGCAGGTCACTAACAAAGTATGAGAGGACAGTGGTAATTATTGCTAGGTGCAAGTGTCTGTGATTGATGAAAGAGCTGATTTGTCTTGCGCATTGCCCAAGAAAACAGATGGTCTTGAAGTTTCATATACCGTCGCTATTCATGACACACTGTCCATTTTCTTCCTCATAGAATAAATGCCCCTATTTTGAACATGAGAAGCATATATTTACTGTCTAAGTAGTAATGAATAGGAGGAAGAATAAAACACCGTGTAGCCAATTCTGCAGAAAAGGAATCCATGATGCTATAACCACCTATACCATACGGATAGTAGACCTAACTGTTCATCACCAGCATCACATCAGCTCGGATTAATACTACTAAGACTACGTTCTGGAGCTAGTATTTTATTAAAATCCAGCTGGAACACGAAATTACATCTGGTTATATCCCAAATTGCTTAAACTTACCCTTCTATCAGAATGTTGCAGCCCAAGCCAGCGACACCTTTTTCAGGCTATATCTCAACAACCACTCTAAGGATTGGCCTAATATTATGAAATTGACAAGATATAGTAGGCAACGAGACTGATATTGATCTTTACTTTGGGAAAAATCGGTAGCAACATAACATCGTCGATTTACTTAAACCGGAAACCGACCACAATTTCCACACAACGCATCGACCCAGCTCATGAGTACCTTCATCTTTTACCCTTCCACTGCATACAGTATCATAAGCGCTCCATCACTCAACAGTCATGTGTCAGGTGCAATAAGAGTGGTTTATTGTGATGTTTATTAGGGTGACGTTTATTAGGGTCTGGGGGTTTTTTAGGGTGTGGGGTTTTCTGGGGTTTTCTGGGGTTTTTAAACCCTACTGCCTAATTCTGCCGCTTACATAATCTAGTTACCCCAAATCTGGCACAATTTTTAGGGTCTGACCGCTGAACCTCCCCTAGTTGAAATTCTCTTCCTTCTACCACTCCTACACCACCCGACAACCATCCTCAGCCAACTACAGTATCAGGGTTTCATCAGTTTCCATTCAGAGGAGACTTATGCCATCATTTCTGGATTCTTTGAGCGTATAAATCGCCAGTTGCACGTGCTCCGGCAGCTGACCGCCTTCCTTTCCTCTGGGGGAGGGAAGTTTGTTGTGGTAGAATGGCGAGATTGGCCCGGTCGCGAGAGGCTGCTCAGTCCTCAACTGAGCACTGGGTTACGTCGAAGGGTAAGGCCTGGACTGGGAGTCCTATTCGGAGACGAGTAACGCGTAGCCAAAGTCGTGATTTGGAGGGATCCGGACCTCAGCAGCACGATGATGGCGAGGCGTCGATGGATGCCGGTCGCAGAAGGGGGGGAGGCCTAGGTAAAGGTCGTATGGGCGGAGAGGGTGAGTCTCTCTACCATTTGTTTGAGCGTTTCTCACGGTCGATTAAATAGGCTTGGATGTCGTTTCCGAGGAATCTCCCCTCCAGTCAGCTCCGAGGCTCGGCCAGTATGCAAACCAGGTCATTCCAGAGACTCCAGAAGAGGAGGCCAATATCTCTGGCACCACTATCCTGCCTTCAGAGCCAGATCTTGATTTAGATCCTGATATAATGGTGGAGGCTCTCCCGGACTTGGAGCGTGCTGCTGGCAATGTGCTTGACTTTCTCGTCCCCGGGTCCGCAGACCCCGTCAGCATCATTAGCACTGCGAAGAAGCTGGGAGATCCTGGCAGTACTCAAAGCAGACGTCTGCAGCGGTCGGTGACCAATCTAAACCATGAGGTAAAATACTTTGGCCTATCTACCCATTCGACCTACCTCGATGTGGAGCAGATTGTGAAGGTCAGTGGGCTGGAAGACCGCTGGAAGCCGTTTCTACACAAAGCCAATTGTGCTCGCTTTGCGTTGCGAATGCTCCTTGCTAGACCTGGCACCAATTCTTCCCCAGAGCAGACAATCTCCAGCATCCAAGCACAGTTCCCTCTGCCTTTCATGACAAATCTGGTCGAAAAGGATGTACAGAAATCGGTCGACGAAAGCTACTTGGACAAAGATACATTTGAGCTTGCGCTGGAGATCCGTACCCAGTACTTGATAATGCAGCTTGAAGCACACCAGGATGACGACGACTTCGACCCAGTTGAGATACTGACAAGTGGTTTTTTCTTGCATTTGCCCAAGGATGCGACCGAGGATGCTGAACGTCGGTTCCGCGGTTTCAACCTGGAGAGGTTCACTGGCCTCAGGCAGGAGCTTCCCTCTAGGTATCGAAGTGATGTTGAGGATCGTTACAATGATATGCGTGTGGTTTTAGAGGTAGACGGTACCCTTGAGGCACTCAAGGGTGACTACCGTTGGCAGAAGTTTGTTATGCAGGCTGTCCGATGGATTCGCAAGAGGACGGACGAAATCAACAATGACCTGATACACATGGATGATGTTTACTCCATGTCAAAAACCCGTCACAGCCTGGGAAATACTATGGGCTTCTCTACGCCTAGTAGTCAGCGGATGGAGAATCGTTTTCCTGTGGTCAATAATTCTGCGCGGAAGACTGTTGGCTTTTCAGATGGTCAAGGCCCATCCCAGCCTTTAGTCCGAGCATCTCCCGTGAGCTCACAAAGGACTGCTACACCCGCGCCTGCCCCCAACCCTCATACTGTGCCAGATATTATCGAACCAGAGACAACCGTGCCAAGGGTCGCTTCAGTGCCCCGCGATGTTTTGCCCCCTGCTGACACGAGGGAGCCTACTTCGGAGGTTAGTGATCGAAGGAAGTCTTCCAGACCGTGAGTATCCCGACCATGCACATCTATCCACACGTTAACCTAGAAAAGCTCCTTTTTGAATAAAGCGGCAATCAACCGAGTGATGCAACGTCAGCAACAACTCCGGGGCTTGACTGAGACGTCCAGTTCTCACCGACAATCAGACTTTGTCAGGCCGAACCGTCCTGATGTGGCACAGCAGTCTACATCCGACAGGCGACAGACCGTAGCTGCAATGCCACCTCGGCAGAGGTCGGTATCCGCGCAGCCCCATGAGACCTTTGATGCCTCTCGCACGCTCGTGAACGAAGACTCTCAGGTAAATGATGACACTCAAGTAAACGACGACTCTCAGGTGAACGACGACACTGAGGCATATGAGGAGACTGAGTTGAACGAGGAGACTCAGGTGAACGACACGGAGGTATATGAGAATCGGTTGAACGATAACTCCACCGTAATTGATGAGACGGAGATTACTGTCAACGACGAGCCTCTTGATATAAGTCAGCATACCGAGAGTCATCCAGAGAGGTCCCACAGTCCTCCAATGAACAGGTCCGCTTCAAGACCTCGCCACGCACCTACTTCTTCACTGGCCCCGCCTACAACAAACAACCTCGCACTTCCCTCAAGCAGGGATGTTTGGAATATGGCAAAACCGCAAGCGCCCCCTCGTCTGGATGCCAATCACAGTTCACGCCCTGCATTCATTGATCGCCAAGAAAATGCCGTGCGCGTATCCCCTGTCAGCCAGGCATCGGACATCAGAAGTGTTGAACGGAGGCCTCGTGGACGACCTCCCAAACGCCGACGTGAGACCAGCAGTGTTTCAGAAAGCGACGACGAGTTTGATACAAATGATCGTGTAGTAGACACAGAGCGCCGGCGTGCCGCTAAGCCAGTGCAGGCGCGGCAGAGTAAGCGTGCAAGGGTGGACAATGGTCATGAAGATGGCCGAGATGGCGTCGAAGAGCAGCGTCGGCAAGGATCGCAAGATGCTGCTCGGTCTCCAGCACGTACGCAGGCCGAATCACACCAAGGAAGCAATCAAGAGTCCACCTCGCCGCCACCTAGGCGTAAAACTGTTTCTGCCCGAGGAAGACAATCGAGGGGCTGGTCAGAGGCTGAAGATACACGACTGGTACGTTTGATCAAAGAACACGGCATCTCATGGGCGAAGATCGAAAATGAAAACCTGGTTCAGCCCGAGAAGGCGGGCGAAACCCGGATTAAGGATCGAAACCAGGTGCAACTGAAAGACCGCGCAAGAAATCTGAAGATTAAGTTTTACCGGTAAGTTGTCATTGCACTTCTCACATCAACATTGAAGAGAACATTTCCAGCTAACAGAGATTAGGGAGGGATTACCAATCCCCGAGAATTTTGGTGGCGTGACGATGAAGAGGGGAGATTGTGCGAGGCTCGAAAGAAACGGTGTCGATTTATCTCGTGAGCAATGAATTGGAGCAGTTGGGTCTAGGGTTCACGAAGTATATGCTCATCATTTTCTGCTGGACCAAGAATGAGTCAGGATATTTTCATAATATCTGTTTTGGGGGGTTTTGGGTTCTGTGACGGTCTATGTATATTGGAGCTCATGGCAGATGTTGTTTTGTACTAATGCTTTCGATCTCGTAATCTACTTATTCCACCTCGTGGCTGGTATTCAGTCTGTATTGTATACGGCAAGGTACGGATGCCGGGTACCGCCGGGTTGATCTCCGCCTGCCAGCCAGCCGACTGCCACCCGCAAATGTCAGCAGCAGCAGCTGTCAGCTTCAATTACCCCCCCCCCCCCCCCCCAGCGTCGCATTCAACGCACCTCGTCAGGATCGGTTCCCACAATGAGTCTCAGACGTAGCTGTGTCTTCTGTCGTGCCAGGAAGATCCGATGCTCGGGCGAATCCATCTGCAGTGCTTGTGAGAAGCGCAACCTCAGCTGCGTCTACAGTTCTGAAGCTCGCAAGGGACGACCCAAACAGAAGGGCACAGCATTCCAGCCTCCACCCGGCCCGGATACTCATCTCAACAATGGCGGAGAATCTCTGCCATCCTCTTCCTCCAGGACCTCCGTGGAGGGCGCCTCTCACAGCCCGGAGTCTGCAACTGACCCCACTCTGAATGACATTGTGGGCGATGAGCTGGAGCGAAGGTTCAACGTCTACTATATTACAAAATCCGAGTCATGCAACGACCTCTTCCAAAACTCAATCGTCGCCCATCGGTGGGATATGGAGCAGTCTCAGACTCCGCCACTCCGTCCAATCAAGCCCCCTTTGAGCTACGATGGATTGTTGTCTTTTATGGCCTCCGAGATGGTGGGCATCCTGCCGCTTCGTTTCAGTTACTTGGGGGACCCGCAACCGGATATACCCAACCAAAACTACTTCCTCTCTAGCTTGGCAGCTGATGAAACGCTGACAATGTTCGATACTATTGAGATTGATCCCGATCCTCTGATGGCGCTTGGAAGACATCTTGTCCTTCAGCTAGTCGATGTGTGGTTCTCCGCGCATCCTTTATCGCCATTGGTTTCTAAAACGCTACTAACAGCAGCAATCCAGGACGAAACGGTGGATAGAGCCCTTTTGGGGGTCATCTTGGCCGATGCGTGTGAGATGCAGCTCATCACGAACGGGCCGGATGGAGATGTACTTAATGATCCCCAGGTACTATGCCAATTTGCTCTCTTGCAGTTGAAGCAACGTGCTCTATCACTTGATCATCCGTTGGTTCTATCCACGGTCCAAGCAATATTCCTGATTGGATGGAGAGAGTTATGCCTTGGCCATGCTCGTCGCACTACTTGTTTGGCAGGCTACGCCTGCCGTCTGATTGCCAGCCTGTACACCTTCTGGCAGACTGGTAGCGACAGGGTGTGTAAGAGGAAGCTGAATGGTGTGGACGTGGGCGTTGTTGAACAGGAGCTTGTGCAGAATATCTACTGGTTGTGTTTGGCTACCACCACGTGGGCCTTTATGCAGAGCGACCAGCCATTCACGCTGCTCACCCCGGAAACAACGCCTGACTTCCCGTGCTTGGATGAGACTACCTCGGCCATTCTCCGCCTGGATCGTGCATCGGGCAATGTCTCTACGCTACAATCACAAGTCCAGGCTATGCGGTGCCTGTGGCCGCTCAGCCACATCACTAGTACCGTGGCGCATATCTACACATTATACCTCAATACGCCGGCAGAGGACAAGCCAGGGCAATCAGTACCATGGCATAAGCAGCACCTCCATCAGTTGCATCAGCTTTTCCAGCCTTCCTTTGACCGATCTGTTTTGGCGTCAAGGATGCATAGAATTCTCCTCCTCGCCATTGAGCTCGTCACGAGCCAGGTCGCCATCATGTCCTCACGGTCATTTCTATTGAATGCTTATCATAGCATCGCTATCCATATGCTCTTCTCCGGGGATAAGGTTAGTCAAGAGCGGCAAATGATCTCGCCATCTATCATCGATTCTTTTTGTCAGTCTGCTTCTGCACTCCATGCCATCGCTCAACAAAACTCTCCGCAATCGACAAATCTGATGCCAACGCAAGTACATCGAGGCATCGAGGGTTCAAACATGATGCTCTACGGTCTTGACACATGCAGCAGAGGTCTCTCATACATCTACACCCGACATGAGCGGGGTTCAATAGAGGAGCGCAATACGATTAGCATGAGGCAAACCCAGCTGGTAGATATCGCCGGTCAGCTGTATCAAACTTGCAAAGTGGATACAGTGTCTCGTTTAGGATCTGCGTTACTACCAGTGAAGAAACGATTCAAGCGTGCGAGGGTAGCCTTCGAGCTTCTTGGATCCGCGGCAGTTCCTCAATCGGGGCTCTCTGGTCAGAATGAGAGCAATCCTACGAGTAATTGGGCTTCGCAAAACGAGATCCTACTGGACCCAGGGATCACCATCGACCATCTGGCAGGCCAGTCTGTTAACTCCGGTTCTCTGCCGGCTATGGCACCCGACCCGTCCCTAGCATCCTCTGGGAATCCTGCTGAGGTCATCGATGCGGGATTTTTCATGAACGGTCCGGTCACAGCGTCCCTTCTGGGGTTCCCCGGTCTTGCCAAAATGAATATGCAGCTACATGACTACCTCTTTCAAGAAGAAAGCGATCCGAACCAGGATATGTTTGGTCTCTTTGGCCAAGGCACGAGCGAAAATTTGACTTAAGTAATCCCGACATCAAGTCTTATACCCGTCGTTCGCCGTTCATATATGGAAATTGTCTCAAATTAAGTAATAAAGTCCTTTCTAGCTGCTGTAAGCAGCTGGGTCTTTTGATGGGGTATCGTGAACATCTGAAGGGGCACGTCCAACGCATGCATCGAGGTATCAACTAGGCTGCAACATCATGACTGCAGCTCGTGCCTCATCCGGTCTACTTCCAATTCTGCTGGATCTGCCGGGGTCTTCATAAAGTGGACACTGTACTGTTGTTGTTCAAACATCGAATTACCACCAGCAGAGGCTATTTGTTGTAACCGCCGCCTTTGCTTTCTCTCCCAGGCGCCCCACACAATAGCAGCGCTCGCAATAACACCGAGTGGAACACCAACCCCGACACCGATGGCTGTATCCTTGGAAGAGGAGCCGGAGGAACCTGAAGAAGAGGAGCTCGCGGATGACGAAGCACTTGGGAGGGAGGTGGAAGACGAAGAACAATTCGTTGAAGAAGCCGTATCATTCCTCTTGGTGGTGAGATTCGCAAGTCCAGCATACCCAACTATCATCTTGCCTGTGGCAACCTCGAACGAGTTTCCATATGGGCAAATCACATCACTTCCATTACTGATCGGTGTACCGCAACAATACGTCGAGACGCCATCCACATAGAGAAGGTTGATAATGGAGCTGCCGCCGCTTTTGTTGACATCCTCTATTAATTGTAAACCATAATATGTCAGTTTATCTCGCACGGATAATGAACATCGCCTGGGCAAGCAGCACGCACGACAAACCGACGGACAATTCTCCGACTCCCAATCCGGATCGGTACATGCTCCTCTGGACAGAACATATGGCTGTTCCGCCGTGTCCATGCAGAGGTTGTTCGATAGACAGATATCCCCAGTGCCGCAGCACGCGGAATGGCCATCCGACGAGCAGGGAACGTTTTCCGTGGCAATGTTACCATTGGGAAAGTAGCAGGTGTTTGCCGCGCTGACGGTCGTGCATGATGCGACGAGGAGAATAAACGAAGCAGCGATCCCCCTGATACCCATAGCGAATGAATGATAATCTTCCAGGTGTCACCATCAAAAACAGGAGAAGAAGGAAAGAAGACAAAAAGGAAGACCCCCAGGACAAGGCTGAAAGCACGCACTTCAAATTCAACGGGGGGCCGACCAGACTAGCCGGCGGCTAGAATATTAATGCGACTGCTCAGCCCGTGCCACGTTCGGGCCTTCAAGCCCAGAACAGGATTTATTCATGGCTTGGAGGTGGGGTGACTTGTCGGGTTAAGATTGAGCTCAATCCTTAGCGCTTATGGGATCGCTGCGCAGCTGCCAATGAGACACTTCCTTGCGGACGTTAGGTGCCTTGCGGCTGAAGCTAAAAGAGTAGTTAAAAATGAGGATTCTGTTGTGCAATATGGACGGCTGGATGCAACCATTAAGAGGGCCTGCGTGACGGGACTATCCACTTAGTGGCCCTCCTGTCTGCTCATTAGCGCCTATTATTCTGGTATGGTTGGTTGCCCGTCCACACCGCCAAGGAAGGGTCTTTCCTCTCTCGACTCTCGAGATAAGGCACTCGACTTGGTTGCGAGGGATGCTAACTCGAACCATTCAGCAATTGGCTGGCATCGTCATATCCGGGAATAGTGAGTATCCTTCAGCTATACTACACCCCTCCTAGAATAATCCAAGCTAGAATTCTCCAACAACCACACAAACCCCTCCATGACCAGGACATATCTACAATACACCCCGACCCCGGGACACATTTCCGGAAAACCCGCGCAATAACATGTGGCCAATGGTCATACCAGTGGACCACAAAGCCTCAGCGGGACGCACAAGGGTTTAATATCATCCCCTATCTAGGCTGCCTACTAGTATCTATCTAGCATCTATGCACTAACCTAAGAACGGAAGTCTATAATCAATCAGAGTTCTACTTACCATCTACCTAGCTACCAACAACTAACTCCTGTAAGCTAACTGAAACAAAACTTCATGCATTCTCGCAAAGGGATATCTCAAACCAAGAACTAAACTAACCAACTCCCTAACCAGAATCGGCTCAAATCGACCAGCGATCTCTCTCTCTTCTCTTATCCAATCCAATCCAAATTATTATGTATCGATATACCTCTGCGTAAGCCAACATCACATCACAGCATAACTATACACACATACTACCCAACCCAATCCCATTCCTCTTCATCCAAGCCACTTCAAACCAAGAAACCAAAACTTTACAACCCCAAACCCAAAACAACCGACAAGACCACACCCCCTACCATCCCAAACCCAGACCCCACACCCATACCAAGAGCAGAAGCACCCCCAACACTAGCCGACGGACTCACCACCGCCCCACTACTAACCGACCCGGAGCCCGAGGCCGTGACCGACGCCGAGGCCGAAGCCGAAGCCGCAACCACCATCGATGTAGCGGTGACAGACGGGGCAGCTGTCTTGAGTACGTCATCGTTCGCCGCTCCGGCTGGGGAACTGGCCATTGCGACGCCAGTCTCCACGATTGTGGGGTTAACTCTCATGGTTTCCGGGGGGGTCGAGGAGGTTTCGTCGGAGTCGGGGGCGATTACGATGCCGTTTTCAGTGTTGGTGGTGGAGTCGCGTTTGTTGTTGGTGACTGTATTGTCGGTGGCGATGAGGGTGAGGGGAGTGGTGAGGGTGGAGTTGTTGACGAGCCAGGTTGTGGTGTTTCCGCCTGAGGGGGGTTGATTAGTGTCTGTTTGTTTGGGGGTTGAATGTGTGTGGGTGATGGGGCGGGGAAGTGGAGGGGCAAAGGGGTTGGTTTTGTGGGAGAGGGCATGGAAACGTACAGTATTCAGAAGGAAACCCGGAACAAGAGGTCTGGCATTGCGTGGAGGAAACCTTTGCCTCCGACGGAGGCAGCTGGTCACCGCAGTAGCATTCGTTGCCGTTGTGCAGGGCGAAGATGGGCTGGTTTTGCTTCGTGCAGACTTCCTGGCAGTAGCCTTGGGATTGGGATTGGTAGGAACCGGTCGAGGTCAGTTGGCCTGGGGAGGTGTAGCAGCCTACGGTGGTGTAGGCAGAGACGCTAGTCAGGAGAGAAAGGACGGAGAGAGCGACGATATTGGTATTTGATTTGGGCATTTTGATGAACGAGCGAATATGCAGTCGATTTCTGCTTTGATAAAGAGTGGAGATGTGGTATGTAGGTCGGTACGTAGATAGGTACAGTATAGAAAAATCGAACGAAAGATAGACTGATATCAAAACAAACACTGGCAGACATCCTCAACCTAAATATTGATTGATCCCCCATAGTCCAGGATGGGTGGCACACGGCTGACCCAACCCCTTGGGAACTCCCGAGCTTGACACAAAAATCGGCGTGTGAAACGCAGCAGAATGCCGATCTGATGATCGCGTGAATGAACGCCCATCTGATTCTCCGGATTCCAAAATGGTTCGTTCGGCTCCACGTCCCGCGCGTTGCGGCCAATCCCTTGCTGTCTTGGGGCGGTGTTTCATCATCGTTCCTGTCGCTCAGCCCTTGGGGAAGCCATCTTAGTGGCCGCTACGCCTCCGCAATGCGTGTTTGCCGTTCGCCAGGTACCCGGGCGAGGGGTGATGTTTTTGCCCGATGATGTAACGATCGTCGCACTATTGTTTTCTGAGACCACCACGCGGCCGACTATCGATTGTCAGACGCTCTTGGGGGTTTGTGGGGGGTCTTGGACTGTAAGTCCTGCGTGGTTTTGGTTTGTTAGTCGAGGATGTGTCTTAGTCAGGGCTGGGAGGTTACCTGAATTGGGGGTTCCTGAAGTTCCTGAGGTTCCTGAGTGGGTGGATTGCTCGGGTGTTGTTGTGTTCCTGATCCATGGATCAGAGAGCGGGTGGCAGAGAGCGGGCTGGAGAAGGGATCCATCGTGAAGTTGCAACTTTGCAACTTTGCAGTTTGCAGTTTTGCGGTTTGCACATTTGCTGGGTTTGGCTCCGATCACGAGACCGCCCTTGATCCCCTTTCGTCCGGGTCTTCTATCTTCGGCTTCGTCTTCATCTTCTGCTTCTCTTCACCTCTTTCGCCTTAGTCTTCAGCCACCCCGCGAGTTTGCTTCTGTCAATGCTCGACTGTCCCGCATAAATCACCGGCCCTGCTAAGCGCCGATCATCACAAGCTTGATAGCGCCACACAGATGCACTGACGTCTCCTCTGCAGAACGCGATGCAGACGGACTCTTATCCGAGGCTGCTGTGCAGACCTATTCTTGTGTCGGTCGATGGCTCCCTTACAAGCCAGGGAGGAAAGTGATCCATAAGTGGAGCCTCCGCCAGTCAATGTGGTCTTGATGTCGCCAGCCGGCAATGAAATGCAACAACGAAAGGGGGCGTCACTATTGGCAAACCCTTGTGAGACTAATGACTAACTGTGCATCCCTTGATTTGTCACCCGCTCAGAGCAATCGGTGCTACAAGCAATCAGTTTCCAGTTCATTTTAGTGTCATTGCCATGGAAAATAGTACTCCAGGATTTGCGCTGACTCGTCATTGCACCTGATGCAACACCCCAATGCTTGTGAGGTTATCCGCACAATATACATTATATCACCTCTCACCGCATGCTATCGGCCCCCAACATTGCTTACCGCATATTTAATCTCGCCTGCCTCGACCTTCCTCCTATGGCAATTCTTTCCCCAGCTGGAGCGGCCCCGTCCGCTTACCCGACAGCCGACTTATCATAAGGGAGATACGAGGAGGGGGATGGCTATCACGGCAATGATTGCGCAACTCTGCGATAAGATAACTCAATGCCCTGACGTACGCCCTGCGTCGGGCTTCCCCTCATATTATCCCCCGACCTCCCCTGGCATCTCTCTCCAGCAAATGCTTCGGAAATTGAAGATGACCAAGTTCCAATTGCTCCCTTTTGTCGCAGGGCTGCTCGTCCCCTCGGTGGCGGCCCTCAGCATCCCCTCCCCGCAGCAGATTCTTGATACCTTCACTATCGGGGAAACCAGCGACTTATGTCCTCTGGCACAAAAGGTTGAGGTCCCTGACGATGGGTTCTTCCCGGCTCTCAAATTTGTCGAGGACAGCTCTTTCAAGTCGCGTCAAGTCAATCGCCTCTCCAGGGCTGTCCAGGTCCCAACCACGGTCGACGATTACATGAGAGACCCTTACGACGAGAAGTTCGCCCCATTCGCCGACTTCCAGAAACTCCTGCAGACTCTCTTTCCCCTCACGTACGTGTCCAAACCCATCCACACATACTCCTCTTAACACGATCCAGTCACTCCTACGCTCGCGTAGACCACATCAACCGATTCGGCCTCGTCTTCACCCTCAATGGCACCGATGACTCTCTCAAGCCCCTGCTCTTCACCGCGCACCAGGACGTCGTTCCCATCAACGACCCCTCAGACTGGACCTACCCTCCCTTCGATGGCCACTTTGACGGCGAATGGCTCTGGGGCCGCGGCGCCAGCGACTGCAAGAATGTCCTGATCGGTCTTCTCTCCGTCGTTGAAGACCTCCTCTCCCAGAAGTGGCAGCCCACCCGCACCGTCCTTCTGGCCTTCGGTTTCGATGAAGAATCCCACGGTTTCCTTGGCGCCGGGTCTATCGCCCAACTCCTCGAGAAGAAGTACGGCCCCGACAGCTTCGAATTCGTCCTCGACGAAGGCGGCATGGGTCTTGAGACCGTCGACGACACCGACGATGGCGTCGTCTACGCTCTCCCCGGCGTCGGCGAAAAGGGCAGCCTCGACGTCGTCCTCACCCTCGCCGTCCCAGGCGGCCACAGTTCCGTCCCTCCCCCGCACACGGGAATCGGCATCATCTCCGAGATCATCTACGCGCTGGAGCGCGAGGACCTCTTCGTCCCCGTCCTCGACACCCACCATCCCACGCGCAAGATGCTCGAATGCCAAGTCCGCCACTCCCCATCGCAGGTTGAGCCCTGGCTCGCCTCGGCCCTCCAATCAACCGACTACGTCTCCCTCGCCGAGAAACTCGCCTCCTCCCGCGGCGAAAAATTCCGCTTCATCCTCCAAACCTCCCAAGCCACCGACATCATCACCGGCGGCGTCAAATCCAACGCCCTCCCAGAGAAGATCAGCGCCGTGGTCAACTACCGCGTCGCACTCCACCAAACCCCAGATCTCGTCAAGAACCGCGCCGTGAAAATCATCACCCCCATCGTCCAGAAATACAACCTCTCCCTAACCGCCTTCCCGGCCGATGACAAAGTCGACCCCTCCCTCAACAACCACCTCACCCTGACCACCCTCAACGGCGCCCTCAGCCCCGCCCCCGTCAGCCCAACAAACATCGAGACCGACCCCGTCTGGGCCCGCTTCTCCGGCGTCACCCGCTCCGTCTTCGAATCCGTCCCCAGCCTCAGCGGAAAGACTGTCGTCGTCAGCGGCGACATCATGACCGGAAACACTGATACCAGATTCTACTGGCCCCTAACTCGGAATATCTACCGGTGGAGTCCGTCGCGCGCCGGTCGGGCCGTGAATATCCATACTGTTGATGAGAGAATTGATATCGATATTCATTTGGAGGCTATGATGTTGTATTACAGTATGTATACCCTTTATCCTGATCGGGTTGTGGCTGTTATTCAATAGACCGGCTAACGTGTATTACTTAGACCTTATTCGCTCGTTCGATGGCTGGTCAGACTCTGACTCTGCTGCTGATGAGCTTGCTCATGATGTGCTGTGAGCATAGCTCGTTTCTTCTTGGCCTTGGACACGTGTAATGCAGCGTATAATTCTCTCCTTGGATTATTTGGCTCCTTACCTGCGCCAAAAGTTCATTTCTTGGATCTGAATCGGGACTCATCTGTTGGATTTCTATTCCGGATGTCATTTGCATACTGCCTAACGATCATATCTCGCATCAATCTGCCTATCTATGATGCAATTTCTATCTACTTTGCATCCATCTGTTTATGACTCACATCTATTCTTCTACCCATTCACGTGATCAAGATTGGAAAATGAGCAGTATTACTTGCAGCGGCTTATGCAAGGGATATTATGTACTTGACCACCCCACGATGCCCAAATGCACTGTAAGCCCACGGCAATGAAAACAAGCATGGCGTGATTATAGCCCTGCTAAAAATAAACAAGCTCGAATATGTATATGTAACGAGTGGCCCGCACGTCGAATGCTGAAAGAATATTGGATCCACTGAACCAAGCAGGGGCATATTACACACGCACAAATGGGTATATATATGAACGAGAGGATCAAGCGCCTTGGTTGAGCAGAAGCAAGGCAAAGGCGCCACCCATGACTGGTCGGGCAATGAAGGTGATTGACGGGTAGCTGGAATGGGTCAGCACGGTGATACAAGGGGCTTGCCGAGGCAGACTCACTCTCCGCTGGTCGTATCGTAAAGGTCAGTCATCGCACGGTTTGTTGGCGTTGCGCTTATCCACTCCGCAAGCTCCTGGATGAACATGTCCCGAGTGTCGGTTGATGCAATGGCGGCAGTGAACATCTCCCAATCACCTTAACAAGGGAGGTTAATAATGGAAGCTCATGTGTGGGGTTACACAATACTCACTCTTCGTGTAATTATGTCTAGTATCTAGAGGCACTCCGTAATTCATCTTTACGGTGGGGTAGAAGGTACTTTGCATGTCATACACTGACTGAGGGACCAGGTTCAGGTTCAATTCCCGATCGGCATACAGATTGTAAAGAAGACCTGTGTAGGTTTGTCAGTATTGGGCTGATATACATCGAGACGGGAAACAGACCGTGGGTGTCGTTGGAGCCATATGCCAGCGTCGTATGAGGAGGGTTGGCATCCTGCGCAACGCCCAGAACCTGCCATCTGTCGATGTAGTTATGAGCGATGGCAGTGTAGTTGGCTGCGCTGTCAGAGTGGTCGGTCGCGTTGCTAATGACGGCCATGGCTTCGATTCCGATGATGCCTTTCAAAGCCAGGTTGGTCTGGTTCCTATACCTAATGTCAGCATTGTATGCCACGCAGAGCCACATCATGGCACATACGCTAAACTGCCTGCAAAGTCATCTGTCGAGATCTGGTTGGCTGGGTAGATTGCGTCTTCCACGAGATACGCCGTCCACTGGTTAAGCAAGGTATAGTGCTGAGAAAGATAGTCGGTTTTGCCCGCTTTCTGCGCATATGCCAAGGCCATGATGACCATGTTTCCACATTCTTCCAGTGGCATCGCCTCGTCATTGCCGTCCGGGTGGCCGGTGGCGTTGGGGTAGTGGCTCCCCACATCGTGCATGGCATAATTATTGGGATAGTTCCCTGATTCTTGAATCTCAAAGAGTGGCTTCAGCAACAGATCTAGAAGCTCTGGGTTGGTGTACAAAAAGATGGGATGCGCCGGGAAAATGACGTCGACTGTGTTCACGTTTCCATCCGAGGAAATCTCCTTCATAAAAAGGTAGGTGTTGTCCGGTGTTCCACACAGCTGGGTTGCACCAAAGGCTTGACGAACAGTGAGTGAAGTGATTGACAGGTAATTCTGGCCAGCTGCAGCAGTAGAGTCCTTAGCTATCTGGCTATCCAAGTCTGAAGAAAGCGAGGAGGATGTCGCATAGTCATGGTGGAAGAAATCCAGCTAGGGTCGACGTCAGTATGGCTCTCTTGTGCCTATCAGTCCGGACACTTACAGCATCTGGCCCAGTACTGAAGTAGCTGGTCCACAGAGAAGGTAGAATGGTGGTACCACTGCTATTCCCTTCGTATTGAATCGCGTCTGTCTGGGCTAGCCCAATCGAATATAAAACTCCCGCCGATGATTCAACAGATCCAAGGTCATGAGCAAATGCAAAGACCGGCCAGTTAGTTGAGATGCCACGATAGTCGGTGTCCTGCGAGTCGCCTAGCGTTCCGTTTGCAGAAAAAGCTCCCCGGACATCCACGGCCGCTCCCGACTGATAGGTCATGCCTTTGCTCTTGTCTGTTGCCCAGTACCATTCTCCCCATTCTCCCTGATCACTGACCTCGGAGAAGGCAAGTTGGGTTTGGCGACTAACCTTGTGATAGGCGACATTATTATCGGTGACCCCATAGTCCCACGTTGCAGTGGTAGTCCGGTCTCCCGACACCCATTCTTTAGCGAGTCAGACAATTCATCACACGGCTGGAACGCCACGACGCCTGAATAACTATCATAGAGGAATAGCACTTACCTGCCGAGATGTCTGCATACAGCTGCACATCGTGCGCCTGGCCATCTAGAGATTCGATGTCCACATCCACATAGGAGAAGACGAGAGATTGTCGTTTGAGATCATTTGGCGTGATGGGAGAGAGAAACGTGATGTTCATTCCCACCTTGTCCCCAACGTTCATGGTAAAAATACTCTTCGTGGATGTATACTCATATGAAGTCTGATTCACATTCGTCGGTCCGGGAACTCCCATCCAGGTATAAGCACTACCATCGACACGAATCATACCAGCCCAGCCAGTAATCTGACCGCTGATCCGTAAATGTGATGTTTAGCATCCGTCAAAACGTCACATCAAGCAACATAGTTAAAGTACTCACCCCCAGAAGGTCGGCCATTCCCCGGCAAGATAGCCACCATTGCCACCATCACTTCCAGCAGGCAGCCAAGTGCTCAGATACGGTGATTTGACAGCCAGTGGTAGTGCAGGAGGCCGAGCAGGTGAGAATACGGATGTGGTCTCGGCCAGGGAGGCCAGGACCGTCACCAAGAAACCTATGAAGAACCGAGACATGATGATTTGGCCGCTGGATACTCAACCCGCAAGCATAGTCCTTTATAAACCGGGCTTCTTTTGTTTTTCCCCACAAGGATGACGATGCCAAAATACTTTAAAGTTTTGCAAGTCGGGAAATGTGGCTCCTGGAATGGGGGCAGGAATGTCAGCGACGTTTTAATTGTTGATGTAGTTGATCGATCCCACAATCCAGGGGAAAGGGGGGTATTTGAAAAGAAAGGCACAATCTGATCGTCAGGAGTATGGTCAACAAAATATTTCCAAGAGCTCCAAGGCACTACGGAAATGCGTGATGGGAGCCCCCCAGCATCGTCTGACCTGTCAGTCTCCGAGTGGAGGGCGCTCATGCGGCCCACATCCATATGTCCGAGAAAAGCAATGAGATGATTCATGGAAGGAAGGGGCCGGTATGAAGGCGTGGCTGAGTGTGACCAAGTCTTACCAAGCAATCTTTAATTAAAGTATGTAGCCTTGCGCTGCCGCAACGCTGAGATTGCAGGATAGCCTCGGGCCAGAAGCAAATAGCCAACCGAGGCGAGCACGACGTGATCAAGAAAAGACGCCACTAAGTCCGCCGGAATACTTGTGGTGAAATGCGGTTGAGCATTGGACTGGGCTTCCAACGAGCGAGAGCGGGCTAGAAGCTGTCAGGCCAGACCCCATGGTCTTCATCCACGGCTGGGGAATGCAGGTGACTACCTACTCGAAGCGGGCATGAATGAGTGACAATATCATGAGTCCGCGCGAACAATACCGATAGATTAAACAAGCAACAGGTGACAGGCTCTTCACCCAAGCTATCGTGGGGAAAAAGGAGACAATCAGCCAGCCAGCCAGCCAGCCAGCCAGAAACCAGCTCGAGCCGAAAAGGAGGTCGTCTAAAAACGGCAGGAAGCAACATGGCGTTGGAGGGCAATCGATCCTCCCGTCTGATTATTTGCCTGCAGATCGAAGGACTTTGATCCAAAGGGACCTCGGTGGCCGCAACGAACGTGCTTACCCCCCGAATCGCCAAGTCACCCCGATACCGTTGTCTTTCATTGAGCCATCTCTATCGACCGCGATTGCACGAAGGTCCAGGTAAGGGAACAGTCGGCCAGCACCGGTCTGCTTGGCCTGCGGAGGGAGGCAACTAAACCCGTCAGTGTGACCGACATTTGTGATGCCATCATGTGAGAAAGTACATCTCGGGGTCCCCCTCATTCCCCTGCGTCCAGGAACCGTCAAGTCCACCAGTCAGAAGAAGGGGAGGATGCAGGCATGGCTGCAGTGTGACCGGGGGCTGACTAGGATCCAGGATAGGTCGGACTGTCGGAGATGGATTGATGGGAGGAATCGGATGGCGGCAGTGGTGGTGGCAATGGCTTGCTGACGCTCCTCGCCGTCCCCAACCCTTTCGTTAATTAATGCAGGTACCAAGCAAAACAACCCCCTCTCCTTTTCTTTTTCCCGCCCCAGTCGGGCGCAGAAAAATATTGCACGCGATTTCACGGGCGCGCAAAACCGGTCATCTCAGCGACCGCAGGGATTACCCGAGGTTATGGAAGGACAGGAGAGGGATTGTCCGAATTCTTCTGGAACCCTGTGTGATCTTGGGGAGGTTGCTTGCATAAGGTGGAGACGAGCCTCGGATCGGTTGCAAAGATGATGGCCTCGACGTTCTGTGTGCAACAGCCCGGAGTGTATGAATCGAGCCACGATAGTTGGGAAGGCTCAGCAGGGGAGGTTCAAGCAGAGATACTCCGGAGATAGTGGGATGCACTCTGCGATAGTCCGACTCACCGAAGATAGCAACTACGCCAGAGTCCAACTAAGTATCTAGATACTAGCATGTAGTAGTATAGGGGGGAAAAGCACAATACGACCATTGTACTACGCTGTGTCTCAGTCAGGCACAAATCATAAGAAGTCGACTCATCCTCCATCCCGAAGATAGCTGAGACACCCGCAACCTTAGATTGGAAGATTAGAAAGTCTTCCGCACTTCCGATTGCGCAATTCTGTGAGCCCATTGCGTTCTTAAAACTATTAGCTAAATCCCGGGGGGATTTAGACCCCATGTTTATTTTGACGTTTCGGGGGGTGGATGTTATTGTCATTGTACCATGGTTCTCCTGTCCATGGATTCATGCCGTCGGTTCGGTTTATAGATTGATGGGCCTACTTTTGCAGACCGCCATCTGCCTTGCTTCTATGACGATTAGCTCACCGCAAGGTGAAATCCCCCGGTCGCTTCTAGTCATACGGCACAATCAAGACCAGTTGATGCATCTCTCCATGAAGAGCAAAGCTATATACAAGAATTATGCGACCCCAACTAAAGTGTATTACACAAAGCCCTCTTTTCTCATCGTTCACCAACCGCCATTAGATCGTTATTCGGACCCGTTGCCTCGCAATGGACTCTCCTCCATAGGGAAACTCTCCTCCGAAGGAACATGCCGATAAGTCGGTGTTCGCCGGCGACGACGAAGGACCCAAAAGACGCCCAAGAGAACCCCGAGGATAGATGACCCGACCAGAATGAGAATGAGGAGGCTTCCGAGCCTGCGGACAACCTCGTACGCCTGGGAGAGAGCTGCAATGGCATCCTTGGTATCAGCATCAGACACCGTGGAATGGCCCAGGGATTCCTCGCTGGCGTGAGCTTCCTTGTGAATCGTCGATGGGTTCACCGGGGCGGGAGCTTGGGACGATCCTACAAACCCAGCAGCCTTCCAATTGTCGGGAATCTTAGTGCGATGCACGACAGAAGTTCCCATCACATTACCCTCGTGGTCGATGGCCGCGACCGACACCCAGTCTAGGAACCCGTGGGCCATGTACATGGTTTCGAAATCGGTTTTGTCCACGTAACCGATGAGTACGGGGGCTCCGCCATCATACGCCTGGGCGTAAAAGTTCCATCCGGCCACATCCGTGGCGCCGTTCCAGCTCACGTAGAAGACCGTCATCAGGTCGTCCTCGTCTGTGCCATATACAGACGCCACCAAGTCGGGGGGTGCGCGAGGCCGACCACTGAATTCGTACTTGTATGCGCGGTAGGTCGAGAAGCGATCTGATGCAAACCGAGCAGTCATCAAGACATCTCCTTCCGGAGAGAACTCGCTCTGGTAGCCTCGTTCACTCCAGCCAACGAAAACATTGCCGCTCGGGAGATTCTGGACATTGCCTCGCAGTCGAGATAGCTGACCATCTGGACGGTTATAGCGTGCGATCAATCGGGCTGTCATCGGACTGGCCACCGTATCCAGCTCCACAAATAGGGCCGATGAAACACTCTCATCCGTCGTGATTTCATCCGAGGCGTTGTTCAGGAATGAAATGATATGATACGTCCCGTTTGACGTGACAAATTTAACATCGTGCTGCTTAGAGAAGACAAAGTCCTGGACGAAGTTACTTTCTGGTCCACCCAACCGCCACATGACCCGGCCATCAACTCCGGAGATCATATAGATCGTATCAGTGAACCGCATCGAGATGATATAATCGCCAGCAGCATTCTTATCGACCGCGTTCATGTGCACGGAGTCCCATCCCCAGTCGCCCATTGGTTCGTCCCACGTGTGAAACCGGTCGGTCTCATGCAGACCCAGGTGGTCGGCAGAGTCCCATTCAAACAACGGTGCTCCCGTGGTCAGATCCAGCTCTGCAAATCCACCGGTCAGAAAAAGCTTCTGTTCCCCCGGATGGCCCACGTCAGTCATGTCAAGCATTTTCGACTGGTAGACGCAAGCCAGGGCCGATCTTCCGCCGTCAAGGATCTTGAATTCGTGGACATTGAATTCCCAGGTGTTGGGCAACTTGAAGACCTGCGACTCGACCTCATAATGCTGGCTCAAAATCACGCCGCTTCCCTGAATGTCTCCGTCAAAGGACCGCTGCGCGATTAGGGATAAGTGTGGCTTGTCATCGATATTGTGGACTGCTTTGAAATCGAAGACGTTTCGGTTGTCGAACATGGGTGATCCGGCCCAGATGAGAACCTGGTCGACGCGAACGACTCAGTTTGGTCTGGGAATAGACCGAGGGGGGGGGGGAGTGAGACTTACGCCATCTTGATCATAGATATAGGGTCCGACCTGATACTGCAGATACTTGCGTGTCGGCGTCTCCGGGTCGATCAGACCATACGGTGCGACAAACCAGTAACCGGGACTCGCACGATCTCGGTCATTGTGAGTGATTTCGAATTTCAGAGCCCTGACCTCAGGAAGCTGAAGCGATCGTGAGCACGCGACATTCAGGTTACTGTCACGAGCAGCCACTCACCGTAACAAAGGTCATGAGATCCTCATCTTGGCGCTGAGCAAATGCAAGTTGCAGAAAGAGCAACGCAAACAGACAAAGATTCATGATTCATGGATAGTCCGCAGCCCAGGGGAAGCCGAAGGAGAGGATAGGAAGCCCAGGGAAGGCGGAAAGAGGAGAAGGAGGGAAAGAACTACTGTGTAAGGGAAAGGGAAAGTGAGATAAGCCATTGCGGAAATTATCGAGTCTGATTTGCAGACGTACGCCTTATACGGAGACGCCCAGCCCGCCCAGAGTCCGCGTCAGGGATTGGGAGGAGATACTAACTTGGCTGGGAACTGGAACCGAAGATCGGCCAAGGCCCCAGAGGATGGAACCAGAACGACGCTAAAGGCCCTGGCCTATCCCGATTTCCCAAGCAGCCCTTTGCGTTTCAGATCCCACGCAATCTTGCGCCTGGCGATCCAATAGGGAAGAACTGGCTTGGGAGCCAATGTCGTCTGCAATCCCGCGTCCACCACTAGACAGGCCTGGTGGCTGGCGCTTGATCACGGCGACAGGACAAGAATAGTAGTGCAAATGGTCGGGATGGGCGGGTGGCTTGCTCCGATTACGTATGCCGCTAAAGTCAATATCCCATGGCAATTGGGGACATTGGCAGGGGTCCTCAGGGTTCTCATGGAACTTGGAAGTTCCAACTTCTCCCTGAACAATCGGGACTGTCAGGCTCGGCTCGGTCGCGCTGGACCCGCTCTTGCTTTCCCCTTGCCAAGAGATCCCAGATCTTGGATTCTCGATAGTCGATACATCCATCATACACGACCGAATCCCCTGTGCGACTCATGGAAGGAAAACACCAAACTTAAGTTCTGACTCAGCCCCTGATGCAAGACGCTGTTCTAGACTCTGGGTTGGATTGGGAACTAACCTAGGTAGGCCACGCCCGCACTAAGAAAAGCTAGAGATATCTCCACGGTGGATTCGGCACGCGTCTGCGACTTGCAAGGCTAAAAATCCAGTCATCTTGCATTTCATTCATTAAACCATGCCAGCTAGTCTCAACCTCTTCAGACCAATATCTTCTTCTTCTTCTTCGTCATCATCATCATTGTTATCATCATCATCATCATGGTCGTCGTTATCATCATAACCATCATTACATACGCTCATGGCAAAGTAGGATACAGCCCATCCCTCTCTCCCATGTGGATCGTCAAACTCAAGGCGTGGAGAGCATCCTCAGCTGCGGCTGGCCAGGACTTTTGAGCCCCGGGCCAGCTCGATGCAAAATTCCCCCCACTCACTTCCTCCACTGCTGGTCAGCACCTCTTCCGCAATCGCGTCTTCCAGTCGCTGGCCGTAGCGCCGCCGGAAGTCGCTCTTCACACGCTCTAGGTGCCGTGGTTCCCAGTGCAGCCGGACCAGACGCGAGATCAGGAGCTCCGACCGCTCCTTGCCCGTTCGAGACTCGCGAAGGGCTTGGTGCAGCAGGAGAGCATCACGCATGGGCCGGTTGATGGCCCCATTGAGAATGTGTGCGAGAGTCTCGCCCTGGAGGCCCGGTTAGTTGACCGACATTGTTGAGGGACAAGGACTATGGACACATACCACAAGGTTTTGAGATTTGCCCATCATGGCCGTAACAAAATTGTGGCCGTACATTTTCTTGTAGGCACGCAGCACCTCCCGCAGGTGTGAATCGCTCCGCCGGACAATGATACAAATCATCGCCGTTTCGCCTCCGTGGGGCGTGATTAGAGCTCGATGGAGCTCTTCAACATCGTGGTCCACCAGATTCATATCGATAATATCGCGCTCGCTCTGGCGACGCTCTTCCAAGGCAATGAGCACCGCCAAGCGGAACTTGTCGGCCTTCAACTCTGCCTTCATACACTTCTCCAGGCTGTTCTGGTATCGTGAGTCCCGGAAGCACTCTTTGATCTCGCGGATCTCGCTGTTAGTGCGACCGAAGAGAGACTCGATCAGAAGTTCACGCCTGGAGGTGCTCGACTGGTAATAACAGTTTGCCCAGAAGGCTTCCGACTCCCAGCGGCCAAGAGCCGTTGCATAACACACTTTCCCAAATGCCCCATTTCCCAGCTTCAGCCGGATATGCTTAGCTATGTTGACGCCCTTCCCGTGGAGCTTCACGTGCTTCTTGTACTCCTTGCGTAGCTCCAAGACCTCCTCACCGGTTAAATGCGGCAGCACGCGGATTAGGGCCTTGTTGTCGGTATGCAGTGTATGTGACAGGGCTTCCTGAAGCGCCATTGCGTCCTGCCCCGCATCATAGAAACTCACCCGCTTCCGGCTGCTGCTGGGGGAAATCACAACGAGAGACTCCGACCCGGTGGAACCACGCTGCTCGTACCGCACGCGGCTGCTCTCTCTCTTTACATGGTCGGTAGTCAATCCCTTGCGGTCTTTCCCGTCCCTGAATTTCTTTCGCCTGTGTTCCCTTAGTCCCCCGTCTGACTCATCTCCCAGAGGCTCTATATCGGATATATCCTCGTCCAATTTGGGAACCACGACTATAGGCGATGGCATTGGGGAGATAGTCTGGTACGTCCCTTTGTATGGTTCTAGCATGGGGCTGGCAGGCCGATGGGTAGGGTCAGGGCGAGCGACCGAGAGGTTGTTGGCGGAAGAAACGGAGTGACTATGCGGGCGACTGGTGGCTCGGTTCCCTGGCATAATCTCGACGTACTGGGGTCCGCTGTCCGGACGGGTTGATGAAGTCTTGGAGAATTGGGGATTAGCAGAATGCTTAATTCCAACGTATTGTGGTTCTTTCGCTTGGCTAGCACCAGTTTTGGTCGAGTACTGAGGCGCTGCCGAATACGAAAGCGGTTTGGCTGGAGTTTCTCCTGCACTCTTGGAAGTAAACTTGAGGTTGGGGTCAATGTGTGCATATTGGTACGGAGGCGGGGCAGCGTAGGGGGCTTTAACGGCCGCGTCACTCGAAGCAGTGCGTTGATGGGTTGAAGTCACTGGAGTATATACATTGCTACCAGGCATCGAAAGTGGGCGACTATTCCAGGACGCATACGGATTCTGCAGCCCTTCCGGAGTCACGTAACGCGTGGACGAAAATGCGGCTGCTGCGGTCGTCGCAGGCACATCTGGATGGCTGGTGGTAGGAAGTGGAAATGCTCCAGGCATGGTTTGGCTTTGCCCCTGCGATGTCGGCGGCACAAAGCCCGGCTTCTCACACTCCGGGATAGGTTCCCAGTTGGATGGAACGGTGGATGACGCAGGATGACCGCTGTACTGGGACGAGCCTGGTTGTACGTGGGTATACTGGAAGGGCTCGGGTCTCGCGTAGCCGGGGTGGTTATCTGTGATTTCCTCCTTTGAAGGACCATTGGGGCGCGATGACTTATTGCTGTAGGAGGCGTCGCCGTTCAGAGCCCCGGACATCATGGCACCATCGCGACCCGCAGATTGGGGGCGAGAAGTGCCTGTGATCCCATAAAAGCTTCGCACTGGCTCTCCAGGTAGGTCACCGTATGCAAGCCCATCTTCGTCCGAATCGGAGTAGGAGTGGTCTGAATAGCTGTCGTAATGAACAGACCGGCGGTGAGGTGGAGGGGGGTACTGCTTGTTGTCGCGCCTGGCACCTTTGCTGTCGCCAGAATCGGATTGGTAATAGTAATCGCGGCCCTGTTGAACTCGCAAGTAGGGGGCCCGTCCATCGGACTGGAACTCGGGCCCGGTAGGACCATACCGTGAACCGGGTGGATTAGGACCGCCTGGACTCGCGCCTCTGCTTCTGGATCTCGAGTGTCGCTTCCCATCCACGAACTCGGAGGCGAGGTACCTATGGGTGTCTTGGCCGGTCGGAAGGCGAGGGTCGCGAGATTTGGAACGCTCGCGGATATGGCCGCTTGGAGACTTGGAACGGCCTCGCGACCGTGGGTCGCCAACGTGGAGCGACATGGATCAAGGCTGGGGAATGGACCAGCACGAGTGCGATAGGTTCGACAAGTGCGCCAAGTGCGACAAATGCGACAGCAGACGACCCACAAAGAGAGGGCTGGATAGAAAGAGTCGCGATTAGAGTCAAGGCTAAACTTGAGCACGGGGATGTAAAAGCAAGAGACAGCCAAGAGGGAAAGATTAGGGCGAAGGAAGAAAAGAGAGGGAGGAAGAGAAGAAGACGAGAGACACTGTTTGGCGGGCGTGCGGCCAAGGCTGGAGGGATTGATTGATCATCGGCGGAATCGCCGCGAGTTCAGCTGAGCAGCGCTGCCAGGCGCGGGGCTGCAGGAGAACCCCATCGCCGTGTCCAGTCATTCAGTCATTCAGTCGTTCTGCTCCGAGGCGCCATTTCTGGCTTTTCCCTCCAGGAGGCTAGAAGCAAAGTCACTCACGACGGCCGGCGCCTCTTGGAGCCGCACCCTTCTCGTCTGCAGCCTTGCGAGCACAACACTGGCCCACCCAGCGCGGCAATGTGCGACGAATATCCACCGGTCTCACGAATGACAGCCCAGCAAAGCTTGGGGTCCAGAGTCCACATTCCTCCCGGCTGGGCCGTGAGTCAACCCGCCCCTCTTTGCGTTGGTCTAGTGCTCGACTGCTCGTATATCCTCCGCCGGCACCTGGACGAATCCCTCGCGCAACGGGCGGTCATTGGCCGTCTCCCGCTTGGCTTGGCCGATCCGGCGTCTTCAGCCTTCACGGGGGGCGAAGGATCAAGGGTGCAGCAACCTGGACATGGCGTTGGGTAAGCTGTTGGTCGCCCTCCACTGGCCCTCTTACTCTACGGGTGATGCAGGTGACTAACAATCAAACTTCACGGCTACGGGAGTGGCCTTCCCAGATCCAAATGGCTAGTAGAGATGATTCACCTGTTCGTCCTTCATAGGTGGAGACATGATCGACGGGACAATTCAGACAGATAAAGCAGAGCGACACAGAGGCAAGCGGCAGTTCCGTCGACAACCAAGTGTCTCCAGTTGGATCCTCGCCACAGCATGCATATGCCGGGATCGTTGGCCAGGGGACCAGGAAAACATGGGTGCTTGCGCACAAGAAGCTCCACGGCTGGGTAGTGGCTCTTTATTCTGACAAGCTGCTGAAGAAAAGGCTGGAGAATACATGGGGACGGAAGAGAAGATAAAAGAGGACAGCAGCCAGAAAGGAGGACGCGGGGAAGGGGGAGCACAAAAGAAAAAAAATAATAACTAGACCAAAGCAGCCGTATGCTACGTTGGGCACACAAGTTTGGGCTTGTGTTGATTAGCAAGACACTGAAACACCGAGATTGATATCACAGGTACGGTAGGAATGGAAGCAAAGTCTCACGAGAGTCCATAGAGAGCCACACAACTCGGTACAACAGCAGAAATACATAGGAAATCGGGCGCGTCTCTCAACTATGCTCTCGGACAAATGGGAAAGGCAAAATACGACGTCCAAGTCACGCGGCTTCGTAAAATATAAAACACGAAATGCTGAGGCGCTTCGCTCCTGAGTTCCGGAGCCCATTCAGAGTAGACAAGGGGTATCGGTTCTTTCCCAATTCACGATTTTCGGTCATGGTTCCCAACACTTCTCCGCGAGAGGGCTTGGGTAGATGGTCGATAAGACAAGTCGGCATTAACGTCGTTAGTCCGGAACTACACGTAAACCCGCGGGTCCGGGAAGATACACGGTCGCGACCGCACGCAGCAAGGGACGAAAGGAGGCGGAAATCAGTCAAGGCAGAGGGAATAGAAGATGGTTGAGATCCTGAAATGATAGTAGGCTGCAGGTCATTACCGGAACCGACGCACATCGGGACCCGTTCTACCCGCAAAAAGCTTCTTCTGGGGAGCAACGCTGCCGGCAGCAGCAACATTACGGTTCAAGCGGCTAGTTCTCCACCTCTCGTACCAGACCACACGGCTCGCTTCCCGAAGGTCAGCCCGCCACTCAGTAAAGACGGCCTCCTTCAGTTTGAGAAAATCGCAGTGCTCGGGGTCATATGGGTCAGCAAAACCCCATGGGAACTTGCGTCCAACAGGCTCATCGCCGGCCTTTAGAGAATGGGGGTCGGGAGACAGGGTTGTGAAAGGTATGTGTTGAACCACGACTTGGGATCCAGAAGACTTGCGCGTGCTCTGACTGCGCTGGGAGGGTGATCGCGGGACGCCGGCCTCCTGCTGGTCCGCATCTTGGCCTTGCGTCTCTTCGTTCTCCTCATCGTCGCTCTCGGAAGACGTGTACTCATCCTGGTCATCTAAGGCAAGGATCTCCAGAGGATCGATGTTGGCCTTCTTCAAGCTGTCCCAGACCGCCTTCCTTAGGTATGCCATGTGGGCTGCAGTGATTGTATCGGCCTTGCTGATGACTGGGACAACGGTGGTCTTTCCTACTATGGTTCGCAAAACTTGAACATCAAGGCGCTCGTCGAGAACTCCAATGACGGGGGTGTCGGTTGCCCTTGGAGTTCCCTGTGCAGCCCGCTCGGCAGCCGCTATGTTCTGATCCAAGCGCACTGGGTCCAGAATCAAGAAAGTGCAATGGATGTGAGTGTCTCGAGCTCCGGGTGAACGGACAACCTTCATTTCCTCACTCAGGGTTTCCTCAAATTTACTTTCCAGGAAACCATTCACACCGCGTAATTGGATATCAACAATATTCTTCTCCAGCCCTTGAGAGTCCCACAAAGTCAGACCCACACGCTCGCCATCGATCTCTGTTTCCAGATAGTGGGAAATGTAGCCTTCGTTGGCGGGGGATTGACGAGCTTGTTGTGCGACTTCCTCTGGTAGGCGAGAGGGGTGCTTGTGCGGTGGCAATTCCAGAGAACTTTTGAGAAAATTGAGGAATGAGGTCTTGCCTGAGTTACTGGCACCAATGACAAGAACACTAGAAAGTGGGTTAGCACTTCGCGTCTCGCGGTAGTTGACTATAGATAATGCGACTCACTTGTATGGAGTTGGGTCCTTGCGTCGACGCAGCCGACGGGGGTTGTTGACGGTACTGACTGCGCTGCTCGCGTAGCTATAACGTCCGCGGTGTGTCATGCTCTCAGCTCGTGAATAGAGGTCGTTGGGCTCTGGGGTAACAGGCGTGCTTATCGCACTGCGGGGCACGGCTTGTTGATGGGATGGGGCGGGCTGGCTCGAAAGAGCAGCAACGGTGTCCTGGCGCTCATCGCCCCCAAAGGTCTCCAGGACGGGAGCCGGAGAGAGGTCTGGAAGACGGGGGGGTTGCTGAAACATCATCGATTCGCGTTGATAGCGAGTGTCCTCCTCTGTCGGTTGAGGCTTTGGCATCTTCTTGCCGTTTTTGCTGCCAGACGACCTTCTTTCACCTAATATTTCGATGGACTTAGAGCGACGAAGGAAACCCAGCGACGATGTTCTGCGTTGGTCTTTGGTGGTCTCCGTGACGACAGGAGGGACTTCTGCGGAAGGCTGAGTCCGACCCGGGGTCCGGGGAGCTGGTGATGCGGTTGCCATTGGATTTTATTCTGGGCGGCCCTTCCCTAATACCCTTATCACTCGACGGGCTGTAACACAAATGGGGGGGAATTGCCAAAGAAAAGTGGGGACTTTGGGAATGAATCGTGTCTCAGATATAGACAGCCACTCTCGTGCCAAAGGATCAGTCACTCTAGCGCACTCGGTTCCTTTCGAGCTTGATCTTGAAAAGGAAGGCTCTGGACGGGTCAATCGATCGAATCTCCTAACCAAAGCCGACCCAAAGTCAGTCCCAACTCAGATCACTCTCGGAACTGGCTCCAGCCAGGTGTTGCCGGGGATTGTGCAGACTTTCGGGGTGGGCGAAAGATTATGTTCTTCGGGTATAAGGTAGGTATGATCAACGTACCAAACTTACACGCTTATCCTGAAAACAGTCGCGTGTTCCTCCTCCTTTTCGTCCACTGTGGCACAACCGCCTCGTCGATTGAATTCTAAGTCAACAACTAGAACAAATAACTCGGCCACCGTGAAAGCCTCAATACCCGAGGTGTGATTGAAAGCGCACCGAGTCCAGCGATCACAGATCCGACATGCACAAGCCCAGCAAGCGATTGTCGATCAAGCCCACGTCACCTCTATGAAGCAGCGGGGGTTGGTATTAAGAACAAACGTTGTGTCTGTCCGGCGGCTCAGGCTCCTACCAGGGAGAGTCGAAGAGATGCCTGCTCACGGCGTCCGACTATTGCGGCGCATACAATTGAGATAAGATCAATAATATCAGAAGAAAAGAAGGATGAGAAAGGTGGGAACAGAAGGACACGGCACAAAAGGATGACGGCGTTGGCGGGCAGATGATGATCGACCAGTGAGAACGGAGAACTGGCAATGTTTTCCTCCCTCCGAACCGACTTCATACGCAAACAAAAGCTCAATTGGCTCTGCCTGTCTCGCTCGACGAGGTCTCAAACCTTGAGGAGCTCGCCGACAACCTTTGCGTTCGAGATCTCCTCTCTTTTTTTTTTTGTGGGATAGTTTGTTTACCCTTTTTCTCTTTGTCTCTACACCTCGTCGTCTACTAGGCGGAAGAGAAGCTCGGGGAGCTTTTTGAGCTGGATGAATGAAATTCAGGGGCAAAACGGCAGCCGGCAGGGGAGCTCGACCTCTCCCATCTTCCCCCACTCAGCAAGCCCTCTAAATATATTAGGTTAGTAGTTAGGTTGCTTCTAACTCCAGACTCGGTCTAGGGCTGGACGGTTAGCTGGAAAGTTTGGTTCTCACACTGGAGGGGCAGGTCGTTTAGCGATTCCAGTCACGCCTCTTCCATGCAGTACGACTCCTTGTGCGTCGGTATAACCCGGGGGGGTATATAGGGGGCCGCAGTCAGCTTATGTGGAATGGAGCTTTGCATCACGATTCTGCTTTGTTTCGGTTGGAATGCCGATAGCAATTCCAAAGCAGATTGGAAAGGCCGATCAATCACTCTCCTACGGAGCACCTCCAGATGGGGTCCGACTGTCTGAATAATTATGAATGATCATTCCCAACGTTCATATCTCAACGCTCGTGCAGAACGGATCCAGTCAGGTTTGGGGTATCCGGTGGCCTAGAAGTTTTAGACCGGTATCTATCTAGTACTAGTATCTGTTCGGTAGATAGATACGGGCTGGATACGCCCTCATGCTGGGTCAGGCGGTGATCAAAACTCCATCCACACGTGGGTATTCCGTGCTGTCGACTGTCATTCATCCCTTGAGTCCACCAGATTGTGGTTGCATAAGGCGTGCATCCATTCCTGCTGTCGTCACTCTTCGATCATCGCTTCCCCAGCATACTTATCGGACTTGGCCGGCTACTCCAGCATGCGACAGATAAGCCACGATAGATGATACCATTGAGGCAGGGGAAAGCAGATACAGTATGGGGTATTAACACTTCAGCACTCACTCAGTTCTCTCCAATTGCTCTAGAACACACAACTGCCCCTTTTCTTTTTTTTTGCCCTTTGTTGGTGCGGGGAGCCCCAAAATCTTACGTGGTCGGGTATCAATACGGTAAGCAAGCCCATCAATAATGACAGCAGCTTGTCCCGCAAATTACACCTTTCCCGTCCTCGTCCGCTTGCTTGTCCCGACCAGCCCCTGAGTTATCGGACCATTATCAGGAACAGCCAACCAACTCTCTACCAGGTAAGCATAGCGTACCTTGTGAGGCCTATGGAAAACATTTGGGACATTCGACCATAAGCTTCCATAATGCAGGCTACTTGGCTTCGGTCCCAAGTTTGCTCGCCTTGGTCGTACTGTCTGGGCTGAAAATAGCAGTGGTCGCAATCAAAACATCAGATGATCATATCCAAGGGATGGAGAGCAGAAGTACCTATCAGTATCTAGTATCTACAGAGTGGTATAATCCGTTTGCTCCGTACTGTGCCCCAATCTCCACAATCCACAAACCCACTCCCCTTCTGATCGTCAGATTCTGGGTCCGTCTTACTCAACGGTTTGGTTGTGCTAGTAGTTATCTATTTACCCTTGAGTCAAGCAATGATGTGGTCATGCAGAAATTGTCACTCGTCCAGTATCTCGCTTTCATTCCAGATACGGAAAGGCAGGACAACGCATGGACTGTTTGGACACACATTCGACCGTACAAGTTCTTTGAATTTTGGCCCGTTGGGGCCCGCAGTGTATTTCGCTTGCCCAAACAGCTCCGGACCTCCCGGCAATGCGTCGTCTCCCCACTGTCCGTTAAATTGTAGCCAGTTGACTGGATACCGCAAGTCGTAGGGCTGGAACGTCTGACTGGATGCGTCGAAACTATATGCGTATGCACTTGCGACAGGATCCCATAGCACTCCTCTATCGGTGTAGTCCATTACTGGTCCGACGGGAAGGTTGAAGTGGGGGATGGTGTGGTCGTGGGAGCTATATAAAGGATAAATTGTCTCAGTGCTGTCTCATTCTAAGGGATGGCTATGATTAGGTCTCACCCAGGTACTGCGTATACGGCGTGCGTGCCATTTGCAGAGTATGCGATCGGTCGTTTGCCTTTCTTTTCCGTTGCGTCGTAAGTGAAGGCTTCGCCTCCTGCATGTTGGCTATACCAGAGTGCTTGCGGTTTTCCGTTTTTGAAACGGATCATATTATGCTCCCTATTGCGTGTTAGTTCGGACATAGAAGCCCAGATATTCTATGTATTGCGCACCAGTCCCCAATGTGATTACCAAATTGCATGCCCACTACCGTGTTTCCTTGGTTATACCTTTGGCTCGTTAAGTATGATTCTTGACTTATCTTCAGTGTATCGAGTCACTCACGCATAGAAATAAAAGTAAAATGCATCCAGCGTCCCGTCTCCGTGGTCACGCGTGATGATTGTCGACGAGACGGCGCCTTCTGTTTTGCTATTCGCATTTGGCGTCACACCATGAAGCCATGCTGGCTGCGGATCAGCGTCAATGCCCTCTTTGGAAGTCAGGTAAGCACTGGTGTTTCCCAGCTTGTTGAGGCCAGCAAGGTTATTGAGTGTTAGCGGCGATGGTGCCGCTTTGATTATTGCCCAGTTCACCATGGGGTTCGTATGTACAAGCTGTTGCCCGATATCAGATGGCATGTACGTCTCCTGGCTATGCAGCCAGACAAGTGGTGCTATCTGAGTATTAAGACACTGCAGCTAAAGGTCGTCGGACTACTCACCATGTTCCATTACATAGCATGGTAAGGCGTTTGCGCTCATATCAACTGGGACCGCCGTCTCATTGTCCTTGGTCATTGACAGGCGTAACTGAAGCACAGTGGAAAAGAACTGCAACATTAGGGTCCACATGTTTGCCAGTCGACTATCACTGACACCTGTATCGGAAACAGGTATAGTGGCGTCCGATGGGATCCGCTTGCAGTCCCAGGTAGCAGGATGTTCCCTATCAGTATTCAGACGGCGTATCAGCGTAGTTATATCGCAGAGAGGTGTATCAGATGTATGGAATATGGGGTCCGCCACACTGAGTGATACAGCCTGCAGGCCAATGCCTAGCGGGCCTTCTGACACCTCTCATAGCTAAGGTCATTCTCGCGGCCTTCTGTTCAACCTTCATTTGGAAGGCTGGCCCACAAACTGTGGCAGCTGATGGGGCTGGAGGGCAAACCATTGCTTTTTCTTCAACCCCGTGTCAAGAATAGGCTGCAGAAAACGAGGTGGCCCATCCATGATCTTCATTGCAGGGATGCTCCCAAGGCCCGGAGCATTCTGCATCGAGATTGGTCTCGAATGGGTGGTTGCGACATAAGCATGATCTCAAGTGGTGCAGCTGATGGGTTCTTTGGGGGATCATGGATGGCTGGGATCGTCAGGTCACACTCTGTTAGGTGGGAGATGGCCAGATCCCGTGATGCTGGCCGTAGCCAGTCACACACCTGATCCCCATCCCATGCCAGTTTCCTTGCTTCTCAAACCTTTCTCACCGAAACAATCTTCCGGTAACCTTATGCATGGTCTCGCATGGTTTATGCAAATGAGTAATAGCCTTTTCAGTGCATATCTCTCGCGTCTCCAAAGCTAACAGTATGCTAATGTGTCATTGGATATCATAAACAGTCGAGCCTTTCCGGCATTTCCTCCGAGCCGTCGAAGCTATTTCAAAGCCATACTACCCACGTGCAAACTCATCATCATGAAGTTGGAGTACAAATCAATAGAGCGGCTCAACTACAACTTCTCCGCTGCCGCCGCCGCCGCTTTCTCGGCTTCAAGCTCCCTCTGCTTTTGTCTTTCTTTCATGAGTTTAAACACCCTTAGGTCTAGAGGTATCCTGTCGCCCAACCAGACAGCACGTTGTGTGTGGTTTCGCTCTTCCTCGGTTTCCACCGTATTCGGATGGATTAACGCACTCAAGGGTCCCCGGTTGATCACAAGCCAAGGCACAAAAGCGCCAAACTGTTCGGGTGTGAAGATATTGACCTCAAACATGGCCACTGGATGAGGCCCTACTGGTCGGTCAAAGAAATTATAGATTCGTAACTCAGGAACTGCTCATGTCAGCGGCGTTGCGCATAGGAAGCTACCCGAGGCTCAATCCCGTCAAATGCTCGAATACTTCGATGAAGAGGGGTATCCGCTCACATTCGCGCCTGATTCTCTCCCACAAAGCTCTCGCAAAGAAAACCTGATCCGGATTGCTCTTCAATTGGGCATGTCAGCCGGAGAAAACCTGCATAGCTAAACCAGGGTCAACCGACCTGGAAGTGATAGATATGGATATCGAAGCCCCCGCGGCGGTCCTTAGCAAGGGGATTCGGGAATTCATCGTATGCTTTGCTTCGAATTCCATGTTGGGGGTTTCTCAAGGACTTTCCATCTTCGGTTTTCTCTCTGCACACATACCGGTTAGCCCTATTCCATTGCGCTCAACCATGTCTCCCTGCACATCGTCTCACTTACACAGGAAGCGGATCCAAACCCTCATACCCCTCCAGTGGTGAGGGGTACTCAAATGCAAATTGGTCCGTCATAACGTCTGCTCCACGCGTGGATAGATGCAGCAAGCCGATTGTTCAAATTGTCAAATCCTTCCTGCAGACTCAACCTAGTTCAAACCCAGCCGTAATATATGTATCCTTAACACGGTCGTGATCTGAGCGTTTGCAGTGAGTGAAAAAAAAAAAAAACCGACTCATCCGAGTCCCTATCCGACAAGATATAAACATGATCCGCTATCGGATAACAGACAACCGCATTATATTACTACGTTCAGAACCATCCGGATGTCTCATATCTTACCAATCATGTCTTGGATCCTGTCACAAGTATTACCACACTGTCAGGATTTCGTCCACTCATTTCCCCCCGCGATGAGACCATCATTGTATGCTTATGCAATAGTATTGCGAGATTCCGCACTTGTGACTAAAGTGCGGAACGGAATGAGGGGTCTGTCTTGGCGTGGAATTGAGACAGAGCACTTGGGTACGGAGTAGATGCGAGGAGATGCAGGGCAGTGAATAATACTATGCTTTAATTATCAATATTCACGGTTAATGATGTTCTGACTAGTTTTAATAAGTCGGAAGTGATCCCTAATAAGCTGCATAAAACCATGATATGGTTGCCGGAACCTTCGAAATCATATCGGCAAAGATATATAGTACTACTACTATCATTCCCTGATAAGAATCTGGACACTTACTTGACCCTACTAGTGATATCGGAGATCATAGTACTAATTATTAGAGGATTATCTGCGCTATGTCTGCCATCAACACGGGCAGATACAAGCATGCAGCTTGTATCAATGGATATATCATTGTAATAGTGGCCTAGAAAACGCCGAGAAGCTAAAAGCCTAGTATTTGGGTAGGCATGCATATATTCCCAAAAAGAACCGATGCTACCAAGAAGCCTTGACATCAATATGCCCATCCTCATCAACAAACTTGCCCCGATCCCACTCTCGACCCTCGCCTTTCTTCGACCACTTCACGTCCTCTAACCGGCCCTCCGGATCTTCTCCTGGCGTGGAGGTAGTGTTAGTCTTCCACCGGTCCACGAATTCGTTACTGAAACCAGCTTCCCGCAGCCTCTCTTCGCCTCTCTGCTTCCACCGAGCCCGATCACGGAGCGCTTCGAGGGCCAATTCCCAGTCATCGTCGCCATTCATTAAACCTGGGACGGGCCGGCGGGTAGACCTGCTACCTGCCTGCCCGTCATCATTCTCCAAATGAACATCCGTAGTGGGGTCGTAGTCGGGCGCAAAATGCGCATCAATGTTGCTTGTATTGGGCTTGTAGGCACCCCGACCTCGAGAACGGATCGGTGCAGGATAGTCACGATTGTCCACTTTCGCCGGTAGGGGTCCGACAAGGTCTTCCAGAGGGTCCGACTCATTATCCGAAGCCGAGTTCCCCAAGAGTGGTGTACGAGGTGGTGGATGTTTCTTGCGTATCGTTGTACCACGTCTTTTAGAAGACTCATGTTCACGAGGGCTCCTGTGGCTCCTGCGCTCGCTGTCTTTGTTCCTCTGCCTGTCAGAAGCTTCCGGGGACCGGGATCGGGATCGCGACAACGACTCGTAGCGACTGCGATAACGTCGGCGACGACTGTGAGAATCGGCTTCCCGATCGGCTTCTGGGGATCGGCTTCTGGATCGGGAATATGATCGATCGCGACGGCTCTTCCTAGAGTGTCTATGGCGGTCATCATCGGTACCCTTAGCCTCGCGTCTCCGTCGACTCCTATGCGATTGGTCCCTCTCCGTAGATCCTGAACGACTCCTATGTCTCCTTCGATGAGAGCTGGATTTTCCCTCGCGATCTCGTCTCCTTTCATGTCGTGATTCTCGGTCATCTGACGTACGCTGACTGCGACGTTGTTCGCGTTTCGCATCCTGCGATGAAGCGGACGATCCTTGGGCTTTTAACTGTCGCATTCGCTCCCTGGCCTCCCGTTCTTCTTTGCGCTTCAATGCTGCATTATGATTGTCTGTTTCTCGGATGATATTTCGGAGGAATCGAGTGTTCGGTTTAGGAGCGGCACCTGTAGGCCTATAGCAATAATGCGTCAGCTCAATCGCCACAAGGTCTTCAGCAGAGGAAAGTCGGTACCTTCTGGGCATATACGCTTCCAATCCATGCGCCGAGTATTTCAATGAGCTATCCCGTGCTTCACGCGCAAGGACCTGTGCAACGTAGGCGTCGTCGCTGGGGTCGTCGATAGCTTTTGCGGTGTTGGGAGGCATGGTGCCGGGTAGTGACACTGAGGGGAATGCTGGGATTTGAGCAACAGGGGGGAGAGAATTATATCAAGATAGGGTCAAGGGGTCAGGCAAGAGCCAAGTGTTCGAATTGTAATACCCAATCGATATATCATTTAAGAAAATGGCTTTTCGTCCTGGAGAGTGGAAGGCATGATACAACCGGCGATATTCACTGTCGCTCCTCACCGGTAACTTGACCGCCTGGCCGATAAAGTGGTGGGTCCCACATGTCTGTTTACCTCCACATGTTTCTGCCGACGCGCGATAATAAATGGTTTTTGCAGCCACCCCTCCCCCCCCTCATTCGATAGGAGACAAGGCATAGTCACCCCCACCAAGATTACCTGATCGAACACATTGCAGGATTGACAAGGTACATTACTCACTCACACACAATGACCGAGTTAAGCCCTGCGGAAACACGAAAACAGCTCCAGCAATTAGGGGACGACAGCGGCGACCTGAAAACGCAATTGAACATTCTGCGCATTAGCGAGCCGATCTTTTCTCCTGATGCTGAAAGTCGACGCTCGTCTCCGTCGAAGCGCAGGTCAGACGTCTCCACTTACGAAAACCCGACACCCGCTTCACTAGAGGCAGATTTGACACATTATAAAGTACGAGACCGATTCTCCTATCTGTGGACGCGCAATAGGAATGTCTCCTGGTGCTGACACTATACCCAAAGGAATTGTTTTCGAAATTGCGCTTTTCGTATGTTGAGCAAGTCACGAAGGAGAAATTCTTGCGCGCAATAGTGGGCGATCCGCCCTTGGTGGTCGGTCACAATGAAAATGTTGAGATGGAGGCGCAGTTGGCGGAAGTGAAAGCCGAACTTCGTGCGCGCAAGGAAGAAGTCCGATCCACGGTGGAGGAAATGGAGAAGACGGGCAAGGATTTGGCGAATAGTGAGTGCTTCCTTCCTTCGTAGGTTCATATCCTTGGACCCTCAAAGTCACCGCGATGGTAAGGTTACTGACAATTTATACCACTGAGCAGGGTACAAGAACGTGCAACTACAAATGACCCAGCTATCCACTCTACCCGAATCTATCGAAAACCTTGAATCCACTATTGCCGAGCTTCGTACGAAACAAGGCTCCGATGCGAACGGTTCAACGTTGCAAAACCTTCCTCTGCCTGCGACGCTGAGTCTGCTGTCAGAACGGGAGGCGGAGCTTGCGGCTCTAGATCGACAACTTGCTGCCGTGCAAAACACTCTGCCCCGCAAGACACGAGAGGCCGAGGCGGTGGAGCGCGAGCTAAGTGTTCTAGAACGACGGAAGACAGAAGCGATCGCGCAGGCCCAGGAAGTTAAGAGAAAGAAGGAGGAAGGCGAGAGCGATGGACTGGTGGAGATGGGACGATGGTACCGTAGTGCGGAAGAAACACTTAAGAAACTAGTGGATATCGAAAGGTGAGGCCCGCGAAACACTAGCATGATTGATGATGGGATGTGGGGAGACGGCGTTCTAGGCCCATAATATAGTTGGATTACATGGTGTTCAGAGGTACATTTTACAGCAACGGAACTAGGGTTGTGAGAATCGAGCCGTAGGCTACAGGTTCATTCATGGAATTGCATGATCGTACAACATTATACGCTATGCTGCAGCCACAGAGCCCCGCGGTTTTATTTCGGCTAACGAAACCTGTCCGTACTCCAATTTTTAATCCTTTACTCCTCATCCTCCTCAGCCTCCTCGTCACCACCGGCAGCAGCGGCAGCCTTCTTGCGCTGGACACGACCAGGGCGGCCACCACCGTAGGGGGAGGTAAGGGCGAAGTCGATGTGCTTCTGGGAGTCAAGGCGGACCATGTAGGAGGGGACGTTGACAATCTGCTTTCCGACGCGGATGTGGCGCTGCTTGATCAGGACACGGGCGTGGTGGATAGACTTGGCAAGACCGAGCTTGTAGACGCAAGTCTGAAGACGACGCTCCAAGAAGTCCTCAACGCGGAGGGCAAGGACGTAATCGAGCTTCATGCGGGACTCATCGAGGACACCGATGCGGACCAGGCGGCGAATCAAAGCGTTACCTTCGAAAAGACGCTTGGGGTCCTTCTCGTCGAGGGTGAGAAGCTCACTGTCAGAGCAGTCAGCGATTGTTCCGTAACCTCCACCAGGCTATTTCTGAGGCTGATTAATCATCCGAATGGGCGCATACCGAGCAGCACGACGAATCTTGGACAGGGTGAGCTGGACACGCCACACCTCACGCTTGTTGCGCAGGCCGTACTCGCCGACAACCTTCAGTTCCGAGTCACTAGCGATAGACGTTAGGCATGGGAACACGCGACATAAACAGAAGCACGCTTCTGATCAGTGGCCGGAGAGTACTAACAGACGGGCCGACTCGAAAGCTATATCGATATATTAGCATCACAACCCATGCCGAGAAAGTCGCGATTTCGCCAAACTGATAAGAGAGAGGACTTACGACGACGGGGGACCTTGTAGGTCTTGGAGTAAACGCGACTGTCGGCAAAATTGACATTAGATGGGTGCGACACAGATGAGCTTCATCGCCAGTTGTATACTCACGGAGCGGGGGCCATGACTGCTGATTGCGGGTTGTCGCGAGATTGTCGTACACACCAAACTTCACGAAAATCACAGAAGATCTGAAGATGAAGATGCGTTTTGGAGGAGGGAACTAAGCGAGCGAAGGTGGAGCCGGAAGCGGACTAGTGCAAGGGCTAGCCCTCGGCGGCGGAGAAACGCCGCACTAAGCACCCGAGAAGTCTACACCATCGCGAAGGGCGGCATAGCGAGGCATTTCTTCGACGTCGACAAGTTCTCAACACCAGCACCACCAACACCGCCGACATGGGTCACTCGCACGGTTTGAGAGCCGGTACTCGGGTATGTCGATATCGCCCAGATTGCTGCAGCGCTTTTCCGCTGGTCGAACGCGTCCCGCTGACGAACTTTTCAGTATGCCTTCAGCCGTAACTTCAAGGAGCACGGTGCTATCCGTCTGTCGACCTACCTGAAGACCTACCGGTACGCCGAAATTTCCCGCCGATTTGGACAATATATAGGTGGATTGCAGGATCTGATAGTTTTATAGTGTTGGCGACATTGTCGATATCAAGGTCAACGGTGCCGTCCAGAAGGGGTCAGTACAAGTTCCGCCCGGTGCAATTATGGGAATCCCAACATGAACGGATTTGCATGTTGCACTTCGAAATTTTGAGCGAAGATGGTTTGCTGAGACATTGGAATAGTATGCCCTACAAGGTCTACAACGGAAAGACCGGTGTCGTCTACAACGTGACCAAGTCCTCCGTCGGTGTCATCATCTACAAGGTCGTCCGCAACCGTTACCTCGAGAAGCGCATCAACGTCCGCATCGAGCACGTTAAGCACTCCCGCTCCCGCGAGGACTTCATCAAGCGTGTCAAGCTCAACGCCGAGAAGAAGCGCCAGGCCAAGGAGCAGGGTGTCCACCTCCACCTGAAGAGACAGCCCCTCCTCCCCCGCGAGGCTCACCACGTTGAGGGTTCCGCCCCTGAGACCATCACTCCTATCCCCTACGACACCCACATCTAAACGAATGAAAAACGGTCCGTGCGGTTGTTTGGTGTTTGGGGTTTTCCAACTTGGGGTGGCCTTTGCAATGAGATGAAGCGAAACAGAGGGTTCCTGGATGTTCTATCACATCTAAATCCTGTGCATAGATTCCCCCGAATGAAAGAAAAACAAAATTTCCATTTCCCTGTTCAAAGTGATGCAATCGGTCGCCAATTTTCTGCCGAATATCCGTGATGTTAGCGATAATTCCACCGCCTGGAGATCCCGTCAGATTAATGAAGAAGCACCTTAATTTGACCCAGTTAATACGGCTTTGGAGATCTTCGGGGCAATGCACGGCTCGCGACTATTGGGAACGCCGACATGCAATTTAAGCCAGGCTACGTAATCCGTCCATGGTCATCTTGTGCCCTGTAGGACGTCATCTAGCCTGCATTTTTATAGGTGTCTGTAAAATCATAGAATAGGGCTGACATACGCTCTCATTTGTACCGTCCATGTGCGGATCATGCCGCGCTCAATTCCCCCACAGTGGGTATAATCGTGTAGTAGTCTGGAGTACTAATTATGATGTCCCTCCCGGCTTGGATCTAGGTACTAATAATCGTATGTCCCGTTATTACCTATCACTCATAAGCTCTTGATCGTTGATCGCCAGTATGCCGGTCCGTTCTATCTGCGATTATGTTGGTATTGCATGATATCCCTAGTACTTGAGGCTGTTACACAGTACTAGGCTTCTGTATCAAACTCAACACCTTGCCGCATTTGTTTTCCGCTAGGCAAGCTTTATTTGAACCTATCCGCCTAAGGAGGTGTTAATGCTACTGCAAAATATGTGTCTTGCCCATCATAAGGTATCGGGACACTATTCCTTTCTAGATATCACCGAACTAAATATAGCGTAAACAGGGCACACGCTATTCAGTATGAGAACAATTTGCTGTTTTGGATTGTTGATTGGGCATACTCAGGACGCTATATTGGGGCCGACCCTCTTTCTTCAAAGTGGGTGCTTGAACCATGGCTTCGCGGGCACTTGCAGCGTTGAAGGCACATCTTTAAATGGACAGCGACCGCTGCTCATAGATCTGTGCTTCAGTGGCTCATGGTGGTCGAAAGTCTGTTGTTGCTACTTGGGAACACAGGTAGCATCATCGGCACTACTGGTACTACTACTTGTAGTAGTCGGGCCCTGAGCATGCAATGCTGCATGGATCGTTAGACATGCCACCAAGTCAGAGACATTGTTTTTGGCAGCTTCTAACACTTAAGGGACAACCGAAGCGGAAGGTACTGGTACCCCGTCTTTCCGTGTTGTTTAGGATTCAATCAAAGGACTGAAAGGGGTCTAGTTACTCTTCTTGAATACCCATCAAGCACATAGACAAACGGTGGGCATATCGGTGCCAGTCAGTTACTTTCGAGCAGTCTCTCTGGCGTACACATGGATGAGAAGATGAGGATGGTACGGGCCTTTCCAATCGAGGAGTCAGGTGTACAGGCCGGGCTAGAAGGTCACGAGCTTAGTCAAAGTTGGAGGGGCTAATGTACTCCGTCGAGTCACTACTATAGATGCTTAGTGGTATAGTGCGCATCATGTGTAGTCCGCAGTAGCCCATAGTGCCTGCGTCATTAGTGTCCCCAGGGCGAAATGGCTGTATTCACCACGTCGGAGGCTTGACGGGAACCCGGAGCCTCTTGCCTGGTATACATAGTATGGGAGAGATGAAAACAGCGACTTCACTCTGGTGAGACAGGAGGTAAATAAGTACCCCGGGAATGGGGCGGATGAATCACCTGTCAGGTGAAGGTCTCCATCGAGACATCCACGGGAGCCGCAGCCCCAAGCAAGACAGAGGAATGGGGTGGGGACCTCAAGCGGCCCCCTTTCCCCTGGACTCCAGGGAGAGGTGGAAGAGAGTTAAATATGGAGAGTGAGGCGAGTGAATTGAGGAACTCCAGCGCGGCTCCAGCCACAGGGTTTGCGGGAAGGCCAGGGCGCTAACCGAAAGCAGCGGCGGTAGTGCCTCAACCTGAACCGTCAGTCATCTCCATGACTGCAGCCATCACCCGATCACCAACCCGAGAAGAACCACCTCCTTCGATCACGACCTCCCCTTTCGGGACTCTCTGGGCAGCGGCCTTATACCATTACTCTGCCAGCCTTCTCGCGCCCCGCCCCCCCTCTTCCTCGGCCTTTCTTTGGTTCCCAGCCTCCTACACTGCTCCCCTCTCCGCCGTCCACCTGGTCGTTCGGAGCTTTTACGGCTCAAGTAGTTGAGCTTACCGTTCAACCGTGGCGACTCTTGATACCTGACAATAGGTATATTCTCTGCCCACCCCTTCTCATGCATCCGAATATTTAGGATTACAGTCGCCACTTGTTTCTGTGTTTACAGTTTCAGAACACTGCTCTAACAGATGTCGCAACTACTTGGCTTCACAGACTCGAGAATTGTTATGGCAGAGCAGAGCAGCCACGATGTGGTAGACCAAACCCTGTCGGGCGGCGAACCTTCGCCTTCCGACGTTCCTGCGAGCACCACCGACAAGAAATCTGCTGGAGGGGACGTGGGGGAATTCAAAGATACCACTACAGCAACAACAACAACAACACAATTGGAGACGAACACGAGCGATCAACGCGGTGAATCGAAAATGGGTGTCCCTGAACAATCAGAAAGTAACGGGAAAGCAAAGGATGCCGATCAGACGCCGAGCGTGAGTGGTGCCGACATCGACGTCACTATCTACCTACTGAACCCGACCCAGGATACCCCGAAGTCTGGTCTTCTACCGGTCGCCGCACGGGCACTCGAAATGAACGGAGTGACATCTGGGTCAGATGCCGGAGAGGACACAGCTTCTCAGGGGGGCTCGGAATCCGACGCCAGTCGAACAGATGGCAGACTGCGTGCCGGTTCGAAAAAGCCAGCTTCCTTCAAGCCGGTCAGCTTCGCCAAATTTTCTGTCCCTAAGGCGCCCGGCACTCCCCCCATAACAAAGGCTTCCGAGAAAGGTATTTTTACCTCACGTGCCATGCAGAAGGAAATGTCTAATTCACTATAGCTCCCCTGACTTCGACCACTCCGCTGGGCACGCCGCCACCCTCTTCACGCCCTCGCCTAGTTGTCAAGTCCACTAGCAGCCTACGTGACTCGCTATCAAAATTGGGGGCAGGCGGAGCGAAACCTGGCGGAATAGGACCGGACCCGAATCAAGTTTGGAACAAGAATCGACGTAAGACCACACATCCGATGAGCCCCGAATATGCTTCTGACTATTACGCCCATGCAGCCGTTCAACAAACACCTCCTAAGCACTTGACCGACGAGGAGTTGAAGCAGCAGTATGGAATCCACATGACATCACGGATACAGGAAGATGGTGGGGGAAGCGAAGCGAAATGGGCCGATATCGACGACGATGAAGATGACTGGGCTCCCGAGACGATCGAATGGACCGACGGCACGAAGACTAATCTCGCCCACCCAGAGCCTGCACCACCGGCTCCGGTGCCTACTCAAGATAAGGTGTTAGCAGATTTCAAAAAGGACTTTCCTCCAGTGGAACAAGCGGCAATTGTTAAGGAGCCACCGAAGTTTGTCCCAAAGCCTACGACTTCTATCGGACCGAACCCTACGGTTCTCCGACTTGGAGCAAATGCAGAAAGACAAGCAAAGAGTGCCAGTATTGCTGCGAAAGGTCCCAACGACAGATCACCTTTATTATCCACAAGTCCAGCCCCTCCCCCTGTCAAGTCCCCTTGGGCGCCTTTACCTCCCGTCGAGAAGGTCTCCCCTGTTATCCCCCCAATTCAGGTTCAACCCCCGATGCGGGCTCCTGTTAGGGAACCTCAATTGAATGACGGTTCTGGTGGACCTCTCCCCCCGAAGGAAATAGCCGCAGACGATTTCAATAGATCCTGGAGGGAGATGCAATCCGGAACCCGTGAGCTCTATAATTCTCGATCAGGTCGCTATGAGCCTGCTCCAGATACGAGGAAAGGGCCTTGGCGCGCCGAACAGAACTATCGCACGCCCGCCTTGTTGCAGAGGCCCCCACACGGTGAACAAACTGGACCAGCAGAGCCCTCCCCGGCATTTCAAACACACAGGTCAAGTGGCCAAGATGGCATGCACTGGACGCGGCGGCGAACATCATCTAATGTTAGCGGAGGAAGTGGTAGCTTTGGACGTCGGATGTCAATTGGTAGACCTGATGTTACTCAGAAAGTGTTCGAATCTCGGAGAGGGTCTCTGGTGAACGGCATGATTGAGTCATCGATACCCACTAGAGACCTGCCACCTCCAAAGGATGCTTCCCTACGCGAGGCCTCGCCTTCTCGGCATGGGCCTGGTTCTTGGCCCCAAAGAGGTGCTTCACATGTGCAAGACAGAATGACCGGTGCACCCGCCGGGATAACACAGCCGCCTATTGCTCCGGCAGCTGAAGAACAAGCTGCAGCACCACAGGCACCCCAGGAACCCCAGGAAGACGCCGTCGCGATACAAGAACGCATCATGAAGGAGAAGAGATTGGAAGCTCGCCAGCGGAGGCTAGAGCAAGAAGAGCGGGAGGAAGCTGCGAAACGCGAAAGAATTCGGCAGAAGCTTGAGTCGCTTGGTCCAGCCCCCGAAAAACCGAAGTCAAGGCGCAAGGAGTCCCTGGATTCCGGTAAGCCCGAGGCAAATATCGCGCAGGCTACTGCGCAAGCTGCCCATTCCCCCCCGAAGCCTCCAGTTCCCGAGCCGAGCGGTGAGCCTAAGCAATACGGAATGATGAAGGTTCATCATCCAGATAGTGTCAAAAAGCTTGTGGAAAGGGAAAGAGGCGCTACGGATAAAGCCCCCTCGGTAGCCACTGCCCGACGCGCCCCTTCGCCAGCTCGTGAGGCTAAGCAGGATCCTACCATTCCCAATGGATCCCAGCAACCTGGGGACCACCAGGCACCGGGATCAGATCAATTGCCGGAGGCTAAGATCGATGAGCAAAGCCCTCAGTGGAGAGGTAACCTGAACACCACCAGCACGTATCTGCCTTGGTCCCCGAACCCAAAGTTTGTGGGACCGGCACCTCCTGCAATCTCAAATCCTTGGAAGCCACTCAGCAATGACAAAACCTTAGGGAACGGCATTTTTGAGCAAGGCCTTGGAGGATTCCCAGGGAGGGATATCTCGCTTCGCAGCCACCTTGGTCTTGATCAGCCGCCCATAGCCCCTGCAGCACCGCCTTTCTCCGCTCCCTCTCGATCTCCGCAAGAGAATGCATCTATATCTCCCTTGCCATCTCCCGAAGTCAGGCATGTGTCTTACGACTCTATCAACCCCATTCTGCGGCCCGGGCCGATTGGACCTCCAAGCTCTCACCGGCAACACGAGAATCGTGTAGCTACTGGAACAGCGGCCTGGAACAACTTCCATGCAGTCGCCGCGAAACGCGAGGCAGAGGAGAATGAGAAGCTTCGCAATGAGTACAATGCCGTGCGCGAGGGCCCTTCTTCACTCCCGGTGACTTTCAATGAAACCTGGCGGCAGGTCCGGACGGGAGACCAGGCTGGGCAGAGACAAGTAGTTGCAATCTCTAGGACTTCGGAGAGCACCGCGCCTCTTGCAAACCCCCTTCCTGGATTGGACCACCCGGTTAGCTCTTTGCCTTTCGCCGAGACGCCCGCTCGTCCTCTTGGCAGCGTCCCGGCTCGGAGTTCACGATTCTTCCCTCAAGCCTCGGAGCATCTGAGGAAGCCGGCGACTGACGAAGGGGACTATTTCCGGAGTCCTTCGCCACCTCCCCCGGAAGAAATGTCGAACCACCCCGTATACACTGGTGATTCGAATAGACCATTGGTCCATCTTCCTGCGCCGAAGCCTATTGTGAAACTGCCCCCCAAGGTCGTTGCTCCCCCGCCGCCGCCTCCCACCTTTGCTTCTATGGTCGCTGCTCCGCCGCGCGCCGCACCGGCGACGTCCTGGCAGGAGAAAATCAACACGTTGTTTGGCAAAAAGACGGTACCCGAGAAGCGAAATGCTCTGGCAGTCACGTCAGCGACCAAAGAGCCACTTGACGTCCAGCTGCATATTGCTTCGGTTTCTGTCTCCCTTCCTTGCAACGGCGAGCTTCATGTCGGAGACGGTGAGGTGACTTCAAAGCAAGTCGAAGAGGCAGAGGAGATCTTTGAGGACCGCGAAGTAGGGTCTCTGCCGGTCGTCCGGGTCCCGACTAGAGCACCTCCAGCAGCGTGGCAGGCTGCACGGGCACCTTCGCAGTCCCGACTGCGGTCCAAGCACCTGAAGTCGATGCAGGTCCATAGCGTCGAGCCGTTCATCGTTGGATTCCACGACCGGGATCAGTCCGGAATATTGAGGGTCTCGATCCGCTTCCCAGGTGCGGCCCTGGCGAAGACTATGGCTCTTCCCCGGAAAGCAGGAGCCCATACCCCCCGCCCCCGCGGCCCTTCGAGTTATAATAAACCTCGAAAGAATACGAAGCCGCGCGAAGGGACCGGGAATTCGAACCCCAAGAAACCTGCCTCATCCCAGCAGACCAACGGTAGCAGCTCTCCGCGTCGCCCGTCCCGGAATGCATCCTGGGGGCCCCGTAACTTCAGCGGATCCCAGTGAAGTCAGTCGTTTTTCTATGCGGAGTGCAGTCTCATGATTCGAGTTACAGCTGTTAGCCTTGGGTTGGCTTTTGCCGGGGTTCGGAAATTCATTGAGCGTTACATTTCGGTAATGATGAGCCACGCTTGCGGGGAGATTCGATCGATCTGGGTTTGGTTTGAATTCTTAGTATTCCTTTAATGTTCGTCTTGTTTGCCGTGCCATCTTCTCTGCGTCTGCATGTGTCAGTGCCCCTCCCAAGTAACATACTCCTCCGGTCGAGCGGGTCGATGCCTTCCATTCTCCTCAAACACACACTCTCACCTTGTTCACTGCTACTTCCAACTCGTTATTTATTCCAAGGCTTCGGGGGTCTTACCCAACCCATGTCATGTCTTGCCGAATCCCCCCCTCCTATCTCTGCTCGCACCCGTTACCCTTATCTCCTTTCTCAAATCTTGACCTCGTGAACCCTCTATGTGCAGTGTTGCATCAGTATGCAAACTCACAGACCCCTCCTCTCCTACCACTCACCCTACAGACCCCTTTTCTCTCCCTTGCTTCCGTGCTCCGTTGACCATCGTCGTCGTTGAGCCGTTGGATCCTTCTTTTTATACCTTTGTGTAACCGGAGCCAAGATTCTGGGAAAGAATAATGGTGCGGGAGCTTTTGTGTTAACGTTCCAGAAACGTGTATCTAGCTTTGTGCTGAGGTGTGCATTCGAATACTTTAACATTGTCTAATATCCCATAGTCGTAGCTGTAGCTGTAAGTATAAGACTATCAAATAAAGATGTAACAAGTTAGGCTAAATGGTGACTGACATTTACAGAGTACACACAGACGTAACATTCTTTCCCTCTACATCTAGACCATACCAAATCAACAAGAATTTCCACAACACCTATCCTGCTATCGCTAGTCCATGCTAATCAAACAAACCCCCCGCTCCCCCATAGTAAACTAATTTACATCCCTTGAGTCGAAAATGAAACAATAGATAAAGAGAGGGCTCCAAAACGAGAATCGAAATCATTAACATACAGTACACCAAGGACTCCATTCAATTTGGGTATCAACATCCCCCCTCTTTTTCCCTTCTGTTGCTATCACGTCCATTCTGGTAGTTATAATTGTCTTACCAGTTCCATGTCCGGGATGAAGCAGTGAAGACAGGAGGTTTCCATTGCAGTCGTGCAGGGTCGATTTTGCGAGAGCCCTTGACCTTTTCTTTTTCTAGACGCTTTTTGTGCTCTTCCACGACTTGGTCGGTCAGAACTATGACCCAGTTTCCTTTCTGTATGGGCAAGCGGGTTAGTTTGTGTTTTTCTTGTAGGGTAGGTGGTGGTGAGGGGGAGGGGGAGGAACGTACGTGGTATCGAAGCATATTGAAAACGACCAATGTTTCGTGGACGTCTTTCTCTGTCATAGAGGTGAGCATGGAAAGGTCGTGCTCGCTGATTGCCTCGCGGCCAACATCTAGGAGGATCTCCACGAGAGTCTCTCGCCAATACTGTCGATAACTGAGGAGACCGAGATCACTGAGTGGTTTCTCGGGCGATCCGAGCTTTCCTTCCCGCTTGCCGAGCTCGTAGCTGAAGGAGATGAGGAGACGGCCGTACCCGCGGCGTTGGTATTGAGGAAGGGTGAGAATACAGGCTAAGTTGTAGCCTTCTGCGGAGTCTTTTTCCTTGGAGAAGTAGCCGACCAGATGGCAGCCAGTTTCGTCGCGACTGCACATGCAGTAGAAGAGGAAGGGGTCGACGTCGTAGTAGAGAGTTTTGTGGTCGAGGAAGAGCTTGCTGAGCAGACAGAGGTTGCGGCACCAGGTTCGCTGACGCCGGCCGTCGACTTCGAAGAAGGAAATGTAGTCGTCCCGGTAGATTTCGTTTCCGGGGGGGTGCACAAGGGTGCACTTGGAACGATGACGCTCGAAGGAGCGCTTGTTGTCGAAATATCCCAGGCAGAACTCATCGATGTACACGACGTCTGCGTCGGAGAAGGATGCAGGGTAGGGGGAGAAGTACCATGGTTCGATATCGTATTTGCCCATTTGGAGACGGGTCAAATTTCGCACCCGGTGAATCTCCGTTGGATTCTGGGTCATACTGCCACTGGTACGGAGCCGTTCGATCTCTTCTTCGCGCGACATGAGGCCTAGTGCTTTCGCTTCTTCCTTCTCATCCTTGGAGAAGCCGACATCGATCATGTCGACATCATCCGATTCCGGCCTGGGAGTTCCATCTACAGAGACGGCTTCTGAGCCCCCGATGGAGAGGTTCAAAGGAGTCTCGTCGCCCCGATTCTCCTTCCCGCCTGCTTTGGACGGGCGCTGGGCCTTGCCAACATTGGTGTTCTTGCCTGTTAGAAGATCCGGAGTTGCAGATACATCACGGCTTTCGGCTCTCGCACGCTTCTGGGGGTTCTTGCTAGGTGCTTTGTTGCTGGGGCCGGTCTTCTTTTTCTCCGGTTTCTCTGGTTGGGGCCATTCGACCTCGTGTGACAGATCGATTCTTGTGGAATCAACCCACTCTAGATTCGATGTGAGCACGACGAGTATAGGTAGACCAATCGGCCCGACTTACCATCAAGACGCTTGTTGAAGTCGACATAGTGGACGCTGCAATTGTCAGCACCAATATCCCAATGCCCAAAAGGAATGCAGAACCTACTAGAATGAAGGACCATCCTTCCGCTGCTTGATAGATAGGATCTCTGCCTTTCGTAATTCTCCATCCTACACAGATACCCCAATCAGTAATCGCCCCGATACGTCACCGGCCAGTATAGTGAGTCATCACGTGACTGGCACGTCCGAACACACAAGAGGTCGACGAACAACTGACCTTCTGCACCATGGCCTTGACACCGATCCTATCATCTTAATTAGCACATGCGACCGATGAAACCGGGACTGGAGATTCCCAAGAGCAGACTTTGGGAATTTTCCCTTCACTTACCGGATGGTGTTGAGGGTGGCGAACCCCTTCTCGACGGGGTCCGGGGTCCCCATGGCCTCGTCCCTGCCGCCCATGGTGATGGAGGGGGGCTTCTCGATGCGTCTATAGAGTGGATTTAGATGGAAAGGCTGTGGGGGGCCGATTGCGCGATGGAAACGCGAAAGGGGATCGTAGGAGGTGATGGAGGATTCTCCGTTGCGATGCCCCGGAAGAGACCGCCTTTGACTTTTGCCATCCGCTTTTGGTCACCATCCCCCGGTCCTGCCATCGAACTATCCATCGGAATCGTTGCATGCTGCGTTGGCGGGAAGGCCTGTTCTACACATTCACGTTATTGATTACTGGCAGTCACAAGATGGGAAACACTGTCTTATCATTTGGTCATGATTGTGATTATCGGGTACAGTATCCATTGGTGGGTTGTCTAGTAATTGTGCCAAGGGCAGACAACTTTATATTTACCCATGGCATCTTAATACTGGACAATTGACAGCAAAGAGACAGCATCGTATGATTACATTCTGAACTGCAAGAATGCAGATTGAAATTCAAGCTAGGTATCTGTTTTGAGGCTTCAATGCCACCCATTAACCATCCCCCCTGTTCCTGCCACAAGCTCGTCGAGTTCGTCCTTCCTAGTTCTATACAGGTCTTGAGCTTCGCGCTCTCGGCGCATGACAAATGCCACATCATCCCTCAGCTTTTCGAGTCTCTGAGAAAGAGCGGATTGTTCCGAGATCTGCAACGTACGGAAAGCATCGAGCTCATCCCTAGTTTTCTCCAGGGCTGTGTTGGCCTCCACTATCTTTGTTCGGAGCACCTTGGCCCGGCTCTGATAACCGCCGTAATGTAACGCAAGCTTCTTCTCCAGCTTGTTGCCTCGCTCCGCCGTGGCGAGCAGGGAGTTCTGAACGTTATCGAATGCTGCAACCATCCGTTGTTCTTGTTGATATACATCCTCCTCTTCGTCATCGGCGTAGTTAGAGAGACCGGGCAGAGTGTTGGAGTGTTTCGTCGACCATTGCTCATCGAAGTTCTCCTGCCACTCCTGCTGCTTTTCAGATGCGGCCGCTTCCGCGGCGATGGCCGCACGGGCTTGCTCCATGAGGCCGTCATCGAGCTGTTCCAACTTCCGAGCCTTGCCCTCCACCTTCGCACCTGGGATAGGGAATTTGCGCGCGTCGTGTGCAATGAGAAGAGCAGCTTCTTTTGCGACCAGGCTTGAGATGGGATCCGCAACATGAGACACTCGCTCCATCAGTGCGTCAATATCAAGCACACTTGGCCGGGGTAGGGCTCGTTGATATACTTGTGTCTGACGCTTGAGCTCGGCTTCGGCGGCACGCTGCCGAGCCTCGTTTTCTCTTCTGTCGCGCTCAGCCGAATCCTCTTCGACGTAACCAGCCGCTGCGGCTGGCTCCGCGGATTCGGAAGGAAGCTCTTCCAGTTCCCACTCCGTTTCTTTGGGCTTTGGCAGAGCTGCCAGCTTTCCGCGGATGCTTTGGCGTGCAAACTTCTCATGCATTTTGATATCTCTAGGGGTACTTCCGATGAGCTGCCCAGCTTCTGCCTGGTTGAGGGCGAATTGATCACGAGGAGTCCGCAAAGGAGTGGCACCAGACCCAACACCACCCCTCATAGGGGTTGCCCCAACGCCATTCGCTTGCCTGAAAGGCGTGGCCATAGGGTTCGGGGTAAAGATCTGCTGACGCCGAGGAGCGATCCCATCAAATCCAGTGGATGATCCTCCCTCATGCAAAGGAGTATTCTCACCTCCCAATAGCGATGATTGAGTTTCAGTCAGAGCTCTGATGTTGCGGATCTCGTTGGCGATGTGATCTTCCTCTGGCGCTGCCCGGGGCGTTCTGATTGGAGTCCCACCGACTATAGCAGAGTAGTTGCCAATCAATCCTCGGGACCCTTCCTCGTCTCCTGCCATCTTATTGGCTCTGTCGCCTGCCATACCCATCTTAATGATGTCCTCCATTTCACCTTCGCCGACCTGAGGGCTGGGAAGAACAAGCGCTCTTCTCTTGCTGCTCTGTTCTGCTTCTCGAATCTTTTGCATCTGGCCAGCGCGAGCAGCGGCAGCAGACGAAGAATTACCATTCTTGTCGTTCTTCCTCTTCTTGCGCTCCGCATCATCATCTTGATCTCCTTTCCGCTTGTTGGCGAGCTGCTGTTTGCGAGGGTCAAACATCTCCCGTTGTCTCTCATTTCGGGTTTCTTCCTCCATAGTGTCGTAAAAGCCGGGTGCTGCTGGCTTCTCGAACGGAATGTCGGCGTTGTAGTCCATTTCACCCTTCTTGCGAGTCACGACCTTGATATTAATGCCAGCATTTTTGAGTTCACGTCGTTTCTGAAGGACTGCAAGTCGTCGCGACTCTTCCAACTGCCTTTCTCTAGCCTTCCGCTTCGCCTTCTTTCCCTGTGTGTTCGCGAGGCGAGCTCGAGCCTCACTCAGCATCTCCTTCTCATCTTCATCAAGGTCGATTGTATCAGGGCGAGCGGGTTTGGATTCCGGGTCGGGGTCCAGTTCACCGGGTCTAGAGACAGTCAGTACAGGCGATCGGATTTAGAGAAAGCACGCAATGGCAGGAGCCATACCGTAACCGTCGCACATCGTCGGCACTAGGGGCAGCCGACTCAGCACCGGGACCTTCCAGACCTAAATCATCGTTCTCACGCGCTTCCGCTTCATCCAGCAACTTTTGGTAGCGTTCCAAGCATTGGGTTGCTGTGCGTCCGACAATAGGCGCAATTGTACGCCACTGGGTTGGCATCAACTTGGCCAAATGCAACAGCTTCTCATCCTCCTCCCTCGACCATTCGACCTTGCGGATACCGGGATCCAGCCATTCCACCCATCGCGCTTTGCATTGCTTCGGGGTCTTTCTTGCTAACAGCGAAGAAACACGCGCCCACTGGTTGAGACCGTACTTGGAGACCTATTGGAAACTGCATTAGTATCGCCCAATTGGAGTATAGTTGACCCCTCGGGGAGGGCGTAGCTGTTGACGTACCGCCGCACGAAGCACCTCATCCTCGATATTCGTCCTAGCTAGAGGTTAGTGGAAAGGTCAGGAGAAAGCGTGTAAAATCGCCATGCACTTACCAAACACCACCTTTGACGACAGGCATGGCTGGTGAGTTTTGCAGCCGCTGGCAATAGCCGATTGATCAAACTGAGAGATTATGTAATACAGAAATAAAGAATGATGGAATACAAGAGATTCAACAGCTGGGACGACTTGGTCCACGCTGACCAGAGTCGATAAGGAACCGACGCGGGTGAAAAGCGAGGTCAAGTCCTGAAGCGGCGTTCGTCACTTGCCCACGATAGGCGCGCAGAGCCTTAGCGCGGCAACCGCACTAGCTTCGCCCCGCGGAGGCTTATGTAAGCGTGCCCAGATTTTTGGTTGGAATATTCAAAAATTAGTACGCCGAAAAAAGATCGAAGACCAACGAGAATAATCTACGTCAGGTATCTTCCGGTAGAGTATCCAAAATGTCTGACCCCGTCGGTGCTCCAAAGCAATACAAGCAGCCTTCTCGCAAAGGCAAGAAGGCCTGGCGCAAAAATGTCGATATCGATGAGGTCCAGGAAGGTCTCCGGGTTCTGAAAGATGAAGAAATCAAAGGGTACGGATTGACATAGCTTTCCTTGGATATCTGCGGCGATAAGCTAATTTCTGTCATCGCACATTAGTGGTCTTCTATCAGAGAAGCCGTCCGATGAACTTTTCGTTATCGACACAAAGGGTTCATCAGAGATCCGTGATGCGTATCGAAAGAAGCACAAGCCTTTGAAGTCGGAAGAGATTCTGGCCCAAAGATCCGCTATCCCAGGAGTCGACACCCGCAAGCGCCTCAACTCCAAGGTCACCGACGGAGTTATCGAGCCGAAAAACAAGCGTCAAAAGAGTGATTGGGTTACGCGGAAAGACTGGCTGCGCTTGAAGCAGGTTGCAAAGGAAGGAAACCCGGTCAACAAGCCTGCCGGAGATGCCCTTTACGACCCATGGGGAGATGTCGAAGATGCCACCCCCGTGGTCGATCCCCAGTTCGACTTCTTGGAGAAGCCCAAGCCTAAGGTGGAACCTGTGACCCTGAAGCAGGCTCCGATTTCACTCGCTGCCAATGGCAAGCCGGTCCCCGCGGTCAGTAAGCCTAATGCCGGTATCAGTTATAACCCGACATTTGAGGACTGGGATCGACTGCTACAGGAGCACGGAGAGAAAGCGGTTGAGGCTGAAAAGAAGCGCCTGGAGGAAGAGCGTAAGGAGGAGGAGAGACAGCGCATGATCGCTGAAGCCAAGGACGATGACGGCCAGGTGAGGTCGGATGATGAGAGCGCTTGGGAAGGGTTCGAAAGCGAGTACGAGAAGCCCGAGTGGCTGAATAAGAAGCGCCCGGAGCGGAAGACGAAGACACAGAGGAACAAGATCAAGAGGCGCAAGGAAGCAGAAAGGCAAGCCAAATGGGAAGCGCAGATGCAGAAGAAGGAAAGTCAGGTCATACAATCCAACGCCGCCACCATTGGGATTCAAGAAGAAGAGTTTGATCGTGCCGAGCAATCAGAAGACAGCTCCTCTGATGAGAGCTCTGAGGAGGGCGATGATACTGCGCTGCGCCGGAGACCTCTTGGTGGAAAACTACAGTAAGTGTTTGTCCCGTTTACTCTATCTTTTACTGGCTTACTGATTCAATTTCTAGTGCCCCCGAGAAACGTCTGGAGGTTGTGCTGCCGGATGAACTTCAGGACTCGCTGCGTCTGCTTAAGCCGGAGGGCAACCTGCTTGATGACCGATTCCGCACGTTGGTGGTCCAGGGAAAGCTGGAGTCTCGCAAGCCGATAACCCAGGCGAAGAAGCCGAAGAGGAAGATCACGGAGAAGTGGTCTTACAAGGACTTCAAGGTCCCGGGTCTGTAAATAAATTCTCTTTTGGCGTTTTCTTGCGTCGGTTCTTTCAAGATAGATTTTACGTAATATGGGCTAGTGTTGGACATGAAAAAGTTTGCATGAGCCTTAAGTCAAATCCATGAACTTTGATGACAATGGTACCCTCCGCACGTTGGCCAACAAAATACATCTATAGATACCTAGTTGCAGCGTTCGAGACTTGCATGTGGACCCCGCCGAAATTTTAGCGCGGATTGTTAAGGTTGCCTTGGGAAAGTTGCCGGGCCAGTCTCCGCAGCACCCATCTTTTTTCTCGGGTCCCTCTTAGATTCTCAGACCCTTTCACCATGCAATAGTCTGAGGCCCATCACTGGAATGGACTTGAAAAACCTCTCCAGCAATTGGAAGAAACTCCAGGGGACGCTGAAAAAGGATAGCGTTCCCGCTACGAAACGGAAATCGTCGGACCGCGAGACGCAGGATGGTGTGGTGAAGAAACGGAAAACAGACACTTTCGAAGGGAAACGAAAACTCGAACGACCACAGATCGCACTCAAGAGGAAAAGAATGTCTCAGAACGGCACTGATGGAGGCGACGATGGCGCTCAGGAAACAACCAAGAAGTCTACATCTCGGAGGAATTCTACCGCCGCGGTTGCGGAGTCCAAGCCGAAGGTCAACGAAGGCCGTTCAACAACGTTAGTACACCTCTTTCTGTTCTCTCTGTCGGGATTGTTCACACTGGAATGCTTTCTGACGTCCTCTTAGCACGGAACTAGGTAAATATGTTGCGATGGATTGCGAAATGGTGGGCGTGGGTCCCAACCCCGATCACGACTCCGCTCTGGCCCGTGTCAGTATTGTCAACTTCAACGGCGACCAAGTATACGACTCCTACGTGAGACCCAAAGAAATGGTTACGGACTGGCGGACGCACGTCAGCGGCATACTTCCAAAGCATATGATAGAAGCGCGGACACTCGAGCAGGTTCAGAAAGACGTCTCCAATATACTCGACGGGCGAATACTTGTGGGACATGCAGTCAGTAACGACTTGGACGCTCTTCTCCTGAGCCACTCCAAGCGCGACATCAGAGACACCAGCAAACATGCCCCATACCGAAAGATCGCCGGCGGTGGTTCTCCGAAACTGAAGATTTTGGCTTCCGAGTTCCTTGGTTTGAACATCCAGGACGGTGCGCATTCCAGTGTGGAGGATGCTAGAGCTACAATGCTTCTGTACCGTCGAGACAAGGAAGTCTTCGAGCGGGAACATCTCAAGAAGTGGCCGGTGCGAGTGGTAGTCGAAAAGAAAGAAGATGGAGAGGATCAGAAGAAAAAGAAAAAGAAGAAGAAGACCCGCAAGAGGTGATCCGGTTTTTTTTGGAGGCAATGACTGGTTCTGTTCGATATACCCCAAGTTTATGAAGTTGAAGGATATCTATAGAGAATTCACAAGTACATAGAGTTTTGAACATATTATTCTTCTACCATGGCATGGATCGTGGAAATGCAAATCTCGCTGAAGAGTATGGATATCATTCCGCCTCCGCCAGTTGGCACTTAAGCGGACCGCGGAATGAACCGCCTTTTCGCGGCTACGCGTCGCGTTCCAGATCCTTGCGGCATCAATTTAACATCTCCGATTCAATTGATAGGAGGAATTACAGAGTCCCCGAACACATCACTGTCTCCAGAATACACTCTAAATTTTCACCATACCTCCTCCTGGCCTCCAAAATGTTCGCCATCCAACCAGCCCAGAAATCTTCATCCAACAATGAAACATCAACCGATCATTTCACCCCCAACATCCTCCCCTGTCGCATCCACCATGACGGCCCCGTCGAGTCACTTAACCGCTACTGGACACCTCTACCTGACGAGAAAGGTAAACACTGAGCACAACAACTAACAATACCTCACCCCATGCTCACAATCGCAGACAACAACCAGCAAACAGCCTACTTCCGCGGCCGCAGGCTAAGGGGCCGCCGAGTCGCGATCCCCGAAGGCTACGAGGGTGAGTCTCGTCCCAGACGATTACCATGCCTAACCAGCTCATCAAAACTATGCTTCAGGCGTTATTGCCACCCCCACAGACCGTGTCATGCCAGCTACCCCACCAAGCACGGACGTTGAAGTCGAGGAGGTTATACCGGAAGAGCCAGTCAAGATTCTTGAGAAGCAGGGTACATTTGATGAGTATGTGGTCTGGGGCCATGAATGGGTGCCTGCAGCAGAAGACTCCTTTGTCAAGGGAGTGGAAGAGTGGATTAAGCTTGCTGAAGCGGTAGGTGAACCTTGTCTTATGGCTTTGCTTAGGCTGACGGTGGAGTAGATGCACACTACCCCCAGCAGTGAGAAGAAGTCCTCTACTTGAGCGAATACATACTACGGTGTATAGTAGGTCAGGGCTGCAATCATCGTTGAATTGATCGCACTAGCTTGATTAGCACATGAGTGTCTTCCGACAGTCGCCCGCTCGATGCATTCCACACCGGAATAATGTGTCATCTGTCGACTATATTCGACTCCAGTGCGGACAATAACGATGTCAGGGCATACGGAAGAAACCAGCGGTGGATCATACGCTTCAGAGTATGTCCAGGGTCCAAGGACAGTACACTTGTGCAACCTGCGATAACGAACACGGGGGGAAGGCTACCCACACAAACATTGGACTGGGATAGAAACACCAGGGGATAGCTTTCCAACACCAGGAAATCCCGCAAAGGATCCTATGTCTACAAATATCTAGATAGTTGCCATTTAATATACCCAAAACAATACCACCGCACAGCCACTATCACCGTATAGATAAGCCTGACCGCCCTCCAGATTCTGCCGGAAGAAGTAGAAGATCTGGGGTAAAATCAACAACTCGCGACACTCTCATCCAACCCCATCACTCTACAGCAAACCACTCAGCATGAGCACCGACGACTCTAAACCCACCGCCGAGGCTCTCATCTCGAAATTTGAGGTGACCCGGCTCCTCAAACAAGGCAAGCAGCCTGACCCCTCCCACTGAATCCTCCCAACCCCTCAACCCCTCTTTCCACCATCATCCCTCACAACACAATATCACTAACCCAACCAACCCACCTACAGACCAAGGCGGGCGTCGAATCACCATTCTCGGTACAATCAACAACCAACAAGGCATCCTGACTGCCGAACGAGCAGCCTTCGCCACCGAAACCCCCGAAGCCCTCCAAGCCTTCCACGCAGCCATCACCCAAGTGCAAAACCTCGGCGACAATGACATCTACCGCTGGTACCTCGCCTCTTCACACTCTACCCCCGGAAGCCAGCAGCCCCCAGACCTAAAACTCAACCTCATCTGGCCTTGCACGGACCAACATATCAAGAAATACTCCGAGCAGGTGGTGCGTATGGTCACCGAAACGCCGGAGATCTATCGCGACCATGTCCGTCCGTATATGAGCGCGAAGCGTGAGGAGGGGAGATTGAACTGGGTGTTTAATATTCTCGAGGGAAGGACGGAGCAGGAGGACGTGATTCTGAGGGATAAGGGGAGTGGGGAGGGGAAAGAGGAGGAGGAGGGGTTTCTAGTGTTGCCGGATCTGAATTGGGATCGGAAGACGATGGGGTCGTTGCATTTGTTGGCGCTGGTCTTGAGACGGGATATTTGGTCCTTGAGGGATCTGAAGAAGAAACACGTCCCTTGGTTGAAGTATCTCAGGGAGAGGTTGTTGGAGGATACGGTGAGGGAGTTTCCCCAGCTCGAGAAGGATCAGTTGAAGCTTTATGTGCATTGTGAGTTGGTCCCCGTTCTTTGGAGTTCTGCTTATTGCTGGGGAATGGATTGCTGACGTATGTGGGGGATGTTTAGACCAGCCGACGTATTATCATTTCCATATCCATGTGGTGAATGTTATGTTGGAGGCGGGCGCGACTCAGGCTACTGGGAAGGCGTTTGGGCTGGAGAATATCATCTCGCAGTTGGAGACGCTGGAGGGGGATGAAGAGGCTGGGATGGCGGATGTCAGTTTGACTTATTACTTGGGTGAGGCCAGTGAGCTGTGGTCGAATGTGTTCGGGCCGCTGAAGAAGGGGGAGAAACCGTTGTAGATTTGATACACGGGTTATGCTAGGCGCTAGACGCGTTGAATGATGATTTATGATTGCTACGATCGAATCTATTAGATGTAAGTCTCTTATTATTAGGCGTAGGTATATACCTTGCTCCCCTGATGGCAGGCTACATAGTCGATCTATCTATATCGGCGGGACGGCCATTCCTTGAACCCCGCAACACCACCGACGTCAACCCCTCACGGCTCCATCCGTCCACTCGACTTTCTTCATTTCCACCACCTCCGTCCCCTCACCTACTTACACCTCCCAACCATCCCAATAGCTCACGATAATATTCAAACTTACAAACAACCATCACAATGACCGACCCTGACGCCCCTCAAACCAACAAGGCCTTCGTGCCTCTCGGTAACACCCCCTCTCCTCCACCCCCCAATAAACAACACCAAGTCTAACGCGCCCCAGAAAATAACCCCGAAGTAATGACCCATCTTGTCCGCCAACTCGGCCTCTCCCCAGCCATCGGCTTCACGGACGTCTGGTCAATCGACAGCCCGGACCTCCTCGCCTTCGTCCCGCGTCCCTCCTACGCCCTCCTCCTCGTCTTCCCCGTCTCTCAAGCCTACGAATCCGCCCGCGTGGCCGAAGACACCCCGCTCCAAGAATACACTGGCTCCGGGCCCTCCGAGCCCGTGATGTGGTTCAAACAAACAATCCGGAACGCGTGCGGGCTGATTGGACTCCTGCATGCGGTGTCGAACGGCACGCCCCGGAAGCATGTCACGCCTGGGTCGGACCTGGATGTATTGTTGCGGGAGGCAGAGGGGCTGGAGCCGATTAAGAGGGCGGATCTGTTGTATGAGAGCAGGGCGTTGGAGAGTGCGCATGCGGGTGCGGCGCGGTTGGGGGATACGGAAGCGCCGCAGGCGGAGGATTCGGTGGATTTGCATTTCGTGGCGTTTGTGAAGGGCGAGGATGGACGGTTGTGGGAGTTGGATGGGAGGAGGAAGGGGCCATTGGAGAGGGGGGTTTTGGGTGAGGATGAGGATGCGTTGAGTGAGAGGGCGTTGGAATTGGGAGTGAGGCGGTTTCTGGAGATTGAGAAGAAGAGTGGGAATCCGGATGTGAGGTTTAGTTTGGTTAGTTTGGGGGAGGTTTTTGATTAGATCGTGGCGGTGAATGTTGTACGTATACCCGGTTATGGTAGATTGGAGACAGGTTGTGTACTGCTTCTGGCTGGGTGGATGTGAATATTGAGGGCGTGTAGAAGTATAGTGCTCAGATGTCGTCGTCAGCCCACCATTCATCTGAGTTGAACTTCAGAACGTCATCCCCGCAGGCCCACCATCCAGCTGTGAGGTTGCGGGCAAAGACCTCTAGAGCAGAGTATGGCATGCGATCGCCTGCCGATGAGCTGAAGAACATCTTCTCGAAGAGTTCCTTCAGGTTCGGCTTCCGTGAATGCACATCAGGAACAGCCCCAATGACCCTCCTGGTTATAGATCCAAGACCACCATCACTCTTAGGTGCTTGAGGATGCACTCTCCTCCCTATAACAAGAATCTCGTATGGCTTCCGCCACAGTCCTCCCAGCGCCGTGATCGGCGTTCCGTCCGTGGTAGTCTTGAGCCACACCCATTCTTCGCAGACAGTGATCCCGGCACCCTGTATAGCATCATAAGCTGCCTTCCGTGCCTTTGCAGAGTTGGTGATCCAGATCGCTGCTATCGATCCTTGGGTATTTTCAATGCCTCCTCTATCAGAATCATCCACAGACGGAGTGGGATCTTCTTGCAGGTGTACCTGTAGGATTTCACGAAGGCGCCCCGTGAGAAGTTCCCAGCCCAGGTAGGATTGCGTCTGGTAATGGCCACTTCGACGAACCGAGCGGTTTGTCCACGGTGGATCGAAGAGGATGAGATTGAACTTCTTTTCGGAAGGGAGGCCAGGAATGGGGTCAAATTGCGTGATAGGGTCAGATATTGGGATTCTGCAACGCAGGAAATGTGACAGCGGGGGCACATAAAATGAATGATAATGATATGGGTGTTCTTGCTCGTATCCCTGCTTATCCTTCGGTATCAGGTTTGTGTTGTCTCTTTCCGATTGACATCGTATCTGTACCATCGCTGGCTCAGCAGACGTGTTTTTGACAACCGTATTGCAGAGTTCGGACATGCGTGCAAAGACGTTAACGCCAGGCGACAATATCAATGGCGGGTTGCTCATATCTGAGGAAACAGAACTCGACCCAGCCCAATCAGAGCTATATCCCGGATCTACAGTCCATACTGGACATGTACTGTCTCTGCGTTGCCAGGCGCTCCTTTTCCTCTTTCCTGATGGAAACAGGTCATCCTGTGTTGCAGTAGCTGGTACATCTATTGCATCGCTTTCTATTGATATGCGAGGCAAGCACCATTCGGCCCCGACTTCAAATGCGTCCTGGAGCTCGGTTAACTTTTCAGCCACGAGGGGCTCGATGAACACTGAATGGAAATGCCGTTCGGAGAGCGGAATCCTTTCCAGAACCCTTGCTCGCGCAGCCTCGGACTTGGGCTCAGTGGATGGCGGATAAGGCTCCCTCAAGGGTGCCGAAGATAATAGGGTTCTTCTACCATGACTTTTCCTTGAGGTAGAAGGGGTGGAATGGGGTGGTGGCGGTGAGGTTTGTGCTGGCAGTGCCTGCGCGAGCGCAATGGAGCTGGGGATATCAACCACAAAGGCGGTGGCACTTGGGGTTTCATAAAGGATCGAAGAGGTTGGGACCATGATCACTCATGGTTTGGCCCAGGGCTTGCGTTGGTTTAGAATGAATGAGTTTGCGGGAAGGACGGTGATGGAAGAAGGTTGGCCGAGTCTCAGCCATCCCTGCCCCAAACTCGACTTCGACTACGGTAGCTTCTTGGAAAGATCTCCATGGAAATTCGTTAAATTATCTGTTTGAATCGGCCTTGTCGGTAACCCACACCCAGTGGAGCACAGCTCAATCTCAACACCATGCAGCACGAAGACAGTCATTCTCATCATCCTCTAATACACTAAGACGGGAAGCACTCAGATGGCCAAAGAATAAGAATAAGAATAAACAATACCATCGGTTCTCATATCCAACAGAATTATGGCAAACGCAACGCATAACCAAACCACAGATGGCAGAAATCACTTGAATGCTTATTGACAAAAGGCAACACCACTATGCTCTCAGATAAACAAAAATCGCAACACTTTTTTCTCATCTCATTCCTTCTTCCTCCGTTTCCAAGACGATCCAGCGTCGGTCTAGGTGTGACAAGGGGTCATTTCGTGCATATAGCCATACTACTCTCTGTATCCCGGAAATCGAAAAAAGGGTAAGGTCAAAACTTTATACATCGGGTCGAAGTCAATGGCGAATTAAAGAGTTATAAGAAAGCCTCAATGCTGAAGGTCAATCCGCATTAGCCTCGTTCACGCAGGCAAGCTGCACGCTCTCACATGTGCTGGGGATGACTCACACGTCCACGTCGTCCCCCAGCAGGCTGTGTTTGAGCTGGCTGTGCCTGAGAATAGAACTGGGAAGGATATTGATACATCTGAGCGGAGCTCATGACAGGGCTGAATTGCTGAGGCGCATAAGCTGGCTGAGCCATCATAGAACCGGGGTTGATTGGGCCAGGACCTCCGCTCAAAGGAGCAGCTGGGGTCTGCAGAGTCCGAAGATTATCCGCCGCAGGCGCTCCAGCCGGGTACCCAAAGCCGGAGTTTCCCAAGCTCGGATACAGGCCCGAGGGCGAAAGGCCCCGAGATTGGGCTGCTAAGTAGGCCTGATACTGAATTTGTTGCTGTGTCAGAGGCACCAAGGGATCCTGACCGAAGCCCGTACCATTGACACCAACTCCGCCAACCCCATTGAGAGGGTTGATACCACCGGCAGAACCAAGGCTGTTCATTCCATTGATGCTGTAAGGATCAAAGGGAGAGGCGTTTTGCTGTTGCTCAGAAGCAACGGGTCGGGGGGCGTCCAGGCTTTGGCCGAGCATGGTAGGGAATTGTGCCCCATATTGTCTTTCCATGGAAGGCTGGGCACCGTAACTTGATGCCGCCTGCCGGGAAGTAGGACGGTGCTGTTGTTTTTCCGCGCCAACATGATCACGCCCATGGTGATTATCGCGAGCGCCGCCTCGAGAAGACAGGCCAACTTCATCCATCAAGCGCTTGTACCCTTGACTGGGGGTCGCCTTGAGTTTGGTAAGAACCTTTGATACATTCTTCACGACTTCTGCTCGCATGGTTTCGTCAAAGAACGGTGTGGTGAGAACCTTAAAGATCAGCGTCGCTCCTGATGTCTGGTCGCTCAGGATCTTCTCCAAGACCTCATCACCTGGGCTGAAGAATAGAGCCTTCAACACAATTTCACGAGCATCCGGTTCGTTGCGTTGGTTGATCACCTTCAAAACGGTCAGGTAAGCAACCTTGTGGGTGCAAAGGTGCACCAGGTGAGGAACCAGCCGCGGTGCGAGAACGGTACGGCGTCGGGGGAAAGTGCAGGTATCCAGGAACCAAGTCAACAACAAAGCCCCATTAGCATTGGTCGCAAGCTGGACGCTGTGCAGGGCAATGGCTGCAGCGAGCATGCGTTGCTGATCCTTCGAGGCGTGGTGACTTTCAAGGCAGGCTCGCATGGCCCGAGCACCAAAGCGGCCCTGCGCAATTTCCCACATTCGACTCAGCATTGTTTCGAAGATAAAATCATTGAATGGGGTACCAAAACGGAGACAGCACTGGAGAACATAGTTTCCGTATTGGTCTAGGAACAGCGGAACAGTGTATGGCCTGAGAGCATCCACGATCGCGTTCATCTGGTTTGGAGTCTTGGCAACGTCGATGATCTTCTGTGCTGCCCAGGTTCCATTCTTGTGAACGCCAATTTCGGCAAGGTGAGGTGAAATCGGTACGAGCATTTGCTCTTTGGTAGATTCCGAGCAGAATTCGAAGAGCTTCTGGACGACGGTGTTTCCAAGATAGTCCGACGCAAGCTCCGCGATTTCCGGTAGCATCGCAACTGCAGTCTCCTCAATCTCCTGGACTGAGCAAGCTCCGTTGTCGATCCTCTTCCGGATATCGCGGAGGCGGGGAGCATCGAACATCCGAGTCTGGCTAGGCTCGGAGATCGGAGGTATCTCATCTTCAAACGCATCAAAAGCAATGGCTCGGTGAATACTGGCACCAATGTTGTGAACATCATCCTCAGTAGCGCCGAAGTCTGTGACAATCTGCGCCATCTCTGGCTGAAGCTCGGCAAGGGAAGGTATCTGGGGTACATTGTTTCCGCTCTCCGGCCTTACGATACCATCAGGTCCGTTCATGCTCGGATCGGGGGTCGGAGATGACTGAGCCCCATTAACACCAGGCGTGCCGGAGGCAGAGGTACCAGGCACTTTAGCATATCCGATCCGGACTGGGCCCGCACCGGGGAAAATCTCCTTCCCGTTGAGAAGTGATTTAGCTTGGATGGCACTCTCGATGCGCTCGAAGTTAACGAAGCCACAGTTCTTGTGGGTCAGTACGCGGGTAGACTCGATTTTGCCGTACAGGCTGAAGATCGCCTCCAACGATGTGACAGTGGTGGAGACAGGGATACTACCAATCCACAAGGCACGAGTTGGGCCATCCTGGTTGTTTTCGTCTGCCATCTCTCCTGCTTGCCGCATAGTCATGTTAGGCGCGCCGCTTCCACCAAGATGCATTAGCTGTACAGCTTCTGACAACTCATCGTATTCGCCGCCTTCCGCGATATTGAGGTCAGCGGCGCTGAAACTGTTCTCAAGGCGGGATGGGGTCGCAAGGTAATTACGGATCGATGAGCGCTGGGGCGGTGCTTCCAGAATCCCAGCGGTCCTAGCACGAGGTCGGCTGGCCGACGCATGACTGGCAAATGCCTGTACAGCCAAGTTGTGTTGATGAATCTGAGCCTGGGTCGCAGCCAATTGGGCAGCCGTGGCGGCTGCAGAAGGCGTAACAGCACCGGAAGGAAGTTGCGAATAGCGACTCTCATATTCCAAATCCTCATCATCTGCGTACTTTTCTTTCGCATTTACGGAATATGACCGGATACGACTGTTGTTCTTCATCATGGCCAGTTCCGCCAGCAGAGGGGGCAAAGTGGACTGTTGTTGTTGCTGCTGTTGTTGCTGCTGCTGTTGGAGGAGCATGTCGACGGAGGGTCGCACAAGCGTGGCTCGTGCCTGTTGCGGGGTCTCCGCCAAGCCCAAGTAGTCCAGGGTCTTCACATCGGTATCAGCAAGTCCATCTCTGGAAAAAGACGAGTGACTGGGAGAGGCTGGCCCTTCGGAAGAGCGGATGCTTGTAAGCGTTGTCGCGCGATCACGTCCAGTTGCCCAACTGGTAGAAAACAAGGACGGCCCAAAAGGACCAGAAGATCCTAAAAAGTTCGCTCTCTGGGGCATAGAACCAGCTCGGAGACGTGAGAGAGAGCCTGCGCTGCTCCCACCAACAGTGGTTGCAGTCTTTGCACTTGTGTCGATACCAGAAACGCCGGATGGACGAAAAGGGCTAGTTGATGGCGTAGGGCGGGAGGTTTGGGGCATGTATGGTTGTTGCAGGTTCACCTCGTTCAGCGCACCCACAGGCGAAAATCTCGAGGGGACAGTGCCAGCTCTTGCTCTCCGGCCAGGGCTATTGATCGAGCCACTGGAGGTAGGTACCAAGTCTGGAAACCCTTCTTGGCTTGGAGACTCGGGAATGTTTTCACGGAGAGGGGTAGAATGACCGCTGGTCGGGGGTCCCCAAATACTGGGCGAAACGCCTTCCTCTGCTTGAATCTCTCGCGCTCTAGTATGTAGATAGTTGGCGTCAGTTGGCGGGAACCCGAAGGAGAGCACCTCAAGATAGTTAGGCTGCTTACCGCTTAGAATATAAACGAGCTCCAAGTTCATGAGAAGGGGATCCAGCCCCTAGCCTCGCGCCACCAATGGAGCCTGCAGCGCCATTCAGACCATTTGAGGAACCAAATGGCGACTTAATGGCAGCAGATGCAGACAGGTCACTAGGGGAGCTACGCCCTGTACTGGTCCCAGACATTGGTTGAGTAGTTGGGATATAATTGAGGTTCATGTGACCGTCCGGTCGTGAAACAGGGAGCATTATGAATTATTTCCCTCCACCTCAAATGAAGGTGGACACTGAACACCTCGTGTATGGATATGAGAAATGCAAGATAGTTGTCCAGTCGGTAATTAGGCTGTTCAATCCAAGGTTTGCCTCGTGAGAACCATGTGTGAATCCCACCTTGAGATGATCAAATGGTAATGGTCGATCTCCACGACCAACGAAGAGGACTGAAGCAATCAACAATGAATGGATTGATCAATAGACGTGACTCTTGACGCTCGAGGAAACCGGCGTTCTGTGCGTTCAGGCGCGAGTGGATATGCTTGTGGCGGAGGACTGGGTCCAAAGGAATACGTAAGCTTAAACGAGCACAGATATCCAGGAATCAGTGAGGAGACGAAATCGATCAAAGGGTTGTCGATAAGAGGTCCGTTATGCGTTAAGGCCAGTCAGGTTTGTCACACTGGGGGGAAGATAATCTTTGGACTAGTGCCCAGATCCGACTGCCACGATCCACCGTAGTAATTAGGTCTCGATTATTCCAAAATATCACTAATCCGCAGGGACCCGCTCGAAAAGACCGTAAGGACACGAGGGAATTGTGTGAGCAGGAGGAGGCCGAGCGAGGGGGACGAGGAAAAGGAACGCGGCAGTCGTAGTAGTGTACGGGGAAAGCCGAAAGGGTCGACGACTCTAAGGTGGCTGGAATAAATTGCGCGGCTTCGGGCAGAAGCCAGAAAAAGATACAATAATGGAAAAGACCGACAATGGGCGACACTAAAAGGGATACTGAATTGAAGGATTACTCAAAGAGAAGAGATTGGGGGGAGGAGAGGGGGGGAAGAGGAAAAGGTAAGACAGGAAAGGGGGCATGAAAGGAGGAAGCGTAAGAAAGAGATAGATGGCGGTGGGTGTGAAGAAGAGAGCTGCTCACTGCGCGGAGGGAAAAGGTAAAAGGTGGAAAAGAGACTTCGAGAGAAGGAAGAAGGCGGTTGGAGCTCACAGGTTGCCGGATCCCGGGGGGCATGTCATATCCACTCGTCTGGTTGGTTGGTCGGGTTCAACCATTTCGCCCTTTTATTCGTATGAACAAATAATATCATAGGTGGCTCGTTTTTAGGATACATGATTTATTCATTCAGTCCGCAGTATTGTATTCTCGTTGGTGAGGGATCCTGTCACATCCCCCATCCCCATCTTCCATCCCTTGATGCTCGTGCTCGTGCCCACTGCCCAACTGGCGATCGACCATTTTGTGCTGTGCTTGCTAAGTTGCTAGAACCCCCGGAGAGGGGGGCAGTCTGTCGGTTCGGTTCGATCGATCCCCTCATGATCCCGATTTTGGAGATGCTTCTAAATAGCGCAATTCTCCTCGGGTTTCCACACTCCCACAGTCGACCCCCCCAAATTCCCTGGGACTGTGTGCTATTCTCCCATGATATTTATATCGTTTAATATTTGTATCACCGTATCAGAGCCCCCGTGGCTACGTATCCTTTCTCATGGTTTCTCCTCCCAACTGATACGTAGGCTTCCACCATTATCATTATTATTCTCAACGGGTGTCTAATGCTAAAAGCGGAAATAGATCAGGCTAGGTGGAGTCGAGGCTTGGATAACATCAACAATTCTTCTGGTCACGGTCCAGTGACCCAGTGGCCCAGTGAACAACCGAGCAGACCACTTTCCTTGGTCCGATACTGTTCTCCCCTCACCAGTTCCACTTATATTCAACTTGATTGTGAATGAATGACAATCCACAAGAGGCCGCATTGCACTACAATGTTGAAACGTGATGATGTCCATATATATTACCCGGCAGCTCGATCTAATTCGGATCGGACTTTCATACGGCAATGGGATGCTTACCAATGGTCTTTCGACATCCTTGTCAGAGCTGAAACGGGAGGAATTCGGCCCAGCCTGGATGATTGACACGCTGAAACGTCCTAAACCCCGCATTCCACTGTCCGTCATGTGTTTTGACATGATGGTCCTGTTCATGTTGCACCCCCCCCCTGAATGAGGTAATGGACCTGCCTGAAACCAGTTCTTTTCACATGCGCAGGGTGACGTACAACCAGGTAAGCTTTCCAGCATTCACTAGCAGTTCACACCGTCCATACAGAGTACAGCGGCACATAAGGCTATGGGTGGCGGATACAAGCTCGTAGGACGAATTAACCAGCCCCTTTCATGTAGTCAATGGGGGGAGTGCAAGGGATGAAGACCTTTTGAGGTCTGCCCTGTTCTGGCTTCTGCTGCCAAGAGGCAGAGAAATCTTCTTACTCGAGAGAAATCATCGGCGGAGCTCTATGCAGGAACGCTGCTCCGTACTCCGTTCTCCGTACCACAATCCTTTTGGGCCTTCACTATGTAGAAAGCAGCAAAAGTAATGTTTGATCATAATGAAGCCGGACCCGAGGTCGATATTCAAAGCAGTACCTATGGACCTCAGTTACCAGGGTCACTGTGCCCGCAGCTGTGGTGCTCACGCACGGTACCTGACCCAGAGTATTCTTGGGGCGGGTTGAATGTTCGCGGTCCCTGGGAGACTCGAAGATGGCCACCATGCCCTATCACAATGTATAGAGACCAGCCGGAACCTTTGTTACACAGCAGGTGATCTCCTGGGTATTATTCAAGGGAAATTACTCCTTGTGACACCTGGACCTCGCATACAAGCCATCCCACGGAGCACGTGATTGGCTATATACCTGAGGCAGCCGTCGTTCACCGCCACTGCCCTGCTCCGTATTCGCAGTCATTTTCGGCACCGCCTTTCAGTTTCCAGAGCTTCCATGCATGCAATATAGGACATCCATAATCTGAGCTTTACTACCCTGCCCTTCTCCTCCACCTTGGATCTATACAAATGGTTATCTGAGGCGCTACTACCCTCTATGGCATTCTAGAATAATTAAATGGATAACAGTATCGGAACGTGTTACGCCCCGTCGATCCCATACGCGCCTAATACGACTCGCGTACCATCGTGATTTTACGGTCGGCATCCGATAGACAGTTGATATCCCTCTTTCGCTGGAGTCAAATCCAGTCTCATCCTTACGAAGAATGGCAGACGACCATGAGAGCCCCTCCTCCGTGGAAGCAGCGCCGGTAGAATCGCTCATCCAGGGGCGTGCAAAGCGAAGCACTGCTGGACTTCATATGTCAGCCCTCTTGGATGCCGCTGCAGACGATGACCTTGCGCTCTTGTTCGAGGAAGTTGAGGATGATAATGAGTTTGCAATCGAAGCAGATGAGGAAGGGGGGGAAGAGGATGATATGCGTTTTGAATCTTCCTCGGACGATGAGGATGACCAAGGACCTGACTCCCGGGCGGATGAAATGGAGGGCGAACAACAACTACAGAAGGAGGAGCGACAAGAACGAAAGAAGCGCAGGGCACAAGAAGATCTTCGATTCAAGATAACCAGCAAGAAGGTCAAAATCGATCCTACCGCCGTGTCCGCAGTGCCTGCTCCTCGCCCGAAAAAGAAGTCAGAACGTATCTCATGGATTCCCACGCCGGAGGAAGGGCCCACGCGATCGTCCTCTCGTCGCCAGACTATGCAGAACAAAGAACTTACGCATGCACGGCTCAAAGATAGCGAAGAAAAGCGCATCCGCCTCATAGCGACAATGGAGGAAGCAGCCAAAAGAAAAGCCCAGTTCAAGCCGAAGGAGATGACGCAAGCCGAGCGTCTTGCGGAAGCTGAAAGAGTGGAAAGACACAACAGCAAAAGTCTCAACCGGTGGGAGGAAATGGAAAAGAGGAAGGCTGAAGAAAGACTAGCAAAAATCGAAGCCCTTCAGAACCGCCGCCTTGAAGGCCCAGTCATGTCGTATTGGAGTGGCATAGCGACCTGGGTTAATGGTCGCTTAACGCGCATCGGCAAAGTCGAGGTCACGCCAAAACCAGAGAAGGAGGACAATGCACGCAGGAAAAGCAAGAAGATGGACAAAGAAAGCAAAAATGTGATAGAGCAAAAACCGACCGAGAATGCTGCTGCTGCTGGGCCTGCCACGTTGCAAACAGCCCCTCCTCCCACCCAGACTGAGGATTCTACGCTACCACAAACATCTGGCGACGGAGGGCTTGTCAAGCAAAACCAAGAACCTGGACAACAGCAACAACAACAAACAATTTCTGAACCCAGTCAAGACAATGGCGCAATACCGCAAGACAAACCCGCTGATACAATAGTGGAGGCTCCTGCGTCCTCTCATGCGCCTGCGGAGGCTGCTGCTGATCCTGTCCAGCCATCCACATCTGCGCTCAACGATGGGTCGGGTACAGAGGCAGCGCCAGACACGGCTTCTCCAAAGCCCGAGCCTGAGAAGATTGAGGGAGCTGTCGAGGCTCAGGCTACAGATGCAGCTCCACAGGAGGGAACTGCAGATGAAAGGCCGGGCGCACAACAACCAGATGAGACGCCTACACACGCAGCTGAAGCTCAACAGTCCACGTTGCAGGTGTCTGGTGAGAACTCGACTATTGAGTCCGAGAAGCAACCCGACCCTCCATCTGCGGAAGTGAAATCAGGTGAAGAATTGACAAAATCAGTCCCTGAGTCACCTGCAGCCACTCAGCCTGTTTCTGAGGCTGCTGCTACGGCACCACAGCAGCTTTCCCCTACTGCAGCCCCGGATGCTGCCGATGCCCCTCCACCGGCCGCCCTGCAAGAGACTACACCAACGTCAACACAATTGAGACAAGAGGCTCCGGGAATACATGTAGACCAGCCAGCTGTCTCAAATGAAGAGACTTCACAACCACAGGTCCCAGAGGTTCCTCCAGTTATAGAGCAAACCGGACGAAACCTTACGGTGTTGGAAAACTTCGATGACAAGACTGCCCACAGTCGCGAGTTCAGTATCTATTTCAACGCAAAGAAACCTGCTAGGCTAACGAGTATGCAAATCACCTTATTACCCCGCTGCATGCACGTGCGCCATGGTTATGCTAACAACACCCAACAGAAATTTCGTCTTCGCTCTGCGTTATTACATCACTTCCCTCGCGCTACCGGGACCCCGAAACGTCCTTGCCCTTCGCAAACTCCTACGCTTACAATGAAATCCGGCATACCGTGGCGCAGAAGTACAGTTGGAGCCCAATGCTTGGATGTTACATTGGTCCTGTCGGGGTTGCTGCGCGAGGAGTTCCGGCGCGGTTTCTCGGTGGTGCTGAAGCAGAAGAAGAACCTAAAGAAGAAGAAGAAGAAGCTAAAGGGGAAGCTAAAGAGGGCGAGCAGAGTGATAAGAACGGTGGCAACGAAGCTACTACGAACAAGACCGAGAGCGAACCAAAAGCTCCCTCTGGCGATGCGTCCACTACGTCTACCTCCAGTCCCTCGGCTGCAGCTGCACCCACACCCGCTGCGGCTACCGCGGGCGATCCGATGGAAATTGATACATGATTGTAGCATCCTGGATGCGAGGTCGGAAAAGCCGAATGGATTGTTCAGTTATTATTTATTGTACCCTGTCAAAGATACCCACTTCAATTATATCTATATCTCCATGTCTCGCGCAACTGATACAAATATCCATATTCACATGGCTACAGACATATCACACGTAATATCGATAGATAATATGCCAGGGCAAAAGCTAGCTACCCTGCTGAGCGCATGTACATGTAGCATATACTTATGCACGCCATAACGCTCCCTCGAACAATAGGGGTATCCAGTTCATGCACGACCATTCGATCCTCCCTCCTTCTCAGCCATAAATCGAACCCAGCCACCGAATCAAAATCCCCATTCAGCCCGACAAGTCCGTGCAAATCGCACACGACAATTCTCCCTCCCCACCATCTACCCACCGTGGTACCTATCTACTACTAATTACCCGACGCAAAAAGGAAAAAAGAAAAGCACGCAATAAGCCCCTATTGGCACGGAACTCTACGCACCACCACAACTAGATAGGTACTATTAGTAGGTAAGTAGGTAAGGTACCTACTTCCTATGGTTTGGGGGCTTAGACCCAACCGTAGAATGTTAGGTAGTGGCTTGAGGTTTCTTATCCCATCTGCATTTAGTCATTCGACGGAAGCCGACGGAAATTGTGTCACTGGCTGCGGATACACGGAATACAAAAGCTCCCCCTTTTCCTTTCCCCTCGCGGATCTCGAGTTCGTGGGTCTGGTGAACGTATGTATGTATGTATGTTGGAGGCGGAATGTTGCGGTGTAGGAAGTTAGATGTGGTCAGCGATTGCTATTAGATAGGTTGTGTGTCGTGATAGGTAGATAGGTAGAGTTTATTCAAGAAATGGATAAGGTTTTCATTGATAAAGAGAGAAGGATGGATGAAGGAATGCCGCATGCAACCGGGATGGTGGATGTCTTCCCATGTTGCCCTAATGCGGCAATCTTGCATGTGACATGGGAGGCCTTCTAATCAATCTATGGGGATGCATTTGGAGGATGGACGAATACGACGCAATGGGCGGGCTTTTCGTTTAGTTTTCTATCGGTTTTTGTTCGACTCGTAGTGAAGAATTCGGTATGGATGGATGGATGCCCCCGCTGAACCCTCATTCGGGTAGAATACATCATAGCACAGCACCAAGGGTTTCACAACGTTTGTCCCGTGGCATTGTACGGGGTCATAGCAGCAAAGGCTCCAGGCCAGATTGAAATAAAATGCAATTCGCATTGCCCTGTATGGGGTACAGAAAGTGAGGCTGGCGTTGACTTACCTAACTCCAAAAGAACCACATCTAGACAGTGGAGGAAAACGTCAGCAAACAAACCCTTGAGGTAAAGTGGATGACTACTTGGCTCCATCATCAGTCCAGACTCACCGCCACGGTCGAGACAACGTGCGGACACATGGGGCCCTGGATTCGGAGCATCGATATGAATGGTGGTGTGTATGTAGTAAGGCAGAAAGGGGTCGATCCCTGGAACGGCTGGGTGGGCATCCCCATCGGTCAGTGAGTTAATAACATCCAATCTCAACGTCGCATGTATAAATATTTGCTAATGGATGAAGGGAGTTGATCCACAGGCCGATCGAGGACAGGTCACTTCATTTTCCACAGAAGTAAAACAGATTAATCACCAGGGACCGGATTAGTGAGGGGCGGTTGTTCTCGGGAAAAGGGCTATGTATCATTCATTGTATCTAAACGGGCTGTTGTTGCTCGTTGGTGACATTGCCCCACCACCATTTGACTCGATCTCAGTAGCATCATAGACTGATTCTGAACGTTACAATCGCCGATGGCATTGTAATTCTATTTTGAAAAATCTGTCGCGGGTGGGACTGGCGAAGTATGAAGAGAATATTTTTGTTTTTGCCCCAGAAAATTGTCTCATCTATTTCCGTCTATCAACGACGGCTCTGGCTTCGCCTCATGATGATGATGATGATGATGACCAGCTGAGTAGGCCACTTCCGGCTCGGTCTTTTGTTTTTGCTGCCTAGCTTTCCCCTCTTCTCTGTTGCCTTCCTCCTCCTCCTCCTCCTTACTACCACCGAAAAAGCAAAACTAGTCGAGGCATTTATGGCGTCACCCATTATATGCTGTGCCGAAACGAGGGACAGGAATATGGCATTTCCTTGTTTGCCAGCCAAGATTAACTCAGGGCTGCCTCCCTGGCGTCCAGTTCCGAGTCAGTGATCCCGTACTGCCATATGGCTCGATCATTGGATCTAACGGCGGTTGATCCTGCCGCACAGATCCAACCAGGGAGCGTGGATACTGCAGAAAAGGACTGAATACTCGGTGGAGCAGCCGTCCATGTGTAAGCCTGTACGTCAAGCATTGGCCGGTCCCCCTTGAACCCGGCCCCCGGGGCACTTGTCTAGACCAGCAGGTGTGGAGCTGGAGGGGGTTTACAGCTGACGCTCCGCGTCGATGATGGGTGCCCGATTTGAGGTGCTAAACTGGGCTGGTCGGCAGTGATGATCAGAACTGGCAGCCTCGCGTCGCAGAGATTCAGCCAGGCCAAGGCGACATGTCATCCGAAGGAGACGGATGATTGGGGGCCTGGAATTCTTCCATCCCCCGATAAGCGTGGTTCGGTCGGTTAAGGGAAAAAAGTCCAAGATCGGAATTGCAAGAAAAGCCAACCGGGCATATGAGGGGCAATGGGAAGGGGGGTTCTATCGTTATCCGAGCTCTGTTATGCCAGTAATCATCACGGTGGACGCGGCGGTGGTGACCTTATCGCGATGGTACCCCGCCTGGATAAAAGAATCCCTCCCGAACTAGTGTACCTAAGTGCGTACGAGTACCATATAAGAACAAGGGAAGGAAACAACGGATTCGGAGAAGGTTGGATTCTTGGGTTCTCTCTTTTTTTTTCTTTTCTGTTTTGTGTGTGCTTCGTCTTCCATCCACACTTCTCTCTCCACCGGATCCAGAGTCACGGCTAAATATAGCCCATGCACAAGGGAGCAGCCAAAAAGTCGTTTCAGCGGAGCATTGCAACGTTCCCCAGTCATATATTCCCGTACGCGGAGTGGATTAGGTCATCTGCGGGTGGTGAGGTAAGCCGATTTTGTTGTGTACCTTCCCCATCCAGAAGGGACGATTGCGCGTTGAGCTGCCTGCCTCAGGCATCCGCAGCAAGTCTAGAACCTCCTTCCCCCAGCCCCATGGCGTGACTCCATTCGAGTCTCGCCTTCCCTCCCGGGCCTGACGTGCTCGGGCGTCACATCGCCCCGGGGGGGTGAAAGTGGTCACTGGTCACAGTAGCGAGAGCCCGGATGGATGGACACCTGGGGATGCTAAAAAAGAGGCCAAGGCTAACCCCCGTCCCCATCATGCTTTCTTCATGTAGGTGGAACAGAGTTCTAGAATTTCCGTTGCTCGATTCGATTCCCCAGCTCTGGATATATCTATCCGGCTGGTCGCTTGCCTCTGCCCTCTGCCCTCTGGGGTTCCTATCGTAAGACGCAAACAGCCTCAGCTCAGTTTCTCGACTGCCACAACAGGAACACTATCGGACTACCCTTTTATTCTTATATTCTCACGCCGGCATCCCTCTTTCAGCACCGCCCATTTATTCTCCGAGCGATTTTTGGTTGCCAACCGGCTGCACGATACTCTCATCCACCGCCACTTAATAATCCCGCATAACACCACTCCGCCCTTTTTTGGTATCAGGCCCATTGCACGTGCGGTGTACCTTGGAGAAGACGGCTACCTGGTTTATAAGAAAAGGGGGAAACCAAAAAAACATCAGAACAAAAGGCATTTCACGCAGGGAGAAAATAAACATTCCTTAGGTATGTGAGTCCCCTTCCTCGCCAGCTATATTTATCTTCTTGGTCGTTTGTTCTGTTTACTATTATTACCATTTTTTACCATTTTCTGGGCGGGTTTGGTTTTGTCCCTTATCTCTCCCCACTCAGAGGCCGATGATAACGGTCCAGTCAGCCCGGCCCCCCCGTTGTCTGTAGTGAGACTGGTTTCATTTGTGACCTATCTGACCTTCCTGGTGCCACAGCAGATACACACAGAGCAGGAAGAAAAAAAGCTTATCGTCGTGGCTATTATCATCATCAAGAATTTGCAGTTTGCCCGCTACATATTTGCCTCATTGCCGGGGTTTCCAAAAGAAAAAAATCACTCAGGGTTGTATTCTCATTCGCCCCGTTCGCTGGAGGGATTCAGCACATGCCATTTCTCTGAACAAGGACGAGGCGATATTACGAAACTATAGCATCCAGTACGACCGTCCGAGACAATTGGTCCAACCAATTGCGCCGTCGGATCCCTGCTAGACGCAAATCCCTCATACTTCTGACCCCATAGGGGCAACCTCTCGTGCTCCACAACTGGCGCGGTTCGGCGCAAGGTACCATCGCCGAACTATCTCAGATAGATAATTTTTCTTTTGGACGAGTGTTATATTTATACTTAACTAAGCCCTCACCGCCATCAATGACTCAAAGCAACAACCATCATCGCCGCACCTCCTCGGGCTCCAATGTCCCTAAGCTGAGGACCTCCCGGCCGGCTCTACATCGGAAAGGCACATCCTTTGTGAACCACTCCATCTCCAAACTAGGCTCTGGACAGATCACCAAGCAGTTTGAATCGGAGGACGACCAGCAGCCCGAAATGGCGGCCAGTTTTCTCAACTTTTGGTATGTGCTACTGATCTCCCGCTATGTCTTTCATCCTTTACCATTCCCAGCATGGTTGCTTTTGCAAACCTTCCCACGGCGCCGTTAACCTGTCGCTTACTTCCCTTGCATGCTAAATGCTTCGCTTATCTTCAGAATCGAAGCTAACTGATCTACAGCGCCATGTGCGAGAAACAGATAACAGTGCCTGACAACTCCCTCCTATATTGCAGCGAAAGGTATGAGTCCCTCCTTATCGCGCCACAGCCTTGACACATGCACAGCCTCCGCGGTTGGTTTAAATTCCAACGCGGGCCCCTGGCCCTCCCTTTGTCTTTCCATCTTCATTTCCCTTTCGGAACCGTCTACTAATACTTACTCTTTCCAGCTGTCGTCGCAAAGACTCCCACAAACCCCTTTCCGCCTCCTTCTCATCAAACTCCTCGATGTCTTCTACAACCACTCCTCCTACCTCCCCCCCTATGTCACCTCGGATAATTGTAGCACCCATGACTCCCACGCGTGGTGCCCTCAGATCGTCCATCTCCTCCAGGATACCCGGCGAATGGAATGATGCCAAAACGGATCAGGATCCCTCCGAATGGAAGCCAGTGATACCAATGGGATCTGGTGCAAGCTCCCTGGCTTCCTCGGAAGCCTGGCAATACCTGTCCCAGTTTCACGGTGATGATGCCGTGATGCCTGCCCGTCGCCCCCGGTTCGAACACCGTAGTTCGACAAGCCTGTCGACGCTCATGAGTGCTACGGGACCTGTCCCATCACTCATGCACACCCCGTCTACCGCTGCATCGTCGTTCAGCAGCAATGGGTCGGACTATATGAGCTATGTGCATGACACGGCCTACCGCCCACTGCCCCCTCGGCACAACCCCTACTTCTCTGGCTGCTCAAGTGCCACGAAAGGGGTTGAACTGGTTGTGCCTCATGTGCATATCCCCGCGGAAGATGTTTCCGCTGTTGACATTTCCAACGACGGGTCGATCTTTCCTGCCAGCAGTGCGCTGTGGGATGAGAAGCCTAGTGGAAAGGCACCTAGCTTGAGTACGGTTCTGGGTTCCTCAAACTCTGATGTACCTGCCCGTTCCCTGGAGGAGTCTTCATGACGGCCATTGTCACGACTCTGCAGCGCTTCTAAGCGACTGATACTTCCAATAATCAGTCGACATCGCAAGTGCCCGGATACTGTGCATGCGTGTCATTGAAAGGGCTAGGCTTGGCACCTTGTTTTTATTCATTTCTTCTGGTCTTCTGGTTTCAGTCATTTGGTAATATGCAGACATTGAGCGGGAAAAGGCAATAGAGTCAACATGAGAGATACGAAGCGACGGATGATAGGCGTGGAAATGGCACCTTCCTTTCGGACATTGAGCTCATAGCGGATGCTTGGAATAGATTCTTAATACCACACGGACCTCGGGCATGTGTATAGGCGAGCAGGGATTTTCATATAGAACTGAACAAGATTCAATCACATATTAAAAAACCGTTAATTAACTTGTGACATGTCCGAAGACCGAGCCAAAGATACCATTGACAGCGTAGGTGCAGAATCAGTTAGCTGTCAACCTGCTGTCAGACAACTACCGAATAGGCTGTCATATCGCTGACTAAGCATTTATAGTTAACGTATTCGGTAAGCGAGCTGCGCATGTAAGCGAGCTGCGCACCTCACGCGTCTTAGCTCCTGTCAAAAACCTCACTCAATTCAACCACCAGCCATGCCTCCAAAAGCGTGTCAAAATGCTAGAAATCAAGCTGAGCAGGAAAGGAGGATTCTATTAACAATTTCAGCTATTAAGAATAAAGATTGTCCATCTATTTATCAAGCAGCACAATCTTATGCTATTCCTGAATCTACCTTACATACAAGGCTCCGTGGAGCAACCTTTCAAGCAGAAACACGTGCCAACTCTCATAAACTAACTTAAAATAAAGAGAAATTGCTTATATAATAGATATTATCACTTATTCAATGTGGAGCACCTCTCTGACTGTCTCATATATAAGAAATGGCTAATATTCTTCTTACTGCCCGTGATACTACACTTATTTAATTAGTTGGAAAGAAATAGGTCTATAACTTTATCTAAAGATATAATGAATTAAAGACATACTTCTCTAGACGATATGACTATTAGCATGCTTAATATAAAGATCTTAAGATTATTAAGAAGTGGTTTGACCATGTATAAATCACTATAATATAGTATGGAATTGTATCTGAAGATATCTATAACTTTAATAAGACTAGCTTTGTTATAGGTTTAGTAGTTACTGCTTGAGTAATTATTAAAGCTGACTATTATGAAAGAACATCTCTCATATAGTCAGGGAATTGGGAATAAGTTACTTCTATTAAGTATATTAATGCTTCTGGATGGGCCCTTCCATTATACATTATCTTTAAGGGAAAGATTTATATAGAAAGCTAGTATTAGAGTGATTTATCACATAACTGAAGGATTAAAATTAGTCTAAATAACTGGACTAATGATAAAATAAGCCTTTACTAGCTTTAAAACCTCTTTCTTCCTGCTATTACTGGCTGTATAACTGGGAAATATTATCTTCTAGTTCTTGATAACTATGGTAGTCATTTAATACCTCAATTTGACTAGATATATAATAAGAATAATATTATTCCTATTTATATACTTGCTCATTCTTCATATTTACTATAATCTCTGAATATTGGCTGTTTTTTATTATTAAAGCGTGTATATAGATACTTAGTGGAGAAGAAAATATACTTTAGATTTAATTATATTGATAAGCTTGATTTTTTTAAGACTTTCTTCAAGGCTTATACAGTAACCTATATTACTAGCAATATCTGCAGTGGTTTTTCTGCTACTAGACTAGTTTTATATAATCCAGAGTAAGTATTTAATCAGTTAAATATTTAACTAAGGATCCCAATACCACTAGATAGTCAGTCAACTCATTCAATGCTTAAGACACCCTACACCACCAGATAGCTTGAAAAGCAGGCATCTATAGTGAGAAGAAAGCTTTAAAGATGTGTATAAGAGCAGGAAGGCTCTCAAAGCCCTATCTTTTCTTTAGAAATATGGCTGGACAAGATTATTAAATATAGTAAATTAGCTCTAAATAAGACAGCTCTTGCGCGTCAAGAAATTTGTGATTTACAAGTTGTAAATAAGACACAGCTTTAAAAAAGAAAGAAGTCTATTAAGTAACTTACTGCTATAAAGGGTCTTTTTATTCAGGAGAGCCAGAAGCGATTTCAGCAGGAGAATCAGGTTTTTAAAGCTTAAGATACTCTATCTAGAGATCTAGAGCTTTTTATAGTTGGGCTTTGTGTACGCGCTTTGCTACAGTATTTTAATTATCATATTCAGGAGCATATTAGGATTAGATGTTCTAATCCATCTAGTAATTAGTTTTATATAGAAATACAATTGGTTGGTTGGTAAAAAGGTGCTTGAATCTCACCTAGTCATGGAAATCGGGTGGAAGTGCGCAGCTCGCTTACATGCGCAGCTCGCTTACCGAATACGTTAACTATATAACGTAATCGGTGGGCGAGCGGGCCACCTCACGCGTTTTTGGCCGCGGTTGGAAACCTCGCTCAACCCAACCACCAACCATGCCTCCAAAATCGCGTCAAAATTCAAGAAATTCAATTGAGCAGGAGGGTAGGATTCTACTAGCAGTTACTGCTTTAAAAAGTAAGGAAATCTGCAATATTCGCGAAGCAGCACGTCTTTATAATGTTCCACGTACAACCCTCCAACGACGATTAAATGGCCATACTTTTCGAGCAGAGACACGCGCAAATAGTCATAAAATGACTCAAAATGAAGAATGTTCGCTAGTCAGATGGATCTTATCACTAGATCAATATGGAGCACCTCCTCGGCCATCTCATGTACGAGAAATGGCTAATATTCTCCTTTCTCAATGTGGTATTACACCTATTTAATTCGTTGGAGAGAAATGGGTATACAACTTTATTCAACACCATAACAAATTAAAGATATGCTTTTCTCAAAGATATGACTATCAACGTGCTCAATGCGAGGACCTTAAAATTATTAGGGAGTGGTTTGACTGTATATAAATCACTATAATGCAGAATGGGATTGTACCTGAAGATATCTATAACTTTGATGAGACTGGCTTTGCTATAGGCTTGGTAGCTACTGCTAAAGTAGTTACTAGAGCTGATTTCTATGGGAAAGCACCTCTTGTACAGCCAGGTAATCGAGAATAGGTTACTTCTATTGAATATATTAATGTTTCTAGATGGGCTCTTCCACCATGCATTATCTTCAAAGGAAAGGTCCATATAGAGGGCTGGTACCAAGGCACTCTACTACATGACTGGAGAATTGAGCTTAGTCCTAATGGCTGGACTAGTGATGAAATAAGCCTTCGCTGGCTTAAGAAGCTCTTTATTCCTGCAACTACTAGCTGTACTACTGGGAAATATTGCCTTCTAGTTCTTGATGGCCATGGGAGTCATTTAACACCTCAATTTGACTAGATATGCAGTAAGAATAATATTATTTCTATCTGTATGCCTGCTTATTCTTCGCATTTACTGCAGCCTCTAGATGTTGGCTGTTTTTCATCATTAAAGCGTGCATATGGACGCTTAGTGGAAACTAAGATACGTCTTGGATTCAACCATATTAATAAGCTTGACTTTCTTGAAGCCTTTCCTCAGGCGCGTGCAGAGATCTATACTACTAGTAATATTTATAGTGGTTTCTCTGCTACTGGGCTAGTTCCATATAATCCAGAAAGTGTGCTCAGTCAGCTTAATATTCAGCTGAATACACCTACACCACCAGGCAGTCGGTCAACTAATTCAGTGCCTAAAACACCTCATAATCTTCGTCAGCTAGAGAAGCAAGCATCTATAATCAAGAAGCTACTAAGAGCACGCATACAGAGTCCTTCTTCTCCTACAAAGACCGCGCTAGATCAACTTGTTAAAGGATGTGAAATGGCAATGAACAGCGCTGTTATTTTAGCGCAAGAAAACCACGATCTACGAGTTGCACATGAGAAACAGCTTCAAAAGCGCAAGAGATCTACTAGGCAGCTTGCTACTGCAGAGGGTCTTTCTATCCAGGAGGGCCAGGAGCGATTTCAGCAAGAGAATATAGTCTCTGAAGTTCAAGATACTATATTTCAAGATATAGGACTGCCTGCAGTTGAACCACGCATACGGGCGCCACCACGTTGCAGTGAGTGTCATATTCTAGGACATAGACGGTTGCAATGTCCTAATTGAGCTCCTAATTAGTTTTTCTATAAAAATGCAATTGTTTCGTTGATAAAGGTCCTTAAATCTCACCTAGAGGTAGAAATCGGGTGGAGGTGGCCCGCTCGCTTGCGTGGCCCGCTCGCTTACCGATTACGTTAACTAGTTACCCTCAAATTCACGTTCATCAGAAATGGCAACGAAGCAAGAAGCAGATTGATGTTTACGTTCTATTTGTGCATATCCAAAACAATAAGGACTAATGTAGAATTGGGGCACAGATTTAGGACATATCATCTCAGAAGTGGTCCCAAAACCCGGGCGTCAAAAGAACAAGTATAGAATGCCAGCAGAGATGTCGAGAAAGAACTCGATTTTATTTTTATGGGCTTTGCTAGGACTCCAGAGCTAGTGGGTACTGTAGAGTGGATCGTCTATCTTCTGGGCTCTCGGATATGGTGTGGTCTAGTAAGGCTTGCATCTTGGTTTCATTAACAATCCTCTTTCGTCTTCCTATGTCGACGAATTGCCCACGTTGAACGATTCGATGGGTCGATGTCGGTCATCTATTGGCACTGGATGCTCGAAAACATAGCAACCCTTCGCAACTCGAGTATACGTGAGGGTTAAATGTAACCGGACAAGCCTACCGTGAACACAGATCCTATTACTTTACGTAGAAACGGAGACTCCCAAGACCTACGATACGCACTGGGAAGCATTATGGGTGATGAAGCCAGCCCCGTGTAGGAGTGTAAATTTATAGTCTGGAATCGTAAGTTCTGTTGGTTTGGCCGACTTGTTTGGGACGGCAAGCACATTCGCTCTGCCTTCCGGAGTTCATTTCCATCCACCCCCTCCGACTGAACTTCTCAGCATCCCGTCTGCCCTGACCCTTCTTCTTGTCATCATTCCCCAGTCAGAGTTTGCACTGCTTGGCCATCCAAGATATACTTGTGAGGCCTTGCTGTCATCCATACCTCGTCTAGTCACCAGTTAACACATAGCCTTTAACTACTTTTTCATCAATAGTCTCACCATCTGATCCCTATCCTTTCCAGGCCCCTCTGTTCAAGTTTCAATCTGTCGACATCAAGAAAACACTGAAATCTGGTACTCTACGTCTCTATGGCTTGTTTTGGAGTGTGGGACAGGTTTTTCAAGCGCCCCTCTCCCCGTATATAATATCTGGACAACCTTGGGTTCTGTTTAATCTAGTGCTGACAAGGACCTGAGAGCTCGCAGGCAAAACTTGCCATTCCCCCTTCGAACGACGTACCCCGGCAGATCATCTTGCATTTGACTTAACCTATACCAGAGCCTGAAAGTGTCCTGGGTATATCTTTTACTACCCATGGCCTGTGGGGGGCGTCTTTATCAGATCTGTGTGCTGGTTACACAAACTTGATCCACCGGGCCGGATCTGTCCCATGGTCGGCCATGACAGGGACATATCCAGAAACGGTATATCATATGTGGAAAAAAATACCTTCAGCTGAAGGACATACCTATGCATAGGGAACAAAATGAGAGTTAGGCAAGGAGACCTATCGACTCAAGACCGTTTCATCGGAAAGAATAATGACGGCTATTGTGCTCCGACGCGAACTTCGATGTGCACAGACTACCTGCCTACGGTGCAGCCTCGAATTATGCGATCGGATTATAGATCGAGTTGACATCTGACCGGGGATAATGGTTACACTTGAAGTTGACTCTCAGAAAAGAGTATAGTGAGGATTACCGATCGATAAGTCCCAGCATTCAGGAAAAAGCAGTGGTAAAACAACTTCATCGAACACGGTAGCAACGGACATTATCTTTGAATTTGCCCTCAACGACCTAGAGTGCTGGCATACAGAATGGAATTGATAAAGAAGGGTTTAGGGATGTGATATAGAAAAGCACATGCTTTCCTACGTGACTAGGGCTGCGCTAATTCTTTCTACGTCACCGAGGTTTGATTGGACCGGTATTTTTCATCAACAGGGACCCAAGGCGTTGGAAGACACAAACAATAATGCACTAACCGCCAGAAACATGTGACTGACTCATTCAACAGCTAGGACAGGCCAGGCTGGTACTCGACTCATGCTCTAAATAGAGTTGCGATGCTACCTGCCATTAGGCATCCTCGGGGCCTATGCGCATACATGCAACAGAGTGTTATCGTCGAAGGTTCTTCGTGAACAGTTTATCAATTTCAACCACCAAAGCTAGCGATATTCTACGCCTATATGAGCGTATCGCTGGAGACCATCTTTAATCCAAGGCCACTCTGCTGATTCTACTCACTTTTATTATTTAGTCTCGCAGTGATTTGAGGATCTTGGCCATGGGCCATTCCGACTTGAAGAGCTGAAGTAGGTATATTTCCTACAAAAGGGATCCGACATACGATGATCGCGATGCAGCACATTCCAATGTATCATACATGGTCGGTCTCTTGAAGTAATGGTACCCTTCGAGAAAAAGACAGAAAACCCAGTCGATCCCTTTCCTACAAGATAACCTGACCTTATCGAGACATATAATGGCAACTATGCCTCACTGTCGGAGATAATGTCGCCGTCGCCAAGGACGTCACCGTCGCCAAAGATATCTTCGGGCATGTGATCTGCAAAAGCACCAGCATCATCATTCTCAAGGCAGCACATAAAGCAGCCCAGTTGTGCTTGGTACTAATTTCAATCAATAAGGGAATTAATTGCCAATATCGGAAGCGAGCTCACCTTAGGTTTGTTGCACGGAAGATGGGAAGGTTCAGGCAAGCACTGGCCCATGCATAGCTCATTTCCAGTATCAATACCGTGGGGGCCGCTTTGAGCATATATGCGAGACACGAAGAGGGCGAAGGCTGTGATGAAGAGACCGGAAAGCTGCATCTTGCTAAACTGATTGAAGGAGTGGCAGAAAGTGAAGATCAAGGAGTGGACACCGCGTAAGGCCGACAGGAGAGCAGGAAACAGGCAATATTATGCAAGTACTCGCTCATTTGTGTGGCAGCGAGGCAGAAGTCGCTTTATAAATGCGCTCCCTTGGTAACTGCGAAGCAAGGGGTCCATCTGAACTTGAAAGTAACGTGTCGCGTCACCATCTCGGAGACTCAGAGAGCTGGCTCACTGAATAGCGCTAACAAGGCTCAAAGAATGTTGATTCTCTACCAGCGAAATTCTAAGATGGCACGTGCCGGTATGCGCGAAATCAGGAAGCCACACAAGCAAAATCTCAACATTTACACATACAAATGTCCCAATGCAAACAATTTCAATTCTTCCGAAACCTATACACATGAGATTATCGGGAATACATTTATCGGACTATCTCCTCACGTAGCTATCGTGATGGTCGTACATACTGTCGCCATGCTATGTCCCACATTCTCAGAAGATGGCATGGGAGCCCTGAACAGGGATAAATTACTAATTCGAGCAGGGATAGCATTATCTGACCAAGCCCCTTGGGGGGCCATTCTTCAACCAAGTTACCTAATAATTTCAAAATCATGTTTAAACGGTCCACATTATTCCTGAGATTGATATTGTTCAGCATGTAAAACAGATGAAACCCTTAGAAGCGCATTCCATCTCTTTGCAATGTGCACGTGGAGAGATGACATTCATTGAATTAACGCTCATATGTAACTAACTGTAGTAGAAATGCAATATACAAACATGTGTATAGAGTTCTCAAAAATTGAAGACATTTTTCTTTCGTTCTAGGCCCATATGGCTTCGGAGACGCTAGGAAAGCAGTAATACCTGATCAATGTTACTAAGTTACGGCTAGCTTGTATATCCATCTAAAAGGGGAGGAGTGGTAGAGACACAGGATGCAGATGTAGGACTAGATCACCTGGCGTGGGGGAGAGGTATATAGCATGCCCTGTTTTGTGTGAAAGCATTTATCAGTGTGACCAGATTGACCGAGCTATTCCTGAAACGGTCAAATATTTTACAGAGTAAGATTCAAGGAAAAACGTACTTGTGTCTTGTGTCTAAACTCTGGAAGCCATTTATACTCAAGTGGGCTGCAGAAAAATTAAAGGGGTGGCTCTGAATGACCCACAAATCAGACATGGCCAGGGGGTACGAATTGCGGATCTGTCGCTACCCCTAGACAGTAGATATAGACAGGTGTCAGTTATTCGCAAGACTTCTTCCAAGCTTCAAGCTAGATGAATGGTGTCGTGCATCGGTTCACTCGAATATGCTACAAGCCTCCTTTAGGCTTGGGGTAAGTTGTGTCCCTTTTAAGAACACCATAGGGAGGTATTGTTTAAGGGAGTTACTATGGCGGCTAGATTGTGAAAATTAGCAGCTTGTGGCCTGGTATAATTAGTATGGAAATTAGTATGGAATCGGTATATACTCCGTACGCTAACATGAACGCCACACAACGTTCTTCGGTATAGTCTGGAAGGGCTGCAGAACGCAGCACGAAACTCCACAGCGGTCCGGAACTCATTTCCGAATGGGAAGTTATTGTATATAGCAGGTTTGTGATGCAGGGCCGACAAATCTGGCCAAGGCTGGCGTGCAGAACTGGGGTAACAGCATTAATCTGTATAGTTTATGACGGGGCCACAGCAGAGTCGAACAGAATTCTGCCTGACGGCTCTCGTCCTCGTCTCTCTTTCCCCTTCTAAATTCGCCGACAGAAAGTCTTCCCAGTTCCCACAGAGAATGCCTCTTAACCTAAACACTCAGCGACATAAGCGATTCTCATGACTCACGATGGTCAAAGGGAAGAGCGACATCATAGTAGGAAATATCCACAAATCACAACCGGTATGAAGAACATTTTTTTCGGACAGGTAATTCTTGCGCTGTCTCAACCGTAACCTGTCATTTCACAATGAAAACCTGTTAACCGAGTGAAGTCGACCGAACTCTAATAGTGGGAGCCGGGTTACGAGACCAGTCCATTGTAGGCTCTCCGCAAGATGTCAGCGGCCAGAAGCCCGCCGACACGCCTGACAGAGAGTACTGATTGTCTGAGGTACTTGACCAAAATGTTGCGAAGTTGTCGAACATATTGACTGGCAACACGCCCCTTGGCAAGGTACGCCGTAGACATTCCCAGAATGTATGTCCTAGTTTTCCTCGCGTTCGGGAGATGACTTCGGAGGCGTCCAGCAGTGCCCAATGAGGGATCCAGGATGTATTTTCCTTCGCTAATGGGTACTCACCTTGGCGCTAGAAACCACCAGGCTCGTTTGGTTGCTGCTGCCCTTGCCCTGCTTTCGCCCCCTTTTCCTCCAGGCCGGTGTTCCCCATTTCATCCAGCTTTGAGATTGTATCCTTTAAGTGTCCAGCGCCTAAGTTGAAGCCCAAGTCGCAGATGGTAATGATTGAGTGGAGAATCTTTTGATTGATCGGTAAGCGAAGACTATTTTCTGCTTTGACCAAGATTTCTGGAGCCTGCAGAAGTCTTCACCGTGAAAGATAATATCGGACGCAAATTCGCTTTCTGGTTAGGTCCTTGGTTAGGACCGGAAAATCATCCTCTACCTTATGCTCATACCTCTCCTTTCAAGAGGATTGCTCCACCACCCCGCCATCGCCAGCTTTCTTGCGGCGAGCGATGGATTCTTTTCGTCGTTCTGAATGCTGCCAATACCTGAAAGCGATGTCAGACGTGCTATCCACCCTTTCTCCCAGAATATGAGATGCGCCTTCCCCGAATCTAAAATGATGAGAAGTGGTTCCGTAGGGCGGATGGTCTGTTAAAATCGACTCCCCTGGCTTCAAGGAACCCCTTATTCATTGGATTAAGCGTTCAAGTTGACAGGCAAACAAGACATGGCGGATGATTCACAGCCAGATCACCTCATATGCGACCCTCTGAACCAGCTCTTTCTACTGGTCGTCGTCGGAATCAGTCAGCCTGCCAGTCTTCAACATACATCGCATCAAACGCAGCATCTAGTCGGTTCGGCCCCCACTCAACCCACATGGTTTACTGAACCATGAACTGCCGGGTCTCAATGTGTGAATCCAATGGAAATGTCGCGCATGGCATCCTGGTACCAGCATATCAGAGGAGTTATACCTTGGGATGCCGGAAGTCCACGCTAAAGCGAACCAGTTCCAGCGACAATGTCGAGATACGTCTGAGCGCCGTGACCCATAAGTTGACCGCATGGTCATTCGCAGCTGCAACAGAAAAGGAGTGGCCAATCACTCTAAATGGACGAGAACGCTGCAATCGCACAACAGTCGGTAGACATGTTAAGGGAAGTCATTAGCTCCGCGTGTTTATGATGTAGACTTGCGAGACAAGCTTTAAGTCCGATAGACACATGAGCTCTCTGATATGAACCGCATTGATGGCCAGTGCTAGACCTTCCTGATGAGTCAAAATAGACCACAAAGCTTAGCGCTTATTTTGATACGGGTCCATACCGCATTATTGAGTCCAACAACGGCAGATACTCCGATCCTACCATGTGGAGGATATCTGAAGATGGTCAGACACGTTCTTCCCGGCATCCGATGGAAATGGGAGAGGCACTTCCCTCCCCAGAAGTGTTGAGTTCAGTGTGCTTCTGAACCTCCAGCTTGCTTGGGAGGGATAGTATTTTCGCACTTTCAGTTTCTGGTGGGCTTATTCGCTGAAGCCCAGTGGGTTCTACTGAAAGCTGGATACTTTCAAACATCTCCATGACTGAACATAGACCCCAGCTCTTCAAAGAGAGACAGTATGTGCAAAAGCTGCTTGCAATCTCGATTCAAAGCGGTGTTGAGGTCAGCCTAAACCTGGAGATACAGCAAGGAGACATGGCCTGTCACTGAGTTGGTCAAGTCAAATGCAACTGAGTATAGGAACTCGACCGTGCTTGTGAAGCGAAACGGACAGCAGATCAGATTGATTTTTCATGGGTTCATATCAGACCGAGCATTTTACGACCCACAACGGAAAGGTGAAGGCCTACATGTACTTACTTTTATCTCTGTCGTCACTGTGATCTCTGAAAACCGTGTTCCACAAATTCATACGGTGGTGACCCAAGATAGCAATTTGATATGTCCACATATGCCCGGGGAGATGTGGCATCCACGACATAAAGTCTAGGAATCATTTATCTTGGGTCGTTGGGAGAACGCACTATGAGGAGCTCGGACGCGACCAACTTTGAAGGCCAGGAGGCGACATTTCCGACAGGCAGCTTTCCGCCTAATACTTGCTTGCCATCGACAAGCCGGTTTCGGGGAAGATGGAGTGTGGACGTCTGGGTCAATGCATTTCTTCTATAGAAGAAAGCCGCCTTTAAAGACCACTAATCATCCTAGCGGCCAACGATATATGTTGGTCATAAGAGTTGTTGGTCCCGTTTGTCCGCTGACTTGGCGCGCCAGAGACCCGCTGCAACGCGATTTCCCCGATGTTTTGGGGAAATTTTGACTTGGAGAAGAAATATATTCGGCCTCAAAAGAAACCCAAAATTAAAGCAGGAGAGAGGAGGACAGCAATCCGGCTGACGAATAATCATGACACCCGATGCCCCAGCGCAGTACAAAAGCGATGTTCTCCGAATGGCGGCGGAGACGAAAGAGCCCAAGGATTGGCTGGGAGATTTCTCCGCGAGCACTGTACCAGAGGTTCACAACTCGACTAACTGGATCAACCTGATAATGCTTGCTTTGCGGGTAGCTTTCTTCCATGGTCCTTGGCTAGTACTGCTCGGTGAAACGTGCCTGCGGATAATAAAGTCGCCTGCGAAGCGGACATGAACGGTGCCGGATCGATGGGAGCCATTGTGGAAGCACCCGCGCCCAGTCAGAACGGTGCAATGATGATCCTTCCTTGTCTGTGGCCCTTGGTTGCCCTCCGGCTGTGGCTCCTAAGGGCCTGGGGTCAATCTGCTGGACTCCCCAGTAGACTAACACTTGGCCAATAACCCCTGTTCGCGTGGCTTAGGTCATAGGATGGACGCCTTCCCCCCTTCCCAACCGGACAGTTGTCTCTTCCTAGCCTCGTTCGTTTGTGCTCATTCCTACCACCGAGAGGAAGAATCTTGTTGGGCCATTGGGCGGTAATTTTCGAGTGCGTGGTTGAACACAGCACCAACCCAACTGCCTGGGAATAGCTTGTCTCCACTGGCAAGGCACCTAATCACTTCGAAGCCAAAGGCACCCAATATTACGGCGTACAGCTGTCACCAAGCTCACTAGATCGACGTAATTCACTATCTTGTGGGGCACGATTCCAGACTGGACCTTCCTCAATATCAGTCGCCACTTCTCTTCTCTAACTTGATCCTTATCGTTCCTGCAACATAATATACCCTCCCCCACCGAGCAGGCGTCTCAACGAAGAATAAAGGAGGGGCTTTCTCCGCAGATTGTGATCAGAGATCACCGCAACCGCCTGCAACAGAATGAGACAACAGAACAACGGCTCGTCACAAAACGGCGATCCCAGGTAGGTGCCTTACCGCCAACAACTTTGCGTATTTGTGCCGTATTTCTTTGACAATGTCGGTTGACTGTTTGATTGCCGATAGCCACCGCAACGAGAGCAGTCGAAGCGCGGGCCTCGAACCTTCGAACTCCCCCTCTCAAACACCTGACCGACTCGCCGAGGACCTGGTTTATTATCGAAGCTTTCTTGAACAGCTGTTAGGCTTGGTACGAAATGGAGACCAGGAAACTGTCAACCGGATGGTTTCTATCATCCGTGCGGATGCTTCACATCAGGAGATCCTGACAGTTTTGTCTGAGAACGCAGCCGACAATACCCAGACCGTTCAAGGGGATGGTGGTCGGAACAATCACAATCAGAATTAGGGATCTCCCGAAAGGTCTCCACATACGCAGGTTGTTTGCATGATGGATTGATGAGGTCTTTACTCAGCTGTCCCAGATGAGCGTGGTGGGATACAGATAGACGACTTATTCGTACCTCCTTCTGTCTAGTATTTCGTTAGTCGGCATCTTGAAGACAAGGAAAGTCTACCTATCCATCATCTCTCACCATATATACCAGAAAGAGCCAGCACCGGCAGCTGAAACAGCTCTTGTGTGCAGAAAAAGTGCTGTGTACGCTCCTTAAGACCAGCACATATACCCAATCTGTTCCTATGCTGGAACCGGGCTAATCAGCGGTCTGTTATCAATGGACATACCGTATTCTTAAACAGGCAATGGTAGCCTTCCCTGTGGACAGAGCCCGTCATTTCTTAGGAGGCTGTACTGTCCTCCCCCGCGAAAGATTCTCTCGTCTCTGTGCAAGGATATGCGAGCCTGTTTCCCTACATGAGTGATTAATTTTGAGTGCTTGGTGGGTATAGCTGATTCGGTTACTCTTCGCAGGGAAGCAACATGAGACTGTCATTTAACGAACCCCGACGAGCGATAAATGAGCGCACTGATATACTTAGGAAAGTTGTATGTTGTTCTCGCACTTGGAGAATAACTCAAGAATCCGCTAAAAAAGACAAATTGTGGAGGAAGAGTTCAAATGTTCGTCAGGTCAAGACAGGCAGTCGCTGCCCGTGACGTCGAACGGAGCTAAACCCCCTTGAGCTTCAGACCAACGAGATCCTTGACTTCTCCCTCTTGGTCGTACCTTGCCAATATGGGGGTTTCTTCACTGGTTCCATTGTTATTTCACCCCCTTGACACATTTCCTAGGTTTGTGTTGGCTTTCTCTTTGTCCTCCGTTGAATATAAGCCGTATCGACCACGATGAACTACGGGGGAAAGACGCAGCTCTTCTGATCGTCTGCGGTGTTCACTATAACTACACCAGTTAGTCGTACATTTTGACCTTGGTACGGATGCAATGTACTCAAGTCTTGGCATACAATTCTAACGGCCTTGATGAGTCTAAACGCATGTTGTTGTGGATAGCTTTCTCCGTTCTACCCCTCATGACCCCGAATCAACAACCCGACGTCGAAGTGGTCGTCTGTTGACGACTACACTGTAAATTTGCTGGCAGAGAACCCCCTTGACACCCTAGCAAATATCCTGACTAACAGGGCTGAAGAACAAGACTGTTTAATTTCATAATTGATATTTGAGATCATTAACATGACTGTTGACGTCAGATCTGGTAGGAACTGGAACGTCACATATCTAAAAATCTTGTCTACAATATCAATGCAATTATGGCGTGCAACGTCCAGTGAAACGGGGGTACAGAGAGCAGTCACGGACGGTATAACGAGCACACAACCAAGCCAAGAAACGCTCGAGACCGAGACCGTAACCACCGTGAGGAGAAGTACCATACCTACATTGTAGAGTTGAGTTAGTTATGCGTGTCTGATAATAAGTGAGGTGGAGAGGGCTTAGGAAGGCGTGACGTACTTGCGCTGATCGGTGTACCAGTAGTACGGGGAAGGATCCATGCCCTCGTGCTTGTAGGCGCCCATGAGCTCATCCCAGTCGTCCATTCTCATGCTACCACCGACGATCTCGCCAACACCAGGCATGAGAACGTCCACACTCTCGGTGACACGGCGGTCGTCGACATCCTTCTTCATGTAGAAGGCCTTGATCTCAGCGGGGAAGTGGGTCAGGAAGATGGGTTGGTTGATGATGTCAGTCATCCTGCGCTCCGCAGCCTCAGCGATGTCATCGCCGAACTCGTGAGGCTTGCCTTCTTCGTTGGGGATATCGTGCTCCCGCAGCCAATCAATGGCGTCGGAGTACTTCATCCGCTTGAAGGGACGGCTGGGGGGCTTGAAGTCGGGATTGAGTTTCTCAATGAGTGCTTTGGTGGCGGGCTCGGCCAGAGTCAGGTCGATAACACGGCAGATCACGTTCTCCAGGTGATCAAGGAGGTCGTTGAAGGTAATGAAATCAAGCTCTGCCTCGATGTGCGTGTACTCGGACAGATGGCGACGGGTGAGCGACTTCTCAGCGCGGAAGGAAGGGCAGACACAGAAGACGTCGCCAAGGGATGGGAGACAGGTCTCAAGGTAGAGCTGGGAAGATTGAGTCAAGTAAGCATCCTCGCCATAGTAGTCGAACTTAAACAAGGTGCTTCCACCCTCCACCTGTGTCTGCACCATGGCAGGAGGAGTAACTTCCAGCATACGGTGCTCTTCAAAAGTCTGACGGAAAGCCCGAAGGGTAGCCGCGCGAACTTTCATCACGGACGAAGCGGTCTCACCACGAAGGACGAGGTGACGGTTGTCGTAGAGGGTTTGGGGATCAGCGTCGTGAGCCACTCGGGTGGTGATAGCCTCCTTGTCACCGGCAGCGCGACCGATGATAGTGTAGAAGTCCACATGAAGCTCACGGTCGTTGGGAGCGTGCTGCTTGGGTGGGACGGCACGCATCTCACCATGGAGAGCCATCGAGGTCTCAAGGGTAAGAGTCATGGCATCGTAAGTCTTGACCAGGTCCCCTGTCAAAACACACTGCAGGTAGCCATAGCCGTCGGTAAGAGTGAGGAAAATAACATCTTTCTGGGCGCGCAAACGGTGCACTCTTCCAACAACTCGGACGCGTGTTCCAGGGGTCTCCGATTCGGGAGATCCCAGCTTGACAACGGCCGGGTCAGTCACATCGAGACGGATCTTGACAGGCTTGGGAAGCGACGTGTTCTCCTTAATAACAATTTTCTTTGCCTCCTCAAGAACAGCCTGACGCTTCTCGGCCTCCTGTTTCTCACGGATAGCCAATTCCTGTTCCTTTGCGGCCTTTCTCTTCCGTTGCTCAAACAGGTTGGTGGCCTTCTTCACCGCCGACTTCGTGGCCGGCTTCCACTCCAGTTTGGACGCAGGGTCGGCGCCTTCTCCTGTGGGCTCGGTTTGGGACTTGCGCGTCAGGTATTGGTTACCGTCGGTAGGAGGGTGCTGCATGAAAGCATGGATGAGCGTCTTGTAGGGGGCGGATTCACTTCCGTTGGCGGTCGAGTCGTCCCTTCCGACATCTTCGTCAATGTAGATGGAGGCCATTTTGGCGGCGCGAATGTAGGGATCTGGTCAGCACGAGCGGAGCAGGCGATACGAGCTATGCTCTAGTAGAAATGTCAATTGGGAGACGTTGCGGAGACACATGTGAGTCACACAATGTCTTATCGGGAATCAAGGGCATTGGGAGATAAGGCATGATGGCAAAGATCACTCACATGTAGGCCACTGAGTCTGACCAGGGAAGAGCTGATGCAGCGCGTCCCGTGGGAGGTGAGGTCAAGATGTCTAAATCGCACAGGGTAAAAGCGAACGGTGGAGGGGTAAATTTCTGGATCCCGATATCCCCACGTATGACTCAGGCATCAATAAGGCAGACAAATGTCCGAGGACGGATACCACCTTATTCAACTTTTGAAGATATAGGGTAAACATACGATGTCTAACTAATTACCACTGTTTCTGTATAGCAATCTGATGGTTTATTCACGCAAGTTTATTCAAGCTGAACATGGCCCCAGAATATGGATAGTATTCACACAATATACGACAGGCGCCTGTCAAGTCACTCGAGCTGAAATATGGCATCCTCGCCATGTTTTAGAATTGGAATATCACAGAGGCATGGCAATCGTGTTTCTTTCTGATATTCACCGGTATTTCTACATTGTTTACTCCGTATAAGGAGAAAGAGCATCAAGACACTCACCATGTGGATAATGACCCGTCATGGAGAAAATCGGCCTGAAGCGCCAAGACCAATGGTTCTGCAGCCGGACCGGGTCAACCCAGGTCCCGGCCGGTTCAAGAGCCTCCGGCCAGGAAACCCCACCAACACAGATCGTTCGTAGACGCTGTGGCTGGTTGAAAAGTCTCCTACTAGCCCCGATTCCCTGACATACTCGTTGACTGATCGATCCATTTACGGCCAGAATGACTGATCGCGGATTGGAAAAAGCAATTTTCTAACAGATGCATCTCAGCGCATGACGTGAAAGCTGCCGGCGATGATACCGCTGCAGGGCGATAGAACGAACTATAGGTTTCTCCCCGCCTGCTGTGACCGAAATCATTCAGTCTGTCAGACCTGTTGATCGATCATCGCTTGGAGATGAACCAGAAGAGGTTATTTTGGGGGCGGGGCGGGTTATGGGTGTACCCTCTGACAATGAGGGCGATTTTAACAGTATACGAAATGGCTTCCATCTGCGCGCGGATGTGCTAACTGCTGGGCGGAAAGGTCACTGCTTAGTACTCTGAGGACTGAGGAGATGGATGACAGACGGTTGGATGGAGTCTTTTTCCCCATCTTTTGCTTCAAAAGTATGGATCTGCTAAAACCTTTCACTCCACAAGGGAGAGATGATTACGCTATTTCTATTATTATCCATTGGATTTTTTCCCGCAGCCATGATGATGGTTCAGGTTCACTATGGAGCATTGGCTGGTTGAGGAATCCTGCTGCCGGCAATTCCCCTTTTTTCCCACCTCTTTTTTTCCCTTCGATACATCGATTACATACTTGCTACTTTGGCTCGGTCCATTCCTTGCTTTAGATTATACCCTGCACCAGTCGGTCTCCTCTGGCTAGTTCCTCGCGTTCTTTACTACCAAGGATTGTTGGCGGCCCCATAACATTTCCCTTGGTCCAAGTGTGACTTTTGCTTAGTTTCTCTCGATTTATTGATAGTATTTTGATAAACCTTCGTTGTGTTTCCATTTTAATACTGTTATTTTCACTTCCATAACATACCTCGAGAAGCGCGAAAGGCGAGGGACCGAAGGGCGCTCTTCCGATTGTCTGCCTCGCGGATATCATTCATTATCTTATTTTCTCCTCACTACTATTTATCGCGCCTCTGTCCCTCAAACACGCGCCCCCCTTTTTCCCCCTACCAGGGGCCCTCTTTTTTTTTTCTCAGCCTTCTTTCCCGCTGGACTTGTACTGGCGGCTGTAACCTTTTACTAGTTTAATTGTTCTTTGCAATTACCTTCTCTTTTTTCCCCTTCCTTTCCCCTTCTACTACTACTGTTGTTCCCACTTATCCCTTTTCAGTTTAATTGTCGGCGGTCTTTGGATACCTTCTTTGTCACCGTTTGGGTCGGCTGCAACCTGGCACTTTGGCAGGTCTGGGGCGTGTTCCCTCTCCTAGTACTCTCATTTGACAGGGCCACCCTGATTTGATTGTTTTGATTTATCATTATCTGTTGTTCTTCTCGTTCTCATTTCGATTCGACCTCAGCTGGAGCGCCGCCTCCCTTGCTCTAGTCTCTCCGCCTGCTCACCCGCAAAGCCCCCTAAAGCAACTAAACCACCACAGGTTTGTCTCCGTTTCCACCAACCCAACCATTCATTGTCCATGCACATTCCAATTGACCACTGGGATCCTCTCTAGACACGTCTCCATTGGCAGTTCTTCTGCTCTGTGCTCTGTCCCGTCCTTTCTGCTCTTCTTTCTCATCTTGGTTACCTTCATTCTGGCCTCTCCAGGTCTCTGTTTTCTTTCTTATTTTCCCCCTTCTCTTTTCGGGGGTGATCTTCGGGCCCGGCCTTTTTTCTCTCTCTCCTGGCCATTCCTACCGTGTTGATTGCTTAGTACGTCTTTCCCCCTTGACTGGGTGATATCGTTCATTTCATCGACGCTGAACTCACCTCGTTCCCTTTCCTTGCTCTAGGGGACAATTGTGTCCTGCTCGCTCCCTCTGCTCGCCATGCAAACCTCCGATGCCAGCATTCCGAGTCGTCTGATTCCTTCTAAGTATTCGCACCTCAACGCGGACAGTACTGGGTTCTCTCACGGAGCATACGCCTCCAACAATATCCCCCTGCAGGGCCTGACGGACCGGAACGCTCGTCGAGCCAATATCCCTGCGATTAATACCTCTGCTCCCGTCTCCGATACCATGGCCGCCTCGGGCACTGCGTTTGACATGAACTTCACCCCACTTCTACCTTCTCAGCTGCTGCTTGGTAGCCCCTTTCAGCCGGGTACCCCTTCCGCGTTCGCCTCACCTCAGTTCGCCAACTTTGGTGGCTTCTCCCAGACCAATGCCTCTACACATGCACAGAACCACCAGAGCCACCACCAGTTGGGAAGCCCGACCCAGCCTTCGCAGAATGCTGGCCTATATTCCGGTATGATGTCGACGGATGGTATGGGTAATTCTCAGATGCTGGGAGCTCCTCAGTCTCCTGTTGGTGGCCTGGGGGGGTTGGGCAATGCTGCGTTTGGAAGTCCCGCTGCCTCGGTCACCCCTGGGTTGCTTTCGGGTACGAGCCGAACCGTGTACCTGGGTAACATCCCGGCAGAAACCTCCGCGGAAGAGATCTTGAACCATGTTCGGAGCGGTCAAATCGAGTCGGTTCGGTTGCTCCCTGACAAGAACTGCGCTTTCATCTCGTTCCTGGACAGCAATTCTGCCACCCATTTCCACTCGGATGCGATTCTGAAGAAACTTGCCATCAAAGGTAACGACATTAAAGTGGGATGGGGCAAACCCTCTCAGGTGCCTACGTCGGTCGCTTTAGCTGTACAGCAGTCCGGCGCGTCTCGCAATGTGTACCTGGGGAACCTGCCGGAGGAAATGACGGAAGAAGAACTGCGGGAGGAGCTGGGGAAGTTTGGGCCTATCGACACCGTTAAGATTGTCAAGGAGAAGGCGATTGGTTTCGTTCACTTCTTGTCTATCAGCAACGCCATGAAGGCTGTCTCCCAACTTCCCCAGGAGACCAAATGGCAGGCGCCCAGACGCGTCTTTTACGGCAAGGACCGGTGCGCTTATGTGTCCAAGACGCAGCAACAGAATGCCGCTCAGTTCTTGGGCATTGCCCCGGGCTATGCACACATCCTCAATTCGGCGGACCGTGACTTAATCACCAACGCTCTTGCTCAGCAATCCGTGGCCGCCGCAGCTGTGGCCACCACAGCTGGTGGGGTCAACAACCTGGGCAACCGGACCATCTACCTGGGCAACATCCACCCCGAAACAACTATCGAGGAGATTTGCAACGTCGTGCGTGGTGGCTTGCTTCATCATATTCGCTACATTCCCGATAAGCACATCTGCTTTGTGACTTTCATCGACCCTACATCAGCCGCATCCTTCTACGCCCTGAGCAACCTGCAGGGCCTCATGATCCACAACCGTCGCTTGAAGATTGGCTGGGGTAAGCATTCGGGTCCTTTGCCCCCCGCTATCGCCCTGGCAGTGAGTGGCGGTGCCTCTAGGAATGTATATGTGGGCAATCTTGATGAGACTTGGTCGGAGGAACGGCTCCGTCAAGACTTCTCCGAATACGGAGAGATCGAACTCGTGAACACACTTCGCGAGAAGAGTTGCGCTTTTGTCAACTTCACCAACATTGCCAATGCCATTAAAGCGATTGAAGGGATGCGGAACCGCGACGAGTACAAGCGGTTCAAGATAAACTTTGGAAAGGATCGTTGCGGAAACCCGCCACGTCAAGCAGGCAATGGTGGCCCTCAGGGTCGCAACGGACCTGGATTTGAGGGACCACAGTCCCCTTCTCCGGCATTGAATGGTTTCCAGCAGAACCTCAGCCAATCCGGCTCTGGCTCGAGCCCGACTCATCCTGCACTATCCCCTGCACCTGGATCTACGGGCTCTCAGAACGGCCAACATCACAGACATCCCCTGCAGACTGTCTCGTCTCCATCTGGCATCCTGAATGTCGGTGCAAACAATCCGTTAACCATGTACCTGAATCAGATGTCCGCCCAACAGGCACAGGAGCAGGAGAACCGGTTGAACGACCCCATGACCTTGGCGGCTCTCCACTCCCAGCCCCAACCACCGCATCAGCAATCGCTCTATAACGGCTCCAGCACCGCCGAGCTTACCAACGGGAGCATTGAGGCTCCGTTGCATCAGCACAAGCCGTCGACCAACGGCTTTTTAAACGTTACCAATGGATCCACGGGACCCGGCCACCATGCCACGGCTAGCACCAGTAGCCTGAGCGTGCCGCGGGCGCAGCACTCCCGGGCCGTGAGTCTGCCATCGTTTTCTCAGGAACCTTTCGGATCCGTCTCGAGTCAACCAACTCGCTCCGGGGTTGCTCACCAGCCGCAAAGCAGCTTCTCAAGCTTCACGTCCGCTCTGGGCGGGCTCAGCCACGCCGGCTTTGGATTAGCCATCCAGAACGAGAGTTCGCTGCCTGGCTGGGCCGAGGAGGAGATTGGAGCGAAATGATTGCACCCTGCCGTTGCGAGAGTAATGCTCGCTGTTCAAACCCAATGAACGTAGCCCTTCTTTTTTCTTTTCTCGAAACTTTATCGCCTTGTTACTTGACTAATCTCTTCAATGTCCCCATTTGATTCCTTTCTTTGTACTGGTTTCACTTCACCTTACTGTGGTTTCTCTTTCCCTTAATTGTGCAAATTTTCGTTTCTCTGCTACCCCCTTATTGATTTTAATACTCCCTTCCTTCCTATACCATCACTTGTATTGCTAGCTGGGCATGATCTTCTTCATCTTCTGGTTTTCTTTCTTGTCATTTGTCTACTTTGATTCTGTTTTTGGCCATTTACCGTTTCTGATCTCCAGTTGGCTACGACGGCGGGTTTGATCTCCGCGCGACCCTCGACTGGGTCTGCGGGGGTCTGTTTATGTCTCAAGCTGCTCATTTGCATATGTGATGCCATTCAACGGAAACTAATCCCGAGCGTACAGCTCCCCTGTTGCATTCTGGTTACGACAAGGGTTTATAAAGCGGCGGAGGTAATTGATCCTGGAAGATAATAGTGGATCCGCATCAAGGAACATAAGAAAGACGAGAGGAAGAGTGCTCAGAGCATAGGAAATGACAAACATCTGGTTACTGTATGTGCATGGCTCAGCTTTGCCGGACCTATAGCGTAGTATGCTTCAATCAAATGCAGTCAACGAGTCAACACAAGGGTCACGTGAGAGTATACCGGCCCGGGCGCGCTAGGCCCGATGGGGAGGAACCATGGAACGCAAAGAAGCGGCTGCGATCACCATTGCCTTCTTCAGCACCGTCGGCTCCCTTCCTCACCACCCTGCTTCATCTACACTCTCGACGCAGTCCCGTATCCCCAACTGGTGCACGATGTCTTTGCCTCCCGAGCAGATCAATATCAAGCGGCGCCGTGAAGAGGAACCCGTCGAGACATTATGTAAGACTTGATCACTCCCTTGATTCGTTGCATGGCGGTCTCATCTAGTGAAAAGGCCTCTGCTGAAAACGATCGGAGCTGTCCCTTACCTTGACTCTCACCCGATTTCAACGCTAATACAATCTCTCAGACATTCAATCTGAGCTGCATCAGACCAAGCGTCGATTCACAGACTTTGTTTTCCAAAGGGTCCAGATCAGTAGCCATGGGAGTGAAGACGGGTCACCCAGCCCATCCTCCTTCGCCGCAGCGCAGAGAAAACTGCTTACTCCGCGGTCGGTGAGCAACACCGTCTTCCCGGCCACCAGGAGCGTGACCAACCGCGCAGCGGGTGCAGGAGCAACTGTCCCATTGGTAAGAGCCACGTCTCCCGGGGCGGAGATCCGCGAAGAACGCCGTTTGGCGACCGCTCGGAGGGAGAATGAGGAAAGACTGAACAGAGCCTTGCTTTCCTCGCCTACGTCGGGTCCGGCTAGACCATCAGCTGCTGCTACGCCCTCTAGTGGAAATGCCACCCCCGGAAGGTTAGTAGCCTCCACCTCTAGTGGAAAAGAAAGCCCGGCTTCGTCGGCAGGACAGGCGCAGTCACTACGCCGATTTCAGATCTCTCGATCGAACACGCCAATGAGTCCCCTCCGTAGCACCGGAGGCGGTGTCCAGAAACGCAAAGGAGACGGTGCGGTCGCGGTGCTAGTAGAAAAGTTGAGGCGCACACTGCATTCGCGACAAGCGTCGATGGTCGCCGATGTTGCTGCTCGGGCGGATGACGAAGGAAACCTGAGCATCGCGGGCGCTTTGTCCTCCGAGCAGAAGGCAGAGCGACCGCGGAAGCGGCCGGTGGTAAATCAGGCCGAGAGGAGATGGAGAGAGGAGCGTAAGAGCGCAATCTCGGCTGCCAAAGAGCATATCTCCCAGGTGCTGGAGAGGGAAGCCCAGGCAGCCCATCAGAGTAATTGGGAAGATGAGTCGGAACGATTGGCAAAGGAACTGGAACAGGTGGCTCTGGAGCTGGATGGGGAAATGGAGGTGACAGCCACGGAAACGGATTACACCCAGCCGTCGGGGTCACAGTCCTCAGGATCGTCTCGGCCCCGTTCGGTGATGCCCAAGCCTCCGTTGAGATACCAACCGCGCACGCCCAATAAGCATCGCGCGGGAGGCTCGGGCGCAGAAGCGATGCAAGGGTCTGTAGAGAGCCGTGAAGAGAAGACGGACACTCCGCGGGCAGGGTCTGAGGACGAGAGTGATGGGGAATACGTCTACGACACGTACATACGGAAACCGCTGCCAGACACCGGTTTGCTTACAGACCCATTAGTCGGGTTGGAATTGGACCAGGAAGCTTGGTTCCGGCAGCATGGAATCGACGTGAATCGCCAAGATATTGGGGTTATCGTCATCACGCAGGAGGATGAGGAGTACTGGGAGAACTTTGCCGAGGAGGAGGACGATGAGGATCGCTGGGATAGCGAGGATGCAGACTCGAACGGTAAGCAGACGATCGCAATTTTGGCAGGCCCCGAGCAGAACACGGCTAACCCACGGGCGTTTCCGGGCAGCTGAGAATAATCCGGCGAATGACTATCCGGACGAGGAATTGTCGTGGGATGATGAAGAGGATGATCCAACGGCTATCTACAACAAATACCGAACGCAGGCGCGGTCTGATGACGAGGAGTTCGACTTTGACGACTCGGCCAGTGAGGGCCGGCAGCGCGGTGGATTTGGATTCCGGTCGCACGTGGAGTCCGACGAGGAGAGCTGGTGATCGGGGCTCGGAGGGATTACGGTGCCAGACTGGCGAGCAGCAAGCAAGCAATCCAGCATGCCAGCAGGAAAAAGCAAAGGGAGACAGAACAAGGCAGCGAGACTAATTCGGGCGGCTGCGTCTGCAGAATCGAAGCCTTGTTTGGGTAGAAGAATGACTTCCATGTACGGTACTTTGGGCCCTGATTATTGATGACGACTCCTCCCGATGAGGCTGGATGCGACTCGACTCGACTCGACTCGACTCGACTGATCCCTGATTCACCGCAAGATCGGCCGTCATGGCTCTGCAGAATCTGCAGGATGAGCTGGACCGACGACAGGCCGGCCGTAAGCCAAGTCAACCGGTGTCCTCGGCCGGTAAGGCCCGTTTCAGAATTGCAGTTGCAGTTGCAGCTGTCCATTCTTTCCCTTCCTCCGGGGATCCTTCGGTGACTGCTGAGGACTCGCCCCCACGACTCTAGACACACAGACTCCGAAATAAGATTCTACCAGCAGAGGGGATGCGGGGTACGAATCCTGCCACCCCATCCCATCCGTTATCATTCACTCGGTCATCTGATAATCGTCGTCTTCGTCTTCTTCTTCTTCGCGTCATTGTCTACTTCCTTCAGGAGAAAACTCAGACAGCTGCCCCCACCATCCACCTGATCCTCTCGTACATGCTTTAATTCATGGTCATGCACAATTCCTCCATCCCCGTAACAGGTAGGCAGGTCACACCAATCATCCTCCTCGGGATCGGAATCCTTCGATCAGCATCGCCTGCAGATTTCCCACGCGCCTTCTGGTCGCCTACCCTACCTGTCATGTCTCGAATTCCGTGGACGTGAGGGATCGTCAACTGAATTATACTTTTTCTTCGGTAATTGATACGTAGGAGGAGGTAGAGGTACATCGATAGGTCAGAGTCTACCTACCTACCTTGTACCACTACCAAGTAAGCAACAAGCAATGAAAGCAACAAAAGCAAATAACGCAGAGAAGACTCTTACCAATCTCAGTATGCTGTACGGTCTGTCACTTATGTATGTTCTTCACTGCTTATACTTATACCTTAGATCCTATCTTATACCGTCATGTATGGCCCAAGTACAGAGTACAATACCCCCCAGAACAAAAACCAATCCCATAACCCATAACCCGTAATCCTAGACATAAGATCACCCCTATAATACCACCCACCACATCTATTATTATATTGCACCCCCAGAGTCCAAAGCACAGAGCTATGACCTACCTATATCCCACGCCGACTGCCTAGACTAGGCTATCCTAATCCCCAATCACCTAGTTGGTAAGTCTTGGCTGGTGCTACGAGGCTATATCATGGGGCGCGTATTACTATATTATGGTTTAGTTTATATGTTTGGTTCACTATACGAGGCCTTGGTATATCAGAGTTTACTATAGAAAACAGTCCTTACCCCCCAAGTATAAATCCCGTGTTATGCTGTGCTGTGCTGTGCTGGCTATGACTTGATTACCAATCATTGTCTTATTCAGATACTGGTTATATTCGTTTCTTGTGCTTGTGCCTTGTGCTTGTGCTTAGACATGGCTTTGGTCTTGGCCTGGTTCTGACTTGGGCATTTTCTACAACCAACCCACTCACTCTACAGTTCCTCAAATTCCTAAGAGAAATAGATACCTACTACCTACCACCACCAAGTACCTATACAGACACTCTCGCACTCATGTATATCAAACCATCAATCAACCCCCAAACCCAACATACATACATACATACTATACGTACTTCCTCACTTCAACAAAAACAGACTGTAGCCACTTTCCATACTTCACTTTCACCTTTTTCACACAACTAACTCCAACACAACCACGCCCACGTCCAAGTTCAGTCCCAAGAACTACGCTTACCAGCCGCGCCCCCCATCCTCTGCTTCCTTCCGGTGCTGTGACCTCCACCCAGGATGACTCTTGGTGCCTACCTATCTATCTAATAGGTAGGCAGGATAAGATATGATATGATGGGGGCTGATTCTAGTAGGCGATTGGCAGTTCGTAATCTAATCAGTTCAAATCCCGAGAGCATCAACATTCTCTTTCTGCGGAATGGGTACTTCATATTGATTAAGTATTTCTATTGTCAGGGCTGGATGACAATGTCATTCATTATTTGGGGATGAGTCAGGATCACTCATTCCCCTCTGCTAGATGGGTGTATCTGGTGGGTGTATGTATCGTACTGAGTGTTCTGATAATACGGTATCTTACACAGATGTATATGTACGGGCTGGTATTTATACGTCGGCATCGGACCTAAGTGCCGCAATGGGCCAGTGGCTTAAAGACCCGACTGACTCGTGTGTGTAGTCCGATTTGGAATCAAATGAGTAGTGTGTAGTATGGATGTGGTATCTAAATCCTACAGTCTGAACATGATTGATTCGATCGAATTGGATTGAATTGATTGATTTATTGATTGATGTGATTGTCCCATTCCCATTTCCGTAACCCACGCAGTCAGATGAGAAAAAGTAATCAAACCAGCCAACCCATAGGTATGTGTGTGCGCGAGTATAAAAGTGTGTAATGCAGGCAATGCAAGCCAAAGATACAAAGAGCCTCCCAAGTAAAATGTTGTAACGTGCTGAAAATGTTCCCAACGCAACGAGTGAAATGTGATCACAAAAGAAAAAGTAAAAAAAAAAAAATTAGAACAAAGAGGTATCTTCGGACGGCCGTGAGAGAGTAGATATTCAACGAATCGAAAGAATCATTAGAGTGGAGGTATGTAGGAGTGGTGGCATCACCGGGATATCCGTCTGCGGAGAACCTCTTCTTTGCTCTCGCGCATCCATGGATACCAGATGCCGACCCAGTCGACGACCCCGAATTTCGGAGCCCCCGAGTCGGTAATACCCGCTCCCTCACGGAGGAAGTCGCCGTCCCGCAGGCGCCGTTGTTCCCGCAAGGTTGGACACTTCTTTTCTTTGATGAACCGATAGAATTTGCATTGGATCCCCTGGAACCCTCGGCGCTGCCGGCTGGGGAATTGTTGGTTGAAGCTTTCGCGCACTTCTTTCCACTCTTGGCAGAGGTCCACTCGGTGGTACCAGATGAAGTACATTTCCTCTTCCTCGTACTTGGGTCGAGGAGGCCGTCGCCGCTCCGCAGCATTGCTGGAGCTGCTGGACACAGAATCGTATCGCTCACGTGAGTAGGCGCCGGGCGATGACTCTGCGGATCGGGGCCGGTAGGGCAAAAATGCTGCATCCTGAGATGATGCAGAGCTCTCGGCGTAGTGGTGGCCATCCTGATAGGGAGAGTAGAAGTATTGGTTGGGACTGGGAGGGTATAGCGGCGACAGCTGGGGTCCAGGATGGCTGTACTGGTATCGAGAGTTGGCCAATTCTCTCTCCGCCGAGGGATTCAAAAGAGAATCAATGGCCATGCGGCTTTGACGAGACTCCGGCATATAGGCTGGCCGTGCTTGTTCGTGAACGGACTCCATGGTAGAGGTATAGGAGAGATAGAGAAAGAGTACAGAAGTACAGGAGTGATGGGCGAACAAAACAATCTGCAGGTTCAGAGAACTGGCAGCCACCAAAGCAGAAAAGGTATAGGTGATGAAGATGCAAGTAAAAGTAACTTTTTTCTTTCTCTCCCACGGTTGAAAATGGTGGACCACCTGAAGAGGATGGATGACACCAAGGGGGGTGGGCGGGTGGAAATTTTAAAAGAAGTAAAAGAAAAACAGTGAAGAGAGAAAAATCAAATAAGTAAATTATAACAAAAAATAAAAGAAAAGAAAAGAAAAAAAAATCTGACAGATGTTGGATGTCTCTTTCAGCCTTCTTCTGTGAAAGAGAAGTTGGGGAGGGAAATGAGGTGAAGCAGTCGAGGAGGAATGAATGAGGAGGAGCAGGAGGAGCTTTGTTGAACCGAATGATTTTCAGGAAAAGGCCGGTCCTTAAAGCATCACCAACGCCGCACGAGACTCCCGGTTGGACTCGTAGGGAGGGCAATGGTGGCCAAGGGTCCCTGTTAGTGCTGCTTAACCCATGCAGCGTCCCAAATCTCTGGGACAGTCCAGCTGCTATTAGAGGCCGACGGTGACTGCACCCCCTGTCCGGTCGTGGGGAGTCACTCCTACGGCGGGTACACGACGGTCACCGGCGTGATGTGTAGCGCCTGCGCCAGCAGGGAGCGGCGATGATGGTGCTGTTCGCGTTCTTATATTGGTTGGTGAGGAGCTGAACGCCTTGGGGGGCGAGGAGGGGGAGGATTGGTTGCTTGTCCACTAGTATCTAGTCGGGATGCTCTTCTCGACTTGCTGGGATGTCTTTCAAAACCCTAGTCCATCTGCAAGTACTACCTATAATTATTCGGTTTGATAGTATAGATCAGTCTTCGGCTGGGGAGCGGAAATAAGGTAGTTTTAGTAGATAGGTAGATAGATAGAGAGAGAGAGAGAGTAATCTAGAAAAAAAAAAAAAAGAAGGAAAGAAAGAAAGTCGTCAGAAGAAAAGCAGCAGGCTTATATGCAAGGATGTTTCGTCTGGAAAGCCTCAGCAACAGAAGGATTCGCCACTTATCTCGACGACAGATGGATCCTCAGCACTCAAAACGATGAAGAGCAAGAGAGAGACAGACACAAGAGAGAGTGCGCGCGCGAGCGAGGATGAAAGAATGGCATCCGATGGATTGGATGGTTCACCAAGTGGAGATCGCGACAGGGTCACGTTGGCAGACCGACGACGTGCAGGGCCAGACTGGACGCTGGAGGGAGGTTAGTTGGGAGAGAGGGTCACCGTTGGATCGGGTAATTAATCGGGATTGTTGTAATTTATTATCGCCATGATTTTCATGACTTTAATTTGATTTATTTATTTTCTTCCATTTAGAGCCCCTCCTCTCTCCAGTCCCTAGTAGTCTCTCTCTCCCCTTCTTTTACCCCTCAGAATTCCGATTCGGTCAGTTCATGCAATATGCACCATTGAGGGGAAATAGGATGAAATGAAGGAGCCGCACCAAGGGGGATGAAAATTGAATGAAAAAGGAAAACCCAAAAAGAAAAAAAGAAAAGAAAAGTGACAGACGGAAGGATTGAAGGGAACAGGAATTAATCCTGATAACACACCTTCACCTTCACCCCTCCCCAGATTAGGTTCCGGAAGAACAAAGAGCGAAGAGCCCAGCAGTGTAATTAAACTGCAAATGACGAGAATAATGCAAATGAATAATCGGGCCAAAGTGACAAGCTTAATGGGTCCGATTCAATCGCCCACCTACCTAATCCAACCCTAGTTTCACCTGGCACGGATGATGATGATGATGATGATGACACAATCCTCAGGAGGGTTGCCAACACGCCAGCTAGATACCTCTGGGCGGAGGATTGGCCACGCGGGGAGTGAGGGGGAGCAGCCCTTCCAAAAGAGCCATCTGCATGAGCGTCATGTACACAATTACTCAAGTCCATTGATCCAGCCTGTCCTCCCCCAGTCACCCTCTCTTTCCCCCAAGTTCCCAAGGCCCTGGGTGCTGTTCGCCGGGCCTGGCACATGCAGTCCCAGTTCCAGTGCGCAGTTCTCGGTATGGACCAAAATTACAAATCCCGAAAGGATGGACCACGGACTAAGGTGCCATAATAATAATCAGAATTATTATACGGAGTAATAATACTAGTACTAATACTCCGTCATCCTAATAATAATAATAAAATTCTTGGGGGTGGCATGAAAAGGAACCATGCCGACTTCGTCCCCTCCTTTGGGTACTTTGGGTACTTGCGCTCGACATAGACGCTTCGTCCAATGAGTATCGGGCCTGGAGAGAACTCCTCCAGGCTGACCTGACTGACTGCAGTGGAGGTGCTTCCCTTTGGCCTCCAGATATCGACCGCTGAAGAATGTGTCAACCGTGTATCCGTAATTACGCCAGCAAGGGCTCGTATTTCTTCTTCTGTTCCCCACCACTTGCATTCTGGGACACCCTGGGAAAAGAATGCGGTCGTAATGATTCGTGGTCGAGGGTTTGACGCACGATCTGCCCGCCGCGAGGAGTGCAAGAGACATGCCTCCTGTATATTGAATCCTACGTAGGGAATGTAGACGCCGTCGGGCAGGACGAAAACAGAGAAGAGCCAGGGGGGGAGGGGATCACCGCAGAAAAAAAAATAGAAAAATAGAAAGTAAGATAAAAAAAATAAAACAAATAAGAAAACAAAGTACTTCGGCCGTAATACGTCCGCCGCCTGCAGCCCTGCCATTGCATGAGAAAGATTCGGTTTCCCAGAGCTGATAGGTCGTTCCATGGCTGCAAGACGGTTCGACCGAAACGAAGCATTGCAGGGTTCAAGTCGGCCGCTGGCGGGAAACATCAGACGACACCTGAGTTAGCTGGCGGGCTAGTTCGTTTGTCTTGACTCTTGACCTGCTGCGGTACTCCACCAGCATCTCATCTACAGTCTACTACATTGGGAGGATGTGGAGCCGAGGGAGGCTAGTTAATCCACTGTTCGCTCCGAGCCTCTCACACCTAAATTAAATCACTATCTCTCGAGATTCCACCGGGTCGAGACCCATACCAATCTGCTGAAGATTCAATAAGTATTCATTCATTTGGAATGACTCCGGTGGTGTTCGGTTGACTAGTGCGCCCGTGGGTTTTATCAGTCAGGAATGCCTGTCTAAACGGCTAGCCCAAGGAGGGTGCAGCCTTCACCGGAAAAATAAAAAACAAAAAAGGGGGGTGGGTGGGTGGGTGGGTGGGTGGTGGAAGAACGGGATTATACGGAGTCACGCAAGACTCGAGTTATAAGTGAGAGGGACTGTCGGTGGGAAGATGATCTGAGAAGCAAGGTCAATCTTTCGGGGGCGCTAGCACATAGAACAATCCTTCAATTCCACACCTCACTTGGAGAAGAAAATACCACCAGAAAATAGGGAAGGAAAGGATCACTGCAGGATTCGTGCAAGACCATCAGCAGGTGAGAATGGGGGGGTTCTGCGAATCGCCGTGGAAAACGGAAAGAGGGAAGAAGGGAGGGGGGGGAAAGGATGCCGGCGAAGCAGGCCAACAGAAGGGCGAGGATGGGCCGCGTCTATTGGATGCGGAATAGAATCAGCAGCCCAGCCTGCAGTGGCTTTGCTAGCGTACCGTTCTGTCGGGACGGGTTTGCGAATAGGATCGAGGCTCTAATGCTGTCTAGCTCTTCTGGTCTCAGATTGCGCAGGGCCATTGCTGAAGGACAGGCGACCTGACAGCCAAGCGGGAGACACGATGTGGGTGGGTCCGAGCCTTAGTACATACGGGGGGGTGGAGGAGGGGGAGGGGGGGGGAAAGAAACAAAAAGGAAAATGATGAGGATTGGAAAAAGGGAAAAATAAAAAAAAAATAGGGAAAGGAAAAGGAAAAAGAACACGGAAGAGGACATAGGATGGCCCCAACCTACCTAAACCAAGTAATAAGTGCGACCACTCTTTTCCCATGCTCGATCCTTCCTTCGATGGCATTTCTATTTGGCTCGATTGGATTTTACCTTTCGGTCGCTTGCTATTTCCCTTCCTCTTCTTCATGGATAACTAATGATTGTTCCTACCGTTCCTGTCGACGATGGGATCATGCTGGACAGAACCGCGCAGTCCAGGTAACAATCTGCACACTTTGCCAACACATCTCTGCAGCTGTAAGACGATCGCCTCCCCCCTCCTGATTCGGGCCTTGGCTTTCCAGATGATCTCATCTGTCGGTTACGACGTACTGTAGTATTTACTCGATGATGGATGGATGTAATAAGGTAGAGAAAGACAGGGTATGTAGCCCGTTCTTAATTTTTAATTTAGTTTTTTTATTCTTATTTTTTTTTTTTTTCTTACTTACCTAGGTAGTAGGTATCGGTTGCGCTCGCACAAATATGGGGTGCACAAGTGAATAGATTAAGACCCTGTCATATAAGTTGAGGTCTAAGTGCTTAGCCTACTTAGGTAATGATTACATCTTCCAGAAGGTTGACTCCAATTGATGCCATCGTGGGCACCTATAATGGCTGGGTCATAAGGATGAGACGGGCGGAAGATCCGTGAAGGATGCCCATCCTTTTGGCTGTAGACGAAGTGACGAATTGTGACTGCATCCAAGACTCTTAGGCGACCGACTGCGATCTCACTCCGGCATCGAAGGAGCGATCTGGAGTAATTCGTCAGCCTCTTTAGCAGGCTGGGCATCCTCAAACCCACTAGTGCCGCGGATTGAACCCGGCAGTGTCAAGGCTAGCCGGCCCATTCTTGTGTTGGATCCATCCTGGTGCACACGGTGGTTTGTTTGAGGTCTTGGGTCAGAGTCTGAGGAAGTTTTTAGTAGCAGCGACACGGCGGGGCTCGGCGGTGACGATCCGGGATAGACGAGTCTGGAGGATGAGGAAGGCGAGGAGGAAGACGAGGATCGCCGAAAGAGGAAGGACCCGGTCGGCCAGGTAATATTCAGCTTACTACAGAGAGAGGAAAAAGGAATGGCCAGTAGTAGTGACGCATCGGTTTTGCCTGGTCCAAAGCAAATCTGATATCAGTATTAGCATTTTGCATATATCGGACATGTCGTACATGAATAATAATGTTCATGCTGTAAGGATATACTAGGTAGGTAGATACTCATCATTACTCCAGGTGTGCCTGACGCCCCCAGGCGCCAAAGGGTGTGGTCCTGGGCAGCGCACAAACAAAGCCACTGGGACTTGTTCCAGTTCTCTTCCACCCACCCCCCCACACCCAGCCGAAGGCCCCTCTTGGCCTCTTCATGGGGGCTAGGCAAAATAAGAAATGACAACCGATAATTGTGTCACTATCTCCACAACTCGCTTTTGGCGCCGATCGGCCCCGAACTCTTCCTAACTGACTAGTCCAGACGAGCACACAAATCACAGAATCACACCAAGGAAGGGGGTCCGTCGAAACCCCCATATTCCTCAGGTCTTGGTTATGGAGTGCCTGGGGCTGGCCTTGGAGAGAATAACATAGGGTAGATATAGTAGAGTTCGATATCTATAGGAGATGGAGATGTCAGCCGTTATCCTTCAATACTCTGTTTGGGGGTCTGCGTCGTCAGTCATCTGCAAACCGCCCCCAACCCTTCTAGCTTTTCCTTTTTTTTTTTTTCCCTTTTGACTTTTCTTTTCTGCTTTCCCCCCCCCTTCTTTTCGGCTTTAAGAGCACCCACCGGCCATCATCTTGGCAGCCCAGCAAAATCCACGACAATTACAGTTTCATTATGTGTGGGACTTGGGAAGCGGAAAGGTCCCGTCAGCAGCTTATCAGCTGTGAGGACGCAAGTCTAAACGCGAAACATCCCTCGGCCGCGAGTTACTTGTACAAGGCATCACTAGTGACTACTGTCCCTCTCGATATCACAAGGGAAATTGTATGGTGCCAGTCTTCGTGGTCTGGCCGTTATTAATTTCGGGTTCAACAATGCAAGGCTATACGGCGTATTCGTCCGGGACGAGGATTGGCTGGGGAACATAATTGCGGCACAGTCAATCTGCGCAAGCTCCAAACCCAACCCAGATGGAGCGCGCGTACAGGTCCGCTTGTATGGATCACAGGCGAGCTCGGCCGCCTGGTTCCCCTACGCAAGTTGTCGAGCAGATGACTCTGGCAACTGAGCTAGATACTGGGCAGTTAGTCTTACCACACTCGATGATATGCGTGCGTGCATGCGCTCAGGCAAAATCGAGGGGAAGGTTCCGAGGAAATAACAGCCTTTTCTCCGTCTGCAATATGATGGGTGGAGGGTTGTAAAAAAAAAAAGGCGGATGATCATCCGCTTGTCAGCGCCTGTTGTAGATCCTATCCTTGAGGGTTACGAATCCCTTCGTCCCCAACCTCATCTTGTGCGTTCGGGTGGAGGTACCTAGATACCCCGGGATGCCTCAAAGGAGACAAGCAGACAGCTAGCAATGTCACACCTGCTGCAACGACCATGGTCCTAACCCGCGGACAAGGTAGTACCTCCTCATGCCAACCCCGTTCTGCCTTAGTTTCCACCAACTCCTCCTCATCCAGCGCGTACCCGCAGCTGTGTTCAATCACGTGAGGGTTCATCGCCGGGGATATCAGGCAGGCAACCTATAGCGAGAGGCCATTTTGATTAATGGCGGAGTTAGACAGGAGGTTGCGATGCTTGGAGGTGGAGACTGAGCAAGAGAACAAAGAAAACAGACGACAGCGATCAACTTCCATTCCAGCAATCGACGTCGAGCCCGCCAGGTCCCTGACTCGTAACCAGTTACACGACCCCAACTGACCGGGGGGGGGGGGGGGGGGGTACTTAGATACGTAGCACCGTAGCACATCCCATGTGCCGGGGTTTGGGTTGGAATGGAGCGGAATCGATACATGGTCCAGGATATTTTTAATCACATTCTTATTGAAGGTTGTGCATCCGGTGCATTGCCCTCTTCCTCAAGCGGTCAGGCAACGGTGGCACAGCGTTGCACTTGCAGCACGCGTCCGCGGACGGAGGAGGCTTCCACAAGAGTGGAAGGATGGATTAGGATGGCTGACTAGAAAGCGCGTAGAATCCAGGACCTTGCGGCTCAAGCTGTCAACATTCAACTGCAATTGTGAGGGCCAGCCTTTGGGAGAGAATGAGACACTGCCGCGGGCCCGAGGGAGGCTCCATCCATGGGTGGCAGGCGATAGTCTCCTAGTAACAGCTTAGCCCGACGGATGCCGTCGCCTGCGCCATTAGTCCTGTTACCTATCTACCTAGTACCTACCTACCCTCCCTTGGGAGTGAAAGGATCCTACTCCGTACTATCCACCTGCAAGCGAGCTTAAGTGTAACTTGCGCTGGGCCTAGACAACACTCATGTCCCTCTTAGATGCAGCCTGACCATTCAGACCAGCCTCAAGGGCTGAGACTGGGAAGTACGGCGTTGACCAGCATCCTGCCTGGGCACTGGGCAGAATTCATGCATGGTGGGAGGCTGTGATATCATTGTGTTCCCATAGTGCGACGTGTCGGAGACAGTGCCGAGCCTCACCTGTTCACGATCTTCCAGAAAGATCGAATTGTTCCTTCTTGTACGTGGTGGCTGAAGCCACTGTCCTCGCCACCGAATTCAGATTCCACGGTCCAGAATTCCTATCCTAAGCTTGTCTTGGGCTTCCTAAACACCAGAAAGCAAGGCAACCACGATTATGACATCCTACGTTCATCATATCTGGCTCCATTCCAAGTTTCAACCCTGATGGAGAGTGGGATGGATGGCTGGATGGATCAGGGGGGGGAACAATTAATAAACACGTTGGTGGTGGCCGGAACGGACGGGGCGATCCCGCCGGCTCTACTCCGTACAGAGCAGTCACACTCTCTCTCAGTCCCTCACAGTCTCACAGAGAGGGCTGGGGATATTCCTTTTTTTTTCCCCCACCCTCTCTCTCTCTCTCTCTTCTCCCCTTGACTATTCCGTACGCTTACCATCATTCTGCCTTGTGCAACATCAGCCGTCGGCGTCAAGTCTGTCAATGCATGAATGCATGAAGCCAGCGAACAATGGCTTAGACGGACTTGGTAGGATCGATTCCTGCAGCCTCGTGTATTTCGATGGTTATTCTGGATCCCCTATAATAATAATAGTATTATAATAATAAAAATTCAGGTGAAGGCGCCTTGTCGGTGAGTATCCATCGGGGATGGGGGCAGTGTCGAGGCCCGTCCTGTGTACTACACAGTACTAGTAACTAGTAAGAACTAAGGGGCACCGCACTTGGCCAGAGCTTCCGGCGCCTAAGGAAGGGATGGCTTGCGACTGAACAATCCGACTGGACCATTCGTCTAATTACGGAGTCGCTGGGCCAATCATGCCCCATTGGGGTCAGATCTGATCGTTGTGGACAGGATGTGTCAGATGTCAATCAATAGTCATCAAGGGCTGCTGGAACTGTCTCTATTTAGGTTTGCGGCGATGGAGCCTGCCTGAGCCCCCCCCCCCCCCCCCAACGAGGTGCTGCCTCGGCCAGAATTGGCGTCTCTGATTGCCTGGCATTTTTCCGAGGCTTTTCGTGCTGATTGGCTGACTGACACATTTTGCCAAAGCTTTTCCTTATCACGCCAATAGAACGGGCGCCTGCGTAATAATAATACATTGCCATTCCACGACTAATAAGTATTTACCTTCCGAAGTCCGTCCGTCCGTCCGTCCGTCCTTCCTTCCTTCCTCGCTCAGACTGAGAATTGTGCCCTTGTCTGTGTCTGTCAGCAGATCGACCAGGGAATCAATCTCATCAGCTGATAGCGAAGGGACCACAGAAGTCCACAGAGGACCGATGTACGACGCCTCTTCAGTCGTTCAGCTAGTACTCCGTAGTTAGTACACAACAGTTGGCAACCTGCCGAACAGATCATCATGCAGAATCATCAGCCCGTACATTCCGAGAGCAGTGGCCTCCACCGACCGGCAACACCAAGACACTAAGATATCCGGCAGCAATATTCACGAGCTCCTTGACCACGGTACCACCATGGCACCAACGGGCCCGTTGGTGCCTCCGTCTGATTCTGGATCCAGCTAGGGATAGCGTTGGCCGCTAAGCCAGAAAGTGAGGCCTGCGTCTGAGGCAATTCGCCCCACGTGTTGGGCGGCGCAGGGGCACGGAAATCGTCGGTGCCTGAGGGATCGAAGGAAGGGCTCCAGGACGAACGAGGCTGAAGTCGAACGCTGAACTTTGTTGAAGAGGCCCCTCCCAAAAGGAAAATAAGTTTTCTTTCTCCTTCGTCGTCCCCGTCCGGAAAACAATTCAACCCAGGGAACCCACCTGCGGACCTCCGTACACTGCAGGCGACGAACCTACCAGGTAAGGGCCTCATACCGTACGACCGACTTGCCATCTTCCATCGTAATCACCGAAGCCACTAGATAGAATGGGAAAGACAACCTCTCCAATCACAATGGCTGGATCCTGGTCCTCGCCGGAAATCCACCAATAATACGCCGGGCCATTGAGGCGACAATGCAAGTGAAGCGGACGGCATTCGTCCGACGACGGTGATTGATTTCACCGCCGTGCTGACGGCTTCGGACCTGGAGCTGAAGCTTATCGTCAGACGGATCTGAACCAGAAAGGCTTGGCAATCAGGCTCCGGTGCAAGTAAGAGCTTAATAATAATGGGGGCATCCCTATAGGGAGGGCAAAGGGGAAATGATAGGCACGGTCGGGTAAACCTTGACTATTGTTCTCTGCATAGTTAGTTAGTCCTGTGTATGTTTTCTACGAATACGGACAGGAGACGATCTATCAGGACCAAATTTGAAACTTCAGCCGTTCAGCTACTGCGCCGATTTCCAATCGGAGGATCCCCGTGATTCCGTATCGACCATCGCCTGTGTCGACTGTCGAAGGTGGCGTTATCAATCTCACCAACACCACGCCACGGATCCTGGCGATCAAACGTGGTGAACGTGGCCAGAAATCCTCGGGGGCCAAAAGCCTGCCTAGGGCAGCGACTATCATCCTCTGCCGCCCTCCGGCAGTGACGAAGGATGCGTCCTTCTAGAAGTCGTATACCATACGCAGCGATTCGCAACGCGTCCTCGGGGCTTGCCTCCGAGCCCCGAAATGAATCCCGAGTCTGGCCGCGCCGCAGGGCAGAACCGGTCTGACTAAGGCTCTAAGACAATGAGATTGACACTTCATCTGGGCTCCCCTCCCCCCCGGCCGACGCAGGCATCTCCATTCTGGCCTGTCGTGGCCGGATGACACTGCTGCTGCATCCAATCAGCTTTGCTCCGAGCCAATGATTAACCTCTAGTGGTTGGTTGAGGACGAGGATTTGCGGCAGAGTCGTTGTACATAGGTGTGGACGCTATGTGATGGGGTCCTAAAGCAGCTGGGTGGGTTTGGCGGTTGGCGTAGGTAACGTAGTTCGGAGTACTTCGTCGGTCCTTTGGCTAGTGGTCGGAATTGCAGTCCCCCGTCGATAGCTTGTGACGGTGCTATCGACCGGCGACGACCCTGTGGACTAGTAGTAGTAGTAGTAGTAGATACTAAATACTAGATACTAGATAGGGCCCCGTACGGAACAGGTCCGGTGGTCCGCACCCACCGTAAGTAGGATGTTGCTAAGTATATTCTGTATACACTATACAGGATGTAGATACTAGGTACCTGCTCGACCACCCTTTTATAAGTACATCCTCCGTATTATCATGATATTTCTTATTATGTAGGTACTTACTATCTACTTAGGTGAGGAATGCTATTATTATCCGGCACAAAGCAATAATGGGGGATACTATAGGATGATCACGTCGATGGCCTCATACAGTGGGATTACATAGATACTAGCGCGAGTGGCATGGCGCCAGTTGACGGACGCCGTGAAGCACTGACCGCATGCATGCAATGGCGACCTACATTGACTCGCTTGAGTTAAGCCTGGCTGCAGCCCGGATGGCTCGGCGCGCTCCCAGCCCCGATACCATACCATACACCCTCGTAGCTGCCAATCCGAGGCCGCCGGCCGTTCGATCGACATGAGCAAGCGAGATCGATGCAGCGTTCAGTGTTCCGTTCAGCGTCTCAGACTGTCAGACATGCCCACTAGCCACTAGTAAGAAGTCTAGGACGTAGCCTAGTAGTATGCTCCGTATCTATCTAGGTATCTGTCTGTCTATCTAGTAATCTACCTACCTAGTGGCAGCGCCGCCGCCGGCTCCCCCCCTCTCGCGCGCACACACACACACCTTAAGGTGCCACGGGCAGTCCTTCCCAAGGGACGTACCCCAGGTAAGCTTACTCTGAAGAACTGCCTAACCGTTTTGATCCACTGAGTCAGGTACCAGCTCCAGCTGGCTTTAACCCTACCTACGACTGAACTCTGAAGAACTGTGTCCAGAGGGGCGGGGATAGACGTTTACCGCCAGCTTCAATCCACGGGGGCCAGCGCAATTTCCCCCTCCAGGCTCGGGGATGATGGTCCAAACCTACCAGAGCCTACCAGGATGCTCGCCTACCCAGAAAACCCCTCAGCTGGACGGAACCTGCTCAAGGTTGCCTACTAATGCCCAACTATCACACCTGAACCAGACTGTCGGGTCCGTTGGTGTGGTATTCGCGCTGCGAGAATCAGCCGGTGACCTGCGCCAATTTTCCCAGTTAATCTATTTTTCGCGCTGCGGCTGGACGAGGCACCCGAGTTCCAGAGGTTGGGGTTGATTGACTCTCCCAGTTTTTTTTCTCGTTCGTTTGTTCGTTCGTTTGTTTCTCTGTCGGTCGGTCGGTCGGTGTGATGAGTTTTGTTTGTCCTGCGGACCTCGAGGCCTCGACAACACCGTGGACCACCACCCACCACCACCACCCACCACTCATCACCGCCATCACCGTCACAATAATATGGAGCCGCCAGCCCCGAATATTAATAGAGTATGGAGTAGCTTATAGTAGTAATTGTTAACTCAAAGTGGTTTTGGCTAGACAAAGACCCCCATTTCCAGTAGACCGACCCATGGTCCCTCCCCATCGCTAAGCATCCTCATACTGTGGTTGACCCAACTTTCCCAAGCAAAGTCTATCATCAAGCTTCAACCCAAAACAACGCATCCCCACAACGTCCAGACTCCAGACTCAAGAGACAGACAGAGAGGGGGGGAATATTATTATTATTATTATTATTATTATTATCATCATCATCCGGCGCGTCTCCTCTTTGTCTCCTCCTCGGCGATCTCCGTCAGTATCCACTTTGGAAACAAGTCATCCCGTTCTCGACCTTGTTTCGTTCCGTGGCTCTCTTTGTTCCCTAAGTCGACCAACCAAACTCTACCTACGTAGGTAAGGTAGTAGATAGATGGGCTACTATTCTTGAGTAAAGTATCTTCACCCTGAGTAAAGTCTGCCTGCCCTGGTACCTCCCTCTAGTCACTAACAGTAAGTACCTACAAAGTTCTACCAGTGGAAATCACAACCAGACAACAAAGGACTAAGACTAAGACTGCCCCGGCCGACTCCCGACCCCCCCGACCCCGACCGACCGACCGACCTGGTCTGGGCTCTCATTTCTGTTCATGTTTGATGCTTCCAGCAATTCCTTGTAGGGTAGATAGATAGTAGGTACTATACAGGCCCCGCGTTACTGCGGAGCGATCCTCCTACTCCCTACTTAGGGAGTATACTATACGACTACGACTACCTATAATAATATGGTTACTATGCTGATCCCACTGTCCAGAAAATTAAAGACAACAACCTTAGCAGACCGATTTCATATTTGATTTTATTTGATGGAAGTGCTACCTAGTAGTAGTAGTAGTAGTAGTAGTAGTCTCCGACCGACCGAGTAGGGACTAGATAGGTAGGGCGTCACTTTACTGTGGTTTAGGGCGTGGTAAGCGACGGGATAACGGGAGGATTCCGGTGGTCTCTTACTCTCCATACTAGTTGTAAGAGGTACGTAGGGAGACGTGGAACAATGTGAGGTTAGCTTTAGGGATCGGGCTAGGTCTTATATTGCGAGTCTATAGAATATAAATAATATATACACGCAGGTATAGAACTAATTACTAACCTTCTAGAATTCCTGATTACTAATATAATAGATATTTTAACGTATTTCATAAGCGAGCGGCGCACCTCTCGCATTTTATACGCGACTAAAAATCTCGCTCAAATCAACCACCAACCATGCCTCCAAAAGCACGTCAAAATTCAAGAAATTTAGATGAGCAAGAGGGTAGAGCTGTACTAGCTATTTCTGCTTTAAAAAAATCAGAAATATCTAGTATTTGTGAAGCAGCTCGTGTATATAATGTTTCTGAAATAATCCTTTACAGATAATTACACGGTATATCTTCATACTCAGAAACACGCGCTAATTATCATAAATTGACTTAAAATAAAGAGAAATTACTTATATAATAGATTCTATTGCTAAATCAATATAGAGCCCCTTTCTGACTATTCTATATATAAGAAATAGCTAATATTCTACTTACTTAACATGATATTATCCCAGTTTAATCAGTCAGAGAGAACTGAGTCACTAACTTTATTAAATAATAAGATTATTTAAAAACTTGCTATACTTAATATTATGATTATCAATATATTAAATATAAAGATCTTAAGATTATATAAGAATAATTTAACTATATATAAATTATGATAATATAATATAGAATTATATAAAAAGATATCTATAATTTTAATAAAACTAGCTTTACTATAGGCTTAGTAACTACTGCTCAAGTAGTTACTAGAGCTGACTATTATAAAAAGACTTTTTTTATACAGCTAGATAATTAAGAATAAGTTATTTTAATTAAGTATATTAATTTTATTAGTTAGACACTTTTTTTATATATAATTTTTAAAGATAAGGTCTATATAAAGAATTTATATCAAGATATCAAACTCCTATATGATAATAGGATTGAGATTAATCTTAATAAATAGATTATAAATAAGATAAGTCTTTATTAACTTTAAAATCTCTTTATTTTTATTACTAGTTATATAACTAGCAGATATTATCTTCTTATTCTTAATAGTTATAATAGTTATTTAATATCTTAATTTAATTAAATATATAGTAAAAATAATATTATTTTTATTTATATATTTATATACTTATTATATTTATTATAATCTTTAAATATTAATTATTTTTTATCTTTAAAGTAGATATACAGTAGTTTAATAAAAAAATAAATATACTTAAAAATTAATTATATTAATAAACTTAATTTTTTAAAGATCTTTTTATAAGCTTATAAATATATTTTTTAAATAAATATTATATAGAATAGCTTTACAGATATTAGTCTAGTTTTATTTAATCTAGATAGAATATTTAGTTAATTAAATATTTAGCTAAAAATCTTTATATTATTAGATAATTAATTAATTAATATAGCTTTAAAAATATCTTATATAAATAGACAGCTTTAAAAATAGGTATCGATTATAAAATAGCTACTTAAAATATATATATAAAATCCTTTATCTTTATTAAAAACATGGTTTAATAAGCTTATTAAAGATTATAAATTATATTTTAATAAGCTTATTTTTATATATAAAGAAATCTATAAATT